GTTGCTGGCCACTCGTTTTCATGGTCTCCGAGACACCCTTGCCGGCCTGGATAGAAGCGACGAACCTATGCCACCAAAACAAGCCACCATCGGTCAGCCCCCTTTCTTAAGCATCACAATCCAATCAGGCCTAGCCAGCCCGCGTCCTACACGCGATAGAGTTGTGGCTCTGTGGCGCCCTTCCATTTCCTGCAGACAATTTAAAGTTGCCTAATTGAGGGATCTGAAACTACACCATTCGATTTCCCGAATTCCTCTATTTTCGGTACCAAAGAAAAAACGACGCCCGCATCCACGTCGAGACGAGCGGGGTACCTCGCTGATGAACCACAAGAAGTCGTCTTCCTAATTTCCGGCACATGCAAGTACTGTGTACTACTGCTAACACCTTCTGGAATCAACCGCGCCATACTATCCGTCGTTCATCAAAAGCCAACCCACCCGCCTCTGTCAGGAATCCTGGATGTATTTCCCGACGCCATCATTATCTCCACATTCAACAAATCTGCCTTGGATCGGGATGCTAGCTTAATTATCTGGCTCCCGCGAGCATTCAACTTGAAACTGGTCGATCAGGGATGAGAAATTGAGCTGTGACCAGTCACGTGGTGCCCTTAGTCAACATCCCTTGACAATATCACCGGGACCTACTTTAGACTGGCAGTCCTTCACGTACCGGCATCTCAGACCATCTGAGCATGGTCCCTTTATTACATGGTATACTACTATACCACTGCCTGAAATGGTCGGCGCCATATGGAGTAGCTCTCCCGATGCGGTACCTGTGCTGACATGACGCGCGGTATGCATCATTGAATTGACCCTTGAGATTGGGTCTGGAGAATCGGAGTCGCCAGATTCGTTCCCGGACCAACAGCAAGCAATGGGACGCTACCGGACTGTCCCAAAAGCGGCGTCTGCCGTCGGCGCGTGGATGGTCTGGCAACGTATCTCCAAGATAGCGCCAAGACCAACGATATCTTTGAGAGAATACAGATGAGGGCGTGGAATGGCCTGTCACAGGTGGCCTTCAGCCAGCCCAGGTTGCTCGCAAGGTCGACTACTTTTTCATGCTACCTGACGGCAACTCTTGCGAAACCTTGTGGTGTTTGTACGAATCACGCTTCTATTGTGAAGTAAACACATGTCGTGCGTCCCATATCATTTAGAACAATGTTGCGAAAGTTGAGGCTCTTGGGTTGCCAGATTCTGGAACGCACGTTGCGGCTGGCATGCGACTGCACAAAAGTCACCTTTCCTTAGCCACGTTTTGTTTGGCTGGCAACTGGGGCTTCGCTTGAGGGAATATCAGGTAGTCAGTCACCCATTGCTGCACTCTTTCGGCCGATGATGTCCTGAGACGACCGTAGTCGAAGCCGCATCTGCGTGGCCCGGTCAGATTACCGACATGTCTCATTCACAAATGCTCACAAATGCGATTTGATATTTACGAGCTTGACTGACTCTGAGACAAACGACTGGTGGATTACGACGGACTTCCGAGCAGGCCGCCGAAGATTGCATATCGCAAAGGACGGTGAGGCGGACACCGGCATGGAAACGACATGGCAAGCAAGATTCCAAAGTGGAAAACAATGCACGGATCTCTCGTTGCTTTCTTGGCTCATTGGTCTTGCGAGCCAATGTTGATGCTGCTTACTGCGACTGGAAGCATCGTGCTGGTGATAATGTTGCGGAGCGTCTTAAGACTATACCACGACTAACAGACCTTGTCGATTAGCGCCAGGTGTACACCAACCCTGTTTCTCGTAGCGCCCCGTCATGGCCAAACTCGTCCTTTGAAGAATTCGAGCAGAACTCTCGGACATAATTGACGCGTTAGGGCTGAGCCGTTGTCCAAGATGTTCATATGAAATTCCCCCGTGCGGTAGCCGACCCGACTGTGAGCATGCCATCATGTTGTTTTGCGCGGCTGAATGATGACGGGATAGGGCGAGACTCCCCTTTCTGCCAGCCGCGAGTAGGCTAGTTCTCGAGGGGACTAAATGATCAAGTAGAGCTAGGTCAATACGAGGCTATGCTGGACCAACATGCGCATCAGATCGTTGCCACCATCCACGATATTTCCTTATCTAGCAATTGTGGCCACCAATGGCCTTACTCAAAGGTTCGCTTTATACATTTTGCAGAGCTCTAAGCTGGGATATTCAGAACCAGAGCTTGGACTCTCTCGTCCTCCTCACTTTCTCGACCAATGGGTACCAGTGAGCACCAGGTTCCAGGCCGTCACCTGTTTAGATGGATGGGAAGCAAGCAACTTGACCTCGATCCTTCTTCCATCAAACCGAAAGAGCTACCCCGCCTCGAGCTCTGCCGTTGTTGGGTCTCAACGCGACAAATATCCGCCGACAAGGGTGTGTCACAGACGATCCCAGGCGCCTTCAAGCTGTTCAACACTACCTTCAGTAGGCCACATGTGGTCTTCTAGCTCCTTCCTTGGTCTGTGGTACTAGATTGCATCCATGAACTGGCATAAGGCTGCCACAAGAACAGGGCCAAGATATAGAAGCTTGTTATTGCCTTCACACTAGCCGCTGACAACATGGCAACTCCAAGAGAGGAGAGGAGAGGGAAGAAAAACGTGGTTGTACTACTCTAGATCCAAGTGGGGTACACACCATCCTGAGCTCTAGCTGTGAACGTATTGGTTGGCTACTGAGTGAGAGCTGTCAAGCCACCTCCGTGACTCAACACCACCAACTTGAAATCGGATCCGAAATGCATTCTAAGATCTGGTAAAGATCGTCCCAGCCCTCTCCGCGCTGCAAGCCATGGACATAATTCCAGCACTGGGGAACGGTGGCCCTACGCACTGCTAACCGTAACGGGGCCATGATCGTCTCGGCCATGGCGGAACTTCGGTACTAATAGCCATCGGGCGGCACAGTCCGACAAACACCCTCCTCTACAACTACCGTACCGCTCCGGAACACCTACCACGGAATTCGCTAAGACAGGGGGTAGTCACTCTCCGTTCTGGTACATGGGGCAACAAAATATGCACAACAGATTTACGCTCGCTTACCGGCCCCTGAAGTTCCCGGCTTGGCAGTTGAGCTTTTCCGGTGAGGCTTTTCTCTAGCTCATCAAGTGGTCACTGGCACACTGTGACTTGATATCCTTGCTATTACGCTTCAGGTCGTCAACTTGGAGTGTTAATCGGGAGTCTGGACCGCGGTCTTGAGTATTTTCCTGTCACCGCCAGGACAGTCACGCTCCAGAACCGTTGAGGTAGCCGTGTCACTCCAGCTCCGACCTTCAGCATTACTACAGGTTGATGGGGTTACTCGGCCGACAGTATTTGCCACCAACGAAACCAACGGAGAAGAACTTTGAATCTTCTAGCACGAAGGATGCCTCCTCAAATCCCGGTCGTGTGTCTATCGCTCTCCTGATCACTTGTTCCGCCCAGGTTCGCGAATCATGACCCGGCTTCTCCGCGTTTCTCAGCTCTTATTTGCATTCATGGCGGTCGGTATTCACCATATCAGGTAATTACATCCGACTGGATACTACAAGGTGAGGGGATCACGTTGGCCGTTCTGAAAGGCGCCATCCAACGATACCCCAAGCCCCAAATATAGAACATTGGACTGGCCAGTGACAACATAGGTGTTGTACACCGAGTGGACGGAAGCGATTCCGCACCGCGAAAGCCGCAGGTTTACCGTGGGCTGTCGGGCATCAACGCATCCGATGCGGTCTTTCTCGCAGGTTCATTCATTTGCGGACCATTCTAGATGCGAACTCTCTCCGCTCTACTAGCGGCAAGGTATCGAGATGGGTATAACTATCGAGGCTGTGCGATCCAAGGTCTGTTTACCCATCTAGAGCGATCCAGGCGGGTTCTCGGTCCTGGTTGAAGAAGATTATGTACTACAAGAGCGCACCCGTCCATGAAGCATGAAATGTCGCGCCATCAGAATTTGCGAGAGAAAAAAACTGACGTTCTAACCAGTACGGAATCACTCTGTGACAGTTGCGATCCTTCGTTCCAAATATGGGGACTCGGTGATTTGTGTGGAAGTTGCGGCAAGACTATGATCTCGCTCTACCCGGTTGCCTCAACTTCGTTTACATCCTCGTGCTCAAGATGTTCAATAACGTAATTCAGGGCGATACAAATGGCGAGAATGCCCTCATTTGGACTAATGGGAGGGGCTAAGAGGACATCTAACAGGTTGAAAGGAAGGACTTGCAATCTTCTTGTGCATTATTCTTATTTGAGACTCTAAAGAGTGTCAATGTCAGACAAAGAAGGATGTCGCTTCAGGTCGGCTACACAATGTCGGGCATATTGGTCCTCGTTGAAAAGAGCCAAACATATATACAGGCTGACGATACAGTGTCGAACGTATTTTCCGGTCGCAGACAATGCATACCTATTCAATATAGTCCTATATTTGATGTTCATTGTATGTGTACCTAGTCGATATAGTCACATCTTCGTCTCCAGGGTCCAAACCTAGCTCTACTTTTCTACATTCAGAATCTGACAGCTAGCTCATGAGGCGTCGTCCTTTCTTTCGGATTCTTTCTTCCCATCTTCCATCTCCAATACATGAATGTGGCCGTAATCGTCTTCGCCTCGTATTTCCCACCGCCAGTCAGTCAACCATACACATCGTGTCATCATAGGAGCTTCCCTGAGAACCGACCACAGCGGTGCTAAGTTTCCATAGAATCCCTTGCTGTCATGTCTTCCAAACCCTAGGGGTATAAAGAAGCCTCCATGTTCGCAGCTTCCATAGACATAACAATGATGGAGATCCTCACATGCAGGCTAGACAGGATACAACAAACATGCATGCGCGAGACCCCGAAAGAGAGCCTGCCAAGATCCTGTGGCGCACTTATTTAACAGATACACCGCAGATCACCATTTCTCCCCCAGTAGAGTTGGTCCAAAGGGCCGCAAATATGTTGCCACACGAGATACCGAGCCTTCGCTGTGTCCTCCGCGTCATCTTCCGTACCCTTTATTTCGATACAAACCCCCTACTACTACTCAAACTATTCGTACTAGTAAAACTCGACGGCTTTCCATCATTTGTCGTCATAGGCGAAAGCGCTACATTCTCCTGACTTACAGCCGGTGGTTCAGCCAGCAACGTAACGCTATGCCTGGGGCTTTTCTTCAGTACAGCCTTGGGTGGTCTCTCAGCCTTATCGGAGGTGACGACCTCACTGTTGGTGCGGCTCTTGGTTAGCTTCCTAGTCTGTCGCTTCATGTCCTTCTGCGTCGCTGTGGAAGATACAGTGCTCTCGGCGATGGATGCCAGGTCCGATGGCGTGGAGCGGTTGTCACTGGACCTGCGACTAGCTCCCGTTGGCGGCGATGTGTGTTGAATTACTTCTGGCGGAGAGCCGTATATTTCGCCGTCAGTCATGATGACGGGATTCGTTGAGGGTGGTGGACGCGGCGGTATGGGCGACTTTGCACGTGAGGTACCTGGGAAGGTGGGCCTTTTGTTTACCGTACTCGATGGGGGGATTTGACCAGTCGTGTATGCGTCGAGTTTTCTTTTGAGCAGGTCGGCCTTGACTGGCTTGGCAAGATAATCGTTCATGCCTGCGGCAAGACACTTCTCGCGATCTCCCTGAATTGCCGACGCCGTCATCGCAATGACAAGGACTTTTCGGACGATGTCGATGGGGTCTTTGCGGAGCAGCTTTGTCGCCTCATAGCCGTCAAGCACTGGCATTTGCACGTCCATAAGAACAATGTGATAGGGCTTCCCTTCATTGGCCTGGTCTCGTAGACCCTCCACCGCCTTGAGGCCGTTCTCGTAGGCGTCTACTTTCGTATATCCCAGCTTGCGCACAAACTGGATGGCAATCCTTTGATTTATGAGATTGTCTTCGGCAACACAGATACGCATCTCCTCTTTGGGAATCTGGGTGAGGTCCAAATAGGGGTTTGGAGACGACTCCCTGCGTTCGCGTGCCATAGACACATTGCCTAGCGATTGTTGCTTGTCTATGATTGGGGGCACATGTATCGTCTGTGCATCTCCAGCCGCCACTTCAGGTTTGGCCTTGTCGAATGTGACGGTGAACCACGCGGTTGTGCCTACACCCTCCTCACTGTCAAGCTCAATCTGACCCTTCATCATGGTCTCGATTAGAGACTTGCAGATGCTGAGACCGAGACCACTGCCGCCATACTTGCGCGCCGTGCTCGAGTCTGCTTGACTGAACGGCTTGAACAATTTGGCCAGCTGCTGAGGCGGGATGCCAATACCCGTGTCCCTTACCCAGAATGTCAGTGTCACATTCTCAGGTGTGTCCGAGTCGACCCTGGCGCCGATAGTCACGGAACCGTCCTCGGTGAATTTGAGACTGTTCCCAATTAGATTGCCGAGCACCTGATGCAAACGTATCGGATCGCCGTAAATCAGCATAGCCGGCAAATTAATATCCTGGATGATTTTAACGTTCTTCTTTGACGTCTTCTCCCGGTTGCTGTACGACGCAGCTCGGACAACCTCACGCACCATCTCCTCTGGATTGAACGCGATGATGTATAGCTTCATCTTGTCTGCCTCCATCTTGGAGAAATCCAGGATGTCGTTGATAACGGTGAGCAAAAGATCTGCCGACACTCGGATCGAATCAGCCATCTCCAATTGCTCCCTGTTCAAGCTACTGTCTCGCAACAGCTCAGAGTTACCGATGACACCATTTAGCGGTGTCCGCAACTCATGAGACACGTTGGCGAGGAAGATACTCTTGGCTTTGGCAGCCTCCTCGGCTATTTTGACGTTGCGGATAGCCTCAGCCTCGGCGTTCTTCGCCTTGGTCTCGGCCTCGATCGCCTTGGAGAGTGCCTGCTTCTGCATCCCGACCATGGACGAGTTCTCTGCCGAGACTTTCTCGATGTTCTTCATCGAGAGAGCATTCGAATAGCTGATGCCGATTTGGTTCACGAGCAGCTGAAGCACCGTCACATTTCTGTCGGTAAATGATCCTGGCTCACCCTCGAGGTACAAGACGCCAAGCAAGGGCTGCGAGCCATGGCATATGGGGATAGCAATGACAGCCTTGCTCAAAGGGTTCCGGTGCAACCAGTGATCACTAACATTGCCGAATCTCTCATCCGTGACGAGATCCGGAATGAAGACAGCTTCGCGGAACCTGATGCAATAAAGCACGACATTTTCGGCCACCAGAGACGTCCCAGCCAATGGCCGCCCCGGGATATGTGACATGGCACCCTTATCTGGCTCACCACTAGCAGCAACGCACCATGTCACCTCCTCAGACTCAGACTCGTCATCCTGCACCACTATTGCAGCTTGGGTTGCAGAGCCGCCACAAGTCTGCAGGATCACATCGCACATCGTCTTCAGTAAAATGTCGACCTGTAGAACCGACGAGATGACTTGGGACGACACCAAGATGGCATGTAGGTCGATCATGTCAAGCGCGGGAAGACCAACGCCAGATTCGGGTTGCATGGTGCCCCGCCACGCCGCCATGCGCGTCTCTTTGGTCTCCACCATGGTGGGCTGCACTGCCTGCTCTATCTCTTCGCCATCGGCAGGGTACGTGACCGATGCCGTGTCGCCGGCAAAGTCAGTTTGCACACCAACCTCGGCAGTCCTCGTGCTCTGCGTGGGACCATGGAGTAATAAGGCATGCTCGTCTTCGATACAGCGAGCAATGCCCGTAGCTCCTAATTGTTGCCAAAGCCCGAGTGATTCCTTCAGGACCGATCTTGCCAATCTCTTGGCTGACTGTCGAATCAAAAAGCCGGCCATCAGGTAGTTTCCTAAAGCCTCCTCGAACGTAAAGTTATGCTCGGAAGCGTGGTCTAAAGAGCTTTCGTATTGGCGGATAGCGACACCGTGTTGGTCTCGTAGTTCTGCCACCTGGGCATCCAGCCAGTTGGTCCAAGCGAGATAGTTGACATCGGAGACCACTTGCCAGTCCTTGATCTTCTTGTTGAACCCTTCGAGCAACGTAATGGTTTCCTGGACCTCATGCTGCAAGTCCTCCGGTTTGTTCCGCGGGTCAGCCAGCTTTCGAAACATGAGGCCAGCGAGCGCAAGACCGTGGAACAGTATCACGGCTCGCGTGTTCCGGGCAGACCAGATGAGATGGAGGTTTTCCAAGCACCTCCGCCCAATCTCGCACGCCATTTCGTAATGACCATAAAGATAGAGTGGAATAATCTCCATGGTTTCGTAGATAAGCACAGATCGCCCCCCATTGTGCGTGGATTTGTTGAGCCACATTTTGTAGCTCGAGGATGAATGTTGCTCGTCCGACATGATTTCCCGTGGATCCGAAGTCTGTGTCTTTCCCTGAAGGGCACGGCACACCTGTCGGACTGAGATGAGAAATGTTCCACCTCGACTGTCCTGGTGCCAACCGGGAACCTCTTCGCAGCAGTACTGGCATGTAGCCTCGAGGTCCGTATAGTTCTCGCTAGCGAAGAATTTCATCTGGGCAGCCAGCCCAAAGCTGAGAACGACCGATATGCGGTCGCCAGCGCCGGCAGCAAATTCAACAGCGTCTTGCAATTGATTTACCACAATGCCGATCGGAATCTGGACGTGGCTAACAAAGTTGGCGTAAATCATGTACCCACGGGCTGAAGAAAACGGGTCCCTAAGTCTATCCAACAGCTCGACACATTGACTGCCGAGCTCTGCTGCGAAATCAATCATGTTGAAGCGTGCCAGTGCGATCATGGATATGTGAAGAAAAGCCATGCCAGACTGTGGAAAAGAACCCTGGTCAAGGTGAATGCGGATCATGGCCAGGGAAAGGCTGTAGAAGTCGAGGCAATCGCTCCACCATGCGGCGCTACACGCGTCTGCCAATATAGCTCCTACAATTACAAGGTGAGAGCCGGTATTTTCTGCGAGGTTCATGGCGCCCATTCGATCCATAGACTTTATCATAGTAGACAGCCTCATAAATTCCGCGTCGCATTTCTCAAATGTAGGGTTATCGTCGAAATTAACCTTCAAATGCGTCAAGCTTTGCTTCAGGCTCGACAGCGCCGATTGAGAGTCTCCACTTTGTGCTAGTATGCGCGACTGTAATAGCCAAGCTGGGGCCTTGTCCTCGGCTGATTTGGCGTTGGTGTAGACGATGTTGAGGAGACCGAGGGCGGCATTGTGTTGACCCATGAAGACATAGCACTCTGCTGCTCGCAGATAAAGCTGCAGCGTTTCGTCATAGTATACATCTTCTTCTCCTTCCTTCCACGGGTCTGGCTGCAGGAGAATGATGGCATTGCTGTAGTATTTGGCAGCAGTTGGTCGTGCACCATTCTCCACAGCAATGGCGGCACAGTCCATCAGATGCTTCCGGAACTGTTGACGGTGTTGAACCTGGCGTTTGACAATATCGACCGAGGCACAAATGTGAGAGGCGGTGTTGTCCCGCGATCTGGTTTCGAAACAGTGATGCTTCAGAAGGGTCTGGGCAATGATGAAATGCATCCTGGACTTATTGCATTCCTTAAGGCTGGACGCGGCCTGGATATATCTGTCATGGGCAAATCGAAACCTATCGTCGGTCTCGCCTTGCATGATTATGCACGTGTTTATGGCTGCTTGTAATCCTTCCACTGCTTCCTGTGTGGAGTACCGAGTGCGAAAATGAGCCTCTTGCGGATCTGGACAGGCACTGTCAACAAACTCGAATTCGCCCCGGAGAAGTTTGCAGATCAAATCGAACGAGAAAGTGTTCCCCAAAAGAGACGCCCAGGCGAGTATTGATCGCGATGATGCGGGCAGCTCGCTGAGCCTGCGAGTGATGAAGTCATTGTCTAGCACATCGTAGTCGTGTTCTCCCTTGAACTGCTCGAAAAGCTTATCCAGATCAAAGACCCATCGACTATCCCTATAGTCGTAGCAAATGCACTTCGACCGGTAACAAGCGGCCAACATTTCACGCATGTACTGCAGCAACGTGGTCAGTCATTGCCATCTTTAGACAGTATAGCGTCCGAACCCGAATTTCTCAAGTCGCCATGGCGAGGGCAATTTCTTCTAGACCGGCTCGGTTGTACAGAGGCTGCACTTGCAAACCATCGAAAAGGGGAACGGATCATCTGAAAACCTACAAAAGGGTTGCCGGCTGTCTTCGATTGGATGACCAAAGCGAGAGGTGCGATTTCCTCTGGGGGTCTGCAGAGTGTTGACGACACAAACTGTAGAATCTCCACCTCATTCAAAGGTGACAGAGCGATGCGTGTGACCCGAGGGCCACTTGCCTTGGGATGTTCTGCAAGTTCAATCAGCAACGGACAACGGCCCAAGTCGGGATACTCACCCTCGTTTCCCGTGGGCTGCAATATTCGCTGAATCTTCTCTTGGGGCATCTCCTCAGGCCTGAAAGTGATAATGACGACCATTTTAAGCCTGCTTGCGATCATCTGAGTGATCAGTTCTAAAGACTCATCGTCGGCGAAATGAAGGTCATCCAAGCAGAAGCAAATGAAATGGTACGTAGTGAATATCCGCAGCAGATCCAGAAACGTGTTCATGAGTCGAATCGTTTTGGTAGAGCTTCCACGTAGGAATTCCTGCGAGCTCTGAGATGATATATGCGGACTGCGTGGGTATGCGGTGCTGGGAGACGCCCCAGGAGAAGACCCTCGTCGTTTCAGGGGAATTCGGACATTCCGCCCTTTGGGGCTCTGTGCTGAAGAGGCCGACTTGGCCACGCCGGGCTCTTGGGGACCAAGCAGAAATTCAGGCAATCCAAGTATTTTATGCAACATTGGCCAGATTGGGCGAACATAGTCCTTCAAGGCCAGATGTAGCGGTGTCTCCGTGTTCCTCTCACCCCATACCTGCTTGAAAAGCGACGATACGAGTTTGAGAAGTGGCCCAAAAGCGGTCCTCCTCGCGGTATCGAATTTTGAAGTGGCGCAATAGCCTCTCCTGCGGGCATCGGCCAGTACTTGCTGCACGAGAAAGCTCTTGCCCAGTCCTCCAGCACCTTCGATGGTCACAACTTCGCAATGCCCTCGCCTTCGAAATTTGGCCGAACCTAAATGTCTCGAGAGGCTGCCGGCTCCACCCTCAATGCCACTATGACGCGACGGCTGGCGATCGCTAATGTTGTCGAGCAGACTCCTGGTCTCAACAGAAACGGACTGGTGTCTTTCCCATGCCCTTGTCAGCTTCGGTCCTGAGAGGTTGGAGTGGCCTGAAGACATGGTCTCCCACGATACTATCTGAGTATCGGTACTATTCACAGATGGTTGGAGACTGCCCCTCGACAGCCGAGGATCTGAGGAAATTGTCGCAGTGAAGGAACCACTTCTCCTGTTTCCTCCACCTTCAGCTGAACTAGCACCTTCACTAGAAACATCGGCAGCATCGAGAAGGTCATTCGCGAGGCTTGATCCGTCTGCAAACCTGTATGTGGGATTCATGTTACCAACAGCATGGCTCTTGGAAACCCGTTCAATGACCTTGACCAGCTCCCCGCGTTCTTTGTGCCGCCCAATCATGGTCGTGGGCAACATGAAGAAGGATGACACGTCTCTCGAGGCGATGTGCCATTCTTTCAGGGCCAGCCAGTCTCCTTGAATCAAGAACTCTTGCACCATTTGCAAGTCGTACCGCAGGCCGCTTATTGAGTGATATCGATCTTGAATGCTCTTGGCCGTACACTTCTGGATGATCCTTCCCAACAGTTCCGGAACCTCTATTCGGATGTTGGATACCAAGGGGATGCGGCGGCCCAGCACGCATTGTACGACGTCGAGAGGGGTTGCTCCTTGAAAGGCGAGTTGTTGGGTGAGAAGTTGCCAGAAAACCACGCCTAGTGAGTATATATCTGTTCGTGTATCTGGCTCAGCTGGCATACGTCCCGTTTGCTCCGGGCTGATGTAGACGAGCTTGTGCTTCGCGCCAAGTTCCCTAGACAATGCGGACCAGCCCGTACTCGTGAGGCCATTTTCGAACGACCTAACCCCCGAGCCGAAGGATGTCAGCTTGACTTTGCGAGTCTCGATGCTGTAGTGGAAAGTATCGCCTCGAATCTCGCCATGAATCATGCCATGCCGGTGGTGAAGAATCTCCAGGCACTGCGTGGCACCAATGGCAAAATCGAGGAAATCTTGTAAACTACGCGTCCAAACATCAGTAGCGCTCAGCGGATTGGTAGATGCAAATTCAGTCACGTACCTGATGGGTTCTTCCAGGTGATAATCGTCTTTGCGATTTGCTTCGAACCTGTCGTCGATTCTTTTGGCATAATAGAAAGCAGGCCCAAAATCCATAACCCGAAAAAGGTAATTATACCCTGGAAACTCGTAAATCGACACAATAATAGGACCTCGATCGCCTGGTTGTGGTGTCAACCTCACGAGGTCTACCGGCCTCACATTATGGTCTCCTTCCGGGTCGGCAGTTGCAATCAGGCTCTTGCTGATGTGGAATGCCCTTTCCTCGCGCAGGACATGATATGATATGCGCGCGACAACAGGCCGCTCCTCGACGTTGGAGAGATCGGTTACTGAGCTTGAGCCGACTGGTGGGGAGGTGGCCGAACGTTCACTACTGCCTTCGCTTTGGGGAAGTGAACTGGACGACGATAGCTTGCTGGCGAAAGCAGGAGGGCTGGTGATATTCTGCGAGGGGGTCGTCGCTGTCGTCGAATACGGGGAAACGAATCTTGTCCCAAAGACATGCCTTCAACGAGATTGCGTCAGAGATGCATAGTTCTGCGACAGGAAGATCGCGGGGGGTGGGCGGTAATAACCAGTTATCATATGTGCTATGGTACGGTCTCCGATTCTCATCCCAGGTATAGCCAGCTATTTGTCGCAAGCGCTCGAATATGCGTACTGGAGGATCGAATGTGCTGTCTTCGTCCATGGCGACCTCGGAATCGCCAAAAAAGCCCGACATTGGGAGGTACAGTGCTACCGGTGCGGCAGATCGGGCTCGACGGGCGGATTAGGGTGTCGCAGGTTCGTCATTCATGATCCGTAGGCTCGAACCCCCTGAAGTAGTGTTCATATGGGTTCGTGGCAGGAGAAAAGAAGGAAAGGGCCCTCATCTACAGAGCAACGGCGGTAAAGAGCGTTGACGACGCGATTGAATGTCGGAATCTGGTGGTTTGGCGTCTAGGCTTGAGTCTGCTACCTTGCCTTGGCTCAGGGTCTTTTGGTGGAACCTGGAACTAGAGCCTAAACTGGCTAGGTGCCTTAAGGCTATCATTCGCTCTATGTAGCGTTTGACAGCGCGATTATCTTATAAACCTTTCAAGCACTACTAAAAGGGAAGCATCGGATTTTGCAGATAGACGAGGAACTACACGCTTGTACCGTCTCAGATATAGAATAACAAACATTAATGTGTATATTCAGATACCATCAAGCAAACTGCAGTGGAGACTCAACTCTACACTTCGAAATGAATACGCGGTGAGGATCTACATAAACTTGGCACGGGATCGAGCTGCCCATCCGAGCGGCGCGCTTGTCTGGAGTCTAAGTGGGTGCTTACTAAAACCGAAATACTAGAGTACTCGCTACTGCGTGCGCCAACGAGTCAGCGGTGTTTCTACTGATTCAAGTGCCACAGATCGATTGTGCCCCAGTATGCGGATCTTCTTTTCCTAACCAAGTATGCGTCGCTGTCGCAGTGCGCCCTGGCTCGCTCTCCCCGGTGTGCGACTATTGTGATAAAGAGAGAGGGGTTGAGGCGGCCGATTTGCAACATGGCGCGGAATCTTTGTCATGACATAAGTGGCGGGCCCGAACGTGTGGTTTAAAATACTGCAACAACGTTGTAAACTATATAAGTTCGGCATGTAATGTTGATAGATGAAATATATCTCATACCCAAGTGACTTTCTCACCTTTTTCAAGTTGCGAAATAGGCGACACGATGCTGATGTGTTGAAATGGTTGCATGCACGATGTCTTCATCAAGGGAGCTGTTTAATGGCGTCATCAGCCAAGGCCTTCCAAGTCTACGGGTGAAATAGGACTTTCTCCACGCTGCGACATTACCTAATGAACAGCTTGGAAGAGCCACCGTCGACTTTGGCAGACGTAGGTACACATACTTGAGTATGTTTGTGTGGCTTTAATGACACATTGAGGTTGCGTTTAATCGTAGCCGATTTCAAACAGCTAGAAAGGGGGTTTTGTTTGGTAGCAAACAGTTTCATCAGTCAGACCTATGGCACTATCAACACCTATGTTGCGTGTTTGTCCCTGCAGATATATCGGAGTGGATAAGGGCGATCACTTCGTCATCCAGCTCTAGCGTAGGTTTATATGTGTCTAATTCTGTATATCAGCGACCGTCTACTCTTTTCAGTCAGCGTTTCGCTTTCCCAGCGCGTAGAATCAAAATAAAGCCATCCATCATTGATTGCATCGCATGCACAACCTTCCATTTTATCGAACATTGTCAACGGCTATGTGATCCGTAAACTCCCGCTTCTCTAGCTGAGCTAAAACATCCGTAAAAAGACGAGGCTCGCTGTCAAATATCGAACGCAAAAGACCTCAGTGACCTATTTCTGTCAGACCCAGTCTATTGGACCTGCTTCGACGACTTTTGGGGGTGGCTGGGGAGTTCCTGCGTACCATTGATCGCAGAACCAGCCTTCTTAGCTGCTACGGGGCCTTGGTTGAGGCGGCGTTCCTCGTTCTTGCGACCGTTCACAAAGTCAGGGTAGTTGAGCGTTAACTCCACAGCTCCGTTCACAATGTGGTCAGCAGCCTCAACACCCAACATGAACGAGTGGTCCTGGTTGCCGACCTCGTATCTCCAGCTGCCAAAGCGGCCTCGGGACAGGATGTCCATGTCCTGGAGCTTGGGTAGCAGCTTGGTTAAGACTCCTTCACGCTCAAGAGCGGGTGTTGGGTAGCCGTGGTCGAACTTGCGATGGTATGTAGACACAATTTCGTCCTCGGGTTTGATCATCTCGGTGTTGATTAGACCCTGGATACAGTCCTTAAGCAAGTTGGCTTCGTCAACAGGCTTCTTGGTTGACTGCGAAACCTCGAGCATGATAGACCAGTAGGGCCCTTCCTTAGCCTCGGTGCTCTGGGGCTTGCTGCCATCGCCCAATTGCTGAGTGGCGAGCTTAACATCAGCTTGGGGTTGGTTGTAGGGAGAATAGTTGGAGAAGATAGTGGCACGGTAGAAGGGACAGTTGTCCTCGGGGAAGTAGAGCTAGGTAATTGTTAGCAATGCCGGTCTGATGTACCTTAGCAGTAAGGGCAACCCACCCAGCACTTGTCGCCAATGCGGTCAGGTCGTTCGCCACGCAGACCAACACCAATAACGTGGGTCGACGAGTAGTACAGATCCTTGCTAAGATCAACTAGCTCCTTGTTGCCCATAGACTCAACGAGCTGGTCCACAGCCATAGTAGAGATGAGCTTCTCATAGCTAATGGTGGTTCCATCCGTCATGGTGACAACCTTCTTCTCAGCATTGACCTTGGACACCTTACCTTTCTTGCCGAAACGCTTCTTCTCGTCCGGGAGGGTGTCTGCGACAGCAATCCAGATGCCACCGGTACCATCACGAGCAGGGAAACGGAAGGTAGCGTTGGGGCCCCAGTTTCCGGCCACCTTGTTCAGGATGACGTTCTTGGTAACGAGCTTGACGTTGGGGGCAGCAACACGCTCTCCAAGCCACGCAGCTTGCATCTAGCATTTAGTCAGCCTATGCCCAAGGAGGTATTGAAATAAACACCCAGGAGCCGTGAAATGACCTAGGAAAACTGCCGTATTGTCAGGTTGTTCCACCCAGACTGCCAGTGGGATGAACTGCCTCATGGAAGGGTCATTGCACTGGGAGCTGGCTGGAGTAACTGGCCAAATAGGAAAGATATTCCATAGCATAAGAAACCGAGCTACTGTTTTCGTCCGTTCTTTTGACAAGCGACTGATATTGGGCTAAACAACTTACATCTGTGGTCGGAACAGCCCAAACCTTATAGTTGTAGGGTCGCATGAACATATTGGCAATGCCCTCGCCAGTGTTGCGCAAGATCCACTCGTCAAAGTTCTTGGGCTTGGTGTTGGTGACACGGTGTTCCAGAGCAGCATCGATCAGACCTTCCATGCAAGTGACTTGATCTTCCTTAGGCAGCATGGAGATATTGTTTTGGAAGGGATACGGCACCCACAGTCCCTTGTAGCGGACATAGGAGATTCGTTCGTGGGTGAACCAGTCATCCTCCTTGGGAAGAGCCTCATTGATGCAGTCGTCGAAGTACTTGTAGTGGGAGAAAATAACGTGACCGCCGACATCGTACAGCTGTCAAGGCCTTTGTCAGTACCCAGCAGCAGCAGCAGATTTGTTTACCGAGTATATGACTTACAAAGCCCTCGGGGGTGATATCTGTAGAGGCAAGGCCGCCAGCCTTGCTGCTAGAGTCAACAATCAACCACGATGGTCCGTCCTAGGTCGAAGTTAACTTCGTGGGCTGCTCGCTCGACTGGCGGTGAGGCATACGATCTGGTTGAGGCGCTTTGCGGCACCAAGACCCGTTGGGCCAGCACCGATGACAAGGACGTCAACGTTACTGTAAATTCCGTGTCAGCAATCAATTTGTTGCCAAATACAATTGGACTTGCCGTCCAGGATCATTGCTGGGCGTACGTACATGTCGGCCATGTTGGAGGTTCTGTTTGATGATGTTGACAGGAGTCAAGGTGGGGGGTTTGGAATATATCCGAAGAAATGCAAGTCTATGGCTCAACAAAGGACCGAAAGAAGGCTTGAAGATTGTGCAAGAGAGCAATTGCGAATCTACGACGGTGCTGAGAAAGAACAATAGAATTGGATTATTTCCCCTCTATCAACACTCTTCGTGAAAAGGGGAGAGAGCACCTTAGTGGGATGTGACAATTCTCGACAACCCCGAATCGAAAGGGGGATCCACACTACCTTTGGTGGGGCATGCACGCATCTGCAGGGGTTCGCCCACGCGCGGGACGGGTAGGTGAGGTAGGTGCTACAAAACATACTCATGCCACTGCCTGTGGTTATGCTGTGACTAGTGGCTGTTAACAATTTGAGGCACTATCAAGATGAAGTAACCACTACAAGCTCCAGAATCTGAATCCATATCATGATTTCTCTCTTTGGCCAACAACAAGTTGGCAACAACAACAAACCGCCCCTCCTTGGAGATCCTTGGAGTACTTTCCAAGGATGCCCTGGGTTACAGCGAAGAGGCTTGGTGCAGCAACCAAAAAACTGACAATCTTCAGCAAGCCAGCCCCTGTTACATAGGTTTCAACCTAGACGATCCGCAGGCTAGCAGTTCAACTTGTGCCGGCAGGTAGCGGATGCTCATTGTGATTAAAGGGTCATTTTGACGGAAACAACATGAAGATCACAGAGGCTCTGCAGCTCTTTTCCCTTCTTTCATGCACCCGAGCCACTGTGATAGGAGCAGTGTTCGGGTGTGAACCTTTGTTCCTTGTGCCTACGGCGGCTCAACACTTCTGATCGGCCATTGACACCCTTGCTGCTGGTAATTTCATAAGATGAGCAATATCCAGGCACGTTGCCTTCTCAGATACACAAGCTTGGCGACGCAAGTTTCACGGCTCACCATTCCCAGGTAGGTCGCTTCAATGCTTCATGTCCGTCGTTATGGATACCTTTTCGGTTCCTAATGCTGGGAAGCATGGTTGCAATCCCGCTCCCATTTTACCTGTGGGTCCTTGTTTGCTCCCGGCAAAGCCTCCCGAAGTTGATGGCAGGTTAGAGTCGACCACAGCAACTAAAGCAATAAAACTTCAGTCGACTTGTTGCAGCAAATAATAAGGCTGGCAGCATCCCTATTGCTCCAGGTAAGAAACCAAGGAGGAGTTCCCCAATGATCCAAAAAGCGAACATACCGTTACTAGTGGTAGAGTCCGCTGAATTCGTTACAAGCCTGGTTCATCACGTCATTTTTGATAGCAAGCAGCGTTCACATGTTCCTTGGCCTCTTCTCTGACTATAATTGCAATTCGTCACCAAGATGGGTCTCGGCAAGATCGTTTAATCTTGATAAGGGCAGTCTGAACCAGTCTCCCGCGCATGCGTTTTTGTCGGCTCGAGGTCTCTCGTCACACGGTGGCCAAATGAGCTTGTACCGGGTACACTGGTCTTTGGTTAATTGCTCCAACTGCCAACCAGAGCTTTGCAAACTGGACGACGTGGTTGGATCATCATTTCTTGATTGCCTTTTCAGGAGCAGGGCTGGCATGCCCAGGTGGGCTCCATCCAGGGGCCAAGAACGGAGTAGATCTACGCAAAGAATCGCAAAGAACCACCAGGCCGTCGTCTCAAATTCACGTTCGAGAAAGCCCACAGGACAGCTGGCCTAGCTGCCAAGATGCCAAGATGCCAAGGTGTTCCCGGCTCAATGAGGAAATGCCGAATTTGATCTTCAGGCATTCGGGTCCGTTACTCTGAAGTCTTGGCAGGGTTGTTCGATTCGTCTCGTCTGAGAAAGGCTCGCGGAGCTCTGGCGCTTGATGTTTCCAACACCTCAGCACGATTCAGGGTGTACTATAAATATCTACAGCATGTGGTGTATTCTTTAGTATGTTGGAGTTTGTCTCGCCAAAACTCCGAGAAACTGAATACCTTGCACGAACACAACTTGCATCGTGTCTCTGAGACAGGTAACTAGAGCGGCCGTAATCCTAGCTTCCGCCCCCGTGCTTGATTTAGACAGGAGCAGGTCATATGAAATGACCCCGATCAGATGCTTGACACTTTGCCGGTTCACGGCAGCGACAAAATCATGACAGCAGTGTCAGTACGCTGCTCCAGCCAGGCTGTTGCTATTAAAGTGGTCACTCATAGTCAAAACGGCGTCGTATCCTTCGGCATCTTGGTAGGGCTGAAGCCCGGATCACGAAGCTCGAGCTAGCCACCTCGTATTATCTTGAGATCGCGGGGTATCATGTTGCTGAAGCCGTGAACTAACCCGTGAACTGCCGAGACTCGAGATAAAATAAATAGTCCGGTGCGGTCGACTTTAGTCATGTCCCAAGTGTCATCAGGGTGCTTTTGGCACCAATACTGAACAGGCTGGCTGCAGTAATGCGAACCTTAGAGCCATTTGGCCGCAGATTGTCAGAGCCGCAAGCTTCCGTTGTGTCGTTGGTGGTGTAGCGTCAAGTGTACATAGGAGCGTGAAATCTACCTTTAGTACGATGCTCGACACCTCATCGTGTATCTAAAGCACGCCTCGCTCTCCGGCCGTCAAAACTCTGAGAAGACGTGTCAACACGATAGTGGCTTTCCAACGGACTACAGCAAAGTTCTTCGAAATGTCAGTCAGAATTGATTGACTCGACCGTGTAACCACTACCTGACTAGAGCTTCGAGTAAGCAACGCAGTCCGGTATTAGAGGCTCGGCGGGCCTTGTTTGCTGGCCATTTGAATAAGTTTTTTTTCGATCAGGTACGGCTTGCAGTGTATGCTGTTTCTGCTTATAAAACGCGGCCCGTATGTAGATGGAACCATCTAGGGTATATATATGAAAGCGCACATAAGAGTATTGATATAATGGGATTGGATGGCATCATCAGCACGAGTATGAAATGGGCCACGGAACAAGACTGTGAGACATTGAGCAGCCGCGTTTAAATCCCGCATACAACTCTTCCAATAAGTCGGCCTTTTCCTTTCTTTTTTTCCTTTTTGGTTGAATTTGCTACTTCCTTCGAGGTAGGGTTTGACAAGGTCGATCGGCATAAACCACAAATAATCATTGGTAAATGTGGTGATTGCGTAGTGCTTGATCTTCCAACTGGGCCTCTAGACACAAGTTGGCAGCCCTGCAGTGGTTTGCCGCCAACCTTGGAAATCATGTCCCCTTAGAATCTGAGTGACGACCCCACCCCTGAAGCTACTGCATCGGGGCAAGCGGAGAACAAAGTAGGTGCCACTAGGCAGCACCACCCACTCGCAGCGTAGCGTGCGATAACAATGCGGGCGCATCACTTGACGTATTCATTGCAACTACTACACCAGGTGTTCTCGTGGAGGAAGAGTGATATTTCCGATTCAGCCTGAGTTGTTGATTCTGCGGCATTGCAACAAAAAATTGCAAGTATGTAGAGAGCTCGGAAGTCACATATTAATATGATATTGGAGCATATACCCAATGGCATTTGTGTTTATAGACTTGGATCAGACTTTTTAGACTTGAAGTTGCTCTCACAAAGGCCATAGGGGCAGCGTGGAAAAGTGGGTGCTAGTGCGCTGCAATGATTGATAGGACCCATGCCCCTTTCTTTTCCCTGCAAAAATACAACCGCGACTTTTGGCCTTTTCTCAACCTTTGAAAGCTGCCAGGCCCCCATCTACCAGTCTTCATTGTTCCTCCCTCACGCATCTCTTCCTCTTCTCGTCGACGACGACACTCCTCCGGATACTTCTTTCTTTGAAGGTATTACTCGAGGAGACCATCGGCACCACGCACAGTCTCCAAGCCCGCTTCCCGATTGTCAATTGAACTAGGTCTTATTTGGTCTCAGCTGGCTTGGCCGTGTCGCTCGTTCGCAACCTCGTCATTGTTGAAAATTACAACTTGCCACTTCTATCACCGCTAACTCTTGTAATCCATCTCGATTTCCTGTAACAAGATGGGTGCAGACGAGAAGACGAGACAATCTGGCGAGGTCTCGCGATCCGAGAACAAGGGCCCGATCTTGCCTACTGTCAATCCAGAGACGGAGAAGCCTCAACCTCCCAAGGTGGCAATCCACCCAGCATTCTACGTTGCGTGCGTGCATATTCTTTCGCCTGCCAGGCTGCGATGGTATTGCGAAGGCTGCTGAGCTAACAACGAGATAACAGAACTTGGATTGGTCTCTCTTCATCCGTCATTCTATTCAACAAATGGATTCTTGATACCTTGGAGTTCCGTGAGCGCGAACATCCCTGAAGAAATTGATAGCGAGAATCTGTACTAAGACGACACAGGCTACCCTGTCATTCTGACCACCTACCACTTGACCTTCGCGACAATCGCAACTCAGATCCTCGCCCGATATACTAGCCTGCTCGATGGTCGCAAGACTGTCAAAATGACGGGCCGCGTCTACCTGCGCGCCATCGTCCCCATCGGCATATTCTTCAGTCTGAGTTTGATCTGCGGAAACTTGACCTATCTGTACCTCAGTGTCGCTTTCATCCAGATGCTCAAGGCCACCACGCCTGTCGCTGTGCTTCTGTCCAGTTGGGTCATGGGTGTCGCCGCACCCAACATGAAGATCCTGATGAACGTCTCTGCCATTGTCGTCGGCGTCATGATTGCCTCATTTGGTGAGATCAAGTTCGTATGGATCGGATTTATTTACCAGATTGGTGGTATTATCTTCGAGGCCATCCGTCTCAACCTGGTCCAGGCTCTTCTCAGCTCCGCCGAGTACAAAATGGACCCATTGGTCTCTCTCTACTACTTTGCTCCCGTCTGTGCTGTCATGAACGGTCTTGTCGCCCTCTTCTGGGAGATCCCCAAGGTATCTATGGTCGAGGTTTACCACGTTGGTCTCGGCACATTTTTCCTCAATGGGCTCTGCGCCTTCCTGCTCAACGTCTCTGTCGTCTTCCTGGTAAGTTGCGCTGTAATACAACCACAGCTGAATCTAGCTTATCAATTTCACAGATCGGAAGAACCTCGTCCCTTGTCATGACGCTCTGCGGTGTTCTCAAGGATGTCATGCTTGTTGCTGCTTCCATGCTGATCTGGGGCACCCCCATTTCTGGCCTCCAGTTCTTCGGCTACGCCGTTGCCCTGTGCGGTATGGTCTACTACAAGCTCGGCTACGAGGCTATCAAGGGCTACGCAGCCGAGGGTGGTCGACAGTGGGCAGAATTTGGAGCTGCTCGCCCGGCTCTGCGCAAGATCATTGTGATCGCTGCTGCGCTCTTCTTCGTTTTTGTCCTCTTCGGTGGATTTGCCCCTGCCGAGTACAACCCGACTCCCTATATAAGCGAGGCTGCCTCCAAGTATGGCTGGAGCTCGTGAAGACGCTACGTGATGAATGAAAGACTCACTTTCACCGTATGACTTTTTAATCTTCGAGGTGGGATGGAGTTACGAGGGCAAGCCTTGCCGCCAGGGTCGTGGTGGGCTGGAGACATTGCCGAAGGATCAAAGGACAATTTGAGGTAGAGCGTTGGGTGTAACTGATTTTCATTTTCAAGTACATACCTGCAACCCACCTTCACGTTCATCTCCCCGTTTCTTCATATAGGACCTCTAATCAGTTGGAGATTTCTCTCATTTGTGGCAACGGGGAAACCGATGTAAGTGAAGGGGCAAACGAGTAAACAGACTCGCTGTACAGCATAGAGAAAACGAGATGGCGCCGATCGCATGCCTAGGGGCGACAGGCATTGCTCGTATTACGATACGAGCTGATTATGTACCTTAGATGGCGTAAGACACCACCAGATAGATCTGAATGGATGGAAAACTTACCAAAAGGAACAATTGTCTGACTTCACGGCGTGAACCGACTGTTTCTCCGAGTGGGCATCGTTTGGGCTGATGGTCCGACCACCTTTTCTACTGAACGGGATAAACTCTGATGGAGCTAAACCTAGGTTAAAGACTCCGTATCGTGAATTCTGCGGACACGAAACCTGATATACATACAATATATACATCGTTACCTGGGAAATCTAAGAGATAACCAGTGTAGAGTCGTTAGCTAACTTTAGTATTAACCACGTGAATTTGTCTGCGTAACTCAGGGTAGCAATGATACACTGCTATTATTATTGCTTAGACCTGGCTGGGGTGGAGCCTTGTTATGCTTTTCTGTCTTTATGCTTTTACCACCATGGAGTTGAGGCCTTTTTCAAATCGTACCCTTCTGTGTCCACATCAGCTCATTTCAGTATGGACATAAACTTGCTTCTTTTCCAAATGGGAAGGACACTGCAATTAGACACAGCTCTCACGACTGTACACTCAGGTGCCAGGAGACTCAAGCTACGTAGCCTAAGTCAAACCCTTTGGTCTGCAAAGATTATCGTGAACACTCCAACAGGATGCTAGCTTGGGCGGTTGCATCGTAGGCTGCGCGAACCACTGCGTTCAACAGCATAGAACTCTACTATAGGCCGCTCTCATGAGGAAGTACTCTGTCGCATGATTTGTCACGCGCTGCAGTGCCCGTTAGATATCCGCCTCGAACAGAACACAGTAGTGAAGGCATCTACACACAGTTTACGTCTAGTGGGATGTCCTTTCCACTGGTGGAGTGATCTAGAGGGAGGGTGGGATGCCACGAGTGTTGGATACAAACTGAATGTTTCTTCGGACGCATGTATTTCTAGGCTGGATTCAGCTGCTCACGAGTGCTAACTGTGAAGATCATGTGGTGAAAGGCACTGATTCAAAATCAACCCAGGTTCCATAACTTAGGTTGGGCTATGGCAGACCCAAACTCAACATCGCAGCGTAGATCCGGGCTATGGCTATCATCATGCTTATTTGCCTCAAGCAGCAGCCCTCTCATGGATTGATTCCCGCGAATATTTCCGTCGATGCATTACAGCATCACATCACTTGAAGCAGACACGTATGGGACTGAGAATGGTCTTGTCAATGCTTTCAGATTCAGAGCAAATCCCTTTGGGCTCCTATGCCATGTTGATGCAATATACATCCCAGTCCTTTAACCCCCGAACCAAACGACATGAGAACGCGGAGAGGAAACGAGTTTAGAATTCTGCGTAGGTTAGCTTTTAGTGCATTGTTTTCTCAAGTGGCTGGCCGTGCCACCACATCGCAGGATCGCGCCATATAGCAGGAAGGGGACATACTCAGAGGTGTAAAGAACCAGCGGTTCTTGCCGCTCGTGTAGCGCTCCTCAAGCACCTTCTTGACGTTCTTCTTGGCATCCTCACGCTGGCTGACCTCCTTGAAAGTGTCGGCCGTCAATGCACCCTTCAGGCCCTCGAGTTCGAGCGTGTAACGAGTGGGCATCAAGTGGTTGTAGTTGATAGCCTTAATGAAAGGCTTGATCTTGGATCGCTTCTCTTGTCTCGTCTTAGACATGCGGCGGGTAATCTTGGACGGGTAGCGCTCGATGCCGGCGACCAGGGCGTGGCCATAGGGGTGTGTCTTGTTGCCGCTGTCGACGGGCTGGATGATCACGACCTGGTGGGAGGAAATCCGTCAGTATTCGGTTTTGTTTCTCAATCGCAGTCGTGTGCAGCTGGGCTGGCTGACTCCCCAAACTTTCGGGCTCAATGTGTCCTCGCATCGCAATTGCCAACGCCAACAACACCATTGCCATCCCCTGCCAACAAGTCGGGCCCAATTCCTTTGCAACGTACCTTCTTTCCGGCGTATCGGCCACGGGTGATGATGGCCACTCGGCCAACCTTGAGGAACTTCATTTTGGCGTCGGGGGCGTCGTGAGAGCGTATGAAGTCGGGTTAGATTGGTGACCTTGATACTCTGAAGTTCGCGATGGTCCTTTTTTTGCACGCTTTTCTGAGTGGAAAGTTCAAATTCATGTGTGGCCGACCTTACCCAAAGCGGATGGACTTTTGTGGGCTTCTCGGCTGTCCAACTTTCGAAGTGCTTGACGCTCAGGCCACATTTTGCAGTGGGTCCGATTTGCGGAGAGACCACCTACAAGCATCCAATACTTCATAGACCTCACCCGAAGGTCAGAAGAGGTCATACCAACTCTAATGTCAAGAAAGAGCTCAACTCATTCGCAACTGCTTTTCAATTCGGATACTGCAAAAGCTCAATCGAATTCCAACCCATAGTCGTTTTGTTGAAATTACCCTACAATGGCACCACCTGCTGCGTACATTATCTCCCGAGGGGCAGACCCAGTCTTTGCCCTCTTCATTGGACTCGGAGCTGCTGCTACTAGAATCAACCGCGAGGAGAAGGAGAAGGGCAGGACTACACAGCAAACCATTGAGGCTGCAAAGAGGTAATCCTTACAGACCTCATATCTCATTACCTTTAATCACTCGTGCTCACAATTATGATATAGACGTGTTGGGCTCTTGAGCAAGGCATCATAGAGCCGATCTTTTCTATTTTTGGGCCTTGTACCTTGAGCTACTCTATTCAAATCCCCCGAGTACTCAATACTAAGTGGAGCGATGACTGCCACGAGTGCTTTTCAATCCTCATAAGCTGGTTCATATTCTTTCTTCAAGGCTTCTCTCACCATCTGGCCACAAAGTTTGGCTGTCGGGTTCGTGCTGACAGCCAACTGTTTCGCGATCTCATTACCGAAACGGCCCCCTTGGGCAAAATCTCGCGATGCGGCTTCCTCAAATTTAATTCTGGTCCACTCCGTCTCTTTTCTATCTTCCCCTAGGTATATTCTGCTGTCCGACATCGACTTCGCCGTCATGTGGTAGATGGCTGCTCGTTGGGTGTATGCGAGGGATAGTATCTTCCCAGTTTGGGGTGATACCAACGCGAAGAGACTCTTAGGCGTCAACAACCTGATTGCCTCGTCCAAGTCGGACAAGGCGGTCTTGGCGGCCTTAATTATTTCTTGGCCATCGCAGGCCTGAACCAGAGCTCGCGGGTTGAATGTTTGCAAAAGCATCGTGTCCCCGTAGAGCCTCCTCAAAGCCTGGGCCCTGTTGTTACGGGCGCTGGCGTATTTGGGATACTCCGAGATGATATCTCCAAGTCTAGAAACGGCGCTATGGTAGTCCTTGATGGGGTCCGAGGTTACGGGTTTCAGACCAGCAAGTTGCATCTCGAGTTGCTGAACCGACAAGACGACATCTCGTTCTCTCTGCGAGATGCGTTCATACACAGACGGGTCTGTGATGAGAGGGTCTTTGGGGAGGCTCGGATCTACCAGTACACTTGCTGATGAGTTTGACTCCGGGTCTTTGATCTTCTCGAGGACGTTGGCGTCGTGTTGACTCAAGATCACGGCTGCCATTTTTGGGTTTGGGCCAGAAAGAACTGTTGATGCGATGGGCGCAACCTCGAGATATGTGTCGGGTCAGTGTGGCAGGAACCGTTTGGACTTTCTCCTGCAGTTATGACGATGGACGTGATAAGCAAGGTGCTTCCGTTATTTGGGCCGTCGGGTACTGGCGGCTTTGTGGCGTGTTCCCGTGGTTCGGCTTACCGCGGGAATGAGAAAGGGCCGCCGTCGAAACTTGCGTACTTAGCTAACAAGCTATGCATTGCTAATGCATGACCGGTGCTATCAATGCCTTTCAAGGTTGTGTCGGGGGTCTTTGACCTGTATCCGAATTGGTTGTGCGGAATTCAAGCGCGCAAGAGGGCGGTCCATTGATACCCGTCGGGTCGGCCGACCTTATCAATCATGGGGGACATTCAAGACAACGACCGATCTGCTTCCATATTCCATTCAGGAAAGCCAAATATCTACGAATCAACTATTTCCCAATACAGTTTCAACGTCAGCATTTAATCCCGGCCATTACTTTACCGGTCTCTGTTCGCTACATTCCGATTACCACCATGGCTCCCTCAGCAATGCCAGGGTCACCCCTGAGACAAAGTGCCTCCCCCCAATACAATGGCAACAGTCAGAACGAATATTCTGTCCAAACAGCCATTTGCAACTTCCGTGGCTACGATCATGTCACTTGGTGGGTAGGGAATGCCAAGCAGGCGGCTTCCTACTACAACACCCTCTTCGGGTTCAAGACGATTGCCTATCAAGGGTTGGAGACAGGTAATAGATACTTCACATCGTACGTTGTCGCCAATGGAGACGTTCGCTTCGTCTTCACATCCCCAATCCGCTCGCATGCCCACCTCACTCCATGTGACGAGATAGGAGGAGTTGAGAAAGCGTTGTTGAAGGATATGCACGACCATCTCGAGAAGCACGGCGATGCTGTCAAGGATGTTGCCTTCGAAGTTGACGATGTCAAGGCCGTATACTTGACGGCAATCGCTGGCGGTGCCGTGGTGGTTTACGAGCCTGATACAATACACGACAACGAATATGGCTCTGTCGAGAGAGCCGTTATCTGCACCTACGGCGACACGACACACACCCTGATCTCACGAGCCTCATACACGGGTCCCTTCCTCCCTGGCTACCGTGCGCCCTCGTTGGCCCCCTCGTCAGTGTCCTTGCCGCCTATTAACTTGGCCTGCATCGACCACTGCGTTGGCAACCAGTCCTGGAATGAGATGGTGGAGGCATGCGCCTTCTACGAGGAATGTCTATCATTCCACCGCTTCTGGAGCGTGGACGATTCGCAGATCTGTACCGAGTTCAGCGCACTCAACAGCATCGTCATGAGCAGCGCCAACAAACGTGTCAAGATGCCCATCAATGAGCCGGCACCAGGCAAGAAGAAGAGTCAAATCGAGGAGTTCGTGAAGTTCAACTCGGGCCCTGGCGTGCAGCACATCGCTCTATTGACATATGACGTCCTCTCCACTGTGGCTGCCATGCGAGCCCGAGGTGTCGAGTTCATCAACGTGCCAAGCACGTACTACGATACCATGCGCGCGCGACTCAAGACGGAAAAGCGCGATTGGGAACTGAAGGAAGAGTTCGACGCCATCGAGCGCCTCAATATACTCATCGATTACGACGAGCAAGGCTATCTCCTGCAGCTGTTCACGAAGCCGCTGTTGGATCGCCCCACGGTCTTCATTGAGATTATCCAACGTAACAACTTTGAGGGGTTTGGAGCGGGTAACTTCAAGAGCTTGTTTGAGGCTATTGAGCGAGAGCAGGCTGCGAGAGGTAATTTGTGATGTGTAAGTAAGCAGGAGCAGAGAAGGAGTTTGTATGATATAAGCAAGCAAGGAATCAGTCAATTAAAGCAAAGTTATCGGCAGCTCAAAGTGTATAATACGATGGGTTACGAGCTCATGGAGAACAGTGTATGTTTATTTTCACACAGGTAATGAAGACAGAGTATTTAAAACTAATGACTGTTCGACTTGCGCCAGTCTAGTTGCTCTTTGCAGTTTCATGACAACTACTACTTCTACTGCGGGGATTGATCAATTTATGACTCCATTTTGTTTTCTATAATAGCGTTGCGAACATTGATTGGTAAAATGGTCTCTTTCACCATAACTTAGAGCTGTTCTATCAAACTAGCAGCTCTCACTGACTCACAGAGCCAGAATGTGAAAGATGAAAGTAACAGGCCTGGCTCTGTTTACTCAAAGCTGGACTGACAGTCAGTCAGCGCTCTCTCTCCCTCTCGCTCTCTCCGTTAATTATATATCGGTGTCTTCGTCGTTCGTCTACCTAAGTAGTCATTTAGATTTCGAACTCATGAGTCTACCTCCATCGCCCCATCCGTATTCCCATTCGTGTGAGCCGCTTCTTCACCCGTGCTCATACCCCGGGCATCGCTCTGGCATCCCGGACAATTATGCAGCACCTCATGCGCAAACAAATCACAATCTATGCAAAAGTGATTCCGGCACACCTCGCAGGCATACCGACTCGACTCGCTAAGCCCCTTGGCCTTCTCCTTCGGTTTAGTGTGGTCCTTTGTCTTATCTTTCCCTTTCTTGTTATTATCCCTTTTCGGAAAAGGCGTCAGACACGCGTAGCATGCCTCGGACGAGTGGGCTTGCGACCAGGGCACTTCGACCCAATTGCGCAGGGGAAAGAGGTGGTGGTATGAGCGCGCTAAGTGGGTGGATAGGATGAGGGTCAGTCCGCAGCCGGGACACTCGGCAGGAAGCCGGCAGACGTGGGAGCCGCAGCGGGTGCAGTTGTAGCCCTCACGTGTGGGGCGGTTGTGGCAGGTGCAGAAGTTGATGGTGTTGCCCGTTGTCAGGACCCGGGATGGAAAGCCCATCATCAGCAGGCTGGCGTTGCTCTGCTCTTTGGTGCGCGTCACGGGTGGTGTGGTGACGGCAAGCATGAGGTCGCGAAAGTTGTTTTCGTGCTGGGCTATGTTGTAGGCTGACTCGTCGCCGCCATTGGTCTTTTTGCATAGCTCGGCGCAGATGGCTACTTGGGCTCCAAGCCCAACGATGGACACGCGGATCTTGTCAGTGATGAGGGAGACGATGGTTTCGTGGATGTCGCCCGGGTCGCTTGACATCATGGCACCGTAGATGATGAGCACTTCTCGGGTTCCGTGGGAGGGTGTGTGGCTGTAGATGGAGTCTCTCTGTCAGAGCCGTAATCCAACCCGCTGAGATCAACCCCGATGGATGTATTTAGCACTCACAATAAAGCACCTCTGCACATCTCAAGGGCATTCTGCAGACTTGGGTTTCCCTCTGGATCCTGCTTGACCCAGCCCTGCAACCTCTCAAGGTGCTCGGCCGGGTTGCCACCCATGTCGCTGATGCGCACGGCGATACCATCGCGCATACCCACAATAGCCAGCTGAGAGATGGGATTCTGTTCGAAGAACTCGCGGACAAACTCGCAGGCGTAGGCCATGGTCAACTCGTGGCGCGATGGCAGCAGGTCCTTCTCGAGCATGTAGAAGGACATGTCGAGCACAAGCACCAGATGGCGAATGATGCCTCGCTGAAGCGGCGTCGTGTCCCTCATCAGTCGCGTCCGCTTTTCCGCCTCGGCCAGTCCCTCAATGGCGCCCGTGAGCGTGCCGTCGGCGCCCTCCACCACGGCGTCCCACGACCGTTGTATGTCCTCCCATGCTGCTTTTGCGGGCTTGCGTCCTCCCTTTCCGCCATCTTTGCGGGAGCGACCGCGTGTGTCGTGGCTCGAGGACACCTGGTGGGCACCGAATTCCGCGTCGGAGCCATCGTCGGCCTGGTATTCGCCGTCCGAGTCGGCCATGGCGGATCGCGATTGGTGCCGTAAGGTCGTGGGTTCGGCGATTCGAGAGCTGTCAAGTCGTGCCCGTGGGAGAACTGATTCGGTAGAGCAGTCGATCTAATTGAGACGGTGAGACTATCTAGTTCGCCCCTTGCCTTGGAGACCAGTCGGGAAGAGTGCTCAAGTGGAGGGAGCTGGCGATAGCAGGCCGGGCAAGCGGTCCTGATTCTGCCCTCGCATCACTTGAGTTCGACCGTGTCCCAGTTGAAGCAAATTGTTTTGACCTCCTTCCCGTATGATCGTCTGCTCAAAGTTTTGCAAGAACTGAGGGCTTTCGCTGGCTTGTGACTGAAGAATTGAAGTGAAGGGAGACAAGGCTAAAAAGTAATGGGACAGATGCCTTTCGTCATCCGCAGCCTCGTTCTTAGCATTTTTATTGCAGCCAATCGGGTGCCACATATTGGGAGATCTTGCAGGGACCCTGACCCTTGCACTATCTGGACCCCTACACTCCAACCCAATGCTGCTCCACTCGACGACTATCACTACCAGACGCATGTTCAACCATTGGCATGAGCTACCGAATCTCGAAGGCCATCAAGCCAATGGTTGTTTCTTAACATATTAAGAGCACGACAAAGGGAGTTACCAATAGACTGCCGGAATTCATCAAGAACAGCGAACCGCGCATTGTCAATATAGCGGGTTGAAATCACGTTTACCTGGGAAACCTTCATCGGGATGTTGTTTCTGGGGTCAGCTAATGGTCGCCTTCATGTGTCACAGACGAGTGAACAGATTTCAACGTCCAGGTGCTTTGTTCTGTCACATGAATGAAAAGGAGCTCTACTGTGATTATATATTGTGTAAACGAGACCAAACTTACACATAGTATACCACAGTACATATAAAAATAGACAAATACCCAAGTAACAATACGAATATTATAACATCAACTCTTCGCTATCTGGTTACTTCAATTCACTCATGTACACACTTGAACAAATGATACTTGTTGTTTCACCATTACTATGGGAAGACCGTTGCTAAGCATTGAGGTCCGCGCCGCGTGATAAATCAAATTCAAAACACTTGTAAAGAGGATAAATAGACAGAAACTATTGAATCCTATCATACGACATCATATACATTAGTCGGGCAAAAACGTGGGGTATACTATCAATCATGCTTCTAAGCTTTCCACCAAACTTGGGCGAACCGACAGATTTGTAGCCGTGTGGTATGTATGAACTGAGATATGCTCATGCTCGTGCTCCTGCTCGTGCTCCTCTTCCCCCACTACTTTCCGTTAAAGTCGTAAATAGGCAATCGGCCCTTTTCCAATCACCACCACTGAAAGAAACAACTCCTGTGAGTCGAATGTGTGCGAGAATTAAAGTTACTGTTTAGTGTGGTTGTGTGCGTCGGTTGTCAGTTCTCGAAGCTCTTTCCGTAGGTGTGGGCGGAGACCCGTGAATCCAAAATGGTATACCGTCGAACCTGAACTCCAACTCCTAAAATCAAAATGAAGACAAATAGTTTCATGCGTAACCTGTGGGTGCGCTCGCAATCGGCCAGTCGTCTTCTGTAATGCTCGACCAGAAAACCCAGATCATGACCACCGATAGCAGAGTGAAGAGAGTCTCAAAGAGCGCTCCATCAATCTTGGATGCGGTGCCATTGCAGATATACGGGCTGATAACGTAATTGAAGATCTGGCCCAGTGCAAAGAGCACGGCCGCACCAGTGAGGTATGCCATCGGCCGTACTTCGCCAAGGATTCGAATGACCAGGATTGCCTCGAGGACGAAGAAAGCAATAAGGAAGACCAATGGCGCCAGTTGATACAGCACGTAGAGCGAGATGTGTCGGTACGGTTCGTTGTAGCTAGAGTCCCATCTGCCCGTCCAATGGTATCCCGTGTCCAAGGCAATGTAACCAGTACCGATGAGGAGGATTGCACCTGAAATGGCCATCAGACCCAGAGACAGCGGCGTTCCGTCATCGATGATTTGATAGCCGACGACAGCATTGAGCATGAGTATCCATGTCGCTGCAATAATCATGCCGACATGTATTCCGGTGAAAGCCTGTCACCTTGTTAGTCTTCGACAGCCAACGAGTGCTTCGGGGACAGAGTCGGCGTACGATCCGAACTTTAGAGCTAAGCGGGAACTCTCCCACGGTGAAGATCTCGCAAATCTCGATGATAATATAACAAGCAAGGAACAACTGCATCTCTCTGCGATCTAATTAGTCCCCGAAACTTGACGTGGAGTTGGCAGGATGAACGCCACGTACCTTCGCCCAACAGCGGCCTTTTTCCTTTCCGATCTCAGCAAGAGAAATGTTGTTACCACGATGGCGAGAGCGCAAAGAAGGATAGACCCTGAGCTACCGTAAGCAACGGTCTCTGTATGCGGTGCGCAGCTTCACAAACCTAGATTCCCCAAATGTTTACCATCGCTCAGTGGTATTCCCCTCAGCTCGCATCCTTGCCACCCGCCAGTCTGGTTGTGACTGTCTGAAAGAAGCTGCACGGAGTGTCGTTAGTTCACACTCTCTCCTCAGTGGGAGATGGGTTGCACATACGTTGCATATCGGGAGAGTCGAGTCATGGCAGAACGCCTAAATACCAATTGAGTCCGTCAGCTTCGGTCCAACCCCATTCTGCTCATCCAGATTTCTGTGACTGCCTCGCTGCCTCGCAGGTGTCGGGCATACCTGGAAATTGCCAAACTGTGTTGACCCCATTTGATTATTGACGTTATTGTGCAATGCGCTTGTCGTGGAGGTGGCTAGTGGCGATGCTGTGCTTCACACGATTGACTCTGGAGATCAATCTCTGTGCGTGGTGGAGAAGGTCAAATTAAAGAAAAAAAAAGGCCGTCGCTCGCCGTAGCCAGTGCGTTTTGTCCAGCGTTGGAGACGCTGGATGGCGGTAGTTGTGATGTCGTCGTGGCTCGGATGCAGATGCAAGCTTTCTTCTTAACAGAAACGGCCGGACTCGCGATGACTCGAGCGCTGGATTCGTGTCGGTACCTGGAAAAATGGGCCTCTTGGTGATGCGCGTTGATGGGTAGGCGCCACTTCAGTTGTATCGCCCTCAGCTAACCTCAAAATTCTTTTTTTTGCTTCCGTACCCGTCTCGTAGGTCTTTCCAAGAAACCTGGTGATGCTTGCGATTTTTCGTTATTCGTGAAAGTGAGGGTGAAGTGAATTGAGCCCAGAACAGGATTCGAGGGCGGTTGTTGTGGTGACTTGATGACCCGCCAATTTTACTTGTCTGCGACTGTGCTCCCTTCGGACGTCGGGAAGGAACAATTGAGAAAGAACCGAGCCAAGCTCTGACAGTGGGTGCACTGGATGTCCCCGGTTCTTAAGATATCCCAGGCGCCACCTCTGGCTGGGTTGGGCAGGCTGGGATGTTCGAAGCTGTAAATTACAGCCAACCGGCCACCAGTTCGGTGGGTAATGCGACTTGATCCGACGCTGGGATTTCCCAAACGAGTTTGACCTGCTTGGTCTCTTCCAAGATAGCTCGCCTCTTGAAATTGCGACTCCGACGTCGTCCAAAATGATTCTCACGATGCCTTCTATCAGCGACGCTCGCAATAACGATGAGAGATTTATTGCTCCTGATTTGTGAAGAATTGGGATTGCCACGACGTTCGCGCATCAATTGTAAGTGTCGGGGTGTTGTTGCACCTAGATCACTCGGCATGTAATTTGAGAAACTAACATACAGCTGGGTGCGGATACATATGTAAGTAAATTTGCAATCTTCATGCATGAACTGAATCGATGCGGCAGTACCCTCAAGCGCATTGCGGCCTGTCCCTGCAGCGCAACATTCACTCCTTTGTCAGCTGAGATTTCTCTCTTCATGGCCTAGAATTACGCGCAGTTTCTATTGCAAGTGTGAAACATATTCAAATTCACCCTGGTTCGTTGAGAATCGAGATGACTGGAAGTCGGGTTTACAAGAAGCTATTGCTGCTTGGTAGCATTCATTACTTTTCAATAGCCGACTTCCGTTCCCAATACAGCCTCGGTGCAGGTACTTGATATAGAACCGTAGGCCGTTTCCCCCTCATCAATCTTGGACGATGGACGAGTACTAGTGCCGTGCCTTGAACCGGATACTTTGTCCAATATCTGTAACGTTCAAATTCTGATTGCTATGCCTGAACAACACCTGTTTCCAACTGATGACTGAGCACGGGTTTCAACGTGTGGCTTCGTGGATGGTTTAATTTATCTGAACCTATCTTGAGCGGAAAGAGGCTGAGTTACTAGTGCACAGGTTTGCCTCACCATCCCTGACCTTGGATCGGCATTTCCTTGCTCTTGCCACCAGGCCAGCTCATCAAGGCGACTGTTGTCCAGGACAAGAGATGCGGCTGCAGGTTTTAGGTCATATGCAGACTCGAATGTCGTGTTCTATGAGCTCGTTAAGTCGCGGCTTTTGATTGACAGGTCGGTCATCAACCTAAACCCATCAAGGATCGCCGGACCTGCTCCCAACTTTGGAGCCAAGGCTTGTCTTGCATCTGGGGCCGCGCCATCGCCAGGGGTCTTCAAAGTTTCAGCCACGTTTTTGGACCTTCAACCGCTCTCACTGGATGGCGACGTTGCGTCTACTCTTGTTCTTGGCCGACTGGGAGCCTTCTGATCCAGTCAATGCTATGCCACATGGTCCGGACGATGATATTTGCCACAATGAGAATACCACTTTAGAAGATCAAAGGTGACCATACTTGTTGAGTTATGGAACTACGAAACATCCGGGCCTAGAGAGGCAACCCATGCTAACCCAGTCGGAAAGCCTGGCACTTATACATTCTCAACAGCCGGACTTGTTGCTCGAGACAAGCCGTCCGGCGAAGGTGTTGGGAGCTTACGCGCCGAGTTCAGATGCATTGGGATGCCTCCATCTCCGTCCGCAGATGCCGTCGATTGTCTAAAGGTAGGCATGTGACGCAACACAAAAGTTTGTCTTCGGTTTTCAAGCACGTAACATTTAACAACTGCCTGGATCCATCTGGTGGTATATCGGGTGATCCCTGGAACATCTGGGATGAGTACAGTACAGGGCAGGATTTTGTACAGAATGGTTGTCCTTTGAATGCGTCGGCCGTTCATTACTAGCCATGGTACTGGAAACTGTAACAGCTGGTCTCATTAGCTACTACTTGCTATTAGCCGAAGTAATTCTTTTGGCAACAGCTTCTCTCTGAGATATAACAGAGCCAGGGCATCACAAGATACCTCATTCCCCAGGTCATTCTGCCCATCATTTAGTGCGAGATAAACAAGCCTTCATATACTTGGTACTTACCCAGATATTTCAGGTAGAAGCCGTGGCTTGCAGGGTTGTTATCGCCACGTGAAGTGAATAATCTAAGTTGACTGAACCATCTTATTTGTGACTAGTATAGATAGCAACATGCCCTGTAAAGAGACCTAGTAAATAATAATAGCCAGTTGGATAAACATACTACCGAGTTATTCAAGCCGTTGAGATGCGGATCAATGGTATTGCCGCCAAAGGCTGTATAAGTGTGAAATGACTATCGTGAGGGGCTGGCAAGCGGTCATCATGCCGCCACACGCGGTTAAAATGTGGGACCTTATGACCAAGCATTGCTAGACTAGCTAGTGACCTTGAGCGGATTCGGTATACAAGAAGATGCAGGTTAGCTGATGAATGAGAATTCCCACTGACCGCCTCGATGGATTTCAATGCCAATGCCATCATTGTGGGGCCGCTTTGTTCGTTGATTGCAAATAATGGATCCCAGCCTATCTCTCTCGCCAGGGGTTAACTTTTCCCGTGTATCTGGCCAAATCTGACGCATCTCGTAAATTCTGTAGCAATGACGGCATGAAGCCTTGATGAAGACTGACGGTAGAGTCACATACACATTACTAACCTAGTAACAGGGCTTCGTAATCGTCTAGTGTAAAATTAATCAATCGTATTATTGATGCGTGTGTACCTGGGCTACCGATCGCAACAGAGACTTAGAATCTAGCACGCGTTTCGATAGACCTCTAGACAGTGGCTGTTTGGTTCGGCTTCAGGCGGCTGATTTGTTGATTTCTTATGTGCTGGTAGTGAGAGCCTGACGAAAGGCTACGTGTGATCAACCACCACCGTCACTTGAGTCAGAAAAATGGCCAACTGTGGAGAAGATGGGGCACCGGGGACATGATGCTACTAGTTGGAATCCTGGGGTTGAAGTGGTGGCTGTTCTCATGCTTCTTGGACAATAGATAGCCCACGCGGATGCTGATGGAGGACGGATGACGGCTTAAATCGCCTTGCTTACAGCGATCGTCAGATGCTCAGGGCTTCAGCCTGGTGTTTTCCGTTGTTCAACTTGCAAGCCTGTGGTCATTGACTGTGACGGTGCCGTAAATTGCTGTTGCACGTGATAGATTGGAAAGCCCCCACGCTGGCGCTGGATGTTCTGAAAAGCAGTAGCGGGTCTGATCGATGGGGACCTTTATATTTTTGTAGCACGGCCGGTTGGACTGGGACGAGCAGCCCGGGAATCTGGGAGCTGATAAAAGTAAAAAGGGGAACTCAAGAGTAAAACGTACTCGCAACACTTTAGAACGATGACTACTTCTCCTCTGTGCTATTTGCTCGTCAACGCATTCGCATCATTTGCTTTTAACAAAACATTGTGTTGTATAACATTGAGTAAGATAGCACTGCAAAGCGACGTAACTAGCCCGGTCTCGGCTTCCAAGTTCCCTGAGTTTAGTCACTTCCTAATCCAATTCGATCACCTGGCCCACCCGCTTGCTGCACGACGAACACAGACACCGTCACTCGTCAACCAAGGTACGCTTGGAGCGTGGAGCGTGGTCGGTATATCCTTTGGCCCACTTGCCTACATTACATTCCCAACTTTCGTCGTCACATCGCGGTTTAGGTGCTCCTGCTAAGCAGCGCCAAACTATTCAAAATTTCCGCCTCCAACGGGAACCGTAATCGTCTTGCCGCCAACATCCCCCTCCGAACCCTTCGACCGGATCAGAACGCCCAATCGACGTCATTGCTGGCAGGCCAACGGGACCAGTCGTCCCACGACAGACGATCCTCGGGCTCTGTCGTTGACTCGGATTCCGACTCTTGGACGGACACGGGCGATATTGCCGAGCAGCTGGCCGATGAGGACGACCCTCTGAGGACACACCTAGCCGACACCTCCCCCAACGACGAGCTTCTTGCCGGCGTGCTCAAAAAACATCCCAAGACCAAACGCGTGCAATTTCGAAGATCCGTCTCTGAACACAGTCACGGCCAGTCCAGACTGTTGCATTCTGGAGTCGTTAATAAGGAGGCAATCGAAATACCCGACGTAGCTCCCCGTCGAATTTCGGGGGCAGAGCGCCTGCTAGCCTCCATCATGCCAGGCACAGGAGTCCACGGCCTGACGGGCAAGTCCCTCATGTGCGTTACGACAAGTCTTAATACTCCTGTGACCCGCGTGCTGACCAAACCTGAAGCTACTTCACCAGTATCTTCGTATCACTGGGTGTATTTCTTTTCGGATATGACCAAGGAGTAATGTCGGGCATCATCACGTAGGAAGCTCTCTTCGACACTGTGCCATGTGTCTCGTGCTCCTTGGCTCTAGACTATAGCTAACGATGAAGCGCAGTGGCCCATACTTTCGGGACTACTTCAACCATCCATCGCACGCCGAGATTGGAACCATGGTGGCTATTCTTGAAATCGGTGCGCTGATCTCCTCACTTGCCGTAGGAAAAGTTGGTGACGTCATTGGCCGGAGGAAAACGATTCTCTATGGCTCCATGATCTTCTTCGTGGGCGGTCTGTTACAGACGCTGGCAACCAACATGCCCATGATGATGCTGGGAAGAATCATCGCTGGTCTAGGCGTTGGTTCGCTCTCGACCATCGTTCCCGTCTACCAGTCTGAGATCTCCCCACCACACAGCAGAGGCAAATTGGCCTGCATCGAGTTTTCTGGCAACATTATTGGTTACACCACCTCGGTCTGGGTAGACTACTTCTGTGGCTTCATCGAGAGCAACTATTCGTGGCGCCTCCCGCTGTTTATGCAATGCGTGATGGGTGCTCTGCTGGGTTTCGGCAGTTTGCTCATCGTTGAATCTCCCAGGTATGCCACCATTGCTCCAACCTCCTGAAGCATACTGACGTTCCTGCAAAGATGGCTTCTCGATAACGATCATGATGAAGAGGGCATAGTAGTTATTGCCAATCTCTACGGCAAAGGTGACATTCACAATGCAAAGGCCAGAGATGAGTACAGGGAGATAAAGATGAACGTTCTCCTGCAGCGCATGGAGGGTGAGAGAACGTACTCCGAAATGTTTCGTCGCTACAAGACGCGAGTCTTCATTGCCATGTCTGCGCAAGCGCTAGCGCAACTCAACGGCATCAACGTTATCTCGTACTATGCGCCTTACGTCTTCGAATCAGCTGGATGGGTTGGTCACGATGCTGTGAAGATGACCGGAATCAACGGCATCACTTATTTGCTCTCGACCATTCCACCTTGGTATATTGTCGACCGGTGGGGTAGACGAATCATTCTGCTTACGGGTGCTGTCGCCATGGCAATTGCTCTGTCATTCGTGTCCTACTTCATATACTTAGATATCGCCATGACCCCGACCTTGGTTGTGGTCTTCGTCATGATTTACAACGCGGCGTTCGGGTACTCTTGGGGACCAATCCCGTGGTTATACCCTCCTGAGATTCTGCCTCTCAGTATTAGATCGAAAGGCGCGAGTTTGTCTACGGCATCCAACTGGACCTTCAACTTCTTGGTTGGCGAAATGACGCCTATTCTTCAGGAGTGGATCACGTGGCGATTGTATCTGGTCCACGCATTCTTCTGCGTGGTCAGTTTCGTTGTTGGTAAGTTTCCCGTGATCTGCGTTGGTCAGTCAAGCCTAACCATTTATAGTTTACTTCGTATACCCCGAGACTTGTGGTGTTCGTTTGGAAGAGATGGACTCGTTGTTTGGTGATGCTACTACAGCCATGGGCACTCCTAGCATGAGATCTGAATCTGGATCAATCTACCGAGCGTCGTCGCCCATTCCTTCACTCGATCTCCGTGGTAGGCCCGGGGCTCCGGGACTCGGGTCAGAGGCCAACATTCCGCCCTTCGATATCGATCCTCCAGCAATCAACTTCATCGATGGAAAGCCTCAAATACGATCCGAGAGTGGCTCACGGGGTAGAGTGGGTGAGTGGCTCACTCGAATGGTTGGGCGTGATCGTGGTTCGAGCAGTAGCCCGGCAGGGACAGGTAGATACGCACCCTTGGACCAACAGGAGGAAGAATGAGGCTATGATACCATTGACGCAGTATTCATTACCATCTGCGGATATGAGGGGCACGAGGACGGAATTTGACGCATATAGACCGGCAGATGGACTTCGGTGTAGAGAGGAGCGGACCTTTGGCTTCACTTGCACATTTGTCGCATGGAGATGGTCAGATGCCAGGGTGAACAGGTGCCAGAATAGAGTCGAAGATCACAACTAAGAGCAGTGTTTCAATGCTTTGACGATTAGGGTTGTCGCCCGTGTAAATGTGGCTGGTAACTTGTTTGGACACAAGCCGCCAGCTTTGGAAAACGGGTTATTGCCGCATCCACTGCAGACGTAACGTGTTGTAAAGCGAGTAGAACACGAATATTATGATCGTATTATGGCACCAGAATTTCTGTAATGCCAATTACGATACTCCAAACGACGTCTTCAAACACATCTTACATGTACCACTGTCGACTTCGATCTCATGTTGACCCTTGCGGGGTGTGATAATGGTAGGTACTTCATCCCATGTCACAAGGCGGCAACCCAGCGTCGATCTACGGCCCAAAATCGTCGGTTCTTCAAAATTCAGCTGATACTTGATGCCCAGTATCTTGACAGCTAGGGGTGTCTGCCAACAAAGCTAAATCAAAAAGCTCGCCTCATTCACTGTTCGAATGCAACCCCCAACTTGTATCCAGTTACAATTAACGCTAAAATGGGATTGTCGTCTTCAACAAAGTTGTCTTGTACTTTCGTACGAGGCGGCTCAGCAAGAGCTTGGACCACCCACCCCTGCATTAACGAGGACACCTAGGGCGGCATCGACCCGAATGTGAAGTGTCCTGTAAATTAGCAGGGATATTCAGCTCCTGATCAATTTGTTAGCACAGTCTCGACCACCATTCCATTCTCCATCCCAGACTGCCATATTGGCCTGCCGGGCTCCTTCTTTTCTTACATTCATTCCCTTACATCCCGCAACGGTTTCCGAACTTTTTTGTTGCAACTGATTCGGTACAAGCCGTCGTTTCTGCATGACAATGGCCGACACCAAGGCTGCGGCTGCGTCTGGCGCCGATCCAACGGGCCAGGCACTGCGTCAGCGCAATGTTCCTGCCTCGAACACACCCTACGCGCAACAGTACGAACTCGACGAGAAGAAGATCCATGGAAAGAAGAAGGTGAATACTGCACTAGGAGGAGGAGTAATTGAAGATGGCATTCTGACCTAGATGTCGACTAGGAATCCTCGTTCCTCGATATCCTCGACGAATGGGAGTTTATCATTGCGCCCTTGATCTTTACAGCCTTCGCTTTCTTCACTCGACTCTACAAGATTGGCCTGAGTCCAATCGTCACCTGGGATGTAAGTTCAACTTGTTGCCAAACCTCTTTATGCACAGAAACCTAACTTGTACCCAGGAAGCACAGTTTGTCCTGCCCTCGATCCCGACTCCTATTCTCCCGCCGCTAATCTAAATCCCCTTCGCAGTTTCGGCAAATTCGGCTCGCATTACATCAAGAGAGAACTATTCTTCGACGTGTATGTCTCAGAGCCAACTCATTTCTCAGACGACCAATGCTGACAAGGGAGCAGGCACCCTCCGCTTGGCAAGATCTTGGTAGGTGTCTCCGGCGTCTTGGCTGGTTACAATGGCACCTTCGAGTTCAAGTCCGGCGAGACTTACCCCGAAGAGCTTAACTACACCTTCATGCGAGCCTTCAACGCCTTCTGGGGCATTCTGTGTGTCCCATTGGCCTATTACACTGCCCGCGAACTGAACTTGAGACGCCCCGCTGTCTGGCTGGTCACTCTGATGGTTCTGTGCGAGAACTCGTACACTACTATCAGCCGATTCATCCTGCTTGACTCTATGCTTCTGTTTGGAACTGTTGCCACTGTCTTCTGCTGGTCCAAGTTCCACCGTCTTCAAAGGGAGAGTTTCGAGCCTGAATGGTTCTTCTGGCTCTTTATGACTGGTCTCAGCTTGGGTTTCGTCTGTAGCATCAAGCTTGTAGGACTATTTGTCACCGCTCTTGTTGGTCTGTATACCATTGAGGATCTATGGAACAAGTTTGGAGACATCAAGATGCCAGTTCCGGAACTTGCAGCTCATGTGGGCGCCCGGGTTGTTGGTCTGATCATCGTTCCTTTCCTGGTCTACCTCCTGTCCTTCGCCCTGCATTTTGCAATCCTGACCCGAAGCGGTCCTGGAGATGCTCAGATGAGCTCCCTCTTCCAGGCCAACCTTGAGGGTAGTGAGATTGGCCGCAACTCTCCGCTCGAGGTGGCCATTGGTTCCAAAGTCACAATCAAGAACATGGGATACGGAGGCGGCTTGCTTCACAGTCACATTCAGAGTATGTATCAACTATCTCTAGGGACAATAATCTCGCTGACCCATCGATAGCTTATCCTGAGGGCTCTAACCAGCAGCAAGTAACCTGCTACCACCACAAGGACGCCAACAACGAGTGGTGGTTCTACCCCAACCGCAGCGAGCCCGACTTCAACCCCGAAGAAGAGCCCAGATTTATTGGACACGGCGATATTATCCGATTGATCCACACTCAGACAGGACGTAACCTTCACTCCCATGACATTGCTGCCCCCGTCACCAAGGGCCACAAGGAAGTCTCGAGTTATGGGAATCTTACCGTTGGTGATGACAAGGATCACTGGCAAATTGAGGTTGTCAAGGATGTTGCTTCCCGTGATAAGAGCAAGATCAGGACTTTGACGACAGCTTTCCGCCTCAGACATCCCGTCATGGGATGCTACCTTCGTGCTGGAAACGTCAACCTGCCTCAGTGGGGTTTTAAGCAGATCGAAGTCACATGTGACAAGTCCAACAACCCCCGCGACACCTTCACCCACTGGAACATTGAGGCTCATACCAACGAGAAGTGTAAGCCATCTTCCCCTGTCGTTTTGCATGCGTCTAGCTAACATGAAGAAGTGCCTCCTGGTGACCCTGGCAAGTATAAGTCGCCATTCTTCCACGACTTCATCCACTTGAACGTCGCTATGATGACGTCCAACAACGCTCTCGTTCCCGATCCCGACAAGCAGGACGACCTTGCTTCCCAATGGTGGCAATGGCCCATTTTGAATGTCGGTCTTCGCATGTGTGGATGGGACGACAAGACGGTCAAGTACTTCCTCCTTGGCAACCCTTTCGTCTACTGGGCCTCGACCGCTTCCCTAGGTGTTATCGGTTTGATCACTGGGTGGTATGTTCTGCGATGGCAGCGTGGCTTCCAGGATCTCTCACATGATGAGATGGACCATGTCCACTACTCAGCGCTGTACCCTATCCTGGGATGGGCACTTCACTATCTTCCCTCTGTTTTCATGGCGCGTGTTACCTACGTCCACCACTACTATCCCGCCCTCTATTTCGCCATCCTCAGTCTGGGTTTCCTGGTCGACTGGACTGTGCGGAACCAGAAGAAGGCCGTGCAGTACGGTGTGTACGCCACGTTATACACCGTTATCATCGGCCTGTACATCTACTTCATGCCGATCTGTTGGGGTATGACAGGACCCAACCAGCAGTACAGCTACATGAAGTGGTTCTCGACGTGGCGAGTCTCAGATTAGATGGTTTCTTCATTTGAAGGGATTCGTGACGTCGAAGTATCTATCCGGGCCATCAGGTTCCGTAGAGGGATCTCTTAGATCTGGTCCGTGGCTAGCGACCTGGAGGAGTTTTTCAGTTATCTTGGTGACAAAAACACATCTCCATCTCTGATGTAATGAATGAAGGTATCATTTGCATTAAGGTACACAAGGGAGTGGGGTTCTATGCGGTACATGGCGTGCTGGGCACTACTGGGAGACTAAAAGAGAGGCTACCTAGGAGACAGACTGCCTCCATAACTAATGAAAGTCGCTTTTTCTTCGCTGGGAATAATGCGTCACCTAAAATGTGATGCGAAATTTGCAGTAATTACTCGAAGCAGTCGACGGGTTGAAAAGGATAGTAAAAGTGCCCATAGGTATTGATATTGTATTAATCGGCCTCTGCTGTCAAATTCCGGCCTAAGATTTCATTGATGCCTCAAAGTAATGTACACCAGTACATAGATACTACTTGCTATGGAACCACGTCAGGTTATGGAATGTACCCTTTCTTTCTCTTCGTACGACACATATCACGGGTTTGAAGCTGGTTGCTGTCAGAGGCTCTGCCAACCCTTCTTGTGATTAACCGGCGGCGTAATTTAATAACGCCGTGATAGAGGTGAATGAGCAGGTACCCTCGGTCGACCAGCGAGGAACAGAACTGGCGAGTGCGGTTTTTGGTGGAACGATACGTAGCTGCGTTGGGATCAGCCCCATGCTGGAGGAATTGGTCAAAGACCTGACTGCTTAGACGACGCATGTATGAATAGCTCATGCCAATTGGTCGCAGTCTGGTCTGGCTGGAGTTGTTCGTCCGGTTTCTAACCCTCACTTGCACTGAATCGTCGAAGACTTCCCAAATCCACAAATCGTTAGAGCGCCGCTTAATCAACAGCTTGAATACAGTACCATTCATACTGGAAGCGAGTTTCTCGATGCTGTTACTATCTTGGTAGACTGCTAGAAGTGTAGTCAAAGTCAAGCTCGTAGAGGAAATGACTGTCTCGTTCCTGTTGTGTGAAAAGATCAATTAAGTGAGGTGATTTTTCTACCTTCGAATTATTAGCATGACACTGCCCGACACAATCATGGTAGAGCGCCGTGCGGAATACGTGGACGAGTCATTTCATATGTAGGCCTCCACGATCTCTGCAGGCTGGTGGCATGCCTGGCATGCCTGGCTCACTTCTGTATCGACGTCTGACCTACTTTGTTACAACAAACAACTGAATGAAGTCTTGCGCACACTTTAGTCTGGGCGCAAAGAGAGAAAACTACAAAAATAAATAAATAAACAGAGAGTATGGAATCTCGTGTATCAGCTTAGGCCACGACCCCTATACCAGAAGTATTCGCTGGACTATCATAAGTAGCCGACGCAACTCTTACCTACGCCCACCAGAACCATAACCTCGTTGACTGTCAAAACACTTTGCAGGCACGACGCCTAAAGATTCCCGAAGCAGTGTACTTTGATTGTAACTGAGAGGAACTTCAAATTATTATCCCCCCAATACCGCTATAATGGCAACTAAATATAAGTCACTTCGAATACCTCATTTGTCTTCAGGTATGCAAATTAAGTACACATGGTATGATGTTGAAATGGACAACCCCCGCCTTAGTTGCCGCTCCATATATGCTTTGTGGTATACATTACTTAGGGTATCATCCAATACGTGTGTATCTATTTACAGAGACTGCCGCAGTGCCTCGTAACTTTTCTTTCTTTTCGTACACAAGGACAAGTCCTGCAGCTGCTTCTCTTGTTCTTCTTTCCCCCCTCCTTACCCCCCTCCTTATCATCACAATTACGTGTCGTTTTAGCAACACCCCCCGCCAGACCCCTTATTCGCATCATTCAACTTCACCTGCCGTCCGGCCTGTCCCGGGCCAGGACCCTTGACGCCGGATCTCCGGTCGTTAAGGTCGTACTTGCCGGCGTTGATGTTATCGAAGATGCGTTCGGCGACACGCATAAAGGCCATCTCGACGCCTTCGCCGCTCTTGGCGCTCGTCTCGACGTACTGCATGACGCCGTTGCGCTTGGCCCACTCCTCAGCTTCGGCCGCCGACACCTCGCGCTTGTTTTCTTCGCCCGCTGCCATGTCCGTCTTGTTCCCCACGAGGATCACGACGATGTCGGGCTCGGCGATTTGGCGAAGGTCATTTAGCCAGTCCGTGACGTGCGCGAACGTCGCTTTGCGCGTGATGTCGAAGACGAGCAGGGCGCCTGAGGCACCGCGGAAGTAGGACCGCGTTACGGATTTATAGGTCTCTTGCCCTGCCGTGTCCCAGAGTGATAACTTCATGTGTTTCTGGGGGGTGTTGCGCGGCGGGTCCGGCAGGCCGTTGGTGTCCGCGGCGGTGGCTGATGATGCATCTTGGAGCATTTTTGAATGTGGTGGGCCGACGGGCACTATCCGGGAGCCGAATTCCACGCCGATGGTGACGTCGTGTTGCGGGGAGAACCGGCCTTCGCACAGCCGGATTGTGAGGGACGATTTACCGCAGCCTGAGTCGCCTATGCAGACCAGTTTGGCGATGTAGTCCCATGGCGGGGAGGAAGACATGGCCGCGGGGGTTACAGAAAATGGAAGGTTGATGGGTGTAGCAAGGCGGAATAATCGGGATAGCGTAAGAGGAGGTCCAAAAGCAGGGCTGATCCAGTCAGGAGGTGGATAAGCAAGGCTGCCAAATTGTAGTATTGCTTAAAGTATACAAAGAACTGGATGATGCTCGCACGTGAGACGAGTGGTACAAATGGTTGAAAGCGGCAGAGAGCAAGACGTCGGAGATCGGCTGGATTGTGTTCAAAAAAGCCCTGGGTTCAATGGTTTGTGATACAGGAAATGGTAAGCAGAGCAGATAGGTTTGTGACCTAGAATGCCATTGCAGAGGCAGCAATAGAGTAGAGGGGTCTCCGTAAATGACGATGTCTATGTCTCAAACATCTCACCATCACAAGCCCTGGATGCTCCAGTGGAGGCAAAGAGATGCAGCACCTGGACCTGGGGTGCAAGGTGGAGCCTGGTTTCCACTTATCGGTGATGCAAGCGATTGATAGCACAAAGGGTTTCTAGGTTTCCCGCTATCTCTTGGTAGGGGAGATAGGTGTAGCCAGCACAATCGCAACCATGGTTTGGCATCAAATTCTTGTCTAGTTGTGGGAATCCCATGCTCACATTTTCAATACTGTTGAAGTCGATAAGAGCTGACGATTGCGTTGCTGGTTATGGCAGTCTGCATCGAAAGCAAGTGGTTTGACTCAATGAGTGGCTGATGCAACGCTTTCAATCCTCGAAGCCGCCTTCGGGCAGGTGGTGTGTGGCAGGCAAGCACATGGCGCATCATTCTTGCCTGAACCGCAAGTGCTCTAGCTTGTGGCCCCGGCTTGTGGTCATCGGTCATCTTTGGGACTTAGGACCTCATGAGCTGCCTGGCTGACCGACTCGCCGATTTGTCACTTCAACGTCAATGTTTTTAGAAGCTTTCTTCTTGCTGTAACAGTAACCTTGTGTTCTTGCACATCCAAACTGTATTACTCCCCCAGAGTAGAGTCCCTGTGACATGTCCAGCATCATACCCGTTAGCTGTTAGACCTCTCTCCATATTGATTCGCCTTATCTCAGGAGCCTCTTACACCGTCCGTCATCTTCAACCTCGTTGGTGTTGTTGGGCGTTTGAGCCAAAGCCAACCGTGAATATCTCGTCACCAACCCATTTGCATCAGTCAACTCTTTCTGACTCTGCGCTCACGTCTTCTTCACGGGCAGGAGGGGTCCGGCTCCTGCCTGCACCGACATTAACATGTTCTCTGAATGTAAGTACACTCGCCGATGCCCGACACCAACTCGACCCCACACCAAAGGAACCCCGACCTTGGTCTTTCACGATGATGGAGTCAAGCGACGACAACAAAGTATCTAACATTTCGCATCCAGATGCTTCGAGATTCCTAGCCCAGTCGCAGTCTCGGCTTTCCAACTTCGGCCAACCCGACAACAACAGCAACAACGGCGAAGCTTCGAGTCGTCAACCCGCAGACGGCGCCACACGATTCTCACGACATCCGGTGCGATCTACATACCAGGCCCGCCTCGGGAATCCATACCATCCCTCCGGCTCCAGATTCGGATTCGCCTCGCGATATAATAGCAGCCAAGATGCGCCGCTCTTCCACAGCGTGCTTAACGAGTTTCAAGACGACGATGACGACGATGCGCGAGAGGCGGCTGATCTTCGCGCCTTGCAGCGGTCGAGGCGGGTCTTTGTAGCGAGCAGGATAGACGAGAGCTCTGCTTCAGAGAACGACGCCAGCCGTGCATCGCTCGGGGCAAGTGGGGAGCACGACAGCAGGGTCTATGAGGACAGAGGACGACCGCTGGGCATCAAGAGCAGTTGGAACGGCGAGTCAAGCTTCAAAGAGTTCAAGGATCGGCAAAAGCGCAAGAGTGAAGCCGACGACTCCATCAACAGGGGCAACATGCGACACAACTCGGATAGCAGTGACGGGAAGATGGTGGATATTGGTCTCGAGTCGACCGTCATCAATAACACCGTGCCCGAAGACTTGCTTCAGGAGACGCCCACCGATACGGATCCTCCAGCCTTTCAGCAGTTCAAGACGCGGCCTGGCGGTCACAACGGTGGATCTGGAAGGAGGGAATCCAAGTATGAGCGTGATTCTCGCGTACAGCGCCAGGCCATCTTGGAGGAGGATGAGCCTGCGGAAGATGCCATATCCCTGCCCACAACGCCAGCGCCTCCTCTGCACAATGAAATGTTCAAAAACGATCAGTTCTTCGCTTGGATCTACCTGATAGCCATCGCATCTCTGTTCGCCACCTTTGTGCTCGTTTGGCTCCACACGTCAACGCCGAGCAGGAAGAATCCTCTGGGCGACACCATTTACACCACCTTGGAAAGTTCCTACTACCTTCTCGCCGTTGATACGGTAGTTTCCATCATTGTGGCCCTGGTTTGGATGGCGATGCTGAAGTCGTTTGTCAAGCCCATGGTCTTACTCATCGTGGTGGGGACCCCGGTCGTCCTCTTTTCTTTTTCGATGTACCCGATGATATCGAGTTATCAAGGACCGGAGCGAGGATCAAGATTGCAGGATGTGGCCATGCGATACTCAGCCATCATTCCGGGAGTTCTTGCCATTGTTTTCGTATGGATGGTCTATAGAGTACGGTTCCAGCTTGGCAGAGCCATCGAACTGCTCGAGTTTGCCAGTCGTCTGCTTGCGGCCAATCCCGCCCTGGTGGCACTCGGCTTCGGCTCGTTGGCGTTTGTCGTGGGGTGGACTTGGATTTGGCTTTGGATGTTCACTCGTGTGTTTCTCGGCGGATCCTACTCCAGATCATCGCTCTCATTCATCATCAATGCCGCGACTTGGTGGCTGGGGGTATTCTTCTTCTTGATGTATATCTGGACACTCTCCGTGGCTGGTGGCGTCGTTCGAGCCACGACCGGAGGAACCGTTTCGAACTGGTATTTTCACCGCAACAAGCAGCCCCCTGCTCCTTCGAATGCCGTCGTCAAGGAGGCTCTGCAGCACGCCACCAACTCCACATTCGGCACTATTTGCGCAGCTACACTATTGCAACTAGGTATTCGCTTCCCACTCCTGTTCCTCCCGTCACGCCTAACGTACCTGGCTTCACTTTTCGTTTCTCGCCTCTCGCCGGCGTCGATGGGCCTACTCACAAACCCACTGTGCGTTACTTTCGCAGCCATACACTCGCTGCCACTTATGGAGTCAGCCTCACGACTAAGTAGGATGCAGTTCCTTGGCCTGCAAACTCCGACCTCAACGTTGACACCAAGCTCCTTTTCCCAGCGGAATCGATTCGACGACGGTCTACTACCATACAGGCTGGCCAGGCTGCTACTCAATGCGACCCGAATTGCCATCACACTGGCTCTTGGTTTCGCCGCTTGGGTAATGACGGCCCGTCAACTACGGGGCGAGACGCCGGACGGCGCGGGGTTCCGCGGAAGTGCGTACGCCTACGTGGTGGGTCTGGTGGCTGGTTTCATTGGTTATGGCATTATGGGCGCCATGGAAGGCATCCTCACGGGCATCCTGGACGGCGTGGTCATTTGCTACGGCAGCGAGAGACGATTGGGTAGCGGCCATGTCACTTATTGCATGGAAGCAGCCTATCTTTTTGGCGATAGGGATGATGGAAGGCACATGGTATAAACTAAACTCCTCCAGGAGGAGATTTTTGCGGACACTGGGTGAAAGGATACTTCACATTACTTTTACAGTGTTGGTGTTTGGGGTTAAGAGGCGAAACGCGTATCTGGAAACCTGGGGCGCTTCCATATCCCGAGCTACGGGATGGATGGGATAGTGATTGTTTGGAAGGAATGCAGATAGAGACTGGACAGCATGAGATGGCATTGTTTCTCAATGTGGGTTTACACAAGTTTATTACTCGCATTGTGTCTATTGTGACATGCATTGTGTAGCTAGCTATGTTGCGAGTTGACGGCAGACACTCGAGCGACCAGTGGCCGAGTTTCGACACCAATATCGCATCTTGGTCCCGCTCAGCAACGGCTGCTTCAAAGTATAGGCAGACTTCCATCTGGGGTATACTGCCTTGGCCTTGACAGTCCCAGTAGTCTGACAGATCAAGTCATCCCTTGTTCTCTAGCGAAACCAGTCGATCCTAAGCCTTCCACTAGGACAACTTGTCGTTCGGCCAACAGCCGCTTCCGGAACAAGTCAGTCGATCAAGGAATAAACAGACTCTCGTCATGCCCGCCTAGTCTGGATACCATGAGCTGATTGTGTAGCTCTCTGTCCCTTGTTTCAACCCAGACCATGTAAATAGTGCGGTTCAACTTGATCCTGTTGTTGCTGCTGCTACTGCTGCATCTCCCACCTCATAAGCAATATATAACCTTCTCATCATGTTCTATGTTAATAGTATCAGGCTACTCTACTGTGAGTCCCGTTCCACGAGGGGCTGCACATTATATATATAGTCTGCTGCATCCCAGCTCAACTGACTGTCAAGGCAAATCTTCATGATAGGAACTATTTAGGACTCCCTACACAGAGTCTGTTGATCCGAACCCTAATACTTGGCAGGGGTTCTACCAACATTCTTTTCAACTGGGAACTACCATGAATCTCTGCTACTTCAGTGCGTGGTGGCACCCTAGCCTACGCTTGGGTTCGTTTAAATGTATTTGGTCTGGTGGCCATATTAGGATTACTTCAGCGCATTACAACTATAAAGGACGTAACTCAGGATATGCTTTTCATGTTCGTTGCTCTTCTAAACTCGAGTATCTATGGACACAAACTACATAACATACTTGAGTATAGAGGCGTTCGGGGTTTCACAGGGCAACACTCGGTAGAAGAGGTCCAAGAAGTTCGGTGCGGCTTTGATTTGGGTTGATGGTGTCCTGTAGTGCCCCGTCTTCTTATCCAACTTCAAATTGCCACTTTTGATCCACACCGTAGACTTGGGCACAGAATCAAAAGTAGCGTGACAATACCAACCCACTGATTGCATCGGGCAACAACGTGGCTGGCACCTCCTCCATCCACCGTCAAATAGTAGTAGTCCCTGAGCTGAACTTGCCAAATGGGTCCCGAGCAGCAGCTACTGCAATCTTGACAGGACAAATGAGCAATCAAGTCGTACCGGGCTGTGTTCTTTGCAGACAAAGCTGCGAAGGAGCCTGTATTGGCATAAACATGTAATTGGCTCACTTTGAGTCGGTAATATTATCGGATGGCATGCCAATATCTGGCCGAGGAGCTGAATTGTGTACATGTAGACAGTGGCTCATGTCGATGGATTCGTCATGACGGGAATCATGTGGTAGGGCAAATGGCTGGAATGCTCTTGCCGAAAGTGTATAAGTCGATTGAGCATAGCCACGGCTTGGTGAGGTGTTTGGCCACTCAAATTGTAGCGAAACTGGAGCTGTGCTGTGGTTGCTCGCCCTCAGGCAGCAGCTGCAGGTTGCTTGCATAACAAGGGCAGTGGCGGGTTTCTAAAGTTAGAGACATGAATGCAATCTGCGACATGACAGGCACTTTTGAAGCACACTGACTTAACATTCTACGGCCATCTCGGTTCCATGCTCTGGGCAACTGTAATAGAGTGAATAAGTGCGGTTGCGCTTGCAAGGTACGCAGAGGGGCAGTGCAAACGAGAGGTCAGTTTGTCTGTTCCAAAACAGCTCCAGTACGAAGCAGCTTGCGGGTGCCTCTCGCCTTCGACTCGTCCGTCGCAAGTAGCATATCCTTCCATCCACATCATCGCCTTTCCCTCAACTGTGGGTATTTAAGCATATCTCCTTCAATTGTGTTTGCGCATCCTTCACCTCGGCAGTACCTGCATCCCAAGCTCACTGTCCACAAGGAATCATCTCTTCCCGAAACACACATCGCCCCTCATTACACCCAAGGAACCCACTCTTAAGTGCTTTACTTACACGTCCCGACAGACAGATCTTCGCAACCAACTTCATCTCTACACACCTCTTCCTTTCGCATATCAAGGGACAAAACATCACGCATGGCAGACTTTGAAGCGCCTTCAGGGCCTCCTCCTCCTAAGGTGCCCGAGGGCTGGATAGCTCGCTGGAACGAGCAGTACAAAGAATGGTAAGTCCAAGTCGCATCTCTCTCTCGCCCCTCAATACCCCGCCACCGTTGTCCAGCGTCGCTGACACCAGCCGCCCCCCGCCAGGTTCTACGTCAACACCTACACCAAGAAATCGCAATGGGATAAGCCCACCGCGCCCGCCGTCGATCCTAACGCGGAAGGTCCTCCCGGCCCGCCACCAGGCTACATCCATGGCTCTAGCAACCCAACTCCCAGCGACGCCAAGACGAACCCGTTCTATAACGATAACAACGATTCGCATTCGGGCGGTCCGTCAGGCACCGAGTCCGACGAAGCGCTCGCCCGCAGGTTGCAAGAAGAAGAGAATGCACGCAGCGTTGGTGGTCTCGGCGGCGGCGCGGCAGCGTCGTACCACGGCTCGTCGCCCGGTCCGCAGAGCCACAGCCCGTACCCAACACAGCTGCCGCCACGCGAGGACGATTCGCGGGGTGGGGGCAGCAGCGACAAGGCCAAGGGGCTTTTGGGCAAGCTCTTCGGCAGCAAGAATAAGTACGGCTCCCAAGGCGGCGGCGGAGGCGGGTTCGGCGGCATGATGGGCGGTGGTGGTGGTGGACATCATCAACAGTATCCCCCGCAGCAGGGTTATGGGCAACCGCAGGGTTACGGACCGCCGCAGGGGTATGGAGGCTACGGCGGACAGCCGCAGTATGGACAGCCGCAGGGCTACGGGGGTGGATATGGACAGCCTGGGTACCCGCAACAGGGTTATGGTGGGGGATACCAGCAGCAGCAGTACGGCCGTCCGGCTAAGAGTGGAGGCGGCGGCATGGGGATGGCTGGTGGTGCGGCCCTGGGTCTGGGCGCGGGTGTGCTTGGTGGTGTGCTGGTGGCCGATGCCATTCAAGACGGACAGGAAGATGCGTACCAGGAGGGGTACGAAGATGGTGGTATGGATGATGGTGGTGGTGACTTTTAAACGAAGGCATCGCGATACCCGTAGTGCCACGTGCGTTGATGCTGGTGCGGTCGATTTTCTCTCTTTTTCACGATGCCATGATTTTATTAGCATGAAGACAAAACAAGTTGCTAAATGCATGAACGAAACGGCATGAGAAGCAGAAGCAGAAGTCGTGCTTCTGGCAAGCCGCATGGGGAGACCGCCGAAGATTGATACATAGTATTAGGCTTTCGTACATAGCTTTTAGAATACATTTCTTAGTAACAAGGGACAGAGCTCTATGCTTGTTGATCTTATATCTCTCTGGCATCCATTGCGTGACTGCGACGAAATGGAATATTAATACAGGGCCACAAGTTCATCCTTGAGACCATCTTTTAATATGATATGAAAGCCATCTAACGTAAAGCAGCAGCAGCCCATCTATTTCCTGCCACCTTTCTTCCCCCCGACACTACTAGAGGAACCGCCATCACCGCCCTCATCCTTCTTCTGGCCAGCCAAGAAGGCTGCCATGTCGAAGTTACCCATGGGGTTTGCGCCGGCCTGCCCTCCACCTAGGAGACTATTCATCGGGTTGTTCTTTTGGTTCTCTTCCCACTCGGCCTTAGTCTCGGGGTCCACTAATGTCCGGTCAGATCTAATGCACATGATAAAAAAACCATGTTGCCTGGATACAAGGCAATGCAGGGTAAGGATGGAAATTGAAGAACTTACTGTTCTCGACCAGTTTCGGCATCCCGAAGAAGAGACCCATGCTCACCAGCCCAAGCAGGATCATGGGGTTCTTGAGGATACTCAAGACGGAAACTACGTTACCCCATCGGTTAGCGGTGACTCCCAAATCATGAAAGCGTCCTCCTCCATCTATCTCCAAAGATAGCCTGCCCTGCAGGAGACAGACTGCAAGAAAAGGGAAGGAAAGCAAAGGCAACTCACAAGACCCTCTCTCCATAAAATAGGCCTTTCCCCCAAGGACCCGAACCGCAAAGCCACCCCTGGCACTCTCCCTAACCTCCTCCCCTTTGTTCCCCCAATCGTTGCCCCGGTACGTTTCCCACACTTTGACGTCAAACTTCTGCTGCTCCGTCTTCTTCTCTGACCCCGCCGCGGCGTCGTCGACAAGGCTCGTCACATCGATGCGCAGCGGCACAAACCCGTGCGTCCCGCTGTGCACATCGGCTAGGTAGGAACCCGTGGAGACATTGCGGAAGACGAAGGTATTGGATACCGTCAGGGGCGCAGTGTAGGTCGTGTAGAGCGTTGTTAGGGTGGCGTGGGTCGTAGGGGGAAGGACGTTGGGGTTGGGCAGGATTTGCGACGGGGGGATGGTGAGGGTTATCGTTGTAGTGGCTAGGGAGAGACCGGATGGTATGGCACCCAGGAGGGCGGCTATGAAGGAGATTCGCATCGTGTGAAGTTATGGCGATTAGGTTACGATTACGGAAGGAAGAGCGCTCGATGTTGAGATGATTTAGGTGTCGCAGCAAGGAGGGCCCGCCGCGGGAAAGTCCGCCAAGAGACTTCCGAACCAAAAAGTTGGGCCAAAACGGACGTTTTAAATGTTTTTGCAAACAACATAATTTTTTTCTCAAACTTTCGAATATGATGAAGGCATTCAATCATGGGGGTATACTGATTATTATCCCAGGCTGATGAAATGACTCGCTACGAAGAGCATTCCAACTATTCAGATCCGCTCAGCGTCTTCTCTCTAGACCACGACAGGAGCCTGCTCCTCCTTCTTAACCCCAGCATCTTCCCCCTTCTCAGCACCCTCAGTACTCGCCGCATCTGCAGCCTTGAACGACTGCTGAAAGTCGGCAATAATATCATCAATATGCTCCGTGCCAACCGAGATGCGAATCAAATCCTCGGTAACCCCCGAGCTAATCTTTTCCTTGTCGGAAAGCTGCTCATGTGTCGTCGTCCAAGGGTGAATAGCCAGCGTCTTGGAATCGCCCACATTGGCTAAGTTGCTGATGAGCTTGAACCCATCGACAATCTGGCTTCCCGCAGTACCACCTCCCTTAACACCAAAGCTCAGCACGCCGCCGAACCCGCGCTTGAGGTACTTTTTCGCCAGCGCATGGCTGGGGTGGTTCTCGAGCCCCGGGTACGAAACCCAGCTCACGTAGGGACTAGCTTCGAGGTACTTGGCGAGCTTCAGCGCGTTCTGCGCATGCCGCTCCGCTCTCAAACTGAGCGTCTCGATGCCGAGGAGCAATTGTTGGGCGGCAAAGGCGTTGAGGCAGGCGCCAATGTCGCGCAGGATCTCGACGCGAACCCGGATGATGAAGGTGATGGCCCCGAACGTCTCCCAGAATTTAAGTCCGTGGTACCCATCGGAGGGCTCGACCATCTGCGGGAATCGCGATGCGTTGGCGCCCCAGTCGAATTTCCCGCTGTCGACGATGACGCCGCCGATGGTGGTGCCGTGGCCGCCGATCCATTTGGTGGCTGAGTGGACCACGATGTCAGCGCCGTGTTCGATGGGGCGCACGAAGTAGCCGCCTGCTCCGAAGGTGTTGTCGACCTGATTTGTTTAGTCTAGTTAGCGCTGCCTGTTCCGTGGTGTATGAATCTTGATATCCGCCTACCACAACCGGAACGCCCTTCTCACGCGCGACCTTCGCAATGGCCTCGAAGTCGGGGATGTTGTATCGGGGGTTGCCGATGCTTTCAAGATAGATGGCCTTTGTCTTGTCGTCAATGGCGGCTGCAAAATCTTCCGGCTTGTCGCCCTCGATGAACTTGGTAGTTATGCCAAATCGCGGCAGCATCACCTTCAGCTGGTTATACGTGCCACCGTACAGGTTCGACGTGGAGATGATGTTGTCGCCGGCCTGGGCAAGTGCCGAGATGGTCATGAACTGAGCTGCTTGGCCTGACGCAGCAGCCACTGCTGCTACACCACCTTCCAGAGCCGCGATCCTCTTCTCGAAAACATCGACAGTCGGCTGCGCAAGTCAGCCAGGTACATTTTGGTCAGCATGGCAATTCTAGCTACATACGTTCATGATCCGACTATAGATGTTTCCGAACTCTTTAAGGCCGAACAGCCTCGCTCCCTGGGCCGAGTCATTGAAGGCGAAACTCTGTAAGCTGGTCAGCCTTGCTGTGGCAGTCGTTGTGCTTGAGTTGAGGGGAGACGGACGGTCGTGGCATAGATCGGAACAGCTCTGGCTCTGGTCGCGGGATCGACCTCCTGCCTGTACAACGGTCAATTTCTAACGTACTTGCGAAGTACTACATCATAGAACCTACCCCGCGTGAAGCTGGAGCGTCTCGAAATTCTTGCTCAACTCTTCGGCCATGCTGAGCTTTGGAACGCTGAACAGCAACTTGTACGGGTAGTACCAAGTTACCGTGATGAGGGGTAAACAGGAAGGTATATTACGCAAAACAGCGCCTCAATTTCGAAAGGTTGGACGTGTTCCCAAGTATCCTTCTCAGTAATGACGAGCTAACCCCTCGGAAAAGCACCTCAACGTAAATCCTCAGACCACACCAATCGAATGTATACGACCACGCGATTTCGAAGTATACCCTCCACCATGGAACGCTCGCGAGGCCCGATTGGGGAAGTGGGGTAGGGCCCCCAAGAATTGCGTGCTCGAGCGTGAGCATAGATGCGTATGGCGTGTAATTCTTTTGCAAACCCCGTCGTTCGTAGAGGCTGTACGGATTCCTGACGGGTACACAAACAATCAGATGCGCAAAGAGATGTATGATTACGCGTTGTTGATGCGACCTACACAAGACAGCGTGGGGTGGATTGGCTACTCGTGAAAGTTTCTTGGTTTCCGTGCAACAGGACAAGTATACTTCGTTTAAGCAGCCCACCCCAAGCCTATTTGTTATTTTAAATCGTATCATTATTCGCTAATGCGTATCATTATGTCTTATGAATTGCAATGTGCACACCGGAGTCCTTCAACTTAAAATCAGAAACACGGAGGGGATATCGTGAGCAGGACCAAAGCTAACCTTGAAGCTACCTAAGCCCAGCTCCAGTAAAGCGGCATAGCTGCAAAGCAACATGTGATAGTGGGGGAGAAGGTGCACGTCTCGCCATGGTGCCTTGCCATGACGACTTCGGAAGCCAAGGGGGTCTCGACTGCCATTGGACAATCGGCCGACTAATACTTTCGGTCATGGGATTGTGAATTTGGATATGTCGCGCCGGCCGTCGACCGGTTGGGGCCGCCTCTGCTGACGAGCACCGATTGCCGAGTCTACGATTGACTTTGTCAGTTTGTACGCAATGCGCACAGGCGGCTGTGTCAGAGCTGTTTCGAACTGAAAATTTCAGTTAGTACTCATTTCATATGCAGAAGGAAATATCTATCATGCTCACGCTCAACCGTAGTAGTGATTATATGTTTGGGTGCAACGGTTATATGTTCGCATTGACTACCTACGCCCGCCATCCAGAGTGTAGAGTATTTCCCGTCCCCTGTCCTCCCTAAATCGTTGCCACGACTCATGATCGTAAAGCTTGAAATGTACCGTTGGATCCCGGCTTCATCGGGCCATTATAGTAATTCAGTTCGTCAAAGGTAGGCCAGCTTGTCGTCGAGACGAAGCCCGACATCCCCAACATCACCTCGTCACACCAAGTTCCCTCTCGTCGACGTCAACCACCATTCTCAAATCAAAGGTATCGCAAAGATTGTTTAACGGCCCGCAAGGTGCTCCTTTCTCATCCCATGTTATTTGTTCAGACGAATCATCCCCGCCGTTCAGACCTTTTCGACAGCGACAGAAATACGCTTCCGCTCCCACGCCGTCAGATGCGAAGGGCTCTTCTTGGGCATGTCGAACTCGGGAAGATATGGAGTCAACGGGATGTCGCTGTAGTTGGAGTAGCAGCTGGGCACAACTAGGCCAACTGGGACTCCTTCATTTGCGGGCCTTCGAGAGGGGCTTGGCGGCCTGATTTGCGGAAGTTGAACCCCATCTTGAATACATCTTTCCCCATCAGCACGGCCGAGACACCCCACAGGAGGAACTCCATGACGCCGAAGGCAACATCGGCCTTGGCCGCTCCGCATACGGTTCCACGGCAGAAGAGCAGCTTGCTGATGAAGACAGAGAGTGCGATGAAGCCAGCGAAGTAGAAGAGTACGTTGCAGAACTCGAGGGCGATGGATACATAGGGATGAGATGCTGCCGCGTTGGGTTAGTCTTCTGGTGTGCTTGCTTTTCACGCTTTTCACGTAGAATGATCCAACGTACCTCGAGGAGCAAAACGGGGTGTCAGTTCGAGGTAAGCAACCGAGATGATGGTGAAGAGCGAGCTGAAGAGGAGCCAGTTAATCTGCGAGGGAGATGTCGTCAAGGTATCGACGTTATACCAGTTGGCAACTACAGTACTGATGTTAGTCACGATTCCACCTCAACCATCATGATTAAAGCCGCATACCGTAGGCAGAAAGACCGAGAATGACCATGGCCATAGCAAACTGGGCGGCCCGCAGGCCAAGAACAAGTGCCGAAGGCATGCTGGAAGATGAGCGGATGAGAAGTGGGTTTCGGTTGGGGAAGCGAGCGTCCAGGTGCGAAGTCATGTACGACACGATAAAAGGCACAGCCTGGAGAAGAAGAGAAAATAATAGTCTGCCGGGACTAAATTTGAGAGAAAATTCACGTAAAGAATGGAACTGCGAATAATAGGAGGTTTGGAGAGAAAAGTAAAAACATCAGGCGTGCGTCAGACCGCAGATAGATGAAGGAGAGCGAGTCAACTTATGCGCTCGGGACGGCAGGCGAATGATGGAGCATGGCCCACGAGGCGGTTGGAACAATCTACCCCAGGGTATCCTGTTAATGGTGAACTGATCGTCGTGCTGGCTTACGCTGCGATGTGCATCTCTGAAATCGACCTGAAACGGGCAGAACATGGGATGTCGCCATGCACAGATCGCGAATACTTACTTGGGTGGGGCCAATCACACCTACGCAACCTCGATTGCGACACATAGTCGTGTACAAGGTCTGGTTCTATAAGGTTCGTGATAAGTATCTTTTCCTACGTGCCGATACGGCAAAATCATACACACATAATTTCAGCCGATGGAGGGTGGTCGGTAGCTGGGCTTCCTCGACTGCCGCTTCAGTGGAAGTAACCGAGATTAGAATAGTGCCTTGTGTGATGCAGCGCCTCCCCGGATAGCCTATGGGCGTTGAGAATGGCTCAGGCAGATACACGCAAACGCCCGGTGTCGTCCATGATTGCATGGGTCGTTGAAATCGATGGTGCTGCTCCTGTTTTGAACTTGCATGCTTTTGTTTCCTCGATCGAGCTCAAGGGCCCATACAAGCAACGCCGTCTTGGCGGAAAACCTCCCACGAGCATACCCATGGTATTAATAGTGGTACAGAACGATGCCAGAACAAGAGATAAAACCAGCGGGTTGAAACAGCGGCCGTGCGATGAAGCCGTCAATTGAAGATAGCGACTGATGTTTTCGCCGTGGGTCCAAAGTCATCTTGGGACGTCTTGGAAAAGCCTTGGAAGGTCTTGGGAGTATCATGGCTGGGCTTGGCAAACAGAGCGCACAGGCGACTACCGTTGGCGAAACATGATTTGGGAGCCCCTGAAAGCCAGATCAAGGAGAAGGCCTGTAGGCTACCCCCACAGATTCGTCTGCGTGGGTGAAAGAAACTTGACTCCAGTTTGCCAGCCCTGTTCAAGACTGGGCAGCTGGCCTGTGCGGTCTGGAACACAAGTGAGAGCAATGTGGAAGACGGTCGTACATTGTTCCGACCTTCCGAGTGATCTCTATCGTTATGCAACAATGTCATAAGTAGAAAGGTAAAAATGTTGTTCATCACCTACAGCCCATCACTTGATTTGTTTTGCTGAATCAACCACGTGCGGCCTCCCCAGACTTGAGCTTTGTGCTGTGCTCATCAAGTGATCCGCGATTGTAAGCCACCGGTCCGGTTATAATCGGCCGGCTGGTATCGACACCAGCGCAGAATCATTGTCCATAGCGTTAGTGATAGGAGTATGATTCCGCCTCCACGTGTCAATATAGCAAAAATGGCACGATAACCGTCATGCCCCCTCCAGTTAGTTGATAGTCGCTCGTGACCCGGCTGAGTGGGACAATGCATAGGGCCGCATGCCGCACTCAATTCCTGAAGCATGTGAATTATGCCCTGTCCGGCGAGCCGAACCAAAGAGACACCAGTCTGCTTGTGGACTTTCCTACTTCCACTTAGACGATGTTGCTCACAGCACCTACTATGGTATACGGGAATACTTCGTTCTCGGGACTACGACGGAAATAAAGCAATTCACTTTGGCATCATTCAGGCAATGCAGCTGCAAGGGTTGCTGTCACAAGTCCAGATTCTGCCTGCAAGACTGTTATATCTTTGAACATTGGCTGATGATAAACTTCATCGTTGGGTACGTTGCGGGATCAGATGGCTGTCGCTATCACTACAGGCAACATGCCTGAGCACATCGTGGAAGTCGCAGGCTTTACAACGCACCTCTGGATGAAATCTCTCATTCACAGTCCATAGCCGGGTAGGCGGAATGGCTGCAAGAACTTCATGCTAAAGAAAAGTGGCCGTTTCATTTCATCCCAGAGCAGCCAGAACGGTCCCAACTTAACGGTCCCAACTTGTCGCGTCCACGGCCAACCAACTTCCAAACATTCCAACTTCTATGCTCTCCTTTTCACATCTATAGATTCAAAGCTCGCATGGCCAGGCTCGAGCGGAGTTCTACTAAAGTCTGGGGAAACGTCCACTTTAGAAGATGCAGCTCGGCTTGCCGCACTGCACTGGCCACCGCCAACCGCATCACGAGTGTGTAAGGCCTCGGCAACTCGAGAATGAGTGGAGCTAAGATCTGGGCCAGCTATGTCAGAGGCTCACCAGAGTACAACTAAACCGCGAGGTAGCCGAAGACATGGCATTTGGTTTTAGTCAGATAAGAACTTCTGTCGCATTACACTTAAACTTTGCATCTTGCACCTTACATTTCCTATTCTCTCCCTCACCAGAGCTTTCTGCAGATTCACACCACCCTGACTGTATGCAGTCGGCCGTTTCCAGCAACAACGACCAAACCATAGCAAATCGGCTCGCACGGGTTGTTGAACTGATTACGTATTTAGCCAACCGCACCCCAGGTATTCATCAGCGACAATATCACAATCCTACCGTGTGACAAAAGGGCGTTGTGACCAATCGTAGAATCAAAGGTCTCAATTGGCAATTGTTCTCACCATGGGCCCCAATTATGAGGTCAAGGCCTACATCGACCAACTAGCCACGCCGCCGCCTCCAGGTAGTTCACTCTCGACCAATTGGCCAGCTGCCTCATCTGACATCGCTTGCAGGTTCCCCCTATGCTGTGCCAATCCCTGGCACCGAATCAGAGGGCCGCACCCCAATCTACCGCCACTGGCGCTTCAAGGATGGACCCCTTCTAGAAACCTACGTGCCCGAAATTCGCACCTTCCACGACCTCTTCCAGGACTCAGTCAAGCGATTCCCCAGCAACAAATGCCTGGGCTCTCGCCCGTGGAATCCGATCACGAAAGGCTGGGAAAACAAGTATGAGTGGCTGACATACTCTGAGGTCGCTGAGCGGACCCAGAACTTTGGGTCCGGTATTGTCGAGCTACATCAAAGAATTGGAGTTACGGACCACAAGTATGGCGTGGGTTTGTGGTGTCAGAACCGTGCGGAATGGCAAATAGCCGGTAAGTCTAAGCTGCTTCATTGTATGCGGCGCCTCTCTCGGGACATTTGTTAACCCCCGCCTAGATATTGCCATGGTCTCGCAGTCTCTTTATTCCGTTTCTCTATACGAGACATTGGGACCGGACGCCTCTGAATATATCATTAAGCACGCGGGGCTTGCTTGTGTTATCACCTCGTTGCCGCATATTCCTACGCTGCTTGCGCTTGCACCTCGAGTTCCTCACCTCAAGCTGATTGTATGTGTGGACTCCCTCGATGTCGGCGAGCCAGAGGGATACACCAAATTGGATTTGTTGAACGGCATCGCGGCGAAGCACGGTGTTCAGATCTGGTCGATGGAGGGTGTCGAAACATTAGGCAAGAAGACGGGACACCCAGCGCGTCCTCCCGGTCCAGATGATATCATCACCGTCAACTACACCTCCGGCACGACAGGCGACCCGAAAGGTGTAGTGTTGACCCACAGGAACTGCCTGGCTGCCGTGAGCGCTTCCCGCACAGGTGGACATTCAACACACAAGGATACGGCAATGTCGTATATGCCCCTGGCTCACATTTACGGGCGCATGGCAGACCAAACAGCACTGGCCGAAGGCGCCGCCCTCGGCTTCTTCCATGGGAATATACTGGAACTCGTGGATGATTTGAAAATTCTGAAGCCATCGGGCTTTGTCTCAGTTCCTCGTCTGTACAACCGCTTCAATGCTGGAATCAAGTCTCAGACGCTCGACGCGCCGGGCTTGAAGGGTGCGCTGTCACGGAGAGTCATTGAAACCAAGAAGGCCAACATGAAGTTGCCGAACGGCAAGGCGAACAACTCGCATTTGCTTTATGATCGCATATGGACTCCTAAGGTGAAGGCTGCCGTTGGGTTGGAACGCTGTCACTCCATGGTCAGCGGCAGTGCGCAGTTAGATCCTGACGTCCAGGAATTTCTTCGGGCTGCATTCGGCAACTACTTCACACAGGGCTACGGCTTGACTGAGACATACGCTGTTGCATCTTTCCAGGCACGCGGTGACTTCAGCACGGGGAATATTGGTGGTCCCTGTACTGGCGTGGAAATCTGCTTGGAATCACAACCCGAGCTTGAATACCTTGTGACGGACAAACCACGACCGCGTGGGGAGCTCTGCTTGCGAGGACCCGTCGTGTTCAGGGAATACTACAAGAACGAGGAGGAGACGGCCAAGGCGATTGACTCACAGGGATGGTTCCACACGGGCGACATTGCCGAGATCGACGAGCTGGGCCGCATCAAGATTGTTGATCGGAAGAAGAACGTGCTTAAGCTGTCACAGGGCGAGTACATTTCACCTGAACGCATTGAGAACGTCTTCATGGGCAGCTCAAACCTTGTCACTCTGGCCTATGTGCACGGCGACCCCAGCCAATCGACGCTGGTTGGAATCTTTGGTATTGATCCCCTCACGTTTGCGCCATTCGCCAGCAAGGTCTTGAAGAAGTCGGTCGCCCCTGAGGACTTGGCTGCAGTTCAGGTGGCAGCGCGAGACCCGCGGGTGGTCAAAGCTTTCTTGAAGCACCTCGACACCATATCAAAGAGCCACAAGTTCAACGGCTACGAACGAGTAAGAAACGCCGTGCTGGAACTGGAACCTTTTTCCATCGAAAACGAGTTGTTGACTCCTACGTGAGTTTCATTCCCGTTGTGTCACGCCCATGTATGCGGCTGCTAACTCCTTTCTCAGCCTAAAACTGAAGAGACCCCAAACCGCCAGGAAGTTCAGGGCCCAAATTGATCGTATGTACGCTGAGATCAATGCGGACAACCCGATCAGGGCGAGGCTGTGATTTGGGAAGGATACTTTCGGGCGGGATCTATCTCCGAGGAATATAGACAAAGGTAATCATGTATTACTAGAAGCTACTTCTGCAGCTACCAAGCAAGTAGTATGGCTCTGTAAAGCATTGTAGCCCTGCTAAGCAGTTATCAGGCGAATATTTTGCGTGCATGGAAGAACTATTTTTGTGCTCTGTTGTAGGTCCCACGCCTAAATACGCCATAAGCTATTTCGAGAATATTACGGAAGAATCAGGCATGAGTCGAGCTATTAAATCAGGGTAGAATTAGAAAAATATGAAACTGAACTTGCCATACTTCCCTTTAACACTACGTTAGTGTAGCCCTGACGGACAAAATTACACTTGATTCCTACTGCGTTTACATGCGCTCGACGGCTCCCGGGTAACCTGCGCTTCTTCGGATATCCAAAACCCCCGTTGCCTTGCAAGGACCTTGAACAATTGCGACCAATTACAACTAACCGCATTGACCACCTTTTTGCATGCACCCCCATTTTGCAGGGTCTAACTGAATCAACCTAAATACTTCGTCCATATTATTTACAGAACATACTTAATTTAAGTGTCCGAAGACTTAGATATATACTTTCGAGCCCTCTTTTTAGGAGGGACCCTTCTTTCGAGAAAAGTATCAATTTCTAACTGCTTATCCGGTAAAATAGGCCGTATTCGCTTATTTCGCTTGTCCTTGGCTGTTCGGATCGCTGATAAGTTAACGAATACTTTATTCGGGTCTGGCTCGACGGTCTGGCGTATATCTGGAGCGTATTTATCGAGTTCTTTATATAGTTGTTCGTTTTCGATACGTAATTTGGCATTCTCGGCGGCCTGGAGTGTAAGGGCCTTGCCCACCTTGCCTACTAGGGTACGAATCTTACGAGATACCCCGCCCTCGGCTTTCTCTATCGACTGTAGTTGGCTAGATAGTTGCTGCGCTTTCTGAGGAGTAAAAGCAACTAAAGGTGGTGATATATGAGGCGGAGGATCTGGTGTATGAGGCTCCGGAGGATCACAAGATACGTCGACTAGTCCTTCGGAGCCTAGGGGCCATATACCAGTCTTCCGCCAGCCAGATTTAATATTTTCCGTAGTAAAGGCTCTCTCCGAGGCACGTAGATATGCTTCTAGCATACGTTGCTTGTAAATTGGGGCTGTAGCCTTGTAGGAAGCGTAAGCCCTGAGCTCTTGGCGGTAGTAGGTCTTCAAAGGTGAGAACGGCCCGACATCGCACGGCTGGAGATCGTCACTGCAGTGTGAGGGTAAATACAGCACGGCGACTCTATTCGAGTAGGCTTTCCACATAAATTCGGCATGAATATGTGTCTGGTGGCCGTCGAGGATAAGGAGTCGCCATTCGGTACCCCTAGGCTTCGTCTCGGGGAGAAAAACCTGATCTAACCACCTATTTGCGATAACTTTATTACTCCAGCCCTTACTCGTCGCGGTGTATTCCCACTCAGGGATATTTTGGTCTGGGAACCACTGTGCTTGGACTCTCTTGCCGGAAAATACGCAGACAGGTGTACCCCGTTGGGTATGCGAAATGTACTCTAACCAGGAGCACCACGACGAAGCGTCCGACTTTGATACGCGTACCCGGCGTGAATTAGACGTTCCAATAACCGTACCATGCCCAGATTCCCCCTCTTGGACACCTGTCTCATCCATATTATACTCGTTGTCGGGTTTGATACGATACTTCGTGCGTAAGCGTTCGAGGAGGGTGTAGAAGTCTCGGATCTTGTTCGAATCGGACGCTCCAACTCGGCTAGCATCTACGACGCGCCCAATTTTGGTACGTATCTGTGGATGGCGGCTAACGAAGTGATCCACCCAGTGTTGGCCAAGTGTATTGTTATCCCCTTGAGCAAGGAGGATTTCGGCAGCGAAGTCGGCCACATAACGCTTGCTAGGAGCCCGTCCACACACTTCTTCGTGTAGGATCCAGTTCACGACAACCTCCTCTTGCTCTGGAGTCAACTTTTGTTGCCTGGAGGCCGCGTCGCGATGCGAATTACCGTGACGAATACGGTAGGACAGTGTAGTCCCCTTGATACCGTACCGATGAGCTGCTACGGCCTGGGAAGAGCCCTGACAGACAAGCTCTTTAGCGCGTTCGATTCGCTGCTCAAAATCGTCCGGACTATTCTCCACTGGATCAGCCATTTTGTGCGTAGCTAGGGAGCAATTGCGAGGTAAATTGAGAGACGTCGTGTTGTTGAGGCGTAGAAATTCCCTGCAAAATGGGGGTGCATGCAAAAAGGTGGTCAATGCGGTTAGAGAGATAGGATGGAGACCGCCTAGTTCGTAAGCATCTAGATCTCGAACCTTCAGGTTTAAATGTGAGATATGCTCAAGTATACTAGCTTGGTTTCAAGTAGCCGGATTAGACATCTAGATACCTGTTTTCGTAGCTCGAACCAGCCTTCCCTGGAGCTAATATCGATCTAGAAATATGGATTAGAGGGGAGTCTTCTAATTCTCCAATACCTGCTATGAGATATATATTACTAGTAACAGAATTGGTACCCTTGGTAGCCTTAGAGGTTAAGGGTAGAAGAGATTGAGTTGCTCATCTCCGAGGAGAATCATTATTAGTAGAGAATATCTACATATCTTAGATTTGTAAGTAATTTATATCTAAATACTTCTAGGTTATTACTTCCTAAATTATAGTTCTAAGTAATTATACCCCACTTTAATGCTGACTGAGCTACGTTATCGACGACCCTCCCTTCATTTATCCTCTAGAACTGCGACGCTGCGACGCGATGATCGTGATGGCGACGGCAAAGCCGCCCGAAGTCGTTGACTTGACTCTTGATGTCGAAGAACTCCGAGTACCCTATTGTCGACCCGCTCCAACTGCGACTCCTTTGCATCAGCACCCACCTCCCATCGCACCTCCCAACAATCATCCTGCGAACCTACCCTTTCTTAGCATCGGCTCACTGACGCGTCCTGCTCATGCGCATACGCCTGCGTCCCCTTTGACGAACGGTGCCGACACCCCCAGAAACGTCTCTACACGGGCGCCGTTGATTCAAGCTCCGCACCTCACCAATGGCACCCCGCGAACGCTTCCGCTGCAAACACCGGCTTCGCGTACTTCGTTGCGACTGCCTTCCTCGCGCCCGTCGTCTTCAGCTACGGACCGCAAACCTACTATTGGACACAACGAGATTACAGAGGACCGACCTGCCAAACGACAGCGTACAGGCTCTTCTTTGACGGGACAACGGCTGCACACCTTGATCGAAAGCCGCATGTTTCCTCTCATCGACGATGCCCTGCAGCAGCAAGCCCCCGGCTACGGCAGGTCAGCAAAGAATAAGATTGGCTATACCACCTGCCAGGTCTTGGGACCCAAGTTTCAGAGGGAATGGAACGAGACCGGCATGCTGTCGATGGGGTTTGAGGAAGCTGCCCGCCGGGAAGCCCTGTCCCTCGTAAGTGAGCTGAAGAATCGACCGGTAATTCGCCGCCAGACTACCTCCTACAGGAATAAAGGTGCTAACGCTGATAGGATCGCTGGTTGACGCCAGGGCAACTCCCGCCTTTGCCAACGGTTCGCCCTTCAATCGAACGTATCGCTGCGCGTGACGAGGAAGATGACACCACCGATGAAGATGAGGACGAAGAAGATGATTCCGACGATGAGTCGGTTGACGACGACCAACCGCCAGACCCTCCCAAGCCAACTCCAAAGAAAGCCCCCGTCACCCCACAACGTATGGAGGCCAGAGCGAAAGCCACGCTTTGGCAATCCGGCAAGACGTACCAGAAGGAAGCGAAGCCCAGCAACAGAGGCAGACGCAGAAACACATTTTTTGGTCTCTCATCGCGCCCGTACGTCCGGGCTTACGAGCGGAGGGCGGTACTATCTGGAGATGGCCTGGCTCGCTTACACCCTCACGAGCTCCGCCAACCTGAGATCTTCCATGTCGGCTTCAGTAATGAGGAAGTGAGATACTTGAGACAAATCGCCAGACCTCTTTACGGTGCAAGGGGACACCGGGAGATAACGGACAAGGATGCCTGGGAGGACCTCCGCCATCTCTCCAAAAAGGCCAGAAAGAGCCGGCGAATGGATGAGATCTTGGCACTACATGCACAGGGCTACCACACTACCTTGGACACCCCACCTAGGGATCTGCTCACCCGATCAGTTAGTGATGTCGAGAACTTTTTAATGGATATCAGCGAACGCAAATGTCGTCCTACCCAACACATACTCACACTCGGTCGCGATGAAGGCCAGAACCCTGAGCTTAGTACTCGGACGGATCCCGTACCTTCCCTTCTCTTCACCCGGGAGATCGCCGGGAACCGTGGGTTCGGGTCTCTCAGACGGTACGAAAACTTCTCCACTGCGTTCAAGGTTACTTGGGAGGACCACCTGGAACCGCGGATCGAGTGGACTGGCTGTGCTGGTGATATTTCGACTATCAGCTGGGTGTCCAAATCACAGTTCATCTGTGGCACTACAACCCATTCTGATTCCCACAATCAGCAATACAACAAGCCTGGAAACCTGCTCCTGGGTTCGTGTCGGGGAACGTTGCGAGCATATCCCGATCATCGAATCATACGCCCTGGAGTGTCCCATGGTGACAATGCGCTTGCGTCCATGGTCGAGAGCCAGGACCCTTGGTTGTTCAGCTCGGTGGTCTCATCCGACTACGACGACATGCACAATTTGGCCTTCACGTCTAGTTTCGACCAAACTGTGAAGATCTGGAAGGTCGAGAACGACTCCATGACCGCAATAGGAACCTGGGGACACGAAGGCCGGGTGAACTTTGTGGTGGCGTCTCAACACCCCTACGGCCTGGTAGCGACGGCTGCTGATGTTCTCACCGACGCTGTTCGCGTTTATCACTTCGAATGTACTACGGACAACTTGCGGTCCCGGTTTGACGCCTACTCTTGCACACGAATACACGACGAGGACTACGTACCATCCGACAAATGGGGCTATTTCCCGGCAGCTATACGATGGGGCTTGGCGCCAGCAGTCCAGCACATACTTCTCGTCGGCTACTCTCCCCGAAGCCTACACGGCGAAGAACACGAGATTCCGGAAGACAAGGTCAACACGGGCGAGCTCTGTCTATGGGACACCCTCACGAAGACGCAGATTAAGGTCCATGGCGGGGCGACGCAGAACGTCTTCGAGGTGATTTGGCATCCCTCTCGAGACAGTTTTGCCGCGGCAACCTCGAAGGCGGACAATCTCGAGTCCAAGCTCGAGAAAAAATACATCAAGACTCAGATCCGCATTTTCGAGCGCAATGCCGATGACCAATATGGCACCATCAAAACATTAGACTGCGCCGCGGCCGACATCAATGAGTTGGCTATGAGGCCCAACAGTGCTGCGTTCTCGTACATTGCTGCCAGTTGCACTGATGGCAAGGTATACGTCTGGGACACATCTGCGACTGATTCTCCCATGTGTGTCTTGGAACACGGAGGTAAGTTCTGCTAGAGTTCGTAGCCTGGGAAAGCGTTCCATCTAACAACTTGCCAGAACCCGTGGAAGAGCTTTTAGGCGATAGGGAGCAGGAGGACGTTGGAGTTAAATTCGCAGCCTGGGGTTCGACCGCCGACCGTTTCTACACCGGGTCCTCAGATGGAGTGGTCAAAGTCTGGAACATCCGTCACGGAAAGGCTGTGCTCGTTCGGGATCTGATCGAGGTGGCTGGACCTATCACGTTTGGTGCTTTCTCCCCAGATCACACGAAGCTCGTCATCGGAGACGGAACCGGCCGAGTCTGTCTTCTGACACTGGACGAGGAGCAGCCGGCCGCCACCGACTCGAACCCATGCATCCAACCCAGTTTCCTGAAGTTGCAGTCCGGTGGAGGTCAACAAAGGGTCATCCGCCATCCTCGCCCTTTCATACCCCATCCAGAAGTTCCGCCGCCAGACGCGAAGACTAGTCAAGAGCTGGCGAGAGGCTATCTCGAGCGGCAAGAACTCGAAATATGTCCGAACCCCAAGATCGGTGCGGTTCAGGGGCCGCAGTACGCCAACACCGGACTGTTCCGCGCCGAAGCCCACCGGAACGAAGATCCATCCCAGCCCTTGTTAGGGGCTTTCGAAAGACAGCAGCAGGAGAACGTAATCGAGGACGAACCTCGAAGGGCACTGAAGATTAAAGACATAGAAGAAGCAGACATTGTTCAACGGGATACTCACATGAAGAACAAATCGGTGACATCGGCGGACTTAGATATTACTAGTCTCGATATAAACACTCGATTAGAACTCGAAGCGGAGAGAGCCGAGGTGTGTGTACAGTACGACTATAGATACGAAGAAGACTAGGCCTACACGGTTCGGACTTTCCGGATTCCGGAGACAGCTGGATGGATACCTAGCCGATTGAAGATTTACATAGCCGAACAATCACGTATCTTCAATACTGCCTTGTAAAAGCTGTAACGTACGGGATTTCTAATTTTATGCAATCAGCCTCTCTTACTTTACAACACAGAAAGTACATGCGTTTTCAGGAACAAGGGCTCAACTGTTTCTAGGATGTTACATCTACGTTCGGCGTGTTGAGTTATATATTGACACGGTTGCATAGCAGTTGTCCCCGCCACCAAGTGACAAAGAGCGCTGGACACTCCGTGTTTTAACTCAATGTACGTGTAATCTATTACAGCCGTGAATTAGCAGTAGAAATGGCTCAAACCGGAACATTCCAGACGAGCTTCTGGATTTGGGACAAGTGGAAGGAAGGAAATAACGTACAACCCCACCTTTCCGGCCACCTAATCTACCAACTACAACAACCTTCGGCACAACAGATTATCGTCGGTATTGGCTATTATTATACAATGCCTCGATATTCAGAAAATTCGATTCAAGGCGCTCTCAACGATATCAATCAAGGGATATCCCAGCGCCAGGCTTCCCTCCGATGGGGCGTTCCACGCTCTACCCTATAACTTCGTTACGCCCCAAACCTCGTAAGAAGGTACGATTAGGGCCTAATGAACGATTTGGTAACATTGTACAGATTAAGGAAGCGATGGATCGAGCCCTTGAAGTAGAACGGCAACGAGACCAGGTACAACGTCGGAATCAGGTAATACTGGACCCAGCTAAGGCGTCAGAATCTATCAGATCTATACCTCAGGAAGCCCTAGAGCACAGCTTTCTATTAGAGCTGGTTGTACCTGAATAGCTATAATAGTACGTTGAATACACTGTTTCGAATACCTTCAATTGGATTGCAATATGTGGCCATAAACGTGGGTGGCCGGAAAGGTGGGTTGTACGTTAAAGGACCCTTTGGTGCGTCTTATTTCTACACGGGACGTATTTCCTACATTGGATCACTGAGCACTGGAATGAGCCAATAGGCGTTGCCGAATGACTAAGACAAGGACGCCGCTGGCAGCTCAAGGGGGGAGGGACAGCTAGTTTCTGCGGATACTTACCCGGTCACGGGGATCCGAACGGCTCGGGTTTGCTTGCATGGTTTTGATATTTCCCTCAATTCTGGCCAATCTCGAGGAAAGGAAAAGGGGGGTATGAGATACCCAGCCGCCTCGGCCAGTCCAATCGAATCAGATATCGGACGGACGCAGCGATGTGGACGAGTAGTGCCTATAGCGAGGAAAGGCTAAAGGGGGTGTGGATATCAATGTGCGGAAACGTTCTAGAAAGCAGCAGCTGCAAACTGACTTGTGCACTGGTTGCTCGGCAACTCGGCACTCGGTTCGAAACGTTCACTACCAGTGATTAGCCGGCTGGGACAGGGTCTCAGGTTTGTCTTGACTCGCTCGCCTTGCTCTGAGTATGGTGTGCGGCTGTTTCGTTTCTCGTCTGGAGAAAAAGCATACCGTACGTGCAACATCAGATAAGTTGATGTAATAAAGTTTCTGCTCTTGCGTTTGGTGTATAGAGTACTTCGTCCTTGGATATTGGGTATAATTGGAATGAGATCTGTGGCTGCTGTGCTAATGGACCGACCCGTATACGACGATCCCGGATACCACCTGCCTGCTTCTCATCGACAGCCAGCGCAGCTTGGCGGTTCACGTATTTGACATCAGGGTAGTGGACAAAGAGTCATGTACTCCGTACCATGTAGCATCATGTCATCGCAGCTCCTCGGCATTGCTGTTGAGGTTCAGACTTTGGGGACGATGATCCATATCCATCGAGTCAGACAGCTACCACCTCACTCCGCACTCCCTCACCGTAATCCGCATACCAACGCATCGTTCTCCTCCACCGAGCAAGCAGCAGCATCGCATCGAATCGTGAAATCCACACCGGAATATCTTGGCTGACCAGCTTCGTTTACTCAGCTCCGCAAACCCCCCACCTTTTCGACGGCCCTTCTCCAGGAAATTACCCCATCACCCACCGCCTCGAATACCGCAGAGGGAGCGGCCAGCTGGTGTGTACTCCTTACACGTACAGGAGGAGCATTGTCGATCACGGAAGCACGGCGGACGAGCGAGCGACACGACTCACGAAATGCCTCATCCAATGTTTTGTGTGTCTGTCTGTCCGGCTACTACCACATCTCGTATCGTTGCATCCACGGAGTTGATCATTTCTCGTAGATGCCACGGTTGCCCCAGCACCGCCAAGCATGTCGTCATCCGCTGCAGATAGATAGCAAAGTCCTTCTCTTGACAAACCCCGACCAGCCAAGACCAGAAATCTGTCAGCTACACATCTCAAATCCGCCCTGTTCTGTAAAAATCGCATCTCCACAGAAAAAAAAAGGTAGATCGGAGATGGTACATGCAGTAGTGCTAATGCATTGGCTGCATGCAAGTCCTCTTTCTTTCCTGCATATGCAATCTCAGGGCCTTCCCAGCTTCCATGGCGTCTCCCGCCCTCTGTCTCCGCATACATGTTCCAAAAACCACAAAAACAAAAAAAAAAAGTAATTAAGGAAAAGGTGAGTGCCCTGGACAATGGTCGCAATATTGCGGCCCACCTAGATTGACAAGCCCAGAATACTGCGTCGTCCCTCCAGGTCTAGCCATCGTACATACCTAATGTGCACCTCACACGCTTCCACGTCTATACATAATATAGGACCCTCCTATTCCAATTTCCTAATTTTATGCCTAGCCTTAACCCGAAGTTTAACTACTCCTTATCTGCCCTGATTGCCCCAAACCGTATCTTTCAGAGAGAAGACGCGTCTATAGTACTAGGTGCACTTGTACGCGGAAGTTTTACCCTTATCAGGGGTGGGATACTAACCAACCTAGATTGGGGATGTGCTCCATTGTAGTCCTTGTCTAGCGCCCCGGAGCGACGACACAGAGTATTCTGGGCTTGTCAACCTAGGTGGGCTGCGATATTACCCACTTATGGAGCCCAGGTTAGCTTGTCCCATCCATAGCTCCCCACTAGAGCTGTCTCTTGGCCCAGCTCTTTTTCGTGGAGTGCTGCGCGTAGGGTGGATACTCCGGTTCGGAAATTTCAATAGCTACAACGGTACTTGGGTACTCCTTGAATCGACCAGGAAGAAAAACGAAAAATGGTCAAACTGTGTGGAGCTGTGGAGTTTTGTTTTGACAGTGTGCCGTACGGTCCCACGAAATTTATGGAGCCAGAAATTGGCACACTGTGTTCGCGTTCTCTTGCCGGGGGGTGCTGGCTGCATCCAACCGCGATGCCATGACGGGTCCTTGCTGGTGCATTGCCCTCGGGAGGATACCCCTTTTTACGAGTTGCAACTTGGTCATCGCCTTCGACTCTAGACTTTTTCCTATACGTTAACCTCTTGACGTTCCTATCGGCGATTAGTTGTCAATGGATGACGGCTGGTCCTCCTCATCTTCACTGTACAAGGTTATGGATAATACGATGGTTTGGGTAGTCAATCGGCACGTGTTCTAGGTCAGCGTTTACGAGCAAAACGTATGATGATATAGAATAGGTGGATGAGGTTCACCTGAGCAAACGCATTGTGACTCATCTGTAAAACAACATTCCATTTGTGATGTAGCTATGGACTTCGGGAGGCTCAAGATGTAATTAACAGCCTAGATCTCAGGTAACCGTGGTGTACATATCCAGAGTTGGATGAGTTAAGGTACCTCGCCACCACTTGGTTGGGTCCCTGAATCGTCCCAAATGCTTCATTATCGTAACAAAACACTGATGGCGACCAATACCATCGCTAGTCGTAGTAGCGATGCTGGATTTTCCATGCAATACGCCTCATTTCCTTACCACCAACGCCTGTGATGCTATGCTATGCAGTCGTAGAATATTCGCACCCAACAGGCGACCTGTCTATGGCTGATCTGAAGAATCGTCAAGATGCGTGACCCCTGAGGTATATAACTCCGACGTGGGTCAGCAAAATTCGGACCAATTTAGAAGATGAGTACACCGAAATAAAGTCGAACAATGGCGAGATGGTCCACTCAATCATCCTAGTGTGGTGCAGGAAAGCTGAAGCCCGGCGGGAATACTGGCATTCCGTTTGCTCCAGCGGCGAGACCAAAGCCAAAGTCAGGAACGGCAGGCTGGTGGTCGTTCCCAGGTCCTCTGTCATCACGTCGATCGTCGCGACGGTTTTCCTTATTTCGGCGCCATCTGGTAAGGTTCCCTCCCTCATTGTCGTCACCACCACGGCTTGACCTGGGTCCCTGACGACCACCTTTGTCAGTCTGCATACGACGACTTATGGCCTTGGAAGAGACACCAGCGCCAATCTCAATATCGGGCTCTTCAACGACCATGCCTGACTCAATAGCACGACCGCCACTGCCTCCAAATTCGGCTGTCAGCATCCACTTGCGGTCCGCATCCGTGAGTTTGCTGATGGGGATGACACTGATGCCGGTTGAGTAGTCGCTACAATCACGGGGGCCAAAGCCTACACCCCAGCGAGTCTGCACGACGTTAGCGGCTGACAGATTATGCGCACTTCAGCATTACTTACTCTGAACTGGCTGTTCTCCATAGCCTCCTTGGCGGCGACAGCATCTCGTCGGTTGATCATCTTGACGAACGCATGTCTCTTGTCCTTGTTGACGATGCAAGTTTGCACCTGACCATGCTGTCCAAACATGTTGCGCAATTCCGACTCGGGGCACCTATACAAACATAAGTCAGATGCATGACGGATGAGAATAAGCAAACATACGTGACACCTCCCACGAAGAGAGTTCTGCTCAAAACTACAATCACGTCAGCGTGTTAACAATCAACTCTCATGAAAGCGCATACCCTTGATGTTGCCTGAGCCAATACTGCGGTCAAAATCAATCCATTTCTGGCCTGGGACGGGTCGGTCATATCGGGGGCTTGGACTGCGGCCGCGGCGACCCGGCGGGCTGCGTTGGCGGTAGTCCGGACGACCACGGCGATCTTGCTCGTCCATGCGTCCCCGGCCGGGAGAGTCATGACTAAAATGACCAAGACCAGGCCCGCGATCATTACGTCTATGAGAAGAGTCACGAGAGTCCCAATGACGTGGAGGAGACCGAGATCTAGATCGAGTGCGATATCTGTTGGGTGATCTCACAGAGTTGTGGAGGTCCTGTCGATCACGTGATTCATCTGGTCTAGAGGGGCCCTGACCCCAAGCTGAACCACCGTACGGATTTTGGTTCTGCGGAGGTACAAGGGAATGGGCAGCAATAGGAGGAGCAGAGGCAGGAGTTGCAGCTTGCATCGTTGCTAGTAGTGCTGGAATCTGGGCCTGAGGGATGCCCTGATCCAGTAGGAGTTTAATTAGCTGCACTTGCTGAGCAAAGCCGGGATCCACGCCAGCAGCCGGAAAGCCGTTGGCTTGACTACTTGCAGTCACAGGCATAGTAGGAGCTTGTGCTGGAACGGATACCTGGAGAGGATACGCATATGGCATCGCGGGTACGAGTGCGGGTGCATTTACAGGCGCCGGAGCTGCTGGGTAAGAGTAGCCAGGCTGGCTCTGGCTTACTGGCATAGGCTGCTGCTGCTGATGAGCTGGGTCATTCTGCGGATTTGCTATACTGTACGCGTTGTCGCGGGCTGGCAGCGCGGCACTGCTGGTCGGTGCCGTGATGTTCTGTCGAGCTATGTTGGCCAGTGCTTCCATGATGGCATTGGGGGCTTCCGTGGTCGGTGCTTTAGCTTCGACCATTCCATTGGAGCCGGGCAGGCCGGGCAGACCGGGACCAGGAGGCGGACTGCCGACTGGTGTCGTAGATACATCTATTTCAACGGCAAAATCGTTAGATACGTGACTTTGACACGGAATGTTGCGATTGGGAGACCCTGGTTGCCGTCCTTGGACTTGGAAGCAAACCAACCTACTTTTGATTTCAGGTGAGTTGAGCTTCTGCTTGAACGTCTCGATCATTGATAGAGGGAATGACTGTCCTTTTTCCCAGATATCAACGAGCTTCCTTAATTTCTCCTACAAGGCACATAGTCAAGTAAGTGGGTGTTCTGAGGCAGGTATTGTCCAGGTTACCGGTCGTAGTGGCAATATCGTAGTCAGCATGGAGATCAAGATATCAGAACCCACGCAGTAGAAACGAGCATCTCTACCGCCGACATTGCCAGCCGAGGCTACGAGAAACCTGCCATGAATATTTGATGAAGCGTACCTTTTGTTCTTTGGGGGCGGATTGTAGGATGTCATTCATCAAGACGGGAAGCAGCTCCGTTACTCTATGCACACCAGCAGCGAAGGTCCCATCTGGCGCAGAACTATTGATTGCTTGACCTTGTTGCTTGGCCATATCAATCCACCTGCGGGTTACAGAGTCTACGACGTAAAGCACGCCTAACTTGTGGGTTCCGGGAGTCTTCTTGAAGTGAGTATATATCTTCTGGATGAGGACCGATTCGGACTAGAAACGCGAGAAAATGTGTCAGCATGTTCATGTTGCACTATTGCATCGTATGTGAGAAGTGTGGACGACCCCTACCTGAACGTTGTCAACGCAGAGTGCGGTCAAGTTTTTGATATAGGAACCGGTAACCCCAGGGGGCTTGAGATTGAGCATGGCATTCAAGCCAGCTTCCAGCTGTGCTACTGCCGACATCTTGATGAGGGCTCCTTTTGGCAGTACACAGACAGATGGACACGTCGTAGCTCTAGGTGGACTCCGGCGGTGCCGTTGAACCGACGACACTGCCAATGTGGACTGGCCTAGATGGTCACCAAGCACTATGAGGTCTTGCGTCAATGACGATATGTGTGTGTTGCCGTAATCAGCAAATTACAGTCCGGCTCCAGCTTCACGGAGAGATCTAAATGAGCAGGTCTGGTGATATTGCAACAGTTGGGAATGCGCGGCGAAAATGACGCGGGGATTACGGTGGCGCGCCCCAAAAGTCGCTAGCGCAGCGATAGAGCTGAATTGTCTAAGAGACAGAGATACAATCGGCTTCAGATGTGGGCGATGTCAGGCCGATGGCTTCTAGATGGGAGTATGCCTGTACGGTAGTGGCAATAATAGAGGTGGAAGGATGGGGAGATACAATCCAGAAACGTAGCAGATTCAAATTTGTTGGAGCGTCAACTTCTGCCTCAGGCAGCCGAAGCTTAGCCATTGCAACGTTATGTAATTTGAGAACTGCACAAGGAAAGCCGAAAGCCAAGGTGGTTGGCCCGAACTTCTTTTACACCGAAGGTACCTCGAAGCAAAATTCCTTTCAAGGTTCGTGTATTTTTCTCCAGCTGTAGCCCGTATGCAACGGATTGACTTCTCAACTGTTGGACATGTTCTCAGTGGTGGGGGAAGACTTTTTCACAAATCAAAAAAAAAATTAAATAAAAATAAACTGAGATAAAAATTCCAGAGTAATGGGGCAGAACGCAAGATACAAGCAGGCCTCCGGACAACTGGACGTCATACTTTACCTTTACCCCGGGAATCCACTGTACTGTGTCGCGGCTTCGAAATCCGACGCCGCGGGGACCACCGTTCGTTTAACATCTTCTTATGAAGCAAAAAATATAATTCAGTAACAAAACTATTCTAGTACTATTCCACAGCTATTCCACTAGCAACTCAAATGGGAAACTGCTTCACAGTGATTGGAAATTAACATTGGAGGTCAATTGGCTTAGAACCTTCGCTTGTAAGAGTACCGGCTGCTACCTTACAGCCGTCAATGGCTGAGTGGAGATCCCTCAACAATGACCGGAGAGAAAGAGAATGCCCGTGCGTCTATTTCTATCTCTTCTAATTCTTCGGCCTGCGGGAAATTGTTACAACCTCTTCTCTCCAATCCTTGGCCAGCTCCCTCGCGCACCTTGTTTCTTGTTCCATTCAGCGGTATTATACAAAAGAAGACACAATGGCTTCGATGCGCCTAAGTTCTTCCGCACTGCGAGCGTTGCGAACTCCCGGGTTCACAGTCCGTAACACTGCCTTCACTGCCGCGAGATGCTACTCGGCAAAGACCCAGGTACGGTCCATCCGAACGAGGGCCCATTGGTTTCTATGAAATTTATCTAACATATTACAGACTCTGAAGGAGCGCTTTGCTGAGCTGCTTCCCGAGAAGATCGAGGAGATCAAGGCTCTCCGCAAGTAAGCCCCTCCCTCCCCCATGACGGATAACAACCGAATTACAGCTCACACCTGTTGCAGAGAGCATGGCTCCAAAGTCATTGACAAGGTCACTCTTGACCAGGTTTACGGTGGTGCGCGAGGCATCAAGTCCCTCGTGTGGGAAGGCTCCGTTCTTGACTCCGAGGAGGGTATTCGCTTCCGGGGCAAGACTATTCCCGAGTGCCAAGAACTTCTTCCCAAGGCTCCAGGTGGCAAGGAGCCTCTGCCCGAAGGTATGGATCATGTCTCGAATCCAGCTGAAGTCCGGAACTGACAGCGACCTCCTTAGGCCTCTTCTGGCTCCTCCTGACCGGCGAAGTGCCTACTGAGCAGCAGGTCCGCGACCTGTCTGCTGAGTGGGCCGCTCGATCCGACATCCCCAAGTTCGTCGAAGAGCTCATCGACCGTTGCCCTAGTGATCTTCACCCCATGGCTCAGTTCTCTCTCGCCGTTACTGCTCTGGAGCACACCTCCTCGTTTGCCAAGGCATACGCTAAGGGTATGAACAAGAAGGATTACTGGGGATACACTTTCGAGGACTCCATGGACTTGATTGCCAAGCTACCCAATATTGCCTCCCGCATCTACCAGAACGTCTTCAAGGGCGGCAAGGTTGCTCCTATCCAAAAGGACAAGGACTACTCTTTCAACTTTGCCAACCAGCTCGGCTTCGGTGAAAACACCGATTTCATCGAGCTCATGCGTCTGTACTTGACCATCCACACTGATCATGAGGGTGGCAACGTCAGCGCTCACACCACCCACCTTGTTGGCAGTGCTCTCAGCTCTCCTTTCCTTTCCCTGGCTGCTGGGCTGAACGGCCTTGCTGGCCCACTCCACGGTCTTGCCAACCAGGAGGTGCTAAACTGGCTCACGGAGATGAAGAAGGCTGTTGGCGATGATCTTAGCGACAAGGCCATCACTGACTATCTCTGGTCCACCCTCAACTCGGGCCGTGTTGTCCCCGGATACGGCCACGCCGTTCTCCGGAAGACTGACCCCCGATACATGGCTCAGCGCACCTTTGCCCAGGAGAAGATGCCCAATGACCCGATGTTCCAACTGGTCAGCCAGGTCTACAAGATCGCCCCCAAGGTTCTCACCGAGCACGGCAAGACCAAGAACCCCTACCCCAATGTCGATGCCCACTCTGGTGTCCTCCTCCAGTACTACGGTTTGACCGAGGCCAACTACTACACTGTGCTCTTCGGTGTCTCGCGCGCCATTGGTGTCCTGCCCCAGCTGATCATTGACCGCGCTGTTGGTGCCCCCATCGAGCGTCCCAAGAGCTTCTCTACCGCCAAGTGGATTGAGATCTGCAACAAGCTGTAAATGACACAGCAAGGTTGTATGTTTTACGCGGTGGAATGATGATTATACCGGATAGAATGGGCTCATTCAAACGGGCAGTGTAGGGTCATATGGGGGGTTGGTGTTGGGCAGGCTCCTGATGATACCACACGCTGCACTTGTACATTACATACTCATGGATTACGGTCTGTGCAGTTGCTATCAATTATATTTTGCAAATTCTGATGCTCCACTCCAATAGAAATAAATCGAAACATTTGAAAGACTGGCGGCAATGTATACTAAAATACAACTCGGTGTACGCCGCATTACATTAATTTAGTTTTGCGGCCATTTGTTCTTGCTGCTAAACCCGAAAGTTGCCGAACCAATGTACAAACGTTCCAACGGGTCGGAAGCTTCAATAGTGAAATGGTGTGGTTGAGGCTTTTCTTGTTAACCTCCGGCAATGCTAAAAAAGCAAAGCTAAGGCTATTGTGGGAAGGGCAATGATTCCTGTTGGGGATCCGGATGTGTGCAGGCCGGGCTTTGCGCTGCCGTACGGCTGGCTGGCTTTGTTGAGCTACTCTGCTTGGCAAATCAGAAAGAGAGTTCTGATTATGACCATGGAGCTAGTCAGCTTCCCGTCTTGTTTGTACCACCGTGGCTAGCTGATGCTCATCCTCCAAAACCCTGCATCTCCGAAAAGGAGTATTTCAAATCTACCGGACACAATATCAAATCGCACATCCCGACTTCCCTTCGCGCAAGGAAATCTACTGCTACTTGAACGAGGTAAGTGCAACCCCATTCCTCTCGTAGCTTCCCTCAACCCGACGGCTCGGGCCACCTGACCCACTATTCTCTGGATACATCCATACCATTATCTTGTGCTCACTGCATAGTAAGCTTACCCGAAGCCATACAGACATCCTCTGGCGTATAGCAACATCCCCGATTCGAACCCCGAAATCCCTGCCTCTGCTGTACTCTTCAGCTCCCCAGATTTTCACATCTTTCGGTTCCATCTCTGTTACCCCGTTCCCGCCGCTTCGCCCTTCGCGACGCCTTCTTTCTTGCCTTGGTCAGGCCCGCCAACAACATCCAACTCTGCGATGTCTGCTCCCTTCGCTGGCGCAATGCCGTCGAAAGACGATAAAAAGATAGAGAAGAAGCCCATACGCTTCTCGAATCTGTTGTTGGGAAGTGGTCTGAATCTGTTCGAGGTGACGACCCTGGGCCAGCCACTTGAGGTTATCAAGACCACCATGGCAGCGAACCGTGGCGATAGCTTCACTGCGGCGCTGGGGCGCATCTGGAACCGCGGCGGCGCATTCGGCTGTATGTTCAACTTTCTTGGACTCCCTGTTTGCCAAGATAGAGCTGTTGCTAACTTGGGGGTTTGCCTAATATACAGACTATCAAGGTCTCATTCCCTGGGCCTGGATCGAAGCCTCAACCAAGGGTGCCGTGCTGCTTTTCGTCGCCTCGGAGGCTGAATACTATGCTCGCGTTGCCGGCGCCTCGGAGTTCGGTGCTGGCATCACCGGTGGTGTCATTGGTGGTGTTGCTCAGGCATACGCCACCATGGGATTCTGCACCTGCATGAAGACGGTTGAGATCACACAGCACAAGCTAGTCGCGTCCGGCGTCAAGCCTCCCAGTACTTTCACGACCTTCATGAACATCTACCGCCAGGAGGGTATCAAGGGCATCAACAAGGGTGTCAATGCCGTTGCCATCCGTCAGATGACCAACTGGGGTTCGCGATTCGGCCTCTCGCGTCTGGCTGAGCAAGGCATTCGTCGCGTCACCAAGAAGGAGAACGGCGAGGCTTTGTCCGCCGTTGAGAAGATCACGGCTTCGGCGCTGGGTGGCGGTTTGTCCGCCTGGAACCAGCCCATCGAGGTCATCCGTGTCGAGATGCAGAGCAAGAAGGAGGATCCGAACCGACCGAAGAAGATGACAGTTGGCAACACCGCCAAATACATCTACCAGAACAACGGTCTCAAGGGTCTTTATCGCGGTGTTACCCCGCGCATTGGGTTGGGCGTTTGGCAGACGGTCTGCATGGTGGCCATGGGCGATATGGCCAAGACTTACGTTGAGAAGTTGACCGGTGAAAAGGTTACGGCGAAGCATTAGGCGGCGTTTGTTTTGGTCCTCCTCCCTGTGGATGGGAGTTTTGAGGTTGCGTGCTATGGGTACGGCTTTTACTGAGGGACGGACACGAAGGAAATTTCGGTATAGTGGTTATAGACGTTACCGAGGGACTGGCCGTTCGAGTAGTCCTGCGCCTTGCTGTTTTTATAGTATAATACAATTGACCAATTTTGGTATCATGGCGCTCCTAGGGTCGAACTATTCATATGTCAGCCTTCTACTGCTTTTGAGAAGTTGAGAAATATCCATGCAGTATCCTTCTGACCTTGACCTCGACCTTTCCCCCGAACATACTTCGGGATCTTGAACGTTGGATACCGGTATAGTTGCATATAATGATAGTGATTATTCAGTGGTATAACAGTGCAGATAGACCCCATAGAATAATTATGTTTATTCCACGGAGTATAATCCTTGCCATCGTTGAGACGAGAGATGATCGAATGGGAAGACAACGATACATCAATAAGATACAATCAACGATAAGGAGCATGGAAGCCTCGGTCAATAAATGTGTCCTCCAGTGGACTTGATCCACAGCTTCTGAGCTTTGGCCCAGGCCCATCAAGAACACGCACGAATAGCAATTTATAAGAGTTCGTCATATTAATAACTACACAGGTAGGCTTCCCGTCAAGCAACAGCGACCAAAATGTCTCCATTCCGTTGCTATGACGCAGAATTGGCAATCGCGTTCGCAATACCGACAAAGCCGATTTGCTCTACCTTTCTCGTGTCATATCGTTAAGAAGGGCTCCACATCGAGGAGGGCCGATAGGTATTAGTGATCTAGAACTATGTTTTGGTAAGGATACTTCGGACCGTCCCATTGCATAGTATGTTTCGTTTAATACATGGCTTTTGATGTTGGTTACAGGGCCATATTAGTCAATGGTTTTGATGTACCTCGGTCAAACTGTGGTGTTGCGTGCCTAGCAGAGAGGACTTACCCACTATTATAGGGGTTACTCCATTAACGAACAGGTAACACTTGAGATGCAGCCGTTAAGTTGAAACGGCGCAGTACTGGAAACTCCCATATCTGGCTCTAAAAAGTTCCAGCTGTTAAAGGGCAGATTGAGAAAATCACAATATGCTGATGATCGTCAAACCCCCCAAGATGAAAACACCCTGGGGTGGGAGGGGGAGACTATGTGATAGTGCTGCGTGATGGCGACGAAGATAGAGGTCGAGAAAGGAATGGCGAAGATTGGAGTCGAGGGCTCGGCTTTAGGATGATAGAGATTATTGTATTCAAGCTGCAAGTCACAAAAACTATCTTGAAATTTGCGACCCCGAGGAGCTGCACCCAGGAATCATATATTGCACTAGGGTTGACGTCAAATAGAGTATATAGTGAATTGCGTCGGGTTTGCCCAACTTGAGCAACGTCGTCTGGCCTTGTTGTGACTTATAACGGCATAGGCGTCAGGATTGTCTTGAATAGTAATGTCTTTGCCCATGAGTCCTTTCCACTGGACATCTTCGCTCGCGATTTCACAACATTAAAATCCATTACTATGTCGACAATGGTGACAATCTAGCCATCAGTAATGCAGTGAAGCACAATACGCAATCATGCGAGAGAGTATCGGGGATGATTTGATGGGCGCATTAGCACTTTATCCAAATCAGGAGCATGAGTAGTTACGGCCAGCTGAGTTCGATTATACATATTAAATAAAGAACGTACATGTCACCCCTTACTACTAACGGCTTCACGTCCCGAACTTCCCAGTTCCCTGGTTAACAACAGCAGAATGAGCAACCAGGAGTATCCAGGTGGTTTTAGAAGCACCAATTATAAACGCACGAAATGGATATCGTGTTGTCATGTCTGTGAGACCCCCAGGATTATTCCACTCCCCTCCCCGACTTTTCAGACCTGGTCACAGTCTCAATCTAGCAGGCCAAGCCGTTTGAGAAGTGGCAAAGCAATATGGCTCACGTATCCATGTGCAAAGAAGACATGACAAGAAAATCAACTTGTTTAGTGATGATGTGAGACAGTTTAAGGTTGTTCATTATATACGCACTCCTCAAAGATTAAGTAAGCAATTATATGAACACTGCCTATTGTCTCTTGGCAAGTAGACAGTACTTACACACAAGCCTGCATGTGAAATTTGGAAACCGATTGCATGTGTAGCGGTTTCTAGAAAACTTCGCTCTGTGCAAACGGGCTGACTAGTCTTGACATATTGTAAGGAAAAGGTGACGAGCAGGGTGACGAGTTCTCCACTGCAAAGCCAACTGATATGCAAGAGTGCAAACCCAAGCTCACATCAATTCATCAAGTAAGTTCAATACTTTGTTTGATTTCGAGGTTTCGAGTCCAATCATTCTCCGATCTGGGACAAAGAACCCCCGTCTTCCTCCGTTTGATACCTTAGCCAACGGCTAAAATGTTTCGAGTTCCCCAAATATGAAAACGAACAATAGCCAAGGCCAACCTACTCCTGCCCAGAGTCTTGGAACTACAGCAATTTATAGTCTGGAGGTGACGATCGGCCTCATGCCAAGAAGAGACGGATTGGTAAGCTGCCTTACAGAGACACGCGTGTTCCTGAACGAGTGAATGGTGGTTTGATGTGCAGTCTTGGCTCTGTATTCCGCGTACGGGCCATCGCGTCCTCGGTGGCTCTGCAAAAAGAATATCTGCGGGGTACAGAAGAAGCCGCAATCCTCATGATAGGGAAGCAGTACTACCAGACAGTGAGCGCGATGTCCTAATCATTCCACAGCCAGCTACGTGGAACAATCAGTACAGGAGGTTGTGTCATGGTGATCACCTACTTCAAGTGTCGTGACCTTCTGTGGCTTGAATGTAATCTTCAGTCTTGGCCCCAATGGTCGATATCAGAGTTGAACTTTGAGGCTTGGCTGAATGCAAAGGATTGTCAGACGTTGGGTGGATGATTTCGCGAACTTGTGGCTTGAGTCAAGAGATTCGTCAGAGCCTTCGTATCGCTTTCCTCTAACCAGCAGGATTTATGCTTGTGAATTCTAAAAAAGCATGGGAGTTACCAAATCACAATGCATCTAATGTGTCCTCCCAGCCACTTTTTGGAATGGTGGAAAGTGCGCCAAATTATAAAGTCCTGGCAACCAAACATGAACGGATGGATCCGCGCGACAGGCGGACAGCTGAAGACAAGCTTTCATGACCCAGTTCTTCAGCTGCAAAGTTATGTAAGTTGGCAACTTGATCAGACCTGAAAATAACGTCATGTCACTGTCTCCGGTTAAGCATGTAACTCTCTGTTCACCTTCGGCTGGTTGGGTTCGAGGCTGTCAAGGCAATGGCTGCCGAAGGTCTGATCCAAGGTATCAGATGTCGTGGCGTGTTCTCTCGCATGCGTCGGACTTGCACACCATCCGGAGGTCTGAGTTGACACGAAACTGTACGTTCTGATCTAGAACAACTCTATTCCCCAAAGCTACCGAGAATCGGGAGACTTGGAGCTTCTAGAAGAACTCTGCTGTAGGCTATGAGTAACTGCAACACTGATCAGACGGGGCTGCTCAGAACTACCGGAGCAGCTACTGCGGTTTTCACATGTGCAGGTCCGGCCGAGCTGTCTTTGACATCGTTGCCAACTTGCAAAATGGCCGAAAACTGGAGACGAATGAAAGCCGTGCGGCGTCTACGTACGATGGGCTGCCACTTGAAATGAGTTGTTCATGCGATGCGTTGTCTTATGTGATCAGGTCAGGTAAGCAACACACTGGCTACGACTGATGACAAGATCTAAATTGTAAACAAACTCGCGAACAGACATCCATCCTGATAAACAGGCTCCTAGGTTTCGTTTCACACCTGCGAAAGCTATCCTTGTCATCACAGCTTTGCCCTGCACACGGTTGTGGTTGCTCGGCACCAGACGCATCAAGCTTTGGACGAAATACTAGACGAGGAAGTAGAAGTGGTTTGACACTGTGTTGTGCAGGCCTAAGTCGTTGTAACTCGACGGATGCAACAGTACCAAAGGACCGCGCTTTTTTGACTTGGACAGTCCCTGACTGATAACGACAATCGAGACGTCTTCTCGGCGCTATCGCGACTCGCGCCCTCAGCAGCTCGGCTGGCGGAGCGCGTCTTCTCAATAAACAACAAAAGTGGGTACTCCGTACGAAATACCGCGTAATGTCCGATCGTGCAAAAAAGTCCTCCTCCTCCACAGCGCTGTCAGGGTTTAGTGGGGGCAAGCCTGGGGATTTATCGGCGTGCAGGCGCGTCGAGGTCTTTGCGTAGTGGTGTGGTTCCAATGTCAACCTCTGTGCTGGGGAAATGCTGGCAGAGTCAAGTGGGTGGGTAAGACCGTTAGAACGACGCTGGAATTGCTAGTCTGCACCGTGTCAAGTCCAGACCGCCAGACGTTGTTGCTCTGCTACCAACATCGTGCATCGCGTAGGCATTCAGGGCGCATTGATTGGCGAATCTCAATGCCGGCGGGGCCGGTAGCTATCGCGCCGACTCTTGAGCTGTGATCCCCGGTTCACCTCTGCGAGGCGAGCATGCGAGGCGAGAGCGACAGCGAGTGATGGTAGTGCCGTGATTGACGTCCCGACTCGATAACCACACTATCATGACAGGGCAATGGCTTGGCCGTTAGCCGGAGGAAAAGGATCTATGACATTACGGGTTGGAGCGTCGTATGTGGGTTCTGTTGACGATGTCCGTGGCGTTTGTCAAGATGTATTGCGCCGTCAACCGCTTGTGGTAATGCGACTTGGAACCAGCACGTTTCCGCCACAACGGTTGCAAAGACAACGTACAACCCCACCTTTCTGGCCACCTAATCCGCCAACTACAACAACCTTCGGCACAACAGATTATCGTCGGTACTGGCTATTATTATACAATGCCTCGATATTCAGAAAATTCGATTCAAGGCGCTCTCAACGATATCAATCAAGGGATATCCCAGCGCCAGGCTTCCCTCCGATGGGGCGTTCCACGCTCTACCCTATAACTTCGTTACGCCCCAAACCTCGTAAGAAGGTACGATTAGGGCCTAATGAACGATTTGGTAACATTGTACAGATTAAGGAAGCGATGGATCGAGCCCTTGAAGTAGAACGGCAACGAGACCAGGTACAACGTCGGAATCAGGTAATACTGGACCCAGCTAAGGCGTCAGAATCTATCAGATCTATACCTCAGGAAGCCCTAGAGCACAGCTTTCTATTAGAGCTGGTTGTACCTGAATAGCTATAATAGTACGTTGAATACACTGTTTCGAATACCTTCAATTGGATTGCAATATGTGGCCAGAAACGTGGGTGGCCGGAAAGGTGGGTTGTACGTTAGCCGCAAACCAAATAAGCAATGATTCGACAAGTACACGATAAGCACTACTTGAAGAGCGGGAGCAAACAGCTCTCATCGTGTGGGACAAGCAGCACATACGGCAGCTCCGATGGCATTTGGGCACATGCCGATCTACAGACCGCAAAGCTCGCAGACACAGAATCTGGTGCACTCTCCGAGAGGCAATATCTGGTCTGGAACATCATTTGTCCTTTGCTTGATCTTGATCCTTTGCAATTATCCAGTAATATGCTATCCATTACGTTGATTGTGCGTAGAGTGCCTCGGGTGTATCATGAAGTGCCAATGCGAGTAAGTGCTAGCCAGAGATTACAACCACGGAAGGGTCGCCCAGTCAGGTTCTCACCTTCCTATCCGATTGGACTGACTCAGCTTGGGCACCCTTAGACCTGCCAAGTCCAAGATGAAAATGACGTATTGAGCAGCGGCACTTTGGCCGAGGGGTCGAGCGATTTTTGGAATCCCCATCCCGCATCCGTACTACAGTATAGCAAAAGAACGATCCAATTCCTCTCAATGGAGCGTGTACAGGAGTGAGATATGAAGATATCTGACTGGGCGGATTTGGCAAAACGATTAGTGGTCTTGGTGTTCTGCGCGTCCGTGTGTGAACAAGCGGGATCAGCGGGCAATAGTGTTGTGGCATCGATAACGATACGGCCGGCGTGTTGAACAAATAAGATAATGCCGCAGCGAACAGTCAATATCGATTGTTTCGCAAATCCTTAGCACACAGTGCAGATAAGTGCGAGAACCGGGCAGTGCGGATTTCACTTGAGCGGATCCAAGCCTGGATGTACCCTGCACAGGAGCTCATGGTGACATGGGCAAAGCTTGCCTCTTGAAATGTTCAACCTGAAATGTTTTGATACCTAGATTGAGCAAGATGCGCAAGAACGAAGGGGATGATAACACAACAAGCCGGTTCTCCCATGCCTCAATGGCTTCAGGACCAGTAGCAGTGACATTGGACATGTTCGGCCTGGACTTCGAGGCGATCTGAACAACGACGTCATCTGCGCCGAGATTGTTAAACAAGTTGAGGGATTATTTTGGAAGGTACCTTCTGGGAAAAACTTGTCAGGGTGGGGACATTGGAAGCTTTCATCAATGGATAGCACTACTCCGTACACTATGGCTAAGCTGAGGAAAACACACGCCCCCAGGTACCATGCTTTTCATCTACATGATAGAGTTCACTACATCCAGAGTATTGTGGACAATCGAATTAGCAAGCCGAGCAGAGGGGAAAAAGAAGTATTTTTTTCTTCTTCTTTTGAAATATCCCAGTGTACATCTTCTATGCGATGGAGAAGTTAATAGAAATCAAATTACGCCATAGTCGCCGGGTGTGAATTTCACTATTGCCGGGGTTTAAGATTGGTGTACTTCGTACCCTGCGCACCTTCTTTTGTACTGTATCTGTTATTCAGCAGTCAAGATCGGCCAAGTCCTGGTTCCTAGGTAAACGTGCCGAACCCTGCGATTTACTCGTACAGCCTAGAGGTCCACACCTTACACTGTATTGCGACTGGGTGCCTGGGTGCTGCTGCTCTCTCCACACGCCGAAAGTAAAGTCGCTCATTCCGCCTTTAAAATTGACGCTTCCCTCTGTCAGTTGCGATTCCTTTCCCTTTCACCTCTACGCAGGCCCTCGACTAGCCCTTTCGTCCTCTCCTCTCAGTCGTTGGTTTTGTGTGAGACTCCTCCCCCATATTCATCTTTACACCTCGGTCGCCCTCACGACGACTCGCACCTAATATCCGGCCCTACTACCCTAATTAATTCGTCTTCTCTCATTCGCAGTGAGTAGAACTCAGTTTACTTCACGCGCCGCTATGGCCGAGTCAAACGCTGCCGCCGCGCCGGCCTTAAACACCAACATCGAGTCTGGCAAATTCGACGAGAAGGAGCGCCAACACGCCAATCCCGTTCCCACTAAAGACAAGACTGAAGAGGAGGACGAGGATGAAGACATCGACGCACTGATCGAAGATCTCGAATCCCAAGATGGACACGGTGGTGTCGACGAGGATGAAGAGGAGGAGACAACGCCTGGTGGTGGTCGTACCGTTCCCGAGGAGATGCTCCAAACGGACACCCGTGTCGGTTTGACTGACGCCGAAGTCACCAACCGTCGACGCAAGTTCGGCTTGAATCAGATGAAAGAGGAGAAGGGTAAGTCAACCATAACATGCAATTGTGTCGTGAGCTACCAGCTAACCTCATCTCTATAGAGAACATGATCCTCAAGTTCTTCTCGTACTTCGTTGGTCCTATCCAGTTCGTTATGGAGGCTGCTGCCGTCCTGGCTGCTGGTCTCGAGGATTGGGTCGATTTCGGTGTCATCTGCGGTCTCCTGCTCCTCAACGCTGCTGTTGGTTTCGTCCAAGAATTCCAGGCTGGTTCGATCGTGGACGAGTTGAAGAAGACTCTTGCTCTCAAGGCTGTCGTTCTCCGTGACGGAACTCTCAAGGAGATTGAGGCCCCTGAGGTCGTCCCCGGTGACATTCTCCAGATCGAGGAGGTTTGTATTTGCCACCCTTTGCTTATGGACCATCTTGCTGACCAGCCTTTCAGGGTACCATTATTCCTGCTGACGGTCGTATTGTGACCGACGATGCTTTCCTCCAGGTCGATCAATCTGCCATCACTGGTGAATCTCTTGCGGTCGACAAGCACAAGGGTGACCAATGCTTTGCTTCGTCCGCTGTCAAGCGTGGTGAGGCCTTCATGGTTGTTACTGCCACTGGTGACAACACATTCGTCGGTCGTGCTGCTGCTCTCGTCAACCAAGCCAACTCCGGAACTGGTCACTTCACCGAGGTGCTCAACGGCATTGGAACGGTGCTTTTGGTTCTCGTTATCCTGACCAACTTGGTTGTCTGGGTGTCCTCCTTTTACCGATCCAACCCCATCGTCACAATCCTCGAGTTCACTCTGGCCATCACCATTATCGGTGTCCCCGTCGGTCTCCCTGCTGTTGTCACCACCACCATGGCTGTCGGTGCCGCCTATCTCGCTCGCAAGAAGGCCATTGTCCAAAAGCTTTCCGCCATTGAGTCCCTCGCTGGTGTCGAAATTCTCTGCTCTGACAAGACCGGTACCTTGACCAAGAACAAGCTCTCTCTGGCTGAACCCTACACCGTCGCTGGTGTTGATCCCGAGGACCTCATGCTTACTGCCTGTCTCGCTGCTAGTCGCAAGAAGAAGGGTATTGATGCCATTGACAAGGCGTTCCTCAAGTCTCTCAAGTACTACCCCCGCGCCAAGAGTGTCTTGTCCAAGTACGTCGTTCAGGAGTTCTTCCCCTTCGACCCCGTCTCCAAGAAGGTTACCGCCATTGTCGTCTCTCCCCAGGGCGAGCGCATTACTTGTGTCAAAGGTGCTCCTCTCTTTGTTCTGAAGACGGTCGAGGAAGACCACCCGATCCCCGAGGAGGTTGACCAGGCCTACAAGAACAAGGTTGCTGAATTCGCTACCCGTGGTTTCCGCTCTCTCGGTGTCGCCCGCAAGCGTGACGGTGGCTCCTGGGAGATTCTCGGCATCATGCCTTGCTCCGACCCCCCTCGCCACGACACTGCCCGCACCATCAACGAAGCCAAGGGTCTCGGTCTCTCCATCAAGATGCTTACTGGTGACGCTGTCGGTATTGCTCGCGAAACCTCTCGTCAACTCGGTCTTGGTACCAACGTCTACAACGCTGAACGTCTCGGTCTCGGCGGCGGTGGTGACATGCCCGGTTCTGAAGTTTACGATTTCGTCGAGGCTGCCGATGGTTTCGCTGAAGTCTTCCCCCAACACAAGTACAATGTCGTCGAGATTCTGCAACAGCGTGGTTACCTCGTTGCCATGACTGGTGATGGTGTCAACGATGCCCCGTCCTTGAAGAAGGCTGACACTGGTATTGCTGTCGAAGGCGCTTCCGATGCTGCTCGATCTGCTGCCGACATTGTCTTCCTTGCTCCCGGTCTTGGTGCCATCATCGATGCTCTTAAGACTTCCCGCCAGATCTTCCACCGCATGTACGCTTACGTCGTCTATCGTATCGCCCTTTCGATCCATCTTGAGATCTACTTGGGTCTCTGGATCGCCATTCTGAACCGATCGCTGAACATTGAGCTTGTTGTATTCATCGCCATCTTTGCTGATGTTGCCACCCTGGCCATTGCTTACGACAACGCACCCTTCTCCAAGACCCCAGTCAAGTGGAACCTGCCCAAGCTTTGGGGAATGTCCGTCCTACTCGGTATTGTCCTCGCTGTCGGCACGTGGATTACTGTTACCACGATGTGTAAGTTTATGTTAGATCTCTCTTGACTGATAAGTACTGACAAGTGGTTGCAGACGCGAACGGTGACAATGGTGGTATCGTGCAGAACTTCGGTAACATGGACGAGGTGGTCTTCCTCGAGGTCTCACTCACTGAGAACTGGCTCATCTTCATTACCCGTGCCAATGGTCCCTTCTGGTCTTCCATGCCTTCGTGGCAACTCTCTGGCGCTATCCTGGTTGTCGACATTCTCGCCACCTGCTTCTGTATCTGGGGTTGGTTCCTTCCCGACAGCCAGCAGACTTCCATCGTTGCTGTCGTTCGTATCTGGATCTTCTCCTTCGGTGTCTTCTGCGTTATGGGTGGTGTCTACTACCTGCTCCAAGACAGCGTTGGTTTCGACAACATGATGCACGGCAAGTCGCCCAAGGGCAACCAGAAGCAACGCTCTCTGGAGGATTTCGGTAAGTTTTTGCGCGTTCTATTTCTGAAGGATGCCATGACTAACATGTTTCACAGTCGTTTCGCTCCAGCGCGTCTCCACCCAGCACGAGAAGTCCCAGTAGACTGCCCATGGCCGGGCGAGTGCAACGCCGAATTCTGGCCAGCACTTGGGAAAAAGAAATTCTTGACTGTCACATACTCTGGCATCTCGAGGTAACTTGATCTCACGAACGCCTTGGATGAGTGTGCATTATTCTTTTGCCTAGCATGTATGATGAGTCGGACGTGTACCCGGTTAATCGCCGGTTCATGATGAATCCTGGGGTATACCCAACCTACTAGTCTTCTACTTCACTGCATAGACCTAATACAAAAACGTAAAATAATTACTGCGATGTGAACATAGCCTCAGCTTTTTGGTCTCAACAATGGGTGATGTCGTTTGCTCAACGCTTTGTGATAAATGTATGCTAATTCCTACCCGTGTCCTTGAGATCTACAGTCTGCGGCAATTACATCGTGACTCGCATCTATTACGACTTAGGCTCGGACCCTTGCGCCTTGTTTCCTCGGTTCAATACGAAGCTCATTTATTTTTGTGTGGAAGAATCGAGAGAGCACCTACGGGCCACTATCGCACCATGGCCGCTGCATACACGTAGAGACCTGGCAACGGCGACGGGGAAACCAGTAGTCAGCGGGACTATCACAAGGTGGCTACTCAGGACTGGCCGGATAGCGCTTAGGCCCGGATAATATCGATCTTCTCAGGGGGACTTTGTTAGTAGGGTGAGAACTCACATAGTATTGTGGTGGACGTAACGCAGTCGCTAATAGAGCGAACCTACGTAGCAGCGTATGTATTTAGTCCAGCCATTAGGGCACGGTTTGACATACGGGAGCACTTGTAGAGGTACCGGGGGCTTCGAGCCTACGGCGTATTTAATAATAATCTTTTTGTGTGTTCGATTTACCACATGCGTATTTTCCTTCAAGGTAACTGCAACTAAATCTATTATCCACGAGAGTCGTCATAATAAGCTAGAGTACTATTAGGGAACGACAACATCCTTGCTGGTATCCAACTCCTCGTGACGTCTCAAGTCCATGGGCTTGGCTAGTAGCGGGATGACATATCTATGTAATAGGTTGTGTGACATTAGCAGCTCGTTGTTGACCAACTTCACGCAACCAGTAGAAATGACGCTGGGGACGTGATGTATAGTGTTGGATTGCAACTTACGGGTCGAACGTCTTCCAGTAAGGGTTCTCTAGGTGGTATTTCTGGCTCTATACGAGAAAACAAATGGTTTAGCTCAGTGCGGCAAGAGTAGTATACTATGCTACCAATAAACTCTAGGAGGTGTTCAACTGACCGACTCCTGCTCGAAGCGCTCGACGACGGTAAACGCGCGCGGGTCGTGCACGTCCTGCATGACAAACCAGTCGACCGTCTCCTTGTCGTTGCGGTAGACGCGGGCCGCCTCGATGAGCTTCAGGCGGAGCTTCTCGATGGACGTTGCGTCGTCCTTGGCGTACACTACAAAGTTGCAAACGAGGTTAGTATCGGGGGGAGCTAGGTAAGCCAATGGTCGGAGCAGAAACTCCTAGAGCAGCCTTCTCGGGGAGCAATGAGGGTTGGGGAAGTTGCATACTGTGAACGGTGAGTGTATACACCATCTTCGCGTTCACTGGGTAACTGCAATTGGGATGGACGAATATGCGGCACGAAGAACGATCTCGATCTAAGTGAGGGGCAGGGGGGGTTCCCAGGAGGCTTGCAAGCTTGGGGGAAGGGATACCAATAACGGGATTCCCAATAATCGATATACTGGGAAAATGAAAGAAAAGATGTATGAGAGTGTGTGTGGTTGCAGCCAATCCGCCAATCTCGTCAACCTGCCTGCAGAGCTCTTTTCGGGAAAAATTGCTGTGGATGAGGGGTAGGTTGAATGAGCTCTGGAGCACTCTGCCCTAGCTACTAGCTACAACTCTCGTCCCCTCGTGCTTTTACTGCGGGGTTGGCCTCCTCGTCATTGGGTCACAGATCTGGAGCTGAAACTTGGCGGGATGTTTGATGAGATGACTTGATGGCGTTGTGAGGAGTGCAGTGGCTTGCTTGGAATGATGAGCGCGAGCACAACTCTAGTTCAGCCATGGGGGGATGGGACGGGCATACCGTCTGGAAATGTAAATTAGACTGTGATAGAGATGACCTGCTGACTGTTGGAGCTACTGGTTGTGTACAAGTCATGTTCGCCAGGGTTGGCTTAGCTTGGACAGTTCTATAATACTCGACTACCCGGCAGATGACTAACCAAATAAACGGCGCAGCCAGATGGGAGAAATACGTGACGTTGCGGTAACTTACTATACTGGAATGTCCCGTCAACCCGTAGCACCCCAGCCTTCGTGGCGCGGTTTCTTGATTTCATTGTCGCTGGTTACTTATGTATAGCAACTGGGACCTGTATTCCAGTGACAGCATCAAGCATTTAGGGGTGGCAAGCCAGAGTGTAGTGGTGCCAAATTGTTGTGGGTCATCAAAGCAACGGGCGTTCTGCCCCGGACTTTCCGACTTGGAACGAGTTCTCATAAATTATTCTCCCGATGGCATCAAAGATCGTCAGGGTAGAACACTGTGGAGGGGATATTCTACTGCGGAAACTTATGTGAAAAGCCCATGTCTCATGGCTATGGTGGAAATACAGACTTGCTGGAGTCCAAGATGCGCAACTACGGAACTTCGCCCAAATTTCACCATCCGTCGTAGCTAAAACCTTTAAATAATTCAGCATCCTTTCGGCCTCTCTTGATGCACGTGATTTTGTAGGACGACAAATTGCGAAAACACCAGTCTATGCGCCTCTCTTGAAGCATCAAGCAAGCCCTTTGTTGTCCTGTTGCAGCAGCTCTCAGTGCTTGAAACCAGACAAAGACCTGGCGCCGGTCGCCCACCCGACGCCAACGCGGTCACGGAGACCTCCTGGTGGATGAGCGCCAAAATGGATATCCCAGGATACTATTACGGTAATCCATTCATTTACAGGCTTGGATTGAACACAGGGGTTCTAATTTGATTCCAGACCCTGAGAAGAAGCGGTACTTCAAAGTGGAGAACAGCAAAACCGCTCCAGCAGCGTCGACATGGTCAACTGACAAGGTCAAGAGACGCAAGCTTGAGGATGAAGAGGCTGCCGCCGCCCTACAACGCATGAAGCTGAATAAGGACCGCATTCGACGCTCGCAGGTGCTGCAAGAGCCTCTAGTTGGCGGCTTTCTGGCTCGCGAGTTCGGCTCCGTTGAAGTTGACGTGCGCCCTTCCGCATTTGCAAGGGAGCTACTGGAAAAGGGGTCAATGCCGCTGGCAGACTCGCGGTGGTGCTCGACTGGAAACGTGAAGCATCTGTGTGTGACTAGTGAGGATACGCATAGTGGACTTGGGGTTGCGTTTGCCAGTGAGTTCACTGCTCTAGATCTGGTAATCTGGCCGGTTCGAAATCCTGGGTCCTAACCCGCACGTAGCGCTGGACGAACTCAGTCTGATTTCAGCATACATACCAAGGGATAACAATGGGAGGTATGTGATGGTATTACCGATGGCTTCCCGGGACTATGATCTTGCTTACCGTTGTTCTAGGGTACATCGCCAACTCCTCGCCAACTACAGCGTCCCGCACAGTCCCCAGTTCGCCCCCTACCAAGAGCTGGTGGTCAACCAGATATCTGACGTCAAATACCACAAGCCCTCAGGCAAAGTATTCGTCCTGAGTCGACAACCAGATGCCGCAATATCCTTCTGGGACTTCAACCCCGTCGAGACAGACGGGCCTGATGGTCGCTTACCCAGCCCTCGATGGCTCTTGGGATGGAGTGGTACCGGCCATGGCGTGTTCATGAACCACCGCCTTTCCGGCCCGTCTGGCACCAACAACTACCAATCTAACACGGTTCACCCTAGCCCGGAATCCGCAACATCACTATGCATCATCGGCAGCAACCGCGGCATTTTGCACTGGCCCAAAGAACGAAGCATCACGTGGCTCGCCCCGACAGTTTCCCAGGGGCGTTTCAATTCCAGTCCCAAAGCATTCGGCGATATATTCGCCCTCGACTTCAAACAGGGGGACTCCAACATCCTATTTTCCGGTGGCCGCCCGGGCAAACTATTCATCGGCGACACGCGCTCATCATTCCAGGAGTGGCAATGCCTCAACCACGGCTACGCCATCTCTCACATCAGATCCCTAGACCACCACAATGTCCTTGTCGCCGGATTGAACAACACCATGGTAACTTACGACACCCGCATGATGAAGGACGACCCGCCCTCGTCCCTCTATAAGCCCCAAACGGTCCGCCCCGTCCTCCGCTTCCACGAGTACAAAAATAGCGCGCACATCAACACGGGGCTTGACTTCAATAAGGAGTCGGGACTCGTTGCTGCTGCCCATGACGACGGCAAGGTCGCCTTGTACTCGGTGAAGACGGGGCACAGACTGAGCTCGCCTGATATTGCCCAGATTCAGTCGAATCGTGGACCCATCCAGGCTATTCAGTTCCAGACTATGCCTAACGATGTGAACCCGACCTTGTTCGTGGGCGTACATAGTAACCTCAACGCGTACTCGTTTGGGGTTTGGGGCTTGAAGGACGACGCTTGAGCTGGAGCTGAAGCAACCGCGTTGATTCCTCAAAACACCTCCCACCAGCCTTCTTGTGGTCAAACATACCTTAGCCCCTGAAACGCTATCGCGTAATACGTTTGTACCAAAGCAGACAGCACACCTAGGTATAGCAACCAGATTACGTTTGTTTACTGCTTAAGTGTACCAACAAATTGTCGTCCCACCCCGTTCCACTACTGGGTGCGCGGCATAGTGTGTTATCCACTTGTCGGTTTTGGATGGCAAGCCATCAAATAGATGACGGGGAACAACAAGTAGCCAACCAATCAGCAGAGGACTACACGGAAGAAGAAAGTACCCTAAGTTGTTAGTAGTATATTGATAACCCGTTCCTTTACAGGAAACCATCAAATTGACAAATCGCAAGTCCTGGCTCACTGGCCCTTGAAAATTACGTCAGTTTGTGACGTGTATATATATGCAGTGAGACGCAGTGTGATATACGTACGCGCCAATATATGCTTCACAAGAAACCCCCCCTTTCCCCTATCGATAATAGTAATGAAGTAGCCCGGTAACCATAGGTAGATCCCCAGTCCATCCATCCACCCGTCTCCGTGCTCTTCCCATGCCAGCAATCACCCAGACTCGTCCCCTTTGGGCATTTTAACCCTATGTACCATATACACTATACAATGGAGTGTATACCTCATGTCCAAGCCATCTCCGCCAGTCAATACCAAACCTAATAGATCCAAATAGGTCACCCCCGCCGCCGGTGATGCGAGTGACACACCTATACGTAACCTCTATTTTTCATCTTTTCTATACGCCACCACCAACCTCCTCCTTTAACTCCAATAGCCGGATGCAAGAATTGCGAAGAAATCAACAGGAACCCCTCGGAATGACCCCAGTCAGTCTCCCCCTTCTCTTGCGCTTCATCAACATTTAGGGACGATTCAACAACTGATCCCTACAACCCCCCTCACTCCCCTTCCTCTGCTCATCAACCCCTGCCCTTATCCCCTCAAGCGAACTCCCATCCTTCTTCAAGTTATACGTCCCCTTCAGCTGGGGAAACATTTGATGAAACGCCTCGCCCAACGTCCAGTTCTCCAACCTCCTCAGATGTCTTTCAAACACGGGATTTATGATTAACTCATCCCCGTCAGGAATTTGCAACAATGTATCCGTAGGCTCATACGGCCAATTCAGACAAATCGTGCTCGTGAACGGAATGAAGAAGTTCTCAAACAGGTACTCCTTGGGATTATACCCCGTAGCAATCTTCTCGCGCATGCGGGGGAAGGGCAAATGGTCGATCCACGCTGGATGCGAGGTGTAGAACTGCACGGGTCGCGGTTGCACCCACGGGGGAAGCAGATTGTAGTTCTCCTGCGTGGGAGAGATTTGCCACCGCATGATGAGGAACATGATGTACAAGACGGCAATCTTCTCGGGCAGCGTGCAGATGCCTGGAAAGGTGACCAGGATGTCCGTGAAGATCTTGGATAAAGGGTGGGAGAAGGCGCTGTTGGCCGGGTTGAGGAGCGACGAGACGGAGGGGTAGCGCGGGCCAACGATTTCTTGCGTGGGGATGCCTTCGGCGGCGCGTTGGCGGCGTTCTGAAAGGAACTCGAGGAGGATATTGTCGAGGGTACAGGTGGGCGCGCAGTTCTTCAGGGGGGCGAGGTGGCTACCGATGCCGTCGGAGACGGAGGAGGATTCGAGGGCCCCGGGACGGGTGGAGGGGAAGGAGACGCCGTTCCAGTTGTGCCTCGTGGGGAGATGTTGGTAGTTGGCGGGGTCTTGGGCCCCGTTGCCGCCCGTCTGCATGCGGTTCACTCGCTGGGCAGACAAAGGGTCAAGTAGGAAGCCGAGTTTGAGGTGTTCGCCGGAGCCGAAGTCTAGGTTGTGTACTTGGTCTGATCGAAGCTGATTGATAATCTGGACCTGGTTCAAGCTCGGGCTAGCATGTATCGAGCTCGATGCGCTGTGTAGGCCGCCCTGATGCCATGCCGGATCGGCAGATGCAGATGCAGCGGGAGAAGCAACACATGATGGCGTGGAGACATTGTCAACGGAGGGGATAGCGTGCACTTGTTCTTCTTCTTCTTCTTTTTTTTTTGGTTGGGGAGGCGAGGCTGTGCAGAGCTTCAGTCAGCCACTTTGTCCCGCATCGGCAACCTGCAGAATAATGGAAGCTGTTGCTGACCTTGTGAAACACCGCCCACCCCTGATAGTAAAGGCTGGATTAAGGCTATGACCGAGGCTAGCCTGCTCCTGATGTCGGCATTCTCAGCTTCAACCGCCTCCTTGGCTCGTATGACGGACTGGAGGTCCTGGTAGGGCTTTTGCGAAGTCAGCTCGCGGATGCGCTGCTCCAGCGTCTCGATTTGGTTCTTGGTGCGCTCGCGGATAGCTCGTTGTGCTTCTCGGTCTGTGGATGGGTACCCAAGGTGGTCAGCATGGTTGTGACAGCAGCATCACTTTTGCATAATAACGTTGATGTGTTACCATTGGCTCGCTTCTTGGCCAGCTGCTCGGGTGTGAGATTCGCTACACCCCTCGAGCCCGCGCCAATGCGCCGCTTCTTATTCCTCTGGTCCTCGACACAGGTGGTGGCGGGAGCGGATGCATCCCGGCCGTCGACGTGGTGCGACGATGCGTTGGATTCCGCCGGAGAGTGTCCGTGGTCGTCCACGGATAGGCCTCGCTTGTGGAGACCGAGTCCACCGTGACCGACCGCGGTGGGCGAGTCGGCAGAGACGGGAGTGGAAGCGAAAGCGAGGGCTGGCTGTGACGAAGTTGAGGAAGGAGCGGCTGCCTGGTCATGCTGCAAATGGTCCTGTGACATCGAGGCCGAGGACGATGACCGCATTCTTTTTCCCGTGTGGCGAGGCGGCGCAGCCTACCCAAATCCGCTTCCCATATACCAAAAAAGGAAATAATATTGCACAAAATATTACACAACTCCCATTACAGCTTGTGGCAATTGGCTTCACCAACTGGTCCGCGTTATAACCCCATGACCACAGCGTAGCAGAAAGAGCCTATGAGGTACGAGCAAATGATTCATCCTATGTTGGTTGGGGAGACATTCATGAGTTGCTCGACAAGGTAGCTGCATCAACAGGCTTGGCGAAAATCCACACCCTGGCCTGGGCAAGCGCCGAAGGAGCCATTGATTAGTTATCCGAGGTCACTGTTGCCATCACAAGCATTTGTTTCCATCACGGTCCCATATTGTAAGTTGACAATTACGTTTGTTGTACATACAGCTCTAAATGTAATCCAACAACATCACTGTTGAGTTTGTACTATAGTACACCCTCGATTCGAGTGCAATTCAAACATTGTTTCGTCACATCCGTCTAACCTGTAACATTGGATAGCTCTTCGCTACCTATGTATGGATGGTATCAACATGGTCACTGAACAATACATTCATCGCTTGTGTAAACTCCGCATTAGCCATCGATGCCAGCCAGTATAGCTTCGTGCCACTCGTCCTTGGTCGACAGGCACAGCCCATGTCATCCCCCCTTTTCATCTCCTATGCCCAAGTCACCCTTCCGTGGCAATTAACAACTCCTAGTCTGAAGAGGCTCTCGCAAGAGCCTGGTGCAGGTGCGGCGGGAATCTGTACTTGAGCTGGCTTGTGTATGTCGTCAAGTCCATGCTAATCTGCTTGAGATTGTCACACATCATGCGCCGCGTGCCTTCGTTGCCGCTGTATTGCCCGCCCATGAGCCTCTCTCTTTGCTTCACGCAGCAAGTAATTGTCCACATCAACAGGTTCGGCACGTTGATGGCCACTGGTTGCGTTAAGCCAGAAAACTTGGATGCACAGTGCCGGATCTTGCTGGCATCGCCTTTGGCATCCAGCGGCAGGATGTCGAGTGCGCCGATTTTCTACACATCTTTAGCAGGTGACGTAACGCCGCGATCAAGAAGAAGAAAACTTACATCCAAGGTTTCGGGCCACTGTCCCGCCTCCACCATGCCCTTGATCTCGCTCATCTGCAGCAAGAGGTGACAGGCAATCCGGTTCTGCTCTTGAACGCTCGAATAAAACATGGCGTCTTTCTGGTACATCGACATCATCGTCCGAGCGAGGTCAACCGGGTCATCGATGGCCGCGAGACTGAGACTGCTTCCTAGTTGGGCATCGGCTTGCTTCCCCTCGGCTCGGGGTTTGACTGGCTGGAGTCGTACAGGATCGTGGCCGATGTCTATGGCAATAGCTTCGCTGAGAGCGCGGCTCACAATGGCGACAACGCTGTCGTAGTCTGCAGCCAAATGGTACAGTAGGACAGCGTCAGTAGTTCTCCCATTTTCATCAGCATACCTAGCTGCCTGCAAAGTGACAGCCATGACAAAGTCATCCTCTTTTCGGAGACCGATCAGTCGACCTCGTTCTTCAATCAGACCTGCAATGCGCTGTCCATCAGGCCGAATATCGCCAATCAGCTTGCTGAATTCTCGCGTCTCCAGAACCAGTTCACGCAGGGCAACATGACACAGCTCGGCTTGTTGTCGTCCAGTCTCACCGTCCAAATCCGCGTTGAGACAGATCAAGGCAAGGTAGTCCACGGCCGAAGCTACATCGGCGGCTCTGAAGTCTCTGGTGTAGTAGCCTAGCATCCGGCCAAAGCTAATTTGCGGCTGTGACCGGGTGTTGAAGGACAGCAACTCGTTTGGGTTAGACCAGGGATCGGAAGCCCGAAGCAGGCCATAGTACTCCAAGGCGATGGCGAAGTGAATAGCGTCGGCATACGCGAAGGGGTAAAGATAGGCGACGGCCTGCTCAAACATGCCGGCAAGGATTTGCAGGAAGAAATACATTCCAAAGGTACCATTGGTATCCTCGGCAGGAGACTTGGGGAAGTGCTTCAGACCTATCTCCCGAATGGTCTCCTGCAGGTTGCTTAGTGTATATGATTCGCCCGCAACCTCGGTGAGCCTGTCGTTCTCACGAGCGAGATTAAACTGAAGCCATATCCAATCATTGATGTCAGAGTTCAGCCCGTCCAGGTTGCGATTGCTGACTTCACAACGGCCAACGATCTTGTAGCACGCCATCCGGAATGGATCAATCGCGTCCGCTGAGGCATTGCGGATACGCTGATTGTACTCATTGTTACATCGCTCTTGAAGTTGGCGGCGCAGTCGCCTTTCATCGCTCGAAGCATACTCGAGAAGATACAATGGGAATGACCGATCAATATTGCGGAAAGTGGTTGCGTGTGTCTTGACGTACTCCGCTGCCTCAGCAACGTGTCCGGATCGCAAAAGATAATAGACGTTGGCCCAGAGATACTCCGTATCACTGCCTGGCTTGTCCGTTTGGAGGAACGTGTTGTCTGGTACGAGGTCCTTTCGTATGTTTCGTAATCGTACGTAAGCCTTGATTTTACTTACGACATCAGGACGCCCGCCAAGGTTTGCGTCTTGAGGGTGCTTTCTAATTAGAGACTCGGCATCTTGAAAGAACTTCTGTTCCAAGAACTGATTGGCGCCTTTCAGGATGGTTTTCCGCATCTCAACTGCGTTGGGCGAATTGCTCTGCAAATCCAGATAGAACTTGGTGAATTGACGCTCCTTTGCTGTGGCGTTGCGTGCGAAAGTGTCAGCTTCCAGGTTCTCCCCAACCATGGCCATGACGGCGTGGTAGGCGTCAACAAGATGTTGAGCGTGCCGGTCGCCAGACTGATTCTCAACCTCGCCAAGCTTATGAAGAAGCGGGAATGGCTTTTGCTCTAACCGGGCCTTGTTAAGTTCGCGCACTTGCTCCGCAAGCTTGCCCTGCTTCTCGCGCATGAATCGATCATCCATTGACACACCACCGACCGATGCAGATTTCCCAGTTTTGTCTTCAACATCGGTGAACTCGGACTGGTGGGAACCGATTTTGCTTGGTGTGCCGATGACCGACTTTTGAAGATTCGAACGGCCTAAAGTACTGGCTCGGTCCGCAGGAGCTGCCGACTTCGCATTCTTGGTCCTCCGCGACCGACCAAAACCTCCTAGGCTCTCCCTGCCGGGCATGCTAGCCCCGAGGTCGCCACCATCATCTCGGCCCTTGATGCCGAAGTGCTCGTAGATGCGCTTCCGTTGAGCCTCCCATTCCATTGTGATATTATCCTCGAGGAAGTTGTCAAAGTCTCGGACCGATCTCTCCAAGCCGTCGGCAATCATGCTGAGTGTAGTTTTTGCTTGTAAGTTGGCAAGGTAGGTTTCGACGTCAATCTCTGTGGTCCCAGCATTGGGGACAGGTCTTTCATGACGACCGGCTTGTATGTCGAAGAAGTTGAGGTCCCTCACTGCGGCTCCAGGGTCTACACCCGATGCGGCCAGCATATATTGAGCTCTGTTGCTCTGTAGAGGATCTTGTGCGCGCGGACCGAGCTTCCTAAGCTTCTGTCGTAGGTCACCCAAGCCCAACTGCAGACTAGGGAGGTCCTCGAGAGGAGTATCGCCATCCGCCTGCCTTTTACTTTTCGCCAATAGGCTGTCGAAGTATCCAGTTGTGGTACCTTGATTCGGCGCGTTCCCATTGGTAGCTGGGTTTGGGTTTGGTTGTTGCAAAGCGGAAGCACCAAAGAGGCTTGATGTTCCAGGCTTGTTGGTAGAGAGCCCCAAACCTCCGCCCGTTTGTGTTTGCTGCCCACCAAACAGAGACGGTTGTGCGGCGCCTCCCAGAATCGAGGTGGTCGGTTGGGCTTGTGTGGTGGTTGATGTTGCGCCGAAGAGACCGTTAGGCTTCGGTGCCGTTGAGCCTCCTAGAGAGCCAAAAAGGCCACCACCACCCGTGGAGGCTGGCATTGTCGTGGGCATCGGAGTTGCGGTGTTCGTTGAACCGAAAAGAGAGCCAGCGGGAGCGGTGCCAGAGCTTGCGGTGGCACCAAATGGCTTGCCCCCAAAGATAGACGACATCGCGATTTGCAACCAAGAGAAACTGCTACCAGGCCGTTGTCACTCAAATCGGATCAACCGTGGTGCATCTCTAAACTCCAGCTTTAGAAGCTTGGGGGACAAGGCTGAGAAAACAATCAAGGCGGATAAGTTTTAGCGGGTCTTGCTACCCGTGCACTCACCCGGCAACGAATGGTCTAGCCTAATAAAGCAATAAGCAGCATTAGAAGGCACAAGAGGGTAATGTCACGGTTTCCGGGTTCGAAGTTTTCCCTCCACACATCGCGCTGGGCAGATCGCGCCTAGGACCGTTGTCGCGCTTACGCAGGCTCAGCTCCGCCCGGTCGCGTTCAGTTGAGTGGGTGAGCGCGTTTATGCTTGTGTATTCACTATGAGAATAAACACAAGTATGCGGTGATAATGTAGACAAGCAGTGATAAACGTGTATCACGTTGGGCACATACTATGGTAAGCACGGCGGTTTCAACAAAATATAGTGCCGCAGCCATACAGCCACGGGCACATAGACTCCTCAGACTAACTCCCTTATACCGCTCAGACCGCGATCCTGTTCAGCTTCTCCAACAAAGCTCAGCAGTAATAAACTCAAATCGGGGGTATCGGCGCGCTATTCTTCGTGATTATAGCAAGCCTATCCATCAGGAGAGCTCCCAAGTAGCTCTGCTTAACGCGTTACAGGGCTGTATTAAAGGACACAAGTCCCTTTAAGATTAGCTTCCTCCACTGAGACACCTTAATTAACAATTTTATGACTAGTGAAGCGGAAAAGAAAGACAACCCTTCTTAGGCTTCGTTCTTGATCGACCTTGACCTTTTCATTAATGAACAACGAGAAGGTCCCTCAGGCGCAAAGGTGAATATTGGCACAAGGGCACTTATGACCATCGGGGTCCTTCTCGGCGAGCTGCACTCTTTTATGCACTATCTGGAGTTGTTCTTCTGGGTCCTCTTTGTGCCATGTATCCACTACGATGGCCCAGGTAAGGACGTCGGTTAAACTGAGTTTGAGAGCTGAAATTATGAGGAAGACAGAAGCTGGCTGGTTGATTCCAAGAAGGGCGTAATTGATGACGAAGGAGATTTTGTCAAAATTGCAGAAGAGAACTTCACGCCATATCACCAACCTTTGATCCCATGGATTAACAGACTGAGAAGGAAGGCATTCCTTAACAATGAGAAGTGGAAGAAGGCAAATCCAGAGCTGTACAATTCGTTGGAGGAATTCCTTCATGAAGCTCAGAAGGACCCAAAGTAGGTGTATAGCAGGGTCAGGGAATTCGAGTCCCTGATGTCACTCCTAGGAGTCTTGCTTCATTGGATGATTGCTGCTAAGCGTCACTGACTAGATGGCTGTGTTCGACCGGCATTGCGTGAAGCACTAACTACACCCGTGTCCTAGGGTACGATAAAGCGTTTCGGTCCGTAATTTGTTACCTTCGCGATATCCAGTCCCTGTCGAATATTTTTAAGAATATTGTCATCCGTATTGTGTACGCGAACTGTCTCGTGATAATATACCGAGCCACATACTCATATGTTGCGTCACGGAATAAGTTACCTTCATCTTCTCGGTCCGTATATTACCACAAGTCCTTAACAACAAGAGGTGTATATACCTCGAGATACGCTTTTCAGCATACCGTTGCCCAACCTACTACGCACCGCAGCCATATCATCAGTTTGTTAATTATAAGACATTTTTCCGCCTGTCCCATGTAACTACGATAACGCGCTAGTTACCCGATATCTTAGTAGGGTCGAACCCAAGCTGCTCCTCGTTCATCCAGAGAAAGCTAAGGATCGGGGACACGAACTTCAGCCTATCTGTGTTAATATCGAATCCTTCCGATACAATCAAGCGGATAGAGTTCCCATATCCCCATGAGAGATTCCTAGAGTGTAAAGCCTGGGATAAACCGTCGGGAATCTTAAACGGTGAGCACTTCTCTTGCATATCTCTTAATATCGAGTCATACCTTTAAAGACATGCCGGCTTATACGTTATTCCTAAGCTCTCCAGGAATAAGGATCTGCGACCAGTGCATCTAGAGTCCTTAGTAGCTTTAGGGTATTCACGAAGCTAACAACCAGCTTACGCTCCGCTGTGGAACCCTTAATCGACTTATTGGATTATACCAACGTTATTTTTCTTGGAAAAAAGTGTATCGGCCGCCTCTTTGTTGCGCATTTGTATATGAAGTGAATACTGGTAACAGGGTATCCAAAGTGACTTGGTGTGCGCTTTCGAAAAACTATTTGTGATAGAAAAGGCGGATACCTCCGTATGGAAAGGGGGAGCAGCTCTCTTGATATCATTCCAACAGTGAAGGATGCTTCTGTCGTTGGTAGATACCATGATGGCTCTGCGTTTCGCCTGAACCCCGCTGCGAGACGACTTCAATGGCAGGCCTCTCTGCTTCTGTTCCCCGAGCGCAACCAATCTCTCTTATAAAATCCTCTGAGTGGCAACTGTCCAACACATCATCTTGACCCCTATGCTTCCACAATCGCTTCCTCATTGGGAGGCGCAGGCTCATTACAGCGCATAAGATCTGGCTTCTTGGACTTGGGACATCGGAAAATCTGCCTTGCTCGCGATCCGACAAGCTCGATGTAGACCTTTGAGCTAGTCTGGCTTGGGACTAGTAGGATCTTGGGCCAGTACAGAGTTCAATCAACAAACAGTGTGGCATTCAGATGAGTATGGTATATACGTAGTACGTTTTACCAGTACGGTAACGAAGCAGTACAGCTTCGACTGGTGCAGATTCTGGCCAGTACGTTCTGTTACTGAACCGGGCTCTCCAACCGAAGCTGGACTAGTACCGGTTCAGACTGGACAAAAGCGTACTGGTTCGAAATACGAATTTCGACCAACATGGATCTCTACCACCGCAGATTTCTACCATTACGGGACGTAATTAACAAGCCAAAGTCCGGATGTTCCGTAAGATAAGTAGTTTGGAGTCTAAAGATCTTTCCAATCGGATAAAGCCGAGCTATAAATGATATATTTTCATTAGCTCTTGTAGTACTGTTGTCTACGTGTTTAGGACTGAGGATATCTACACTGAATAAGCATGAGTATCCGTTATATATGATCTTTTTACATAAAGCAATATTACGAATGCCGGCTCCGTTGCACTTGTGCTGGCTTACCGTTTATTACAACGAGCTCTGCATCATGCTCAAATTAAAAGCGGAGCAGCTCAAGTTTGCCCCCATACTAATCAGTGGGGTAAACTGGATGAGTTGAATTCATCCATTACCATCTTCAGCCTGCGATTTCAAGGATGCCAGAGGATTGTGATAAGGGACAAAGCAACCCCTTCTTAGAGGCTTTATGCAAGGGTGGAGTCTTCGTCAGACATGTCCATATTGTCTATTCGGTATGAACTTCTTGGTGTTCTCAACAGACAAAAGACCTGGCTGCTGTGAGACTGCCGGGGCATTAGAAGAGAGAGACTGGCAGCTCAAGTACCTACTTTGGAGTTCATATAGGTGGTAATGGCCCGCGCGAACCCTGTCACCGATCAATGCAGTGTCAAGAGACAGAGATGGTACTGCTGGGGCTGGATTGCGCAATGAGAGACGGATACCTTGTTTTTACTAGTTCGGGAGGTAAAAAGCTCTCAGAGATGAACTTTGAGTTTGTGTTTGACAATGATGCAATTATCTCCCAACGTGCAGCAAGGCTGGGCTTTGGGCATCCGGGACCATCGCGCATACGAACACATGTATTTGTATGCGCTTCCTATTTGTCCTGGCCATGGCTGCCGAAACATCGCCAAATTCAACATGTTCACCCAATCTATCAATCATCAGAGCTCGACACGTTTTGAGGCGATTTAAAAGCGCCTTAAGTGAATTAATTCGACATATTCATCCAATTGCCTGAAAGGTAGCCAGAGGGTCTAACGTTTCATGTGCATTCCACAACTGGATGGCTCCCCGAATTTCTTATTGGCCCTGACGCATATCTGGCTCAGCCTCGGGTGTGAACAAGTCACAGCTTTCTTAAGGCGACATTTAAAGCTCTCTTCTTCTAGCAGTCGCACTCATGCCCAAACCACGGCTTTGGGAGACCCAAGATGGCTGAAACTGAACCCAAGAAGAGATTTTGGAGTGGTTTATTCCGATCAGCAAGTAAAAATGTTCAAGGCGGCAAACTAGTAAGCATGCGCCAAGTGAAGTAGCTGAGTTCTCAAGAAATCGTCGCTGATATATGATTTTCAGTCCAAGGAGCAACCGCGGAGGGCCAGCGAAGGAGATGTAACGTCGAGTCGGCAGACGAATGATGATGGGTCCCAAAGTTCCCGGCGCCGGCCACGACGCTCCAATCCCGGAACCGCAAAGGGCAAGGGCCGAGAAGATCCAAGTAGCCACACCTACGAACCAACGGCGCTCTCGGAATGGCCACCATTGGGGTTTTCTAGCCAAGAGGAGCTGTCGCTGGGCCGTGCCATGGAGCTCATCTCTCGAGGCGTCCCGGCTTTTAAAGGTCATCAACGCCCGATACCCCACCGTTCTGACCACTATTATTCCTTGTATGCCACGGCAGCGGGCAATAGGGGCGACGACACTGATGTCGCTAACCAGCATGATGCAATGACACAACTGACAACACTACAAATCTACGGGGCCGGTCCACCCGCATACCCCTGGCAGACGCTGGAACAGCCAAGCCTCGCCTTTGGCTACGGTGCCCGGCCTGGGACTGTCACGTTGAACCACTGGGCCAGTCTATCGAGCGAAATTCCGCCCATGATCGAGCTTCGAGATTCTGGCATGATATCCCGGGACGTCGACTTGGTCCAGATCTTCGAACGCCTTAAGGAACTAGAAGGGGGGTTAGAAGATGACAACGAGGACTTGATGTATCGCAACTTGTACAAGCGCCTGTTGAAGGATCCAGACAGGCCGTTTAGTCCACACAAGACGATGGATAAGCAAATCACCGACCTGATCATGGTTCTCTCTCGGCCAGACTGGATTGATTTCACCATTCCAAAGCACCAAATTGTCACGAGATTCATATTCGACACCGGCCGCGCAAGTCACGAGCAATACCTCAAATTTTTCCATCAGTTACTTCTGAGTCTTGAGTTGGACTTGCGCATCAACTCAAATCTCCACGACGATTGGGCTAAGGAGAAGCTCATGGGACAAATACCGCCACGTATCCAATGGAATCTTGCTGTTGCTCGACGATGGCGGGGCAATGTCCGTATCGAGGCGTACGGCAAAACGGCCGACCAAGTGCGGCTCCGGTTCAAGCTAAGGAAACGCCAAATCAAGATGTTGAAACGGTTTGCGCAGATGATGAAGTGGCCCAACTTGAATCAGACGCTCGAGGCACTGAAGCAAAGAGAAGCAGAGGGCAGCCTACTCGACGTCAGTTCCCATACAATGGCATTCTTCAGTGGTATTGTTCTGCCAGGAGTAGGTGTGCTTCCACAAACCTTCCTTTGTGCAAATCGCTGACCTTGACAAGCCGGTTTTCCCCTTTCTGATCATGAACACTCTCGTTGACATCGATCCGGACAAAGCTACGGACAACCTAGCCTTGCTAACACATCTAAACCCCATGTGCGGGTTTCAATATCGTAACAGCTACACCTACTGGAGTCGTGCCAGCATCGTTGGCAAAGTTCTTGCCCCAACTTGCAAAGAGGTCGCTGGATGGATTGGGCCGGCTCGACCCACGGTTGACCTGGGTCGCTCTCAAATCGCTCGCATTCGATCACGCAAGCCCCGGCACCACATCACACCAGAAGATGTGGCTTCGATGAGCGAACGGAGCGACCCCCTGGGTCCACCATCAGAAGTGTACCCCGTGAAAGAATACGAGCTCCTCACGCCGGATACCGACGACCTCGTAGACACCGTCCGGATAGAGATGCTCAATTTGACAAATGTCCCGGGCCGCCATTCAGACATAGGACCGAAATGGTTCGATGCCTCGATTCAGTTCGCCATTGACGGCGTTTCGTGGCCGCTCCGCCTTATGCATGACGTATCGTTCATCAGTGCATGGCCCTGCTCTGATGGTCCGCATCCGTTATTCTTCGACTACGTCTATACGCCCGTCAAGGCTGATAAGGTGGTCAACATTCGAGACTGGGGCCGTCCTATTGGTGAGCGGAGCACCCAGTCGCTGGCAACTCTGGTGGGGAGTGGCGGGCCCGCGAAGCCCGTTGATGTGGACGATGACGACGCGGAGAGAGTGCTTGTTGTGGAGGCATTTGGGGTACGGGATAATGAGGTTCTGGCGAGGGCTTGGGTAAGAATCTGCAATTCATTACGTGATCTGACATATATACTAATTCCAATGACAGTGCTCACACTGGGGTTTCAGCGCGGTTGTCGCAGACGTACGGAAGACTTGGTAAGTGGTATTCAACCTAGTACATGGCACCGGGTTGCTAACCTCGAGCAGCATGGCATGCGCTATACGCGAGGCGTACGCAGCGACCTTGACGGTGGTAATATTAGTGGAGGACCATAAACGAGATCGTACCCATGAGTGAGTAACAAGACACGGGTGCCCTGGACCACATGAGACATGATACATGATTTACTGCATGGGATGGAAGCGCTGGCGTATGAGGGACAACGGGGTATCGGTAAGGGATTTTGCGCATCTGAAAGGCTGATGTGCAGGTGTTACGCTGAGTTGGCCGTGAATTGGGAATGTGAAGTTTGGCTCGTGGTTCGTGTTTGTGACTTCTCTTTTATAGCAGGCGTGGTTCAAATACCCAGGTCACTATTACGTTTGCGTAGGTCCAGATACTGCGTAAAACTGCGATTAGGCATTCCGTGTTTGTAGAAACCACGACACTAACCACGAAACGGACTTGGACTATGGGTATGAATCAATCGCGGACCGTAGAGTAATTCGATCAAGCAACACCACGCGAATTCTTGCACAGGAAACACATGCACCTGGGAAGTCTGTTGGACGATGTTATGCTTGCGCACAGCAAATCCCAACGTCACGACACAAGGCTTATAAAGAGTCCGAAAGTAGGCTCGTAGATAACAACCAAGTGAACGGTTCCTTCCCCAGTTCGGCTAGGTGGTCGAAAAGGTTTTAGGGGGCAAGCATGCATCGTACCCAACTTATGTGTTCCGGCCGACTACAGCTTTGGAATTTGTCGGTCAATCATCGTGCCACAACGCGCTTTTATCATTCATGCAGCTGCAGCAAGGTAAGCCAGTTGGCAGCTCAGCCCAGACTCCTTGGCTTTGCTGTTCACGCTCAACTTTTCACGATATTGGGCTGGACTGGTGGCTCCGGGGGAGGCTGGTCGGAGTCAAATCGGAGTCGTAAGCGGTCGGAGCCAGCGGAGCATGTTCACTTGGAAAAAAAAAAAGTGTGGTATAAGGTGGGTGAGATGACATGCCAGAGACGAAAAGTGGTGGGTTGAAGGCGTCTCCTAAACAGGTCACGATGTTCAGATCCCAGGGCTCAGCAGCTTTGAGTGACCAACAAGCAGGTGCTGTTGGGAAGAGAGAGGCCGGAAGCTACGGCGTCAATAGGCATCAAGTCTATACAGCGGGGGGGGGCGGCGGGGGCAGATTGGACTTGATCGTCACACTTACGAACTAGCTAAATTGTGGCCACGAGCTCAACTTTGGTTTACCCTTCTTTTGCAGAAGCACTTCGAGGTGATGGCCAGTTCTTATAATAGTCTCAAGAAACTATTAATTCCAGGAACAGAAAATCTGAGTTCTGACAGCTCATCTTCCTCCTAGATTGTTGAATCCCCAAAGTTGTTGTTACTCCGTAGTATAACCCTAGAGCTCATCTTGGTCGGTGAGCTACCCCCGCTGTTGATACCCCACCATGTCCCATCTCAGTCCCTGGCAATGACTATCAAGAGAGTGGGGGTGGGGTTCCGATTGACGTAGGAGGGACAAATCATTGCATGTTTCTGCATAGTTCTTTCTAATCCATGAGGTAAAGCAGCTGCAAGAAAACCCTGAAGCCCGATGTTCGTAACGACTGAATACCCTTGGCTGCTCAGTTTGCTTTCCCCCCCCGTGCTCTCATGATATCTTAGAGATATACCCCAATTGGTCAACTGCAATAATAGTCCTGGTTCAACGAGTCACACCCGTGCTACTCGTTCGCTTACTCACCTTCCTCCTCAACCGTTGAGCTTGGTGTCATATCGGGAATTCGACAATGGAGTATGTACGAGCGTGGTGATCGACCCGTGTTTTCGTGAGAGCTGAATCTCGTTGGTCAGCTTGGCTTGACTTGGAATTCACGGCTGACTGGAGGATTTTCTCCCTGATTTAGTACTCGCAATGTTATTCACGTTGAAAACAACGTATGTCTCTCTCCACTACTTTAAGCACCTACCCTAGGACAAAGCACCACCCACCTTCACGATAACGAACATCATCGCGGATCAACATGGCAACTGGCACACTGGCAACCGTTAACACCGTAATTCAGGACCACTATGTTGGTATCGACGTAGGTACGGGTTCGGCACGAGCCTGCCTCATCGATGCAACGGGTGACATCAAGGCGCTCGCTTCTGAGCCCATCAAGCTGTGGCAGCCCCAAACGGGATACTATGTATGTGATAACCGAGACACTCTATATTCGCCGTGTTTTTCTATTTTGGCAAAGCAGGCTGACTTTTTCAATAGGAGCAATCGACCACAGACATCTGGCACTGCATCTGCTCGTGCGTTCACAAGGTTGTCCTTCAGTCCAACATCGATCCCAGCACCATCAAGGGCATTGGATTTGATGCCACCTGCTCTCTGTCCGTATTCTCTCACGACACCGACGAACCCGTCCCCGTGACCGGCCCCAACTTTGAAGATGATGGTAATGCCCGCAACGTCATTCTGTGGCTGGACCACCGACCCATCGAGGAGACGGACAAGATCAATGCCACAGGTCACAACCTGCTGCGCTATGTCGGAGGAAAGATGAGCATTGAGATGGAGATCCCCAAGGTTTTGTGGCTGAAGAACAACATGCCCCCCGAGCTGTTCGACCGCTGTAAGTTTTACGACTTGGCAGATGCCCTCACCCACATGGCCACCGGCAACGAGACTCGAAGCTTCTGCAGCACTGTCTGCAAGCAGGGCTTTGTCCCCGTTGGTGTTGACGGAAGTGTCAAAGGTTGGCAAGAAGACTTCTACGAGACCATTGGCCTGGGAGACCTAGTCAAGGACGACTTCAAGCGAATGGGAGGCGTCAATGGCGTGGTGAGCCTCTTCCCTCAACCATGTGGATGAAGGCTAACTCGAATTTCTAGAACGGCAAGTACATGAGTGCTGGTGAACTGGTCGGTCATTTGTCCGAGAAAGCCAGTCGCGAGCTCGGTATTCCTGCTGGAATTGCCGTTGGCAGCGGTGTCATTGACGCCTATGCAGGCTGGATCGGCACGGTCGGTGCCAAGGTCGACACAGAGTACGGTCAATCCGACGCTACTCACGCCGCGAACGACATGTCCCAGGCCTTCACTCGTCTGGCCGCAGTTGCAGGCACTTCGACTTGTCACCTAGCCATGTCCGAGAAGCCCGTCTTCGTCAATGGTGTCTGGGGTCCCTACAGAGATGTACTTCTTCCCAACTTCTGGATGGCTGAGGGAGGTCAATCTGCCACTGGTGAGCTCCTAAGGCATGTCATCGAGACGCACCCGGCGCACGGTAATGTCGTGCCACTGGCAGAGGCGATGCACATGAACATCTACGAGTACCTCAACGTCCATCTTGCGGAATTGGCGGAGAAGACTAGTGCGCCCGCCATCTCGTACTTATGCCGCCATTTCTTCTTCTACGGTGATCTGTGGGGCAACCGCTCTCCGGTTGCCGACCCTAACATGAAGGGTGCCGTCATTGGTCTGAGCTCAGATTCCAGTGTTGACGGTCTAGCACTTTACTACTACGCAACCATGGAGTTCATAGCGTTGCAGACCCGGCAGATTATCGACGTCATGAACAAGTCTGGCCACTCTATTTCGACCATCTTCATGTCGGGATCCCAGTGCCAGAACGAGCTTCTCATGAACCTGATCGCAACCATATGCGACATGCCCGTCTTGATTCCCCGATATGTGCATGCTGCAGTTGTACACGGAGCCGCTATGCTGGGCGCCAAGGCAGCCAGCGCTGACGAGGAAGGCAAGACGGAGAATTTGTGGACCATTATGGACCGCATGAGCAAGCCTGGTCGCCTGGTCAAGCCCGGTATGGACAAGGGCGAGAAGAAGATGTTTGACGCCAAGTACGAGGTCTTCCTGGACCAGTGCCGAACGCAGCAGGAGTACCGCAAGAAGATTGACGAGGCCACGGGTCCTTGGATCGAGGAGTTTGGCAACTAAATCTGGCTGGCTTGACCACAATGACACCAGGTTGTGATTCAAGTGTTTTCAGATGGCCACGGACATGACCTTTGGCAAGCCTGGAGTTTGAGGGGAGTTTACATAGAAAGTGGCTCCGTCTGCCACAAAATAAACTGGTTGCGTTCTGGCTTTCGAGTAGATTAGCTACAGATAGAGCGTTTTTCCCGCTACTGCTGATGCAGAGCCCGAGCCGCAAAGTTGATAGTAATCCACCAATTGAGACGATATACTGCTTTGCGCATAGCGTCCCTTATTCCACGTGCTATGAGCCGAGCCAAATGGCCGCGCAAAATGTGTCAATAACAAACGGGTTATGAAACGGCGAGTTCTCAAGGCTGCGAGCAGGAAACCAGAGAGATGAATTCAAGAGGTCACTGTGTTACAAGCTTGTAGTATCTCCAGATAGCCTGCGCCAAATCTAAAAGCAGTGGCAGTAACACAGAACATACCTTAGATTCAATATTTTCTCTGTAGTCCCACGACCTGATCCTGCGAGATCGAACTCGTTGAGCCGCATTATACAGGAATGAAGCTTGGCTACTAATACCCCCCTATTGCCCCTACAGAATAGTATGTTTGTAAACTGCTCGCAACTGCGTTATCAGGTAGAAGCAAGCGTTTCCCTGTCGATTCGCTAGTAAGATACACAACAGAAGCTTCTGAAGTATATCTTGGTTGCCAAAAAGGCGCTTGAGACCGAAATGTCAAAACCGTAGTCTGAAGTCTCGTGTCGAACGTGTCGATACCTGGGGCTTTCCTCAGCCGGCTGGCTGGTGATGACGTGGTCCTACAAGCCTGCCTATTCTTGTTCGAGCTTATGCTCAGGACTCCATACGCCTCTCTCATGAGTAACCGCCTCACGTGGTGGGCATCTTGGCCTTGTGCTTGGAGTGAAAACTGCTTCGTGGAAGGAAATGGCGCATAGCCTCGTGGCAAGTCTCGTTTTACGGTATCTTATATCAAGAGTGCAGAATAGGTAGACCTTATCGAATGATGTAAAACTCGTCATAGTGTGACTGTGTTGGTGCTAAACGATTTCCCCGTAATAGATGCCATCATCCGTGCATTGTCAGTTAGCATAGCTTCGGGCTGGGTTCAAGCTGGTCTTCATAGACCAGAATCACCTTCGCACATCAAATGAAGTTGCGTAGAGTTTTGAGACTGATGTGTCGTGCTAATCGAGCAAAGCCAGATTGTACCTAAGACCCTATTTTTACTGTGGTAAGTCATGTGATTGCATCGGGTCGTATACGACTGGTACAGCTCCGCGAAGCGCGTCTTCTTGGCCATCAGCACCCCAGGCCCATCAAACTCGAGCAGCACACCGTTCTCCATTAGTGCCACCTTGACGTAGCGCGCCACGTGCTGCAGCCTGTGCATTACAGCTATCACTGTACAGTCCTTGAACTCAGTGTCGATGATGTCCTGCATGATCGCTTCGGTTTCGGCATCCACGCTACAAGCTGTCAGTCAACTTGCTCCGCTCCTCGGGAGGGTACGACAGTCCTTACCTGCTCATGGCCTCGTCGAGCACCAATATCTTGGATGTCTTAATCATGGCCCTTGCGAAACAAAGGAGCTGCTTCTGGCCAGTAGAGAGCACGGCAACATCAATTACCTTGTCTGTGCCATGGGCCTCGAGGAGAGATCCAAGTCCTACTCTTACAATGGCTGCAAAGATTGCTTCGTCCGGAGCGACATGAAAAGGATCTACGTTTGCGCGTATCGTTCCCGGTATCCAGAGAGGATCCTGTGGCACTACATTGGTAATATGACGGAGGTCGCTGCGTCTCAGGGCTGAGGTATCCACGTTATCGATGCGAAGCGAGAAAAGGGCTGGTCTTCGGAGCAGTTTGACGAAGCTCCATGGCGAGAGTGCGATGAAAAGTGCGGCAGGTAAACAAGCAAAGACGAGGTTCTCGAAAAGCGAGGGGAGGTCGAAGGACCGGCAGCCGGGCTCCATGCGTGGCCCAAAAGACTGATTTGCGTTGGGCGTGCAGTCCATCTGGCACAGGAGATGCTTACTTCGCTCGTTTCATGAAGTTCAAAACTTGAGGGCGGGCAGACGAATGGGGATACACCCAGAACTAAATCGGATGGATTTCAGGATCGGCAGACAACGTAGACAGATAGGGTGCCTGGCATAAGCTGGGCGCAACCGCGCGGCAGCAACTACCTAGGGTACAGTATGCGGCCTAGCCATTTTAAACTGTAACACTAGAAGCTGGGTTGAGGTGTTATATACACACTCTCTCCCTCTCCCAAGAGGATGTAAAGGTGGTGTTGAACTAGCCCAGATCCAGAGTCGAACAAGGTTCGCGTGACTTCGTTTGGAAGACTCAGCGCCGTCGTGGGAAAGGCGTTGCGTGTCTGGAGAGCTGTGTGGTCTCATTATACCGAGAATAACATATTAGAGGGATGTAAAGTATTCGGGATAGCTAAGAAGCCGACTCTGAAAGCACTGGTCTCTGATTTTGTGGCACCCAGCGGCGACAAAGTCATAGAGGACTCTGACAAGTGAAGTATGCCTACTTCGACGAAAGTTTCCAATAGAAGGGATGATGTGCCAGTTGCCAGCCTTATCTTTCAATTCACCTTATAAGTACAGATGGCCTTCTACCCAGGTAGTTGAAGTTAGGTATCCAATTACACTCTCGAGAGTTTACGAAATAACTTCATTAGCACAACAGCTATTAGCACCCATCCCTTGAACTGTGAAAGTATGTTCAACATGTGAATAAGTCGGTCAGTCTATTTGTACATCTCAGTAGGATAACACTCCTCCTACTTCAGGCTCAGTCTAGGTACACGCAAGTTGAAGTACTCATACTATAAAGCCAACCCGTTCCCCTCCTATAAAGCTCGGGGCCAAATTGCACCTATCCATGTGCAACTGCTCCAACGCATACTGAAACTATACAAAATTTTCCCGACCCGACTGCGTTTTTTTCTCTCACATAAGTCCCTCCCATTACAGCTCACCAACCAATACCTGCTCAGTTCCATTCCCACCTGCAACCGCCGCATCCGCATTCGCATCCGCATCCCACCTCTCAAAAGCCGCTCGATACTATCCTCACGCGTTAGTTCAATTCTTCATCACTGACCCCGACAGAAACAGAACTTACCGCAAAGATCAAATTCAAGACAAGCGCCACCATCAGCGCAACACTGAGAACCAGCGGGCCCGCGACATTATTAAAATCCTTGCCACTGCGCTCCAAAATCATGTTACGTCGCTTCCTGAGCATAAAATACCCCCACGACCCGGCGAGCATGGCAATCACGACATAGGTGACCCCCATGCACTCGGCGACGAAGTTCTCCCCCGCGGCCGTGTACAGGCTGACGGCCAGACTGCCCAGCAAGACACAGATGTGCTGCCATTTTAAGAACGTGCGCTCATTGGCCAGCCACACCTTGGGCTCGATCTGCAAAGGGCCCATGTTCTTGATCCAGATCTTGGGCTCGACCACGCCGTCGGGGAGCTGCGGGTGTCCGCCACCGCGCTTGAAGCGGGAGTAGGTTGCCATGGAGAAGCTGGGGAGGACGGACGACAGGGTCCCGTATTTGGGGCTGCTCAGGCCGTCGGTGCCGTTAGCGCCGCCATTCTCCTCGCCGTCTCCCTCGGCTCCGCGGCCGTTGGCGTTACCCGGAGAGGCCTCGGCGGTGGCACGCTCGGATAAGTAAGACCTGCCCAAAGGTAAACTGGCTGCCGGCTTGAAGGATCCCGTCGCCTTGCCGAGAAAGCTTCCAACCACCTGTTCATTCTCTGCTTGCTGAGCTTTTCTCTGGTTCTCCTCCTCAAAAGCCGTGTGGGGATCCTTGAGTATAGTGTTTTCTTCCTCCAGGTCGTTCAGCCAGAAGGGCAGGTTGTTGACGTAGTCCTCGAACAGAGAGGCCACTCCATGCACAAACTTGGAAAAGCGAGGCGCGGAATGCACGAGATGGGACCCCATGAGATCCTCGATCCACGCAGGCCTTTTGCGGCTACCATCCTCCTTCAACTTGATCTCCAGCAATGAGTGGGGGAACTTTGAAACCTCGCTCTTATTGATGTTTTCGAAAGGAAACGTCATGTTGCTGTTGTCAACGTCGGTTCTGTGCCATGATTGGGGATCTCGGCAAGGCCGGTCCAGATCCAGCGTGTCTTCACGGATGAAGGCAATGTTGGAGTCGATGGAAATCCTGACGCGGTCATCGGCAGGTTTCTGGAAGGCAGTGCGGGTATAGTTTGCCCTCACGACGGGCTCGAGCTTGTTCCTGACGACGAACTCTTGGATTGCGTCAACGGTGCTCTTGAAGGCATCGATTTGATCCGGCTTGTAGCCTTGTCGCTCCATCTTGAGGATGCTCTTCTCCATCTTGTACTCGCTATCCACAAAGCCCTTAACATACTTGTCCTTGATGGTGAACTGCTTTTCTTCGCTGGTGCCATTTTCGTGCGTAATTTTCTGTTCCAGCAGAATTTCTGGTTTAGCACTAAGTTGACCGAACCATCGTAGCCGCAATGACGAGGCATCGACCTGGCGCTCCACCTTGGTGGAATAAAGCTCAAACCTGGGGCTGTCGAAGTACAGCGAGGTGATGCTCGGGCTGTCGTTACCATCGAGCTCCTTAGCAGACTGCTCGCTGTACACCAGAGCTGGCAAGTGTCGCAGAATGGACGTCTTCACCTCGAGGAGGTTGTCGTGGTGCACCCAGAACTTGTGGGCAGTATATCTGGCGCCATCGTGTACTTCTTCTTGATGCTCCAGATCGGGCGCCTGCGACTGATCTCCGCCCTCCAGGTGGCAGTTGATGATGTAGTACATGGTGGACAGCTTCTTCAGCAGCGGCGAGTAGGCCTCCTCCGAGTTCAGGCCATGTTTTGTCAGCTGCAATGTGACGATGGGCCGCAGTTTATAGTCCTGTCCGCGCTTCCGGTCATGCTTCTTAGTGATTTTGAGGAAGCCAGTGAAATTGGCGCTGCTGTATCTCTTGAGCTCTTCGACCTCCTTTGTGATGCCATCGAGCTCTTCCTTGCACTCCTTCAACCGGGCCGTCGTAATGTCGCTCTTAGGTTGGTCATCGGAAGGGGCTAGGTCCTTCAGCTTGCCAAATGCAGATTCGGCCCGCTCCTTGAGGTTGTCAAATCGCTCCTTCTGGAAATCCGACACCTTTTTCAGCTGGACATTGAACAGTTCTTGGGTGAAGCGTGTTTCGTCGGCGTCGGTCCACGCGCTGTCATCGTGCTTCTTGTCCTCCCTCAGTATCGTTTTTAATTTCGCATAGTCTATGTAATATTCCTGCCATGGCAAGTATGTGGACTCGCGAAGAGTCTTACCGAATCGCATCGTGTCCAACGGCCAGGGAGGCTGGTTGCTCGATTTACTGCCTGCTGTTCGGTACGGGTTTGTCGTTGGATAGATGGGCAACTGACAATCAACTGCAACGAGGCCTAACAGGGAGGATGCGTGATTACCACTGCTACATGAGGAGAAAACAGAAGCGTGCTAGTTGTTCAAGGCAGTAGGAAAGCCGCAGGTTCTGCACAGACCTGCTACCAAGGACATTGGATCTGAAGTTTGACTGTTCAGTGCTGGGAACAATCACAGGCACTGACTGCACTGACTGATTCCATGGCAACGCGTCACAACCCGATTACCGTGCAAAACTCCACTTTTTGCCCGATGAAAAGAGCTCTTTCCAAGCAATTGACCAATGACCAACTTACAAACTATACACGTGCTGAACTAAACTCCAGGCCGGCGCGGGGCAGTCCGTACCGCTACATCACACCACCTGGAAGTCAACTACGCTTTCCTTACTTGTCGTCCTACAGGTGTAATAGACACGGGACGTGTCATGATTAGCATCGCGGTTGCCATGAGCTGGTCAGCTTTGTCATCGTTCAGCAGTACTTTCTCTTCGTTCTGATCAAATTTGCAATTCAACCAGTGAGAGCCTGGTATTGTTTACTTGAATAACGGCACTCTACTCCGCATGCATCCGATACTGGTCCAATCCACAAGTCAGCGGAAGAGGGGTCCATTCACAATATGGAGATCCAAGAAGCAAGACCCAAAGTTCGTATGTACATGTTCATGATTATATAAACCATATGTGTGCTAAGTAGCGATGCCAAAGTACGTAAGCAATGTGATGTAACAAAAGTAGCAGCCGCAGTGGAAGTTCATTTCAGGACCCGAGAGAATCCTATCCGGTGCTGTGTCTGCCTTCCTTGCCCTGCCATGCGCCGATTCTTTTTGCAGCTTTCCTAATTCTTTCGCTCTTGGTATCGTAAATCAACTTTGACTGAAATCATTGACAAGGATATAGTTTTTCCCCCCCAATAACGCACCTAAGCCCCCGCACTAATGATCCATTCTACTACTCGTTGGTATAGCGTTACACGTCGTCGTTTCTTCTCATGGTATATTGCATTACCTTTGCTGTTTCTCAAGTGGCAACTTTGAAGATCTCCTCGGCGGTGCGTTTGATGATACCACCCGTGACCGGCAGATTGGTGTAGTTTTCCAAGTACAGGTCGATCTCGCGAGCGGCTTGGCGTCCTTCGTTGATACCCCTGCAATAGTTGTTAAATTATAGGTCTTTGCTTAGGCACCCGAGGTGAAACTTACCAGACAATGAGGGACTGGCCACGACGGCAGTCGCCGGCAGCAAAGATGCCCTCGACGTTGGTTGCATAAGAGCCAGCGGGCGTCTTGACATTTTTGCGGGCATCCTTGTCGATGTCGTCACCGAAGACACGGGCCTCGGGACCCAAGAACCCCATGGAGAGGAGGACGAGGTCGGCAGGGAAGAACTGCTTGGTCTCTTCGAGTTTCTTCATGTCCCAGCCACCGCTGGCAGACTTCGTCCACTCGACTCGGATGGTGTTGATACCCTTGACATGACCACTGCCGTCGTCGACAAACTCCTCCGACATGATGCAGTACTCGCGGGGGTCCTTGCCCATGTGTTGTTTGACCTCGTTGTGACCGTAATCGACACGGTAGATGCGAGGCCACTGCGGCCAGGGGTTGTCACGGCCACGCTGGGGAGGGGGCTGAGGCAGGAGCTCGAAGTTAATGACAGACTTGGCACCGTGGCGAACCGAAGTACCAATGCAGTCGTTGCCCGTGTCACCACCTCCGATGACAATGACGTTCTTGTCTTTGGCGGAAAGGTAAGCACCATCCTGCAGCTCCGAGTCGAGCAGAGACTTGGTGTTCTTGTGCAAAAACTCCATAGCGTAGTGGATGCCTTCGAGGTTGCGGCCCTTGATGGGAAGGTCTCGAGCCACGGTGGCACCGGTCGCAATGACGACCGCATCGTTCTGAGCCTTGAGATCCATCAAGCCAACGTCTTCGCCGATAGCAACGCCCGTCTTGAAAGCGATACCCTCGGCAGCCATGAAGTCGGTTCGCCGCTTGACAATGCGCTTGTCCAGTTTCATGTTGGGGATGCCGTACATGAGCAGACCACCCAGTCGATCGGCACGCTCGTAAACAGTGACGCTGTGACCGGCCTTATTGAGCTGGTCGGCGCAGGCAAGACCGGCGGGACCAGATCCGACAATGGCCACCGTCTTGCCAGTTCGCACCTGGGGCGGCTGAGGAACCATCCAACCCTTCTCAAAGCCACGATCAATGATGGCACACTCAATGGACTTGATACCGACAGGGTCTTCGTTGATGCCAAGCACACAAGCGCCCTCACAAGGGGCGGGGCAGACACGGCCGGTGAACTCGGGGAAGTTGTTGGTCATAAGGAGACGGTTCAGAGCATCCTTCCACTGGTTCTGGAAAACGAGCTCGTTCCACTTGGGGATAATGTTGGAGATGGGGCACCCCGTCTCGGACTGGCAGAAAGGTACGCCGCAGTCCATGCATCGTGCCGACTGGTACTTGAGCTCATCTTCGTCCAGGCGGGCTGAAAGCTCTTGCCAGTCCTTTGTACGTGTCTTGGTGCTTCTGTACTTCTCGGCACGGCGCTGATACTTCATGAATCCCTTGGTTTTGTCCAGAACGAGAGCTCGCTTCTTTTCTGCGTCGTTGTCCCCAATTGCCTCCTCCATGTCCAGGAGCTTGGCGGGCTTCTCCTTCTTGTGGTGGACGCCCGAAACGATGGGGAGGTTGTACTCAGAACGCTTGGCCTCGGCTGCCTTGGCTGCTTCCTCCTCAAGCACTCGCTTGTAGTCAACAGGTAACACCTTGACGAACCGTGGCAGAGCTCTGTTAAAGTCGATCAGGATGCGTGCAGCAAGCTCAGACCCTGTGTAGTGGTGGTGGTCCTCGATCAGGCCGCGCACGAAAGCAACCTCGGTAGGATCCGTGATTTCAGATGCCTCCACCATCTCCATGTTGAGTTTGTTAATGAAGTCTCCATGAATATCGAGCACGTAGGCGATACCACCCGACATACCAGCCGCAAAGTTGCGACCGGTGCTGCCGAGAACTAGGACGCGACCACCCGTCATGTACTCACAGCCGTGGTCACCAACACCCTCGACGACGGCGGTGGCACCCGAGTTTCGGACCGCGAAGCGTTCAGCAGCAATACCCCGGAAGAAGCATGCTCCGTTGGTAGCGCCGTACAAGCACGTGTTGCCGATCAAGATATTCTCCTCGGCCTTGAATACGGCCGATCGAGGAGGATAAATGATCAAACGACCACCAGACAAACCCTTGCCGACATAGTCGTTGGCGTCACCTTCCAGTTCCAATGTGATACCAGGTGCCAGGAAGGCACCGAAAGACTGGCCTGCGGAGCCCTTGATGTTCACATGGACAGTATCCTGAGGAAGTCCAGCCTCACCGTATCGCTTAGAGATCTGGTAAGAAAGGGAGGTTCCCATGGCGCGATCAGTATTGACGATATCACACTCGATTCGGGACGGCAGTCCCTTATCCAGCGTCAATTCGGCCTCGGAGATGAGCTTGTTGTCCAGGCGGACATAGAGGCGATGGTCTTGCTTGCGGACGTTGAAGGTGGCGACGCCAGGCCGTAATTTGTGTGCGGGAGTCAGGATGAGGGAGAGGTCGATATTGGCTGTCTTCTTGGTACGCAGCTCTTCCTTGACCTTGAGCACCTCCACGTGGCCAACCATTTCATTGATGGTTCGGAAACCAAGCTGAGCCATGATGGCTCGCAGTTCATTGGCGACGTAATAAAAGAAGTTGATGACGTTCTCAGGGGTACCAATGAACTTCTTGCGCAGTTCGGGATCTTGGGTGGCGATACCAACTGGGCATGTGTTCAGATGACACTTCCTCATCATGATACAGCCCATAGCGATCAGTGGCGTAGTAGCAAATCCCCACTCCTCAGCACCGAGCAAACAGGCGATGGCAACATCACGACCAGTGCGGAGTTGACCGTCGGTCTGGACGACAACACGGCCACGGAGATCGTTCAGCACAAGCGTTTGATGGGTCTCAGCAAGACCCAGCTCCCATGGGAGACCGGCGTACTTGATACCCGTCCATCGGGAAGCACCGGTACCACCATCGTGACCAGAGATCAAGATGTGATCAGCCTTGGCCTTGGCGACACCCGAGGCAACGATACCCACACCGGTCTCAGACACCAGCTTGACGGAAACACGAGACCGGGGGCTCGAGCACTTGAGATCATAAATGAGCTGCTTCAAGTCCTCTATGGAGTAGATGTCATGGTGGGGAGGTGGTGAGATGAGACCAACACCAGGCGTAGAGTGGCGGGTTCTGGCAATAGACTTGGACACCTTGTGGCCGGGCAGCTCACCACCCTCACCGGGCTTGGCACCTTGGGCCATCTTGATCTGAAGCTCATCCGAGTCGGCGAGGTATGCGGACGTGACACCGAAACGACCGGAAGCGACCTGCTTGATAGCGGATCTCATGGTATCACCGTTGGGCATGACCTGGGATCTCTCGGGATCCTCACCTCCTTCACCAGTGTTGGATTTGCCACCCAAACGGTTCATGGCAACGGCAAGTGTCGAGTGAGATTCCATCGAGATAGAACCATACGACATGGCACCTGTGCAGAAGCGCCGGACAATTTCCGTCCACGGTTCAACCTGATCGATGGGGATCGCGTTGCACTCCTCGAACTTGAAGTCAAGCATACCGCGAAGCGTGCAGTTCTTGATCTGCTCGTACTCGGAACGCGAGTAGGCCTCGTACGACTTGTCATTCTTGTTTCGCACGGCGTCCTGAATGTTCGCAATCGACGTGGGGTCGTTGATGTGCGCCTCGCCACCATCACGCCAATGGTACTCGCCAGACTCCGGAAGACCAGTGACACTGACGGTGTAACGGGAGGGAAAACCTCGCTCGTGGAAGCGGAATGCGTCTTCGGCAATGGCTTCGAAGGTGATACCCTTGATTCGCGAGGCTGTGCCTCGGAAACATCGCTCGACAACTTCGTCGTCGACACCAAGTGCTTCGAAAATCTGGGCACCCTTGTACGACGCCAAGGTCGAGATACCCATCTTGCTCATGACTTTAAGAATACCACCATCGCAAGAGTGCTTGTAGTTGGCGATCAAAGCATCATCGGAGAGTTTCTTGCGAATGAGACCTTCTCGGTTGAGCTTTAGGATACACTCCATGGAGAGGTACGGGTTGATGGCGTCGGCTCCGTAACCCAGCAAGACACACATATGATGCACTTCACGGGCCTCAGCAGTCTCAACCACAATGGCTGCCATAGAACGCCACTTGTTGCTGACTAAGTGGTGGTGGACCATGCCAGACGCAAGAAGAGTAGAGACAGACACACGATGAGCAGAAGTCTTACGGTCAGACAAAACGATGATCCTGTCCCTGCCCTCAATAGCGGCAGTGGCCTCGTCGCAGATGTAGTCGAGGTGCTTCAAGTAGCCGGCAACACCCTCAGACTTGGGAAACGTGAGATCGATCGTCTTCACTGTCCACTCAGGGTTGATGTTTGGCACGTTGTTGAGTGCCTTGAATTCTGGGATAGACAAAATGGGGCTGGGGAGAAGAAGGCGACCACATTGAGACGGGTCCATCTCGAGCAGGTTGCCCTGTGGTCCAATGTAGCATTCAAGAGACATGACGATGGACTCGCGAATGGGATCGATGGGAGGGTTGGTGACCTGAGCGAAGAGTTGTCGGAAGTACTCGGGCAACAGGCGTGGTGCGTTGGAGAGGCACGCAAGAGGGGCATCGTTGCCCATGGACCCAAGAGCTTCCTTCTCATCCGAAGCCATTGGAGCGAGCAGCAAGCTCACTTGCTCGTGAGTGTAACCGAATGCTAGCAATAAGGGGTCTTCTTGGAGCAAAGTCGAATCGGGCGTTGGGGCACAGTCGATTCCGGACTCGGTGATCTGGCTGAGGATCTTGGGCATGCTGAGAAGCTGGTTGTCAAGCCATAAGCGGAAGTCGTGGCGGCTCGAAACTGCCGCCTTGAGCTCGGAATCGTCGATGATACGTCCAGCTTGGGTATCAACAAGCAGCATGCGACCGGGTTGAAGACGTCCCTTCTGAACGACGCTCTCCGGCTCCACAGGGATAGTGCCGACCTCAGACGCGCAAATGATGCGATCGTCGTCCATAACGTAGTACCGGCAAGGGCGCAGACCGTTTCGGTCAAGATTGGCACCGCAGAAACGGCCATCAGCGAAAGTGAAGAGGGCGGGGCCATCCCAGGGTTCCATTTGGCAAGCGGCCCATTCGTAGAACGCTGCCTTCTTGGGGTCCATAGCCGTGTTTCCTTGCCATGCCTCGGGGACCATTAGCATAACAGCTTCTGGAAGGGAGAGAACTCCGTTAATGGTGAGAAGTTCCAACACATTGTCGAAAGCTGCCGAGTCGGAGCCTCCATCTTCAACGATGGGGTACAGGTGCTCCAGCTCGTCACCGAATACGTCAGACTGCATGACACCCTCTCGGGCGCGCATCCAGTTCTTGTTGCCGCGAAGCGTGTTGATTTCACCTGACCACTGTTAATTTACCTGATCCAACGCATATTAGGGGCGAATTCGCCATACCGTTGTGCGCAGCCCATCGGAGCGGTTGGGCACGATCCCAGGAAGGGAAAGTGTTGGTAGAGAAACGAGAGTGTACCAAAGCAAAGTGAGCCTGGTAGTCGGCATTAACCAAATCATGATAATACTGGTAGACTTGAACGGGGGCAAGCTGTCCTTTGTAGACAATATTCTTGTTGGACAAGGAGCACAGATAGAACCAATTGTGAAGGCCGATGGTGTGAGTGGCACGCTTACGAAGCACGTAGAGTTGCCGTTCGAAGTGTCTGTCGTCAAACGTCTCGGGATCCGTCATTTCAGGAGCATCCCCAGAGCCGTAGGCAGATGTAAGCACCACGAATGGTTGCAAAATAGTTGGCTCACGGGAGCGTGCAGCAGGGCCAAGGAGTGTAGAGTCTACAGGAGGTTCTCGCCAGCCTAAAACTCTCAGTCCCAATGATTCGGCAATATCTTCCAACTGCCTCTTCGATTCCTGCAAAGTCTCCTCATCCGGCTTAAAGAAGAGATTTCCCACGGCATATTGACCCAGAGGAGGCAGTTTAATGTTGACCTCTCGTTCGAAGTTCTTGATGAAGAACTTGTGAGGGATTGATGTCATCACACCTGCACCATCGCCATCTCGAGCATCAGATCCAACTGCTCCGCGGTGGGTCATGTTGCAAAGGAGGTTTCGAGCTATCGTCCATGTTAGCAATCTGTTCGTTTTCTTGTCACGCAAAGTCCCCCAACTAACCATCGCTGACGATTTTGTGGCTCGGTTTGCCCTTGATGTGGCTATAGAGAAATCAGCACACGTTCAGCACACAAGTGCCAAAGTTGTTTCTTACCAAGCAAAGCCGACACCGCAAGCATCCTTCTCCAGGTCTGGATCATACAGTCCTCTGTGCCACCAGGGTTAGCGCTCTGTTGTCCCTGATGTGTTGCGTGGCTGTAACGCACTGCTTCACCGGCAGGGCGCCAGCCCATGAGCCATTGTTTTCGGTCTGATAGTCATATGGATGGTATGACTCGGCCTCAGTATCGGTTTGTGTTTTTCTGTCGTCGAAATCCTCCGGTACGCCCATGTCAGGCAACGAGGACCAAGTTCGCGTGGAAGGTGACGGGTATCACAGGTCAGAGTTCGTCTCGTAGCGAAAGCGAGATTTTCAAGGGCGATCGAAGCAGCCAGACGCTGCGCAAACGTCGAATTTCTAGTGGTTCACCAAGGCAATTGTTAGTCTTGATCACAGCAATCGCATAAGTGGTCCCAAGAAGCTGCAATGTAGAAAAATAGGAAAAAAGGGCGCAGAGCTAATTCGATCGGCAGAGCACGGATTTTGGAAATTGATGTCACTCCTGGGAGTTTCCGAAGGGCTGAACTGATATGGATGACGCAGGGTGATGAGACCGAGTGGTTGGGGGTACCCAAGGTTGCGATGAATCCTCCAGTTACCCCTTCCATCGGCGCCCTATCAAAATCGCAGGAATGCGGTCGGAACTGCCTGTAGACGACTATCACACACCCCTCGGAAACACCGGGTGTACCTGGACATGCAATGTCTGTCCAAGGGAATGAGGCGATTTGCGAATAACTTTCGAGTCTTCGTGTTTGCCGTCAAACATGAGTACGAGACTACACATCGACCACCAAAGGTATTCGCAGCCCCCCGCTTCATCAGTCCAGAGCTATCCGCCAGTAAGAAAGAGCTCACTATTGATCGGAGGCGCTGGCGTCGATGTCGTCGAAATAACTGCTTCCAGTGATGCACAAGAACTGCCTTAGCGTAGCAAGCTTCTAAAGTTGCTTGGGTAACTGTGCAGCTGCATCCGGATTTGGCAATGACCCGGTCGAGCTGCAGGGATCGCGTAAAGATTGAGCGTGGGGAAATGCTGGCTAGGACCAATTGCAAGCGTCGTATTTCCACAGCATGCGGCTAATCATTGGGGGCCATCATAGGATGAAAGTCGTGCATCCACAATGCCCGTATGGTACTTTCTTTTGTTCATTCAGCAGTTCGCGGTCGATGATAGGTATGCAACAGGAAAAGTCGCCCATTTGCATCGGAAAGTTGATGGAGGGTTGCACCACATGCGTAATTCGTGGTTCCATATCAACGTTGGAATGATTTCATGACGGCGAATTTTGGGTGATTCTAATCGCACTCCCTGTTTGACAGAATGGGGTTTCGGCCGGGGTTTCGTTTCATTGCCGAGTTGCAGCGCGCAACATTGAACCTGGCAACATAGATCCTGGATACTGCATTTCGAATTGTCGCCCGTCCCAAGGGTCGAGATCCAGAGGCGATAAGGCTGACTATATAGAAGGAAAACGTGTTGGTTGTACTGTACTTACATAGTGAGTTGGCTCACAACTATCTCTGTCGTTGATTGGTCTCGGGGGCGGCTTCACTGAAACGACTTGGACTCTCAACGAGACATAGAGCAAGATAGTAGAGTCGTCTGGCAAGAGAAGAAAGAAGAGAGAGAATAATTATTAGAAGGGTGTGGCGGACAGCCTCGGTTTTATGGGATGGGCAGAAAATGGAGAGCAAGAGAGGGGCCAAGCCGGCTAGGTTGGAGTGTGCTAGGAACCAGGCTCTTCTACTAACTATGGTGGTAGTCTGTCCGAGTGGACGAGTAGACAGAGAGAAGAAAAATATTCACACAAATCACGTAGACATGTGGCAGATCGGCCTTTTCCTGCTGCTGGGTCAAAGTGGGGGAGGGGGAGCTGGCCGACAGACGGACGACACAAACCTGTGGGAGGCAATCAAATCAAACTTGGTTTGGGGCTAGTGCCAGCGTCATTCGCCCAACCCACACTTCAACCCTGTCTATTATCTCGTCGTAGGGGTCAAGACCAAACGGCTAGTATCTTCGGTGACTCTACCGGAGCTTTATGCTGTGTAGAGTCTCTGGGGATTAACAAACGCTCTTTGTTCATTGGGCCAGCTTAACCCAGGTGGGGTCCGAAATGGGGGGTAGGGAGAGAGAGAGAACCTCATATTATGACCACCAGACGACCATAATCTTCGTATGCCCAGAGCAGAACCAGCGCACGTCAAGCTTTATGGCGGCCATCCTGCATGACACACATGTCCAGTAGCGGACCAATGAAGTCAAGTCTCAAAGACAGTTATCTTGGTGTAACTTCTTTTTCAGAACCTAATTTCGCTGCGGTTAGTTTGACAGCTCTTCAAGACAACCGGAGAGCCTTTTTGAACTTAATTCATCTCAACTTGAGTTGTGGCAGCCAGGAGCCACGACAGAGGACTTGCCAATTTTACGCTGCACTTTTAGACTCGAGACTCCGCAAGGGCATTGCCGTTGCTGTTCAGCGTAGTGAAACATAGCCAGAAGCAGACCAATCACATAGAGCATTGGCAATATATTCTAGTCAGACTTTGATAGCATTATTACATGAACATCACAACTCGTGAGTATATGATTAGGTCAGTTTTCTGTGCATTGAAACGGCTAAAATGTTGATTCATTTATCTATGAATTATTTTCCCTCTTTTGGCTTTGTCCTTTTTATCTTCCTTCCGACATCCGCATGAGCTGCCGCACGCCATGCAGCAATGACCCAATCAATTGCCATGGAAGCAGCGTCTTGAAGATGCTCTTTCTATTCCAGAAGATGGTTCCTCGCCCTGAAACCCGACAATCATGACTTCCCACCAATGACAGAGCCGCCGCAGTTGAGGTGTTTGAGATGAAGTCCGAAAGACTACTCCATAGTGCTGATGATTTGGCCTTTCGCCTCTTGAATGTACTGAATCTTACGTTGACGGCGTAGAAAGCACATGCAAGTCGGAGTTACTTCCAACCAAGACCATTCGTAGCGCCGTCCCGTTGATCGGACACAATACGTCCCAAATTGCACTTATCTGTTCGAATGAAGCCCTTCCGTAATGAAGTACACAAATGGATATTGCCCACAGCGCCGGCGCGGAACGCACCCCACACGCCAGGATTCAGGGTTGCGTCAAGGATCACGGCCAATTTGTGCATTTTGGCCCTGAGGGGCGGACAAGGGCATAGCCCACCAAGAGCCCAACGACGAAAACTAGACAATTTGCATGTGGGGAACTTCTTCAGGACGACTTGCGACCGCCCAATCAGATGGAGGGCCATTCAAAGACAGCTCGCTCCTACTCGTAAGCTGCAGCGGCCGATGTCGCCTTTCGTTGACGACGCCGTCCCGGTCAGACTCAACGTCCAAAGGTCCCAGTGTTGGTGAGGGGTTTATCGACCTCAGGTTAATAATCTGCAAAGGCATGCCCGGTTTGTAGTGAACATCCAAAGCTGATCTGTTCAGGTAAAAGTAGTCCTCGTCTTATTCGCTTGTAAGCGGATTACGACTTCACCGACATTACAGTCATCACATACTAGGTTAGTATTCGATGTGGGGTGGAGCATAATAATGGAGTCACCACAAGTCAGAATATCAAATGTCCCGAGGCATAATGAGCTGGTTGCTATTAGAGGGGTCCTAATTTCAACGTCGAACGATGGGGAGTGTAACTAAGTATAGCAGTGGATTTCGGGTATACTGACTCCAGTGGAAATAGAACCCCCAGGGCCCAACGTAGAGCCAGCTACGAAGCAAGTTGCATAGAATTTACAAATGTACTACGCGAGGTTGGATTATATTCTCGAGGCAGCCAGCCAATGCACAGCTACTCCGAGGCCATGGTTGTCTTCACGGAAGCTCCCATGCAGCCGGTCCTGCAGACAACCTAGACGGGACAAATACGTTGCATAGTCTCGTAGTGTTGGAATGCAAGTCGGCGTCTTGCTGACCTCGTAACCATCATAATGCCCCCGTAATGCCTGCGCCACTAGTCAACGTAGCTGTCAGTAACTGTTAGGAGAATGGAGAACCTAAAAGTTACCGCATACAACCAATCAAATCATGGTCAGCAACAACGAGTGCCTTATCTCAGACCAACCACGATGACCAATTCATGCCTTCAACTATGTTCTGCACTCGATGCTGTTAGTCTCTCACGCACAGACTTCATGGTCTAAAGAGATGCTAGTGATGTGCCTATTGCAACCACGAAACGTCAACACAACAAGGTGTCACACATCTCTACGTCCGATATAACTAAGTGTGCGCAGTTGTGAATGACTTATACACCCTTCAGCCTCGGTCTAGGGATCCCAGCCAGATATGAAAATCTTGCATTGCCGTCTTACAACCCCAGAAAATAACGTTCAATGTACTAGTTTGTTGGACGACTAAAGAGTGCATGGATACTGTTGGGCGACGATCTGGCCCATGGGGCTTCTATAGTGCCGAATAGTCGATCCATTTCTGAATCTACGACGACTCTGGTCGTTCTGGCCACAGCTGTCTCGAGAGGTTGCAAGCATAAGTGAAGTGGTGTAAGTCGCACCGAAATCGGCTACCAGATCCCAAACCGAAGTCTCCCGATCTTAGGCCCACATTTGTTTTCTCCCGCCAGTCAGAGTGTGGAGCACTGGATGAGACGACTCCAACAATCAGACGTAATGAACCGGCCAGGCTAGTTAACGCGAGGGGTCGGCTCATATTGAAAGCACCGAGAGGACGTCCGGAATGAGCAGCAGACTTTTCCTAGTGATTCCGAAAAGTCCCGAGGATGATAAGATGCCGAATTTGGCCGTACTAGTCACCGCTTGAGTAGCATCGCCACCGTTGAGAAAACTCTAGCGTAGTTTCAATGATCCTGTAATATTCGGAATGGTCATCATTTGCAGGCACGGGCCGGATGCCAATGGCAGACACTTAATTGCTTCTTTATTTTATTGTTTTACTTTTTTTTAATCTTGCTCTATTATTATTCACTTCGCTGGGCGCAGCCAACTCACACCGCTCCTAGCACGCTGGCATATAGTACTTAACATGCTAGACTCGGTGGTCTTTGCGTACGCAGAGTAGGGGCTGGGAAAGAATTATGACGAATAACTACTCGAGTATTCAAATCGCCGATCCAGCTAACACATTATTACTACGCACACCGTCCAGGCGAAGTTTTCGCAGCTCGAACTCTGCTAACCAACACGAGCATCAAGTTGTCATCAGTGACTCGAAATTCTCTGCTTCATAAATCCCCTTCCCAAGTTGGCATAGAAAGTTTGAAATATCAAACTGCAAACATCAATCCAGGTATCTCTTAGGCCTCGGAAGAAAACGAGAAAGCCCATAAATAAAAAGGTACACAAAAGAAAACAAAAGAAAATAAAAGAAAAAGGTCCTTGGATATCCTGTTCTCCAAACCCCGCATAATCCTTGTCCTAGTAACCCCACACGGTCCCTGCACCAGATTGGCGCGCGGCACCTTCCCAGCGTCTCTCAGATCTGATAGATCTGGCAGGCGGTCTGTTCCTTCCTTGCCAGTGGGGTTTCTTGACATCAACGGTGTCTCCAACTTCAACTCCGTGACTTTCCAATCAGTATTAGCGCCGGAGACAAGTCTTCGGATAGTCTGGCGCAGGCCCAACGCAATATCTCACGATGCTGCTGGTTGAACTCACTTTACGAATACTTCATCGGTCCACACCATCTAACAACAGGGCGCACTATTCTACAAGGTAGCTCCTAAACATTGCCACAATGCTGTCCATCCTTCCAGACCTCGCGCCGCGCGACGTAGGTATCCCTTGTTCCAGTCATCTCCTCTGCCAACTTGTCAGCTTCCTGACTAGATTTCGCAGTCTCACGCGCTATGGTATACCTCATCACGAAATCCACTTTCATCATATACCGCACAGCGCGACAACTCCGACTCTCAACACAACCCCAACCAACGACGTAACCAGCAGCTTGTGGATCGATCCCCGCTTGCCCGTCTGCGCGCGGACGAGCTCAAAATCGAACGCCGCCTCCACAATGTCTCAAATTTTGGTAGCCAATGGCTCAAACCTCCCGGCATCCCCAAGACGCTAAACCAGCTACGGGAAGAGCAGAAGGAACAACAAGAACACCAAGAGGCGCTGAGGCGTGAACAACTAGCACAGGAACTGGCTGATGCGGAAGCCGCTGGGGCAGGCGGAATCGACGCAGCGCTGGATGGCCAGCTCCAGGTCGAGGGCGGCGAGGATGGCATGGATGACGTTCAACTGGATGGTGCCCGCGATCTCGACGATGACATCCCCGAGGGCGACAGTGCCGACTTTGGATTGAGTGTGGATGAAGATGATGACGAGGAGGATGAAGATGACGATGATGATGGAGAGGAAGACGAGGAGCAGAGAGCTGCCCGGGCCCAGCAACAGCTCATGGCGCAGAGGATGCAACAAGTCGACGACCCCTTCCGGGAGAACGCGTCTCATTCCGGGAATGGCGTGGCCTTCTACGGAGGCGAGGACGAAGTCGACGACGAGGACCAGGCGCATATGATAGAGGAGGAGGATCTTGTCGGCGACGACGGCGTCGAGATGGACATGGACGCCGACCTCGATGAAGACATCCCCGAGGCTGGAAGCGCTGTCGGTTACGAACATACCGATACCGAGGCTGATCTCAGCAGCGATGATGATGAAGCCGAAATGAGCTTTGTCGCCCGGGCTCCTCAAACTGTCAGGTTCAGGGGTAGTCTGGCACGAACCGACGCAACACGCCACAGCCTCGTTATTAGTGATATACTGTCACGGGACGGAAGCAGCATTTTGGACAGTAGCCCCCAGGCTCCGAGGCAGGGCCACTCTCGCCATAGCCAGGGACGCGCCGGATGACGATGGGTACTGACGTGTTTAAAGAGGCGCAATGCAATTTTTGATATTCCTGGACACGAAAAGAACATTCCGCCCGAAAATGGCGGTCGTCTATTCGTTCTAATACCATGATAACGAAGCTGTAGAATTATGCACACATCCATTACAAAAATCTTTAAGTGAACCGAACCTCGTCCGTCCGTCTCGTTCGCATGCCCATCCATATGTACTGTTGTTTCATTTCATCGTGTCCACAGACCCTTGAGCGTAGCCACCCCTGGTGGTTACTGCTGCTGGTGGTGCTGCTGCCACGTATTTGCACACTGCACTCCGCAAAACGCCATCCCCTAGAGCGATACGTGGCAAAATCAAAGTATGTGTCAGTCTTCTGCCCGTTACCGCCTCGAGGTACTTCAGAACAGCCAAACATAGACAAAGATGATAATAACAGCCGCGAAGAAGCCAAGCCAGACCCTCCAGCCGACGCCCGTCCTCTCCGCCATGAGCAGCATGCGGTTCATGGTTCCGCGGAGGCGCAGGCGCGTCGAGTCGAACGTGTCGTTCATCTTCTCGGCTAGGGCGGACGAGTCGCGGATCTCGTCACCGATGGCTACCGTCATGCTTTTCAGCACTTTGACTTTGTCCAGGATGCCCGTGACTTGTTGATCGTTTTGGGATTCGAGTTCTTCAAGGGTTGCAGTGTCGTATTGGCCTCTGTTATCAGTTGCGCAAAGGTTAGCGTGAGTCCCGTTGTTAAAATCCTGTCGACAGCATCTACGGGTAGCTAGCCATACCTCGAATTCGGCGTCGCAGGCCGAAACCCCTTGTTCTCCACGCTCAACCGATTGCCATTGCCGTTGCTTCCCGGGTAACCGCCACCGTAGCCATAGCCACCGCTCAGAGCGCTCGGGCTCGGGGTGAATTGCCGCCTCGTCGCGTCGGCGCCGCCGTTGTAGCCTTCGAAGAGGGCGCTGCGCGAGTCGCGCTGGTGTAGCGTTGAGTTGCCGAATCTGTTGAGAAACGGATCATCCTGTCAGTCTCATGGCTCTGCACAGTATTGGATCGCAAAACTGAGGTGGGCGTGGTGGCGCGTGAGCAAACAATTGAATCATCGTCATTTCCCCTTTTATTGTCGCGTGGCGTCTCAAATGACTTTGACCCAGACCAAGACCGAGCCCATAGCCAAGAGCGCGCGGGTATTGCAACGGGGTTGATGAGGCATCACAAGTAAGGGCGATGGAGCTTATTTTCTCACGTACCTGGACGACATGGTGATGCTGGGAGATGCCTGAGAAGAATCGAGTTCTGTCTCAAGCTTCTCTTTCGACGTTTTTGGATCCTTTTGGCAGCGTCGCAGTTCCAAAGAATTTACTATGGTAATCAAAGCGATGCATTCTCGAATGTGGCTTGATCTGTGGCTAGTGCATGCCTTGTCAGCAACGCAAGGGTTATCTCGAATAAATGGCATACGACACTGATAATGGACGGTTGAACTGACAAATCATTTGAAATCAATGTTTACTTCAGTAGATATTTGGGCATTGCGTTCAATGCCAATACTAGCGCGTCGATTTCAGTCAGTCCTCCAGGTATCGTCGTTCGGCTCTATACAATTATCTCGAAAATAATAAGTATCTCATACAGTGACATATAGCATGACGTAAATCCTAACGCCTTCACTCGTAAAATACCAAACACCGAACCTCAATACTCTGCCTCCCCGGCGCATCCGCCGGCGTCTGCGGATCAACAAATGCCGTATGCGGCGTTCTAACCGCCACCCCCTTCCTGCCCATCGGCTGCCCCTCCCCAAACGAATCATAACACTTTAACAACAGCGCCTGGTCCGGCGTCATGTCCTTCAAATAGTAGTACTTATGCTTCGGATTCGACGCCACTGCCATCGTCTCTCCGCGCACTTCATATCCCTCGGTGGAGTCCAAAGCCGTCTCGTCCGGCGCCTTCTCCTTGCCCCTATCGTCATCGTCATTGGCATTCCCGTCCATGGCTGAATCCGCGCGCTTGGGGTAGAGAAGGTCGACTGGCACGAAGTCCGCCGGCTCCGTAGTCCGCCAGTCGATGACGGCGAGCGGGAAATCGCTCGCTGGGTTTTCGATGGGTCGCCAGACATTGATAATTTGGAATCGACCCTTGAGCAGCTCCTCCGCCTTAGGGCTTTGGTCGACGTGCACCTGCTGGACCGGGGCACGAGCTGCGCCAGGGACACGCCGGCGGATCGTATGGTCGAAGATGACGACTTTCTTGATCCCCGGGTGGGTTTTGCGTAAGAGGGCTTCTACCTCATCATAGTAGCCCCCGCGGACGGTGGCATCATCGGTGAAGGATTTCTCGTTAGAAGGTGAGGTGTAGACGGCGAAACCCGAGTTGTCCGTCGTGAAGTCAGATTCCCGGCCTCGGATGTCGTGCACTGAGCGTTTGTGCTCCAGGCGCTTGAAGGACGTCACGTCTGCGTCGACTTTGGTCCATTGCTTCTTGTTGGCCGTTTGTTCCGTGAGGTCAATATGTCTGAAGATTGCCGTTGTCATGTTGGCGGTTTGACTTTGCTCTAGAATCGAGTTGTGCGGCGTTGGGAAGTGCGCACCGTATCAGGGTTGAAAGCGAGGGCACAAGCGGGCTGGCAAAAACCGGTGATCTGATGCAACTTGTTGTTCCCCACGAGCATTTATACTGGCGTTCAAATGCCGACACGTGGGGTTGCGGAGGCTGTATCCGCCAGGGCATCCAATTACTAATGTCGCCTCAATGGCATCATCGCGGGAAGTGAATTACAACGCTTAGGTTTCGTAATATTTTGACGGCTTGCGGCACTGCCCATTACTGATGGCCAGTTACCCATACAATTTCAAGGGCGATCGGGACGAGATGTCGCATTGTTCTAAGATGCCGTGGAAAGGGCGTATAATTAATTCTACAGATCTGAGTTCACTAGAGCTCTGTCGTTTAAAGCCGTGGCGAATGTGGTGTTGCAGGGACACTTGATTCCCTCAATATTTAAGCAACCACAATCGCAGTGTTACACGGCGGCTTTGAACGACGAGTTTCGACATTTTCCGTTTTGCAATACCCCTTGAGCTAACCCTGTAACTTGATACAGGGTAGTTCGTTGCTAGGATTGTTCGGAGCACAGTTCTCTAGGTGTGGGCTATCTTGCGTAGCATCGACTATGACATGTCTTATTCTTCACTACTTAGCTCAAAGCAAAGCGGGCTCGAGGTTCAATCTATCTTCAGCTGTCGAATCGTTCCTCTTATCACGTTAATATATGTATTAGCAGGGTACTGTGTGGTGCGCAATCACATACCTTGACCTAGTATTCGAACGTGCAACTGCTCCTAGCCCCTGGTGACACTGTGGTGCATATACAAACCCCTACCCATGTTCGTTTACGTGCTTCTTGTTAACCTCGTGTTATACTGCGATTCTCATCTTGTAGGACACACTCCTAACTCCTCAAGGATATACCTTATGCTCTTGCCTATTCTATGGGCGGACAGCGCCTTCCACGTCCCACCGAGTGTTAAAAGGGAAGAATGACACTCAGGAGGATACGGTACGGTACTTATATAGTGACCTACCTCCCTTGCCACCCAAGCCAAGAGATTGTAAGTGGAAGGAGATGTCCCTCGAGTATTTGACATGCAGATGTGTTCAAGTATCGAATGCCGTTTCTCCTAGAGCGTATACTATCGCCCTTCGATTCCATATGTGCACATGCCATCTCGTAGTTCTATGGTGCCGATCGGTGCTCCTTCCTACTTCACCAGCACTACTCGTAAGTTCCATATCTGATGAAGTCCACTTGACCACTTAAGTCGCATGATTCATATTAGTTGATCTCGTTTTCATTTTTATAACTCAACGCTACCACGACGTGACTAACAAAAGAAGCTAGCAGCCATGGCGCCGTGTCCATCTATCTCGCAATCCTCGCGAATCGAGCGTGTGGACCGAACCCCATGGAGCAACGCATTCGTCGCACGCTGCTCATTCGTTCGTTCGTAGCCGCGGCTCATGAAGTAAAATGCAGGTAAGTACTTATCTAGCCGTCGCGAACAGGATACCTTTCCACCATCCCGAATACCCAGGCTCCCTGGTGTCTACTATTGAAAGCAGAATGCAATATCCCGCCCAATCAAATGTGACACCAAACGCCGTGCCGAACGTGACTACTAGGCTCCTTGCCCTCGAAGATCTTAACCCGAACCCGAACTCTGTTGTACTCGAGTCTGTCAAACGACTCGTGGCTCGTTGTTCGTTCACGAAACACAAAAAGAAATTGAATATATACAAGATTGATATAACGGGTGGCCGAGGCCGGCCGGTGAAGTCGGATAGTTGGGAAGCGGCCTACGCGGTTTCCAACAGGTTTTGTCTCAGGAACTCACTGGGAGCAGCTATAAACTTGACAAAAGACTGCACACCGGAAGCAAAAGTTGGAGCGCCGCTGAACATCATGGCGCCGAGAATGAAGGTCAGCAGAGGAATCTAGGAATGATGTTAGCTCAGATTTCATATTCAAGATTAAATACCAAAGGACCCACCCAGACAAACCACAGCATTTTATCACTGCTGCCGGTCTTCAGCCTCTCAGCATGCGCTCGCTGAAGGTTCTCTTGCTGCTCTTTGGTGATGGCGTTCTTGCGCCCGATCTGCAGAAGAGCAGGTATCTCTCGCACTTTCGAAGACTCTGCGGTAGTTTGGTCGTATAGCGTCGCACACTTGGCGTCGGCCTCATACTCGGCAGCTGCTGTGGCGGCTGATGCTTGCTTGGTATCGATGTCCTTTTGTGGGAAGATGTCTTCGTACGCGGGAGGGGGAGCATCTTTAGCTCCAAAGAAAGAAGGCATTTCCCACCATTGCTTGTCGGCGTCTCTAGGCGGCTGGTCACCAGCGGACCCAGGACGCGAGCCACTAATGTTGGGTACTAAGGAAGCGATCCGTTGCATAACAGGTGCGTTATGTAAAGGTAAGTAGTTGTGATAGTCTGGCAGCATGGGCATTTGGAACTGCGGCCAATTCTGTGAAATCATGGCCATGGACTGTTGGAATTGATGAAGTTGTGTGGCGAACTGCTCCCGGAACGCTGTCATAGCAGCGCTTGGTGAAGCCAGACCAGTAGGGACATCAGTGGTTGGGGGTGATACAATGTCTGGCAGTTGATGACTGCGAGGTACGCTTGGGCGTCTCATATCCAGCCAGTCCCCGTCATCAATTTCTTCGTTGTCGTCATCCGAGGAGCTGTACCCGAGCGCTTCTTCTGAGTCTGACGCATCGGACAAGTAGTTTTGACTGCATGCCGTCATTGTAGGGGGGTCCCACAGAGATCTCAAAGAAGTAGCACTGCTGACTCTGCTATGTAGTGAGCTAGTGCTCCGAGATCTCGCGTGGGACTCGACGCGCCGAAGCGCTCGTAATACATCTCTCGACCGGGCCATATCTGCCGGAGTGAGACCCGAAAGACTCCGCATGGTTGGATCGGCACCCGAGATCATGAGCCGCCTCACAATATGAGAGTGGTCGTTCATGGCTGCGAAATGCAATGGCGTGAACCCACCCTTGTCTCGAGCGCCTGCATTGGCCGCCCTCGATAACAGGCCAGCAACAAACCGGTTGAGACCTAGAACGCAGGCCAAGTGGAGCATGGTTTGTCCTGTTGATCGCTTGAGGTTGATTCTTGCCTTGTTGACGCTGTCGTCAAGATCAATCAGCTCTAGTACGCGAAGCAGTCCCATCTCAAGAGAGGCCGGTCCGAGGTCGAAACTGTAGCCGCCGGTCGGTTGACCAGCAGATCCAGGTTGTGGACCCCAAGCTCCCTGACCCGACCTTCCAATGATGCTTCTGGCGATATCCGCGACGTCTTGTATGTTCCCACCAACCTTGTGGCCCAGCACTACCAGTGCCGTTCTGATTAGTTGATCTTCATCGTCATCAACATACCGGAACAAGGCTTGATGCTTGTTGCTGAAAGACGGCTGCTGCTCTTGCATTCGTGGCTGTTTGATGGAAACGAGCACCGGCCCGCTGACGGGAGAAGGGGGAAGAAGACAAACCAACGAGCTTTCGCCCCAAAAGGTAGTCGTCGTTGCTCTCTGTTCTCCGAACATGACTTCCAATCCGCCGTTGGTGAAGCCGCTTCCGAGGATCGTCACCTCTATCCCCCCTGACTTGGGTCCTTCACCAGGGATGATCTTATGTATCATTGGACTGGGGGCTCTTGCCGAGGTCAGTCCCATGGGCCCCGTAAACATAGACTGCCCAAGTTGAGAGTTTTGGAAACCATTGACTTCGTTTCGGAGATGGTTCGGGCTTGGGGCCCGACTAGGATGGGCAGACACAGGGGCCGAGTACAACGGGTGCGTCGCCCCCAGGTTGTCCATGCTTATGTTCCGGTTCACACTGGAGGCGAACAACATCTGGTCGTTATTGCTATTAGGGGTAGGGGGTCCCGTTGCGAACGATTGCTGCATGGTGTTGAGACCTGGCTGGTGTCCCTGTGGATACAACGAGTTCGGAGCGCCAGAGAAACTCATGTTGGGTGTGAATGGAGAAGTTGCTGCAGAAACAACAGCAGATTCACACTGAGAGTTGGGGGGAGCCACGTTGCAAGGCTGCGTAGTTTCAAGTCGCGTCATGGTCAAACCAGATGGTACCTTGGATGATGAATTGCCGGCCTTCCGCTTTTTCGAGACAGGCCCTGCCGGTGACGTGGGTGACGCTTGCCGAGACAAATTACGCGGCGTCGCTGTGACAGAAGTCCCTTGTGAACTGTTCCCATTGGTGCCGTTCGAGATATGGGGCTGGAAAGATTGTGCAGAGGCTTGCTGAAGACCTTGGAGGTCTGAGGTCGACTGTGATTGCCGAAGCACTAAGGGAGCTTCGTGTGGTCTCGTGTCAATTGCCATTTCTGTGGTAGGCCCCACTGCGCTATGGTCCGAGTTGTTTGTAGCCAAGGTGGGGGTTGTTGAGATCTGATGGGTCTTGTGGTCGTCTGTAATCATAATTGAGGAGGATATCTGTTGAACAATCACTCTGTCCTGATGATCCTTGATTGTGAAGATAACCTGGAAGCCCAATTTCTCGCTGTGGTGTCGGCAGTAGCAAGCAATTCGCATTGGGGCATCTATTTGGACAGTGCCCGGAGGTATCCGGTTAGTGATTCCAGGAACAGAATTGTCCGGTGCCGGTTGCCAGTCCTTGACTTCATTGGTGTTGAAGACAATGGCTCTGTGTTTCTGGTATCTGTCCCATAGTTCCTCTTCCTCTGGCTTTTTGTTCTTCTTGCGTCCTGCTCTTTTTCGCTCGCGGAGGATACAGCCTGGGCAGATGCGCACTTCACCACCATTTTGAGGTTTGTTATCCTCATTATCAGCTTGATCGACATCGGCGGATGTGGGGTGGCCCGCTACAGCCGCACGAGCAAATGCCTTTTTGCGTTTTTCTTCGTCCTGCATGGCACTAGTACACACCAGCATTGTGTATAACTCCCACATGTCTGGTGAACGCTCACGGTCTGCAGCCTGCCTGGCGAGCAGTTTTGCCTTGGAGATGGTGTAACTGGGAAGATGAAGGCGCTTGATACCCTGCGGCAGATTGTACATGGTCATCTTGATGGGTATTTGCGTCTCTACTCGAGACTTGAAAGGGGTTCGTTCAATGACCAGTGTTGGTTGGGTGCCATTGAATGGCGTCCGCTGGGAAGAGTATGACGGAGGCATATGTGCCCCGTTTGTAGGTTCAGGCCGCGGCTGTGCTCCTGGCTGCGGTTGCACGTGGAATCCTCCCATGTTTGGCCAGATAGCGTTACCGCCAAATCCACCCGGAGTGGACGCTCCATTCATGAAGCTGGCGGTGTTGTCGGGAGACGGTGCACCTGATGGTGATAGCTTGAATAGCGCCGCAGGCGAAGACTCTTGGCTTGGGTACATACTGGGCGATGTTTCTCTGGACCCATTTGTGTGCAGGCCACTCATTGATTGTGCTAGAGAGTGTTGCTGTTTCGCTGTTAGTATCAGAAACAGGGAAAGAATGGGAGCACAAACTGATTGGGCCTTGTTGTGGCCTCTGGCCTCCTTTATGCCTCGAACCGCTGGTAATTGCATTGGTGTATCTGTACTGTTCTCTGGGGATAACGACGATGCTCCATCTGGTACAGGAGCATTAGGGCTGCTGGATGCGCTTTCAAAGTCAAAGAAAGCATTCTCTCTGAAGTGAGAGTGTGCAACCATATTATCCACGGAATCGTCAAACATCGGATAATTATCTTCTCCCTTGGGGAGTCCGTCCATGCCCTTCCATTCCCCCAGGGTCACCTCATCAGTCATCATGACGTCTCCCGACGTATGACTGGTTTTCGGGGAGATAGAGTCGGCACTCCGCCTTGAAGAGCCTGAAGAAGAGGAATCCCGATGAGATGGTGGTGAAAAGCCAGGGGCTGCTGATGCAGCTTGACTCTGGTGGCTAGGAGATGAGAGAAGTGTCTTGGAATCTCCAAATGCCACGGGGTCGAGGGACTCGCTATCCAAGCCGAACAGCGTGTCCGAGTTGAAGTTCTCGTCCGAGTCTAGGATGAATTCGTTACTGCCAAACACAGGCATTCCCGAGTCTGACTCGTAAGTCCCTCCGAAAGAATACCCAGAAGTTGGCATGGCCTTCACGGTTCCTCAGTAGCCTCTGCTCAGGATATGTGAATATGTTTCGTCCTGTGTGAAATATCAGGCTGAAGCCTTTGTGGAATTGCCCCCCGTGCTGAGGCCCGCGTCAGTCTTTTGAGGCACTTGCGGCTTTGCGCACCCCTGTGCTCCAGAAGTTCGTGGAAGCTATGACGCGATGCTAGATTCCAGATCTTCTCAATCCTACAGCAGCATGATGCCCACAAGTTTCGTTGCGTGGTAAATGGTCGTGATCGGTCGGTTCGGCTTTGCTCGCGACTGACTCTATGTCTTTATCTCCGGATTGATGCGATAAACCCCGACAGCCTCGTAGCGATTCAGCGTGATGATACGAAACTGATGGCTGAGAATACTGTCATAAAGCTATCAGTTCGGTTGACGCGTGGGCAATTTAACTTTTTCCTGTCGGTGAAAAACTGCGGTATGGCGATTGGCAATTTGGGAGGTCCGTTATCGGTTCAAGAGCTAGTGTCAGGCAGTTGCAAGTTCTGGCGAATTATGAGCAACTGAGACAGATGAAGCAGGTGCGTGAAGATGCCGTTGCCCAAGGTCGCTTCGAGGAAGGCAGGAGGCCTGAATGACTTGTCGTTGCGTCTGTTGTCAGGAGTTGGCTGTAGAGAACCTCCAAGGCACCACTCGCCCACTTTGGCGAGAGCAAAGTGGAGTCTGATGGGAAGCTCAAGCCACTAATACTGGAAAAGGTTGGTCACTCGGAACCCTGTCATCGGCAAAACGGGTCCCAAGGTCACTGCAACTGCGAAAATTGCGATTAGTATGAGAAAAAAAGACGACTAGGGTAAGTGGAAATTGTTAGCCTGGGATCTGGCCTGCACGGTTTACGTGGCAATTAAGTATCACATTTAGTGCCCAGCGCGGTATCACGATAGCATGATAACTCAATCTAATCCACAGCCCTGGAATTGTTCGAGAATATAGGGACCGGCCTAAAAGTAACCCGTCATAAACCCACCGTTGGTGGTTGGCAAAGAGCACCCTTAACCCGGCCATCTTCACTGGCTCCGTTTCCGCAAAATGTTCTCGTGGCAAACCTTCTGCTGCCGCTCTCCCGTCCCCAGACGATAAAATCAAGTAATAACTGACAACGCAGTGTTGCTAGTCTCTTGCTAAGCGTTGGTTGTTTCGAAAGAATAGCGCGTGGTTCGTTCAACGGGAATCTTTTCTACGAACCCCCCTTAGTTTTCTACTACTCATCGGACACGCGATTTTCGATATCATATCCCCTTCTGCTTGCCCAACTAGAACTTCTCAGTACCTATTTACCAAGGTAATTTCCCGATAATTGCAATGCATCAAAGGACAACCGAGAAGTCTCTCTGCGTATTGCGATTCTTGCCTGTCAAATCGGGCCAATACTCAGCGGCTGTGCAATGAGCTAACTCTTCGCATAGTTTCCCCGGTTCGGTCTCATGCCACGAACGGCGCCGTGGTAGGAACCCCGAGTGGAGAGACTGACAGCAAGCAGGTGTGCTTGACACTTGCTAGGAGAAGGGGGCTGAGAGTCGTTGGCGATATCCAGGCACCAAAGAGCGACTAATTGCCGACCCGTTACTTCACGCTGCCACTTCCGGAGACTACGAGGCATATGAAATATATCTCAACCGAAGGTGCCCACGGTACTTCGTGTTGCATCTTGGCTGATTGGATTCGTCAAGGATTGCGGCACGTATTCGCTGTGTCTCGAAAATACCTTTCAAGCCAAGCAAGCACCAACTTTTTCCTAACCCTAACGCTTCCGAACAATACTGCCAGAACTTTCGGCCAAACAAGCTCCTCATGCTTCGTCCAAACCTTCCGTAGCACCACAGAATTCTGTGTACTTACTACACTTTTGATAGTTCCAATTGAGTTTCTCATTCCGCAATCGGCCTCCTCTACGGCGTTTCTCGGTTTGTCTGTTCAACATCCGAAAGGGAGGGGGTCTATCATCAGGTGTGTACAAAGTATATGCATATTACAGAAGAGAGAGGGGGTCGGTGCCAAGAAAATTCTTCAGGAAAATAAATTCAGTCGGGACGCAAAGGGACACAATGGGACGTCTGGAGGAGAATTAACCTAGGTTAAGTCCTTATCCAACTATACTCGGCCGGAAACCCGGATACAACTTCTAATATCCCTACTCTTATGGTATACACGTCAACAGGGAAGCACTTGCCAAAGTATAGTGGTTAAGCCCCATTCATTCACGGTCTTGTATATAATCACAACCTCAAGCCCAGCAATAACCATATCAATCCAAAAATTCACAGTAAACCAGCAAATTTCAACTCTAGAGAAATGCACATATTTTTCATCCTGCGTAAATGGAGACTCTGTAAAGCGAACGAGTCCGCCGAAAAGGACATACACAATATGCAGCCGTTGAGACGCATCATGCAAGGAAACCAAGCGCCGATACCAACAATTGATAACACTTGCAGCAGCAGCACCTCCACCATGTGCCAACCACTGTCTAATTGGTCGCTCTGATTGGTCTTCTGGAGCCGCGCAATTAACTACCTCAACGCAACAATCATCATCTATTGTCGCACGAGGAGATAGGAGCCATCGGCCAACAACGGCTATACTCTCAACATCTGTCAAACCCTGGAATGAGTCGCTCGACCCCCGCATGCAAGGCCGAGTTCAGTTCGACCGAAAATACGACCACTCAGCTTCTTGCGTTTATTATGTCAGGGATAAAAAAGCGAATAATACCATCATTCTGAGTCAATATGCACAGATAACCCTAACAGCACAAGTCCCCCGAAACGAAAAACCCTCATACGTGAAGTACACTCCTATCTCCTAGGCGTTTGCCTGCTAATCTATGAAGAGGCCGTGTTCTTGCCGCTTCTACAACTGGGCCTCCCCCTGTCATGTCGTTTGTGGCGGAACATCATTGCTTCTTTCCGTATTGTCTTTTGGTTGAGCCTCGGAGATTCCAGATTCCTGGAGGTTCTCCTCGTCAGGAAACCGAATGGTACGACAAGGCATTGTTGGCGTAGCAGGTGAATTGGAGGCTCCTCCCGTTCTTGGCCCAGTTTTGGGGCTTTGCTGGTTTGCTTGCTTATCGTCGGCCGTGATAGTCGAGCCACCAACCCGGCATATAAGATGAACAGACGGAGTTCGGGGTTTTGTGGGTGTCTCGGGCTCGTTGTTGCCTCGTGAAGCGGGCCTCGGCCATGTTTGTGGGAGGGCAGCAGTGGCAGGCCCATGAATTCGAAACGAACCGTGGTTGGGGTCATCTGGGGATGTCAAGGATCGTGAGATTGTCCGGGGGAGATAGAATCCGAATTTGCCCAGAGGAATACTAAGGCCGTGTACTACCTGTTCAGGGGTAAGATAAAAGTCAGGAAAGGGTTCGAGAGCAACACATACCACACTGCAAACTGCGATGAACCAAACAATGATCTCGGTAGCTTCTCCCATATGAGCTACGTCTCCTCTTTGCGTATCACCTTTCTTGAGAGTATCGAGAAACTCAAGTGTGATGTACAAGTAGAAGATACCGGAGACGCCGACAGGTCCAAAGAATCCCATGAAAATTGCCTGTCGCAAATCATCAATCTGATGTATCAACTTACGGAAGCCAAAGATGACGGGAGGCCTTCTAAAGAGCAATATCAGGATTCCAAGCGGGATGAGTCTGTAAATTGGAATAATATCGTTCTGTACGAACTTGGTCCAAGGACATACAGCTCCATACCACATGAAGATCGTCACGTTAAGAAGCATATCAATCGTAGGTTGGAGCGAGCTGTTTATCAGTCAGCTATTGATTTCCAATGATGAGCGTGGGCTCGAGGGAAAAAGTGTACTATAAAATGGTCAGCAACTTGCTAGCGCAGCTCGACCGGCTTAGCTCTTACCTCATCGAGAGTCTCTAGGCGGAACCAGTCATCCCAGGTGAAAACGTTGCCAGCAATGAAGCAAGCTAAGACATCATCGCTGCCGACCATCCCACAAGTACCCGTGATGAATAGCGCCAAAGAGAGTGCAAAGACTAAGAAGCTTTCACGGTCGACCCATTTGCGGCTCTCAGCAAAGTGAAGCAACTCTCTGGCAAGCCAACCTACTACGGCGCCGTAGATAACGCTGAGGATTATGATGTAGCCCCAGGTCTCGCCAAACCATAGGCCCATGGCCATGCCAGCTCCACCAGACTCAGCTTGACCACCATCACCGATATACTTGATCAGGTACAGAGCGAAAAAGAGAAAGGGGTAACCCAGCCCATCATTCGCACCCGATTCAGCGATGATGATCTTTTGCAATTCCTTTGGCACATTATGATCGGCGAACTTGCCCTTCACAATGACGTTGGAGAGCACAGGGTCAGTAGGCGTGACGCATGCCCCTATGGCCAACGCATGCAAAAATGGGAGCCCAGGTGTCAGACCCCAGATCAACAGCGATGTGATTACCCACATACAGGCCATCACGGGACCCAGCAGTAGGCTTAGGGGCTTCCATTCGTTCTTAAGGTATCGTGATGGAAGCTGGACCCCAGCCAGGACAAGCTGAACCCCGAGGACAAGACCTAGAAACACTGGGATGAGTGATGGTTCCCGATTAACAGGGATGGGTACGTACGAGAGAAATACAGGGTTATCTTATCAACGTTGTTCTGATTGCCCATTGCATAGTCCAAAGGCCGGACTAGGTTGGCTGCATGAGGTGAAAACGTGACTCCAGCTAGGAGAGATATCACTGTAATTGTGAGCATTGAGATTCAGATACGAAGCTTTGTTTGGCACTTACAGGCCTCGGACAAGTAGAAATTCTCCTTCAAGAGATATGAGACCAACCCAAACAACGATATCCACCCACCAAGGACAGCCACTATAACATTGAAGTTGGTGACTGCGATTGTCGGCATCTTGACTATCTGAGGTGTCAAAATGCTAGATGTAGTTCGAGCTGTAATTGAGCTCTAGGTGACCCCACTGCCGTCCTTGCAACAGTCGCGCAAGGCCCGGAAGTAATGAGAGCCCAGTGGCAGGACAAATGTTATTGAATCATTTGACCTATTTGCAGAATTCGGTTGTGAGCGTAGCGCCAGCTTTAGTATCTTCCCGCCGAAGTGAAGGTAAAGCGACGTCCTAGATAGGAGTGCCCGTGGCAGTTGGGAATGGATGGAGATGAGGTGTGTGATGGTGAATGGATAAGTACGACGTAGTGTCACGGTGACCAAAATTCTCCAAGCTGGATCAAGGTCACGCGTCGCAGGTGGTTCAGTAGTTTCCGCAGTTCTTTCGAAGGAATCAAGTCTCTGGGGTGGGATATAGACGAGAGTAGATTTTGAGAAGATGGCCGGTCGTATTCAGCTCGAGTGAGTACGTAAGTGGCCACTCCAGAAGTACTTGGTTTCCGAGAAGTGTAAGAAGAAGTGTGGGTTCTTCTTCACTTGCTGGATCCGCCCAGACTTTTTAAGGTCACTAGCGTTCTTGTTACTGCAAAGTAGTGGTTGTTAAATACATGCTGATTAACTTTAGGAAATCACGACGCGACCATTCCAGTTTCCCAAGTGTGCTTGCCGATTGCCGTTGGACATGGAAGGGCGAGATCGGTCGACTTTGGATAATCACAATCAATGGGCCTAATAACCAATAATTGGGCATCCAAGGTCATTTTTTCAATTATTTACCCGCCTTCAGTTATTCCACAAGCAATTCAAGGCTGCGGTTTCAAGGATGGTGCGAGATCATGAAACCATTGTCTACCATGTGACTAAAGATCCGCACTGATGACTACAGACGAATCAACACCTAACCTAGATGTCTTTAACAAGTACCTTACACCAACAGGCGACTGTGCCAAGGGGAACCTTAGGAGTGTTCAGGCATCAATAGATTGGCCTGTATATTTGCCAGAAGAAACCTCAATTCTGGAACAAGATGGTACAATGATACTTAACAAGGCTAACGAGCCCCATGTTAATATATTTCCCTATTGAGTTTCGTGTCAATGTGATGGTCTCCCAATCTAGTTAGTTGCATATATCGCATCGACTTCTACGGTTGACTGCGACAACAAGGCCTAGAGCACTGGGTGACCCGCACGTTCCACCAAAGGTAAACACCCCGGTTGCATGTGCCGACAACACTCCATCATCTTCAAAGTCATCAAGGCGCATGTCCATATTCCCCTTCAGGTGCTTAGGTTTTCGTTGTGGGTAATGTGTGGCTCGTACACTCGAGCCGAACCCAGACACGCGCCCAACTTCCAACCTTCAGATCTATTTCGGTCCCACCCCGACGTATCCCCATGGCGTTCAATATTGCGCAGCTATCCAGCCCCCGGCTTGCCGACCAACTGAGTGCACTGAGATCGCTGAAGAATGAGGTCGTTGGCCACAGTCAAAAAAAAGAGCAATGGGTACAAGCTGGTGTTCTGAGGCCTATTGTTAGCATTGTGGAGGGCGCGTCGGAGCATGTCAACGGCAAGGATTCCCGACAACGGCACCCGATAACGAGGAACCTGAGTGACGACGAAGCAGTGAAGCTCCACGCCCTCCAGCTTCTTGCCACCTTCGCCAACGCCGGAACCGTCTTCCTTCTTCCACTCCACGCGGCTGGCGCTCTTTCTGCTATCCTGAGCAGTTCTTGTCTACAGCATGAACGCTCCCAGATTGTCCTCGCCGCGCTTCGCGTGTTGCGCGGCATCGTCGAAGCAGTCGCTTTTGTCCCTGCTTTCTCTCCTATCAACTCCACCTACCTAGCCGACACCATTTTCTCGAGTAGCCACCTGGAACCCCTCGCCTTCATTTTAACTCAGTCCCACTCGAATCGAGACGTCGAGGCGCAAGTGTCCATTGTGGCCAAATTTATTGGTATACTTTGTCAAGAAGAGCGCCATCGGGTCGCATTGGTCAACTGTGGTGTCCTTGACGCACTGGCAACGAGGTTGGCAGCCTTTGCTGTAGCAGAAGGGCAAGTGATACCGGGCGCCGAGATCATCTGTCGCTCAGCAGGTCTGTCAGGATTCATACCGAGCCCAGCAAGTCCGGCACTTGACATAGCAGACGTCTTGGGAGCTATCGCCGCCATCATTACAGATTCGCCATTCAGAACTTGCAGGCTTCTATACTCGCCTTGCATACTGGCAGTTTTTCCTCGTACAGATTGCGATTGGGAAGTGTGCCCAAAATCGTCCCCTGAATTCCTCGAGCTCCCTGGCCTGAAGCCTACAAGACAGAATGAATTCGAACCCATGGACTTGTTACTGCCATACATGCCAGTTCAGTTGCGTGGCCAAACGACGCCCAACGCACCGTTTCCGCCGCTAGGGTCGACCTCTTTGAGGGAGGGGATCAGCTTTCACAGCCGTGTAAATTCGAAAGCCAACAATCAGAGCTGGGGTTCAAACGACGAATCATTCATGGGCGGTGACGAGAGTGATGTGGAGGAAGCCGAAAGCCCTCTTGTGCCTTGGCTTATCGGGTTAGTACGATTTCGGGACGGCCTGGCTGCTCTGACGGCAGCATCTGTTCTCACGTCTCTTTTCAAATGTGGGTTTGCTTACAAGATGAGAGAAATCACCCTGGGTCTCCTCGTTGTCCCAAAACTACTGCAGCTACTCGACACAGTGGAAGAAAAAGCCAACCATACTGATACTTCTATGGGCGACGCTGAAACAGCCACAATTTGGGGTATTATAGAACGGGCACCAGCCATCTTGGCTCGTCTGATCACGGACAGTGAATCTTTGCAAAAAGCAGCTTTTGATTCCGGTGCGGTCAAGACGATATGCAGGCTTTTGAAGAATACCTATGACACGCCGCCACCACTGAACCAGGCACGACCTTGGTCTCCGAACGCGGAAGATGAGAGGATGCCACTGAACTCGTCACCAAGCTGCCAACTCGGTGAGCCCGGTATGAACCCCCTTGCGAGGCACCGAGTCAAGGTTAGGGAGAGCTCGTTGAAGTCTCTAGCTGCACTAGCAGCATTCAAGGAAGAATATCGGAAAGCGTTCGTGGATCAGGATATTATTCCATATGTCGTGGAGTCTCTGAGGCAGTCACCACACCAGCCCAAACAGTTAAAGGAGAAATCTAGTAGCGACACCACGGCAGAAGAGGCACCAAAATCGGCTGGTTTTGGCAAGAATCCACCGTCGGTGAACATCGAAGCTTGCTATGCGGTTCGCATGCTCTCTAGGTCGGTCAACATACTACGAACCTCGCTTGTGGACCACGCTGTAGCAATACCGCTATACAAGTTGCTCCTTCACTCCGACCTCAAAGTACAGGTCGCTGCCACCGCTGCGATGTGCAACTTAGTTACCGACTTCAGTCCCATGCGGGAGGTAAGTGGGGATGACTTAACTGTTGCAAGTGAACATGGACTAACAACAGGTTATAGACTTTGACTGACGCCGGCCTCACGAAGGTGTTGTGCGACCACGCTAGATCACAGAACGCAGACCTGCGGCTTAATGCTTTATGGGCGCTTAAGCATTTGGTTCACTCTGCGAGTATCGACCTCAAGAAGAACTGCTTGGAGGAGCTCCAATCAGGCTGGCTGGTGCAATTGATACGCGACGAAAAGGAAGACGAGGCACTACACTCGGCACGGAGGGGCGACACGCAACATAGTCAAGGCGTATTCGATGATGTGGACGAGGACATGGACATGGATGATCAGATCCGGTCACCATGCTACAGACATGCCAGTGCACTCCTGCCATCGGACAGTCATATCCTCCGCCTAGCTGATGCAAGACTTTCGAAGCTTCGAGAGGCTGAGTCTAACCCACTTTGCAAGGTGAGACGAGACGATCTCGCAATCCAAGAACAGGGACTTGGCTTCATCCGAAATCTCATCGGGGGAGCTTATGCGGGCAACATTACAGATCAAAATAACGACACGCCGTTGATGATCGATCACCTATTCAACACCTTAGGACATGACGAACTTTTCAGGATCCTCGCAAGCAAGCTCAGGGTTAAGGTCCTCCACCCATTCAGTGGCCGCCGTGGCCCTACCGGTAGCGAGACTAGAGTGCTTTACCCCCAAGCTAAGATCATCGAGGCGGTGATATACATATTAGTGCACATGGCCGCCAGCATACCGCGCCATCGGCAGCTGGTCGTTGCGCAGACGGAGCTGTTGAGGCTGTTGGCAGGCCTCTTCAGCAGCCAGGACCGAGAGGTGCGCGTAGCCCTGTGCTACCTGATCAACAACTTGACGTGGCAGGACGACGTGCACGATGCCCCCGCATGCTCGCAACGGGCCACTGAACTGAAGAAGCTGGGGTTCTTGACCAAACTCGAGTCTCTCGGCCAGAACGACAACGAATTAGACGTGCGCGAACGTGCTAAGACCGCTCTCTGGCAGATGAAGCATGGTTATTAGCAGCATTACGTCGAGCTTTCATGACTATTGATCAAGGTATTGAGGTTTCAAAAGGGGCTTTTTTCAGTTATTTCCATCATCGTCATGATCCATGACTCTGTCAACCTAGCGTTAGATATGACAAAGTTTGGGGCCAGGCACAGGCAAAACAGGCGGCGTTAAGGGAACGGCTGGCCTCTTCGACGGATCGGAAAGGCCTGTTTGGTACCTATTTGGGCACATGATATATGTATTAGTAGAATACCTAGTGTACATAGACAGCGATGTACACTTAGAAGCGCGTCGCCTTAACTGAAGCGCTGGTTTCTCACAATATTACCCTTCGCCTAGTTAGTTCGATGAGGCGAAAGTATCAGAGTGACGAGTGGTGTCAAGGAAGAGAGGTCAATGAACGACTCTGAAATCCATGTCGTCTTGGTCAAGAAGAGAGTTCCATAGAGTTTGCGATCGATGTTGTATGAGTGCTACAATGGCAGTCGGCATATCATTTGGCTCTCATTTCTCGTCCAGGAGCGGGTGAGCTTCATTTGCACTCCACTGTCAACATAGCTAAATGGGTTGTCCTGCAACACTTCTTCAATCCTGGCTAGCCCATCAACAGCACTCTATCAAGCAATGCAGTGAGATGACTTTAGAGTTGCTTCATTACTCAAATAGTTTCTAGCAATGCATCCAAGGCCCTGGAACCACGTAGCCGACAGCACTGTATTCTGTTACTTTAGAATGGAACACACCTAACCTGTCTAGGCTTCGGTAAAGCCGCCCGTCATTGCTTGGTCGAGGTGCTCGAGTCAATCACGACAGGGTAAAGGCATTTTGAATTGACGACACCGGATCCAAGTCAGGGGATTATGCTGTCAAGATTGAAGGGACACTTGATGGCAGCCTTGGAGGTTAAAAGTCACAGGCTTTACAAAATTCGATCCTATTACACATCAGCTAGCAACGCTTTGCTAATTTAGGCCGAGAATTCAACAGAGTGTGCGACCTAATCGTATCGGATTCATTCACATTTGAGTTGACACGTAGAGCATAATATCCTGCTGTCACCAAACTTCCCAAAGAGCTTACCGAGTGCCGACCGGCATCTTGCGTCTTTGTTGACACCGACGACGGAGGAGCCAGCTACGCCAGAGGTCGAACATCCGCATCTGCTCGCCTCCGATCGTACTGCCGCCTACACCACCCGCATTGTAACCGCTGCAACGTTTCTGGAATCTTGAAATTTGCAGTACTTTCGGACCGTTGTAGCCATCCTACCCCTCGGCCTAGTTATCAACCTACACGCTTTGAAAGTTGGAAAACCGAGGATTTCAGAACGGAGACGGGCCCGACACGCTAAAGTAGTTTGCAGCTGCAACTTTGAAGCAGTTCTGAAAACCCAAGCCCGGGGCGCACCAAAACCTCAATCCTGCCCGCTGCATAGCGTGCTGCGTCAAACGTCCAAACGTCCATCCTTCCGGCCGCCGCAAACAGAAGGATGTGTAGGGGATCATGTTGACTTCGTCTCCCATCGCATCAAGGGCAACGGGCGCATCCCCCGGGACTTTCCACTATGCACCTAACAGGTCTCCTCATCAGTCCCCCAGGGTTACGGCACCTTTGCCGCGCCGACACTCGAAGCATGCCGTTCCGCAGTCGCCTTCGGCGGCAGCAGCCCCTCTGAAGTCGCCGTCACTGTCCGTGTCGCAACCGAAGCCGAAGCAGTATGTGGGCGTCGATGCCGCCACCCAGTACTCGCCCATGGAACCTTTCGATCCCACGGTGCCCCTCCGAGCCGTTCGGCCCTCCACAATTGTGTCCATCGACGAACCGCATCCAGCACCCACCGTAGCAGCATCAGCATCGACATCCGATCCGGCGTCCACGTTCGCAGACCCGCCGCCTGAACCGAATATATCTCCAATTAGGCCTGAGCATGTGAAGTCAGAAGCCAATCCTCTAACGCCCCCGAAAAGGCGCAACTCACAAGACCTCGTCAGGACCACGGCTTCTTCATCTGCCGTATCCGCCGTGACACAAAGCCAAACCAGCTCACCGAAACGCGTCAAACCCTCTCAGGGTCCTCCCAAGGCATTGCCTTTGAAATACGAGTTTTGCGACGTGGAGGACATGGTGGTGTTGATCTCCAACATGCTCGCCGAGCTCATCGAGACCAACGACTCGATAGCCATGAAAAGTGGCCATCTCACAAGATTCCATTCTAGGTATGTTGCCCAAGCAAAACAGGACGGACAAAACGCTCACACGATGCAAGAACTGCGCCAGGAATCTCCGTTGTAGACTATCTACACCGACTCGCGAAACATGCCACTCTCACGCCCCCTCTCCTTCTATCAATGGTATATTATATCGACCGCCTGTGTGCATTATATCCGGATTTTTCCATTAACACTCTGACCGTGCACCGTTTCTTAATCACAGCGGCAACGGTCGCGGGGAAGGGGTTATCCGATTCGTTCTGGAACAATACATTTTATGCTAGGGTGGGGGGAGTGAAGGTTGCGGAGCTGAAACTACTAGAACTCGAGTTCTTGTATCGAGTGGATTGGAAGATTATACCCAATCCCGAGGTGCTGGTTGCGTACTATAAAGGGCTGGTCGATCGCTGCCCGGGATACAGTTTGCCGGAAGATGACGAGATGGCTCCCAGTATAGACGTAGGTGAAACTGACGATTCTGATGATATGGATGACATGGACGGCTGCGAGTCGGAACAGGACAACATGAATGAGGAGGCAGATGCAACCGCAAGTTAGTTAGTTGCCTGCTACCATGACAAAGGGCGGCAGGCACGATAAGGAGTTATCAGGTTGGCGTTCCAGGGTGAACAACGCTCGGCATGATGCAGAGGAGGGAAATGGAAGACATCAGTGCATCTATGCTCAAATTGGAGCAGCAGGGCTGGCATTCATGGACAATGGCACAATGGGCCTCTACAGGCATAGAGCCCAACTGAGGCTCCGTAATGATCTCGTCAGATTTTGGAACGAGGAGCGGAAGAGCATTAGGTAGATGCTGAGGCCGAGGCCGAGACCAACTTCGCCTATGAACGAACGACGTTGTAATGGTATCTACGAACTTCAAATGCATATAATTATGGGATTTCCGTACGCAAAATGCAACAGTCGAACCTGATATGCTAAATTGCCGCTCCCGTCGTTAGCCTTATCGGGATGGGATCTAGACGGTCGGAGCGTGAATGCGAGCCCCGGAGATTTTGACAGTTCTGGGCCGACCGCAACACTCAATCCACATATCCAAACCTCGGGAACTGCCAACTCAGCCTCGTCTTTACACATACAAAAAGCTGCCACGACCTCCCAGCAACCGGTGCCACGCATAGTTCTCCCTATGCGATCGACATGAGGCTCACAACCATATTTCCCGGCCTCGCAGCCCTGGTGTTTTACAGCACTGCCCTAGCCACCGGCGACCAAACGGCAGCCCTCTACATTCAACCCATCTCCCAATCTTCTCCTCCCGCCCCAGCCTTACTCGCTGAAATCCAATACAACGTTTTCTCCCCCCAAGACGCCCAAGTCGCCTCCTTTGAATTTCCCGACCTCCCCGAAGACACCAAGACCTTCCGCGTAGGCACCTACGACGCCGCCACCGACGCCTGGACCTCGTCCACTTCCGTGGCGTCCGTAGATAACTTCGGGAAAGGGTACTCGCCTGCGCTGATATTGACGGTGGATTTGGAGGGAAAAGTAGTCGGGTCGGCGTGTAGGGCCTTCAAGATCGATGCTGGGCAGACGAGGGATTTTGGACCGCAGGCTGTGGTCAGGGTCGTGGAATTGGGCCGGCAGCCAGAGCTGAATAAGCCGGTTGTGCTTGGAGCGGATGGGAAGAAGGGGGATGTGGGGGAGGAGAAGACTCTGTTGCAGAAGTATGTTGTTGAACTCCCTTTGAGGGCTGCGGGTGTTGGTTTGAAGGGAGCGGTTGCTGACAATTTGATACAGGTACTGGTGGGTGATGCTGATTGTGGTGTTGTTGACTTTGACGGGAGGGGGGGATGGGAAGTGATAGAGATCCTGTCAATTGATATCAGTTTCCTCTCTGATGCCTAGTGGTACCTGCGCTGCTTGTGAAGTTAATGCGTCCTTGTCGTGTCTGAAATTTCATCCGTATGCGATCTTGTCCAGCAAGTCTTTGGGATACCACACACATCGTGGTATTCATTCTTGATCACTACTATTGGCTCAGTTGAACTCTCCAGCATTTGGGTTGAAGCGAGCTCTGTACGCTAGTGCCTGTCTTTGTTTTCTTCTCTTCAGTGCTGTATCTGCTCGTCTGCCGCAGCCCTCAAAGTGATATATACTTCACTGTTGTCCGGCATCTCGATCTGCAAGTTCCCGAACCTGCCAGCTTTAATGCTCACGGTGTCAGAATGCTTCCCTGTTGAAGACTGTCACTTCAAGTAGCATGTCCAAACTACTCCCAAAGATGCTCTCGTTACCAAAATAGAACACTCACTCACTTTTTAGCAGACGTATCAATCATTTCACTTGGTCCAATTATCCTATGAGCTGCACAGCGCATCAGCGGTCCCCACCTTCTAGTCAATAAGTTTATGATAGGCGGTTGAGGGCCTATTCGCGTTACGCTGTACCTCATTCAGATTAGCGTGGTTACCCTGACAGGCGCCAAATCCACGGTCGCGACTAATATCCAATTCCATCCCATCCTCAAGCTTGAGCTACAGCTTTGCACTATCACCCTTTCTCTTCCATCTTCCCACCGCGCCTGCAATTCCTGACAACATTGTTGTTGCACAATTCAATCACATTCCTGACACATTCAGTAACTCTAAACACCCATTCTATCCATCAATCCACCCACAATGTCTTCTGGAAACGGAACTACCGTCCCCCAAGACCCCACCAGCAACGAGGTCCCTGGCGAGACCAAAGGAAAAGGCAAGGCTACCGCGACCGAGGAGCCTGTTGAGCAGTCAATGGACGAGGACAGTGATGAGGAAGAGGTGTGTAGAAAAATCCGATTACTCGAGTAATCAAGTTTCTGGCTAGACTTATACTGACTTGACATACCAGGCCGGCGATGGTAAGCCTTCCCACGAGGCGGGAAAAAACGAACCCCAACGTCGCTGATTAGCTAACGCCTCTGCCACAGATGCCGAGGAAGAGGAAGATGAGGGCATGGACGAGATCGACCTCAACAATATCGTCGATGGCGGCCGCCGCACCCGAGGTAAGGTCATCGACTGGGCCAAGGCTGCTGAGAACGTCCCCGCCGACGACGACGAAGATGATGAGGATGAGGACTTCGAGGCCGAGGCCGAGGCCGAGGTCGATGATGACAAGATGGATGAGGATTAAGCTCTCCCATTGCATCTCCACAGTCGCCTTCTTTTGAGCAATGGTCTTCCAGCTGGATTTGGAAGGAGCAGACTTTGCTCGCTTTGACATCACATTTGGGTCTGATGTTTTGAGGCAATGTCTCTTCCTTGAGGACAACCCGGCAAACAAATGGATATAACGGCCTTTGTTCTGGACACACATCTTCTCGCGCCCTCTCGCAATGGTACATACGTCTTACACATGGACATGGATGGTGTTCACATCCTTGATTGGACTCAGCTAGCAGCACATTCACACGGACATGGCTATGCATACTAAGGGAATGAAGATAAAAGTTTTTTCTCTTTTCATGCTTATTTTCCCTTCTTCCTGTTCTAATGATAGATAGTTGAGACACGTGCGAAATGCGTGCTGATACAAACCAATAAAGGAGGGATGGTTTGCCCCTCTGCTGAAGATTGACATGAGCATCATCTACAGCAAACATCATGGTTCGGCTTAATTCAGCCATGTTGTTATCTTGTGAATGAATACTGAAAGGGAACGCGTATAACACACACGTCTCCTCACCATCAACGGCCTGATGCTGCTGTGGCTTCTCAGAAGACACTACTACACCCGGCCACCGGTCAATCTGGTGCCCTTTAAATTTTCACCCTCCCAAGTCGGTAGCAAACACCGATACCATTTGCGGTAATGTGGAATATCCAGACTGAGCTATGGAGATTGGCGCTGGTTGGTAGACAGTGGGAGGCGTTCTTTGCTTGTGCCTTCGCTTTCTTCCAAGTGGGAGTCGGCCATGCGAATTGACGACATAGGATACCTTCACCAACTTCATTCGGTGTGCCGATGGAGTTGTTGCTGGAAACGTAGATGATAGACATCGCTCGTAGTACTCATATTCGTAGCTGTTTATGAAATGGCATTGCTTCCTCGAGCCTCTGAACGCACAATATCCTTTCAAGGACTTCCTTCTGAATCGTGTTGCCATGCCACCCATTTGAGTTCCGGGAGCTCGAGGTAGGTTTGCCATATTGATATCGACTTGGTAGACCACAACGCTTGCCGCATCGCAGCACAGACCGTAGGATGGGGTTGACATTTCCCGGCTCCCCTGGTAATATCGGAAACGAGGCAAGATACAACGCAATGATCTGATGGTAGACCTACGCCCAAAGACGGTAGTAGGACCGTGGTCTCGTTTTTTTAGAAATGGAATGGAGCAAATATGCCTGGTCGGTCTGGGCGGCTTAGGGCAATATCTACCACTTTACGAGTAACTAGGTTCCATACAGATTCACAAAGGGACTATTATAGCGCTGCTTAGGCGTGGGCATGTTCCTCGTCACCCGTGATTTGTCTTGGGGAGTTGAATGCGAAAAGTCGTTTGGAAACCCCTTGAGCATCTAACTCAGGCATCTCGCTGGCTTTCTGGGGAATTTCTGTGACAGTCTACTGTGCAGGGATCTCTCCCGTGCTATAGTTGAGGTGATGCTGACGCAGATAATAAGCTAATTTACTCAGAAGTGTACGGGGGAACAGCCCTAGTACGTATGCTCTTGCCAGTGCAAGTAGGAGAGCTATATTAATGATGATAATAATGACAATGAGATAAACTATTACACCTCTGCAGTTATACAAGCGCTATATATATCTAGTTGTTACGAACCGTTAGTCCTCACAGCCTAACCAACACAGCTGGCCCGTTAGGTTAGCATACCCGCCGGCACCCCGGAGGAAGAAATCGGTTCGTGAAGGAATCATTGGATCGGGATCAGTAAGATCCGAGTTACGCGAGAGAAAGCATCGAGGTTAGATCATTTAACGATCATCTTGTTCCGGATCACTGTGATTACCTAATGACCGTGGCAATCGTTGCCGATCATTGTTGCAATCCAATGATCAGCCACGTGGTCCCTCCTTGATGTCGCCGTTAATCGTCCTATTGTTCCTCCGTTCTGTTGTTCCGTTCAGCCCGTGGTGTCACTTTCACCTATTGGATTTAGTTCGATCGAACGGTTCGTGACACTTCTATTTCCGGGTAATCCTCTATTGTTCTATCTGCGTCCACTACACCGCCTGAGTCTGTTTGGTAGATATGTGTATCGTGTCGTGTCTTGATGAACGGATACGCTCTTCCGGAGCTAGGCTTCTCCCATTCTGGACAGAATAGCAGAAGAACGACAGGGCACTGAGCCAAGATCGTTTACACGTCGTTCAGGTGTCTATTGGCACCACAGTTACTACATTCAGCTCGATTCTTGTAAAGTGAATAATATGAGTGTTGCCCCAGTAAAACCCCAGACCCCGAAATGCATCGTTTTCCGCAACGTGATATCGCCAGACGCCTAGTCCAAACCCTGTCTATACTCCAACAATGCTCCAGTCCCGTTCCGGCCTGTTCTCTGGTGAATCTCATCAGTTGAGTGTCCCGTTGTCGCTATGCTAATCCAGTGGTATTCTATATTATGTCATGCCTACCGCGATGATGTCGGAAGGTAGCACGTGGAGATTTCGCGTCATCCCGATCAAGCCGTTATTTTCTCATTCGAGTTCGTACTTCTTTAAACCCCCGTCGAGGCCGGACTCTCTCTACCCTCTACTGACGAGGTCCCACTCCCACTCGCTACGGACTTTTCTTCCCCGTCCGCCTCTTGGTCTTCCCCATAGTTCCCTGTTTGCCGTACTTGATCTCGTATTAGCACCTTCTCCAGCATCATCACTCCAGTGCTGAGTTGCTGCTCCAGTCCCGCACCGTCCGCGTGAGCATCGCTCCACATGCCGCTATCCCGTATCTTTCTATGTTCGTCCGTCCCAGAGTCCGTCTGCCTCACAATATCTGTCGGATATTCGTTATGTTGTTGTTGTTGTATTTGTTGTAGTTGTTGCTGTTGTTGTTGTTGTCTATTGCGAGAATGATTATTCAAGCTAACCATTCGTCTGTGTACCTCCAGTTCATGGCTGTTGACGTTGGGTGAATTGGAGCCCGACTGGCCGACGCGTAAGTCGTACAGCCATGGGTCGATGACAGACGCCTTGCCTTTGTGGTCCCGAGATGTCACCCAGTGTATGACCATGGCTGAAAAGAGGACTATGTGGAATTTGGTGTCAGGACGGTCATCTTGCGTATATACGGGTGTAACCTACTGTCGATATTACAGCACATCAAACATACCCAGCCTGGCTCGCCATTGAGCACCATCAGAACGCTCAGATTACTGAATTCTTATCAGAAATTAGCAAACTAACAGGATGAACATGGCAAACTTACACGACGCTGGATACGGTCGTACAGCATGCCCCTGCCGAGACTCAAGTTAACGACTACGTTTCCGGCATGTATCATTTGCTCACCAACAAAAGTGCGCATTGCCACGGTGCGCAACCTATCAGTGATTGGCGTGCGTTGCATATTTCGATACGAGTAAAGACTTCGGAGCGGGATCATGAAGATCAGCGTCAAATAAATCTATTGCCGAGTCAGCTCGTGACGGCCGAACATCGAAGCTGGTAGTACTGACGTTGACGAGGAGGTCGAACGAGATTAGTGGTATCATGGCCACCTTCTTCATTCCAATGGTGCATTGGCCGTGCTCGATTCGGGCAATGCGGCTAGGGGATCGTTAGAAGATCAACCACAGGTAGACAGTGTATGGAGACTAACAAGACGAAATTCAAGGCCGATACAACGACATATACAGCTGGAATTGTGTGAGTACGGTTGACGTGCACTCCTCGCTCCTCAGAACAGCTTACATAACATTCCGAACGAGTTGAATACGTACAGCTTGGAAGTCAAGCGCGTTGTAGACGAGGTGCCTTTGCGAATCAAGAACTGTCAAATTCCTCAGTTAAAACTCTCGTGTCAATTCTGACGGAGGAACGCAGTAGGACGATAGACTGACGGCTTTCTCGACGAGGAAGAAATATATCAACTACCAGAATATATCAGCATCAACTTGTTTGCCATATGCGAGCTGGTCATGCGCAGCTTACAATTTTAGTGGTAACATAACACACTAGACAGAGCAGAATAGCGCCCTGACATATCTTATAGGAGGTGCTGACGCCGATTCCGTGTTGGAGGATGGCCGAGGTGAAGACAAAAGCCCACGAGTCGCAGAATATAGCGAAGACGACCCAGACGACGAGAGGAAGCTGCCGCCAGGCTGTAATACCAAGAAACCGCTCGGCTGTTTCCATCGTTAGTTCCTTCATGATATCGACATTAGTAGCAAAAAGGTGGCAATATAAAGAGAGCGAGGATATGGGTATACGAACTAACAAAACCGGACAGTATCGCTATAGCGAGAAGCGACACTACCAAGGCAATAATCGTCCCGGCGAGCGGCTCGACATGAGCGCCAGGCATAGCGGAAGCCTGATCCCGCCCATAGAATAGCAGGTCGGGCAATTGTTCTGGTGGTGGCATATCGCCAACCCTTTTTCGCTACAGAAATAAGAGAAGAAATACCTGCTTCTCTGGGATAACACTGTTTCGCGGCTTTCGCACGGCGAACGTAGTATACAACCAGTGCGGACGGTAACCACGGAATGAATCGATGAAGATGGAGCACCAATGAAAACAAGGACGTGACACCCTCTCGTTAACCTTTAGCGTAGGTAGGGTTCCTGGGTTGGGTTCAGGGCAGCGGTGCTGAGCTATGCAGCTTCTGATCAGAAGATTAGGTTGACTGTTACGTCATGCCGTGCTGGCACCGGTCTCAGAGTATGGGAGATAGGGAGGGGAAGGGCTACGTCCAACTGGGTGGTCAACCAAGCTCGTGCTATTCGCTAGTGATTTACAGTTCTTTTCCGAGCAGGGTAAGGAGAGATGAGAGGGAGGGATAGGCAGAAGAAAGGGGGGGGAGGGAGGGGGCCCAGGGAGGGAGGCCCACAGGCGGCGGCATGGGCACGGAAAACAGGCAAACCTATATCTTCAGGAGCGACGCGACTTTGACTATTTCCTGATACTCCATCCGAACTAAAGTCTTGCCCTCGTGAGAAGCTAGGATGAAAATACCCTTGCCATGAGATCAGAAACGCACCACTTACGCAAGGGCTAGATCACCATATTTCTGCGTTCGTGGAACATTCTCTCTTTGCCACTTGTATCCCACAGGAAAACGGGCACGACAAGCTCGGGGCGAAGTCCCGAGTCTACTGTGTGGCATACGTTATAATCACCCGGCCTCCTCACCGTTATTTGAGTTAGCCTTCTTCAAATAAGGGTCCAGCCGTACACGGACTCTTCAGGACTCATGGGGAAAGTATAAAGCTAGATCCAGGAAAGCTCGCACAGGGATGTTGACCATAAAAGTCTCCCCACATCCAGCCCAAAGCTTCTGGAAGCTAAATGTAATGTTCCTCACCGAGTTTGTGAATTCGTGCTTGTCTCTTAGCGGGAAGCTTGCTGAGAATTGCGGCCAGACAGGCACCTTAGCTAATGTTCGTCAAGACCTAATGCAGCTCATAGTCGAGACGAAGAACTGTCCTTTTCAGCAGTCCTCATGTGTATTCACTCGTAATTGCAGGACTGGAATGTGATCTAGTGACTGGCTGAGCAGAGCACTTCAGAATCAGCGACATGTAGCTACTGACCTCGACCGCCTGCGATTCGACAAAGTTCTTATCTCGTTTGCTTGCGGAAATATTGACCAGCTTCCAAGCATTCATGATGCCACACCGCCAAGCTCAATTGTTAGGTTTTAGTGACTGAAACTACCCCATTCGTGCTTGCGGTGTGGGATGGAGTGGGAACGGTCAATGGAGTTATCACGGGAACAACGTCGCCACGATGCCCGAGAAGATTCCTAACAACCGCCAAGAGTTATCAAGGCGAGCGAACTGTAACGTCCTTGTCGGGGGATACACGGCTCCGGTTCTTTGGACGGACACGAATGAGTGAAAGAGCTCTGGCCATCCGTACATATCTTGGCTACAACCTTGGGCAAACTTCAATGATCTCGATAACATATGCGGGCATCGGTATGAAGCGTCGGTGAACCCAGTGAAACCTTCTACGTCTGTATACACCTTGATACAACGCAGAAAGGGAGTATGAGAGACCGTCGTCCTTCCTGTTCGTCAAGGTGGAAAAATGTCCATCCCTGTAGCAACTCGACCGCTTGCCATATACATGCACGTTTAGGGCTTTCCGCGATGCCAAGCTGACGGGATCGTCGTGATCACCGTGATCGCCGTGGTCAGTCTGTGATGGCGACTCAAGTCATAATGAAGCACTCGGCTTGGTTGCAAAGTAGTGCAGACACCGACGAAAACTTGTCGTTGCCGGCAGCTGCATGGCGACGCCGTAGCCCACATGGAGTTCTATCAGATGGCTTTACCAAGTTCACCTTCGTTGCATGGAACAACACGTGTTGAAATCGTGTCTACTGATTCGCTACTTCCATTTTGTTGTTTGGAGGGGCGAGTATCATACGCATCTCGTAGTAAACTCGTCGATGTGGACTATAGATCAGAATAGCCAATTGGGTTGTCGTGAGTCATGGCATAGGCACGACTACAATTGTCTGAATGTTTCCCAAAGCTTGCTAGCCTTCACGAGATCAGCAATGGGGGACATGTTCTGGTTCTCTACATTTACAATCTCATCCTAATCGAGTCCTACGCAGTTCTCCATCGCCGGTCTTCCCACGAACTCCACTAACAATACCGCAAGGCCATCTGCAGGTGCGACAATTTGCCCTTTCCACCCTTCCCACCCTTCCCACACCCCCTCCCCGGGATCCTGGCCTACCGGTCTACTAGTCAGCCCCCGCGGGCGATGCAGACAAGACCTTTGATCGAGACGCCATCCCTGTTCCTCCTAGCTGGGTAATGCTCAAGCACACCCGAAAACAGCCCCAACTCGTCTCCATATGACGGTCCCTCTTTTCCCAGGGAAGTTTGTGCCAAGCCTGTCAAGCTCGCCCATTGCCTAAATGTGGTTTCCAGAAGAACTGAGTTGAAGTAAACAGTGGATATTTGCTAGAAGGACAGTGGGGAGGACATGGAAAGGAGAAGGGCTTAATCCCATTTAATTTTACCTTGCCAAGTTGCTGCTCCAGACATAAAGCGTAAAAAATATGCAAGTATATGAATCCCGCTTCTGTAGGTAAGGTATGTCGTCGAGATTTGCAAGACGACCCGATTGAATGTCTCGGAGGAGAGAGGCGAGTATCAGGTTCTCTGGGGACTCTCTGGGACCAGCCAATTTGCTTTTACTCTTCAAAGTTAACACCAAGGAGACATTAGGTAGGATCAAAGAAAGCAGCGGTATTGGATCATTGAGCGATATGAAAACCACGCCACTGAACAACAGATGCATGATGTATCAACTTAGCAGGACATGAATAACCATATTCCAAGACATGGCTGATGATCTATTGTAGCAACAGTCTATGTACACGCATATAACTACGCCCAACTCTAGGAAACGACAGTGTGTCAAATTAATCGATCAATGAGCCCTCTTCGCCCTGTACATAGTCCTTCAAAGTCAAATGCTGTTGATATCGATAAAATGACATGTCCGCTAAAACGCCATCCCAATGCATTTTGAGCAGTTCGCTCCCCTGTCCATGTGCGCCCGCATGCTTGAATATTTCGAAGCCTTCTACCCAAAGCATCAGAAAGTGTATATCGCCCATCAGAAAACACGAATAAAAACGTCATTCGTGACCCGCAACATGCTCATTCATGCATTCCCACTCTATACGTTGACCTGTCCAACCCGTAGTGGCATTATTACATTATGCGCCAAGAACGGTATTGGGCGTCTGAAAATCACGTTCTTGTGGTGCGAACGTGAAACTTCTCCCTCAACCTGTCAGTAAAAGTCGGATGCGGCCCACGTTCACTGGGCAGCCCCTGAGCTGATCCTACGTCTTGCTGCTCCCGGAATTGTCTCAGGGCTCGGATACGCTCGTCGACGGAAGCGTGGCGTAACCTATTCCAGTCCAGAAGACGTGACCTGCGCCGCCGCTGTGCCGCGTCGGTGTCGTTCACATCCTCCACTGACAGCGAGTCGCCAGGGAGCTGGCCGTTTTCGGACCTGGCTTCCTCGCCCTCAACAGCTCCTTGCGAATGCAGGTCAAGTCGACTATTGGATGATAATCAGTAGTGCAGACAAACACACCAGTGTGGGGACTTACCATAACGGACAGGTACCCGACACATTGATCAGCCACGGGTCGATACATGCCGGATGGAACTTGTGGTCGCACGGGAGAACCCTCACATCCTCACCAACCGTAAAGTCCTCGGTGCAGATAGTACAGCCCGGGTGCTCATCCTCCGCGTGATCCTCACTGGTCGGGCGCTGCCCTACCGTGCCGACAGCACCGGACATGGTCTCGGTAGTACCGCGCGCCCTCTTTTCGACTGACACTGATGGCCTGGCCTCGTTGGTAGCTTCATTTGTCGTCGATCTCTGCACCGGCACGGCAGTCTCTGGCCGGGGATCACTAGAAATGCTTTCGAGTTCATTTTCCGGATCACCCTTGACTGGATGCGGATCGCCAAATTTTACGATGGGGAGCGTCTCGAGTACAGCTCGTGCTAAACCCCGAGCTCTACTCTGTCTTGGTTGGCCTCCGTGGCCAGCGCGAGGCCCATATCGTTCGGGATGCCTGTGAGCCCGGATCGCTCCAGTGCCGATGATAACCAAGAACAAAAGCGTGATGAGGCCCGTAATGCTGTAGAGGATGCTCATGGCGACGGCCGAATTGTTGCCGCCCGCACCGTCGCCCGCATCGTTGTCAGAGGTAATATTCCCGCTAATGGTTGCACGAATAGTCCCCGTGGCAGCCGTAGTCCAGTTTCGCGCCTGCCCAGATTCACCTGGGTTGAGCATAGTCCAGATCGCCCCGTACGCCAGGTCGTTCCCTCCCAGGGAACAACAGCTTTGCTTGATGCTGTAAAGAACAATGGCTTCCAGCTGTTTAGTCATAAGACTGTCGAGCATGTTGCTTTGAGTGATGTACGAGTCGTCATTCGAATCGCATGACAGGTAGGCAATGACGTCGCTACCATTGATGTTGTTGAAGTTGCTCTGATCGACAACGACCATAGTCCCCTCCACGCCGATGTTCTAGATCTGGGTTTAGCATGCCGGACTACTCAGTCACGAAGGAGAGGTTCGATTTACTCGGAGGTAGTTCAGATTGGACGTGTTCAGACCCTCCTGTTGCGTCAAAGGCGTTATGGGATAATTGACATCCAGTGGACCTTCCGACGCCGTGAGGGAGAGCTTCATTTGGAACTTGGTGTAGTACCCGGGAACCTGTGTCAGTGCGCTGGTTGTGGCCTTTCCGGCAGCGACGGCAGGGAGTAGTGCAGCAACGAAGGCCATCAAATAGCAAGCCATCCTTGTAACAGCAGCGACGGTCGAGGCCGCCATGTCCGGAAACTATTGGGCGCTCGGCCGGAGGGTTGAGGAATGCTCTGAACGACGCGTAGGAGATGAACAATGGGGAGAATTGGGTGTCTTTGAGAACAGAGTCGCAGACAAAGGCGTTGTGTCGCATCCCATCCGCTATCACTGCCTTCGGCCGCCGGACATTGGGGTTCGGAACACGCGGGGTTGGCGCGGCTTCTTTGGCTTTGCGATCGGCTGCTGACACTCTAATCGCAGGCTCTTTGGGCAGCACTCACTTGGTGCGTTATTATGGCGATTGGCTTGGTTGATAAAAGGGAAAGGATTGCGTCCAGTTATTTCTGTTCAAATGATGACAGCAGCGATTTGAGAAGTCGAGCACGATCTGGTTAGATGCGCATAATCAGCACAGGAGGGATGGGCGGCAGTTTCCAGAGGCGGCGGCCGGCTCGTCAATAGAGTGGAGATCATGAGCGTCTATCGATGCTAGTCTGGGTTGGGCATGGAATACCAAGGTGCCTTGAATGGGCTGTGACTATGTCAAGCCATTGTTTTCCTCGTCGGCTTGGGCAAACTTGCATTGAGGCGCTCTCGGCGTGGCGATCAGAGGTGTTTAGCAACTTTGCGACGCTCAATTCTCCAGCATGGGCCTTGATTGGATTGGAGCTTGGCCCTGATCGTCTCTTTCTGGTTTGTGAGATGGGTTTGGATGGACATCCATCCCGAGACGGACCTGAAGAGGCGTTTGGGACATGTCTGAGACGTCACATCTGTTTTAGCGCATCTTTGTTAAAGCACGACGGCCTAAGCGATCCAATCGCAGACCTGGTCATCCCGCATTTCGTCGTCACCCCACTGACGACACCGCATCTCATCTGAGGATTTGGCACGAACTGGAGTGGGTTGACGAGCTGGCAATTGCCAATTACCAAGTTGGCATGGCCTTTTCGAGCCTTGTTCAAAGGTAAAAGCCAAAAGGGCCGCCATGCAACGCAACCACAACCGGCAGATCAGCTAGCTGCCGCCGTACCACAAGACCCTGGTAATATATGTGATATATCGGTACAAGCTGCTGGAGACGCCTTACATCCTATGCCTTATCCACGCGATAACGACTTACTTCAAACGCACAGAGCAAACAGATCTCCATGCTTCAAACCGTGCATGTCTAAGATTGTAATTCCGTCGGTTTCTTCCATCCTGCGCTTGGCGATCGGACTGCGGAAAACAATGATTGATATTGTTCTCTCCCAGTCGCCGCAAGCGTATGTCATCGCCGCGATAGCAAACCAGCCATTGAACGCGTTCTTGGAGTCCCGCGCGCGACGTGATGGCGAGGACTTTTGTGGTCAGTGAGCGGCAAATGTGGTTGTGCTACAGCAGCCATCATTCGTCAACAACACACTTCCAGACCCACAGTTTATCCATGCCTGCGTACATGATCATTTGGGTTTCGGCCTTCCCATGATTTTCATCCTGTCCAAAGACGGAAATTGTCCGTCGGCCGAGCTCAGGCTTGCTCCCGTTATCTGACCTCCATTTTGGCCAACACTTTTTTCTGCAATGGTGACTTGTCCGGGCATGCTATCGACGACAGAAAACTTGGGAACGGTCACAGCGTCCTGCATCAGGATGCACATCATTGTTTTGTTCGATTTACCTTGGATTGGATGCACCAGGTCTGGGGCGCCCCATCCGGCCGTCTCAGAACTGTTCAACTGAACCCTGGAACCCCTGAAAACAGATCCGGCACTCAAGGTGTAGATGCTGAGGCTCAACTAACCCATGCCAAGGCCGAATCCCCTTGCTTTGGACGTAACCCACCCGTTGAGCCTCAAAAGTTGTTGGCACTGCTCCGTAATGCTCGCTCAATTAGGTTATCTAATCGTAAATGTGGGCGCTAGATGGCATAGATTGATCGTCCTCACCAACAGTAGATGGAACGTCTTCGGAATGAGACCAGCGCATGAGAGTCCTCGGGACAAGTTTAGAGCCATGCCAAAAATTGTCTGCTTGACTGTGTTACGTTCGAGGGGCTTTTGGCATGACTGGCCGCTTTCTCATTACCAGAATAACTTCTTGTTCCAAGTCCAGCACAGCATCAACTCATCGTGACATGCAGTATGTTGAGAGGACATGACAACTGCCAGACTCGATAGATATTTTCATCTCTTGTCTTCACTTGAAGTTGATTTATATGTTGATTCGCGGAATGGTCCTTCAAATAAAAATGCTTTCAATGACATGTCTGCACAAGGCTATACGTAACACACATGGCTATCTTGTACTGTGTATACTACCCAGTAAAATCGGCTTGGTAGTCATGTCGATTCAAGGCAAATGATGCTTACCAGCACATGCAAGATCCTGAATGCTCTAAAACCATTGAGAATGGCACTCCTTCGACCGTAACTAGTTTCCGTAAGCGCTACTAGCGCGACTCTGTTCTCATACCTAACTAACACGAGACTCCATGCTTCACCATGATTATCGCTGGCACTGTACCGCAATTGTCAGACGCCCAGTGATATTTTCAGCCTCATTCACTCAGTTCTAACGAATATTGCACTTCTCAGTGTTCCCAAATATTGCCCGTCTCTCCTGGTCTTGCCCACGTATATATGTGACCAGCCTCGGCTTTCTTCCTCGTTATTCTCGGCACTAGCCATCCACAGAAGTAAAGATTGTCATGTGCCTTCCGCTTTTTCTTCCTATCACTCTGAGACGCATATAGGAATAGGCCGGATACGGTCATGAAGCACTCACTGGGAAGCCAAGAGCATCCCCCTTCCTCCCTCAACCCGCACTCTCATACCAAGACTGGTACTTCCTATCTCACCGAATCAGCGCGAACGACGTACTCCAAGATTCGGATTCCGTGCTCGCGGTACTTGTCTGAGCTGTTGCGGAGTTGTTTTCATATCTCGAAGCAACCTCGCGACAGCGATATGTAAAGTGCAGCACCCTGCTGGACCAAATGTGTACAAACCTTGCCACATACCTACTGTATTGGAGGTATGGGGTGGGCGTATAACGTACTGTGGTTTTGTTTTTGTTATTATCCTGCATTGGCGTTGCAAAGACTATAGAAGCCGGAACTCAGTGAAAGAGAATACAGGCACAGAATAGCTTCAAACCTCTGATTAAATAGACTCAGATATAAGGCCGCTCGGTGTTCGTAGCTACAAACAGCATCGCCAAGCTGGCCAAGCTCGACTCATCTACGAGTAGTTTACAAATTCGCAAACTGCTGGTGGGGGCAACAGATTACTTATTTGAAAAATGTGATGCCGTTCGGGTTCGTACCCGGGGTGGGACGGAGGGGTGCTTGACTTAGCTGACGCCTAGCGGGATTGCGTTCGGGTTGTCCTGTATCTCAGTCCAAGTCTTGTTAGACAGGCCTTCGTTGTGGGATGACCTGGTTTATTGCTCAATGGCAGTTGAGCTCAAGCCACGTACTCGCTGATGAAATCACGTTGGTATTACTACGGCAAATCTACTCTCTGGCCTTGTGCTTTAGTCATGGAATCCTCACATCTTATGCAAGCCATCCCAATACATGCTTGGCAAGAGACGTACATTCCGCCGACGACGTCTTCCGTACCTCACGTCAATGATGAGGCTGGTCATGGTACATCATTAATGCTACGCCATGGGAAATCATCACAATCCCAAACAAGCTGGTGACCGCAAAGATTGCATCTCTGAAGAGATAGGTCAACTGGTGATGAACAGAGCGTGCCGAGGTCACTCATATCTCTTCCATATCCCCCAAATCATCCAGTGCCGGCCAGTCCCCCACCTCCACTCGCTCGGGCCGTACAAAGACACCATGCTTGAGCGACGACTTTTGTCCCCAATATCTGGAGTCGCCTAAGCTGCCATCGTTCTTGCCCACGGGCTCATCAAGCTGAACCCCAACCCAGCCTCCTAAGCCAGGGATCTCTTTGACATCGCCCACATACTTGATTTCACCCCGTCTCGAGTCATCGCCACCCACCCGGCATCGCTTGCCAACCTCTATGCCACGTTTTGCGATTTCTTGCGCAATAGCATCAAGCTTAGCTTTCTCCAGACTGGGAGCATCAGGGTTGAAGCGACCTAGCTTTTCCGCCTTCTTCCAGGCCAGGACCGAGTCCGATTTCTTCTCGTACTCCTCCTCCGGCATGATGTACTTGTCAACGCCGGAAGTATCAGTGAAATTGGGTTTGGCACCGGCTGGTCTGGTGTCCACAATCTGCGGCAGTTGTCAGTGGTCATTTACACATATGTCGGTGTTAGAAACTTGAGTCATGAACAATGCCTCCGTCAGAATAGCCACACGTGAGGTTTCGAGAGTCGTCAAGGCGGTCATAGCCGCAAGACCAATCGTCTCACTTCAAATTTGGGATAAGTGTCTTCAGGCACACTTACGTGTAGTTCGGCATACGCGGACAAGGGAAAATTGAACAGGTGGGTATTGTCCTCATCTGCAGCCTCGATCGGGATATTTTCCTTGGCCGTGGGCTTAAGAGAGAGTCGCTGGGATGAGGGGGGAATCCCCGTCACCGGCTCAAGTTTCGCCTTGAGCTGGGTGATTGTCCATGATGGGGTGATCCGGCGTTCAGACGAAGAATATTCGGAAACGACGAGGAGTGGTACATCGGCCATTTTTGCCCTTGTGGTCCGGTTTCAGCGTTGGCCAAGTGGGTTCAGACGAGAGCAAACGGTTGCCAAATGAGGCTGAAATTGCTCATAAGCTCTTTAAACTCCTTGGCTGCGACGCGAGCTGCGAGGTCTGCTGATGCGAGGCCAACCTGATCTAGTTTGGGACGATGAAGTGTATACCGGTTTCGCGGCGATGGGCGTTGTTCCTTGTGCGAAAGCGGGAAAACAAACTATGCTTGTTTCTTCCAGGTCTGGGGGACGAGGCAAGCCTGAAGTGTGATAAGATTGGCGCGACGATTCGAGATGTCACAAGGTACCTAGGGAAATTGTAATGATAGTCGAACCACGAGTCGCTGCTTTTGAGTGAAGTCGACAACACTACGCGAGGGCTTTTAGCGCAAGTCCAAGTCTGTCATCGTTCCGAATTGGGCTTCCTTAGGCCTATTGTGAACTGTAATCTTGCAGCCACCTCCAGCCACAGTTGCTTCAATTCTACAATGGCAGTCTATTGCCAAGAATTGAAATGCACAACTGTATTATTATACCCTTTCGTTCCCTACAAAATTGGTATTTAAGTTACTAGTCCCCGAGAAGTGACTACTATGCGTCTAGGTCAAAACACGCGTTCTCAACATGATTGACTATACATTCCTGTATTCCTTCAGGTTCTAGTCTTATGCACCTTCAGCATTCGCCTTCCGGTTGCTTCTTCTCGCGTACTCCTTCCTTCCTCTACAATTCAGCCGTTCTGCGTTATGTCTATTCAATGCGGAAGAACGTTCACTTCCCGAAGAGCTTCTACGTGCAGATCGTTGCGGACCCAATAACTGTGGCCATTGGACAGAAACGTTTGCGATGATGCCAAATCCACAACTTCATTGGGTACACGACAGAACGCCGGCAGCATCGAGGCATCTGGCGGAGGGTCTTTCTGCAATCAAACAATGGCATAGACGATTTGGTAGCGGCCCTGATATCGACACGCCATCAGTGGTACTTCGCACTTGGTTACTTATTTTGCCATGCCAGCCCTGCTTTCAGGGATAGAGTTCCGTCAGGTAGTGTTCAAACGGATAGTTTCTAAAGCTATCTTGCATTACCGGCACGACCGCAGTTCCCTCAGCCGCCTCGTCGGGGAGGGGAGTGGGGGGGGGAACACGGACGGCGCGGCTCCAATAATCTTAGGCTGGGCAAACAGGTTGCCTGTCCTGCTTCTTTCACTCTGTGTGTCATTCCAAGATACGAAGAGTGACCAGTCACAAGCCTTCGGAACTGCGCCTGCCACCAGGGCATGGCGGGTGTCTTCGAGTCAGGCTTGAATGTGTTTCTTTCTGCAGATCAAAGTCTCGCCTTATGCCACGCTTTGACAATGTATCCCCTACCCGCCGCTGAACCGCTTGATATTCTTTCGACGCTCAACGGGGGCCTACAGCAGCGTTACTTACCACCATCACGTATTACCAAACCCCATGCCAACTCCTCTTGACTCCGTCTGGAGGCTGGTTTGGCTGGTCAGTAGCTGCCACAAGCCGATTGCATCTTGAAAGGGCGTGATGGCCACACGAAGACATTCTGACGTGTACTACCGGTGAGGACGGCCACCACAATCGGAACTTGAGAACTTGAGTACCTGAAGTTTTTCCCACCGCGTCAGCGTATCGGGTAGCACCAAGACTCTATCGTAATGCGCCACGACTGCCACATTCACATCGGTCGTCTTATGCGAGCGAGATCTTCGTCCGTCGGGCTCAGGTGTGGCACGATGGCAAATCTAGCATTACATCCCATAAAAAAAGTGGGATGAGCGTTGTTTGACGTATGCAAGTATTGGATGAGGCGGCCAGGTCCAGCCACCAATGCATGGCCAACAAAGCGCAGAATACCGGTACGGCACACTCACTGCTTGGGGGCGCAAGAAGCTCCATTGGACAATGACGTCCAGAGAACGCAAGGCTAATGAGCCCAACAAGATGGCCCTAGAATTGACTGGTCCGTCGGGAGCCATGCCAGGAGTATTCTTGACATAACTTATAGAATGCATACATAGGGCTCGTCTCACTTGACAATCAAAGTCGCATACCCATCAGCCGCCGATGAGACACGAGGACCTCGACAACAGCATTGCGGAGAAGCTCGGCCATATCGGACGCATTATAGGGTTTCTTTTTTGTGTGTGATTATCGACCGCTCCTCAAAACATAACAATTATCACAATCACATTGTCCGCCATCCCGGGTTTAACTAGGCAATAGCGCTTGTTGTTTATAGCTGGGAAAGTGACTGGCAAACGGAGATGCATACAAAGAAAAGCGACTTGACCCGCTGAGTTCGGGCAGCAACAGGCCAAACAGAGCCGACCGATGATCTGCCGCCATCCCACGCCGACTGCGTTTCTCCATCTGTGTGTGTCGTCCAGTTTTATCGATGCCGCCGAAGACTGGGAACTCATTTGGCAACCTTGGAACCCCGGAGGTGCTCATTGTAGATGCCCGCTCGGCTGATCGACGTCAAACCCGCAAGACAAAGGCGTGGCATCCTTCCACGAACCCCACCCGCCTTTTCCAAGACCAACGTCGTCACCCATCAATCGGTCAAGCTACCCTGCCTGCCTGCCAACCTGCTTTGAGCCGGTCCTTAGAGGACAACGATTATGTACGAGGGTACGAGCAAACCCCTCACAAATTCTGCATTGCATTTTTCAACCCAAAAGAAGGCGAGGGGTCGACGGGGGTGCTGGTCCTATCAGACAGCAGCCGAGCAAACAGATCTATGTGCGTTGTGAAATCGACTTGGGTTGCAGGCCAGGCCCGGGCAGATCATGGTTCATGGCAGTTGTTACAATGCAAGCCATCGTCGTCAATGGATACTTCGTACATATGTAGTAGTTCGGAGAGCGGCCGGTAGGTACTGGCCTGGTCCCTGGAGAATAGCAGTCAACTGGAAGTACCCAAGTCATGCAAAGCTGACCGCCAGTTCATCAGCCTAAGCAGGATGTCCCCGGCGGCCAGGCATTGACGGTTTGTCGTCTTTGCTGAGCATCTGGGACCCATTGTGTGATGGAGTGCACAATGTGCATTGTCAGGTCGTGGAGAAAAGCCTTATCTGACAATCGATGTATGATGTGTGCGAGCTAAACGCTGCCAATGGAGGCCCGCACAGACATTGGGCTCTGCAGTTTCCTACCAGGGAGCCCCATTTCCCGCACCCGGGACCCGAGCAACAAAGCTTTTGTCAGGTTCCAACGTTGAGAACAGACACAGCACCCCAACAACAACCCTCGCTCTCCCCCCCTCCACCCCCCTCCCCCTTCGCTTCCGTGGTTAGCATTCATCCATAGACGCGAGGAGTAGTCTCGTTCGGGTAAGATGGCCAACACCAGAACCCGGAAGAGCATACAATGGACCAGTATCCGCGCAGGTGCATCCGCAGCTAGCACTGAGGACATATAGCAGCACTCTCGTTTCAAAGTCCCCACTGTTCTATGCAGTTTCATGGCAGCCACTTTCACCACCTGATGATCCCATTGGGGACGCCGTCTTCTCCAACTCCTTTGTACCACGGCCCTACGACGGCTGCTCGATGGGCTCTCGTTGGTTTGGCTGGTGGTTGACGCCAGCGTGAATATGCTCTATGCCCGGGGTGCCTGTCCAGTCCAGCCCAGTGTCGCAATGCAGCGCCAACCGACCAATTCGCAACGCATGCACCCATTCGTTGTGTCAAACCCACAATGCCATTATCCACCCCATGAGCTTGGAGCTTGACCGGCAGAACCCTGCTTGGAAGATGCCATCTCGAACTCTTGGAACAATGGACACACTTTGTGCTTGACTATTGCTCAAGAAGCCAAAGCCTAGACAGTCAGAAGTTCAACGTGCGCCATTAACCCGCTTATTTTCCAATTATCTTAGCGTGAGGAGGAGTGGTGGTGGTGACTTTTTTTTTTGTTCACAGCGAGCTCATGCATGCTTTCGTGTCCATGCCATCGGCCCTAGTCGCAACGTCGGCGTGGCCAACAAAGTCGTCTGTTCAACTTACATCTAAGACCATCTGGGATAGATTGAGTTCCCATACAGCCAGTTCGTGGTGCGACTAGAGACCTTTTGGCTTCTGTTCATCCTATGTAGCACAAAGGTACCTACTGCTGGTCTCGTTGACGGGGTCGTACGCGCCCTACCTCACACGAGCTGGTGCGTCTGTTATAGCTCGCTGACTTACATATAGACTGTTGTTGTCTTTGGACTCCACTCTTACCTACGTTTCAACACACCTCTCACACCCTTTACACCCCTCCCCTGGTCAACATTTCCTCTTTCTGGTCGTTGTTAGCTGGACCCTTGCTCTCGTTCCCCCACCGCTAACCAGCTACTAGAGTTCCCAAGCCTTCACGATTCTGTAGGAATTTCTCTAGCTCTTCTTTTTTTTCTTCTTTTATGTCCAGCTGCACTGCGCAAGTTCCCGACGTGGAGCCTCGCTACCCTGCGTCTTATTCCATACCGGCATTCGGCAGGATATCATGACTATCGACCAAGCCCGTCTGGCCGTCCGAATCCCTGACATCTACCTGGCCTGACTGACGTATTCACCCGCTCTGGCGTTGTCTCTCATTGCGAGCTTCATTTCTGTCCTGGGTTGTCCGTCTATTGGTGGAGAACTTGTTGGACGCATCCAATCATGTTGATATCTCTCAAAAACGCGAGCCACGCCTCATTGATCTAAAGCCTGGCCACCTTGGGAGCCTTCGTTTTCCCATCTCTTTGGGCTATCAGGCGCAGTCGACGTAGACTACGAGTCACGAAACCCTAATTACCTGAACAACCTGTCAGACGACACGACTTGTTCAGGTCTTTACATTCGCCTGCCCCCAACCCCCAAACCCTCATTCTCCCCCCCCTTTAAGTGCGTGGAAGAAGTACCATAAGCCTTTGACGAAGCCCGAGCTGGAGCCTTGACCCAGTAGAAGAAGAAAGAGTGCTACGAGTGACTTGAAGACGAAGACATCGTCGATTTAGTCAAAAGGTCCCCCTCAGCGCCAACAGCGACGCTCCCACGCGAACCTGCCTGCTCCAGGCTCTGTAGGCGACATACCGTCATCGTGGATATCGCCTCCCTTCTCAAAGCCCCCGACTCAAATGAGTCTTCCGTGTCTCCTTCCCAGCATCCGCGTTCTGCATCAGTTCCTCCCACGGTGGCTACGACGGCCTCGACAGTGCCCATCGGGCCCCCCTTGTACGCGTCGCCCCGTCCAAATCTAGGAATGGGCATGGGCATGGGCATGGGCATGGGGCCGTCGGTGGCAGTGACGGGGAAGCGCAGCATGCCTCCTCACGCCTCGGATCCTCCAGCGAAAAAGCAAAGCAAGTGGTCGCCCGAGGAGGACTCGCTCATCATCGACCTCCGAGGCAGCGGGATGAAGTGGGAGGACATCTCTAAGCGGTTGCCGGGACGCAGTGCCATCAGCTGTCGACTCCACTACCAAAACTATTTAGAGAGACGCAGCGAGTGGGACGAGGAGCGCAAGAACAAGCTTGCCCGACTCTATGAAAGGTAAGAACCCGAAACACTAACAGTCCGAGAGTCTCCTCCGTCTAATTGTCGAAACACAAGAGTTGGGGAGCCTGTCGGGGTGGAACTAAGGAAGTGGGTTACTGACGAAATAATCATAGGTTCAAACCTGAAATGTGGGCAAAGGTAGCGGAAGAGATGCAAATCCCCTGGCGAGCGGCCGAGGCAATGCATTGGCAGCTAGGCGAACAAGACATGGCCCGGCGTACAGGCACAACCCCCTTTTCTCTCACAGCAGTCAACTCGGATAACAACACGCATTCGGGGGGCCGTCCCCGGGGCCACGCTCACTCGCAATCTCAGGGCAGCATTCCCCGCGAAGTCATGGGCGCGTCATCGAGGGCAGGAGGAGCGTACGGCAGAGGCAACACGATGCCATCCATATCACCCAGCCGGCCCTTAGCCACACGCAAAGACCTGGGCCCCCCGCCGCCTCATCACCACCACTTTCCTGTCAAATACGAGCACAATACCGACAGCGCGTATGTACAACATGGGGCGCCCCTGGCCCCGATCCAGACGCAAGCACAATCCCGGCCCGGCATGCTCCCCGGCCTCGCCGAGCTGACGACGGGCGTCAGCCCTTACAGCACCCCGGCATACTCGGTTGGCGTTCCCAGCGCTAGTCCCGCCCACAGCGCAACGGTAAGTCCGGCACCGTTCGTGCCCGTGGGGTACCCGTCTCTGGAGCCGGCCGGGTCGAAGCGCAGACGGAGTCCTGATCTAGGACCGTCGCCCGAGACGAGCAGACGGAGACATTTGGACCAGTCGATACCGCGGCACATGCCCTGAACTTGATCGGTATCGACATTACCAATACCAATACTTACGTCGCTGCCATTTCTTATCTATCTCACACGCCGGGGTTGACGGCAACGGGAAGCACAAAAAGAGGAAGAGAAAAGTGCTTTAGGAGCAGGTGTTCGGGTTCATATCATCCAGCCTCGTTGCGTTGATGTCTATCTATCCATCTACCTATTAAACACGTCACATACTTACTTGCCTGTTTATTCTTTCTTCCCAGCACATACATACATACTTCGCTTCTTCTTCTACACAGAAAAACGAAAAATCGGCATGGGAGGGAAATGGGAATGGAAAGGGACATGCATGTTGCATTCATCTGCATCGGACTGGAGCGAGCATTGGAGTGGCTTACGGGCGTTTTATGCATGAGGGGGATGGGATTCACGACGGACGAATGGACGAACGAATGAACGACCCCGAAAGATGGAGGAGTTGGATGGGTGTGTTGCTATTTCGTTGGTTCGTTGTCTGTTGGAATTCTCGAACATAATTTGTCACTTTGTCCCCAACCTTCATGCGGATTGATTGGGCAGCGGTGCGACGGGGTCATAGAGCACACAGAATCCCTTCTCCGAAGACGGGCAGGACAGGACAGGGCAGGGCAGGGTAGTGGTGTACGGCAGGATGGGATAGGATGGGTTGGGTCAGGACGTTGTGGATGATCATCCACGGGACCCAGAGAAAAAGCATCACTTGGGAGGAAGGAGTTGGTGTAGTCGCGCGTGTCGCTTTGGGAATGAACGAAAGAGTGTTTCATTTTTTTTGTTTTGGGTTTAGTTTCCGTTTTGCTTCACGACGAATACCATCGGCAGCATTTTGAAGAGCCAAGCGAATCTTTGTTTTTTACCCTGAAAGACGTTGTCCTCGACATTCCATAGCATTACTATCATGATAGAGGAAAGAGGAGGAGGGATAGGAGGAAAGAGCATTTAGACTAGGGTTTAGGGGGGAGGGAGGGGAATATGTGCGTGAGTCAGGAGACGGATGGATCTATGTATGCGTGGAAGACGCACCACTACCAATACCGCAGCTAGTCACAGTCCCTACTGTGTCAGTACTTACTCAATTATCTTACTCAAGTTCCTCGTGCATGTACTTAATCCACCGACACAACCCGGGAAGAAGACGACTCAACTAGTCAACTACCTACCTACCTACCTTAGGCCCGACTCGCAACGACCCACCAATTATCCCTATCGTAGCCACTTTCCACGACTCTACCACCCACAGCTAGCACGTCTTCCTCGAGCTCCCCCTTTCGGTACAGGTGATAGTATCGCTGGTAAGTAGTCTCCGCGTTCCCAGGCCCATCCACCCCGCCCTGCTTCGCCTTCATCACCCACGGTACCAGCTGATCCTGATCCGATCGTGCATCCCAGCCTCGCCGGCTGTTCCCCTGCTCCAGCGCCCACACGTACACCAGCACCTTCCCTCGTCCTCCCTCGACGACACTCCCCAACAAAGTCCCCACCGCCTCCCGCCTCCGGTCCCGCGTAGACATGTGATGTATCACGGCCACACAAATCGCGAAATCCACGCTTCCCTCGCGGTACGGCAGACTCAGCCCATCCGCAACCGCGACCTCACACCGCCGTTCGCCGGAGTGATCCCGCGCGATGCGCACCAAGTTGGCGCTGCGGTCCGAGCCCAGGATAAACACGTTGGGGTTCACGGCTAAATACTTGCCGTTACCGCAGCCGACGTCGAGGCCTACGGACCCTGGGGGCAGGGCGGAAAGGAAAGAGGCGATGACAGGCCAGGGCTTGTACCGGGTGGAGGAGAAGTGGCTGGCAATGGACTCGTAGACGTTGTGCACGTGGGTTTGCTCGTAGGACTCGGGGGCCGCTGCAAGCGCTGCTTTATTGAGAGCTGGCTGCTCTTGCGGCTGCGATATCCCGGCGGCAGATGCTGCGCTAGCGGCCGTGGTAATCCGAGACATAGAAGTGGCCTGGGAAGACTTGGGAGAGGGGGTATGTAAAACAGCCGCGCCAGCTGATGATAGAGTTGCTGGTTGTGACTGTTGCTGCTGTGCAGAACTGCCGGCGCCCTCAGAAGTTTCTTCCTTGTCAGCACTTGGTGAAACGCCTAGATCTTGTGTTTTCTCGGTATCGGTAGGCTTCGACGTTGATATCTCCGTCATTGTGACCGCTCGTACGCTCTTCTTGGCCGGGGTCATGCTCGGCGAACTACGGCTGCCACGAGAAGGGTTGTCGGTGGTGGCAGAGTTGCCGGCTCCTTTTTCTTGCCCCAACTGCCGCGATTCAGCATCATCGACATGACCACCATGCTCCCGCCGCCGCAGTGGTTGATGACCAGTTATGCTTTCCCCACCAGCATCGAATGTGTTTTTGTCCTGCTGCTGCACCATGACGTGCATGGGAGAGCCCTGTCAAGAAAAATCGGATTTGCGGCGATCTCCTCCCCGCCGTAGTTGCGTGGAAATGCTTGGGCATACAAAGTGCAACGGTACATTGGCACTCAGGCGTCTAAGACAGCTACAATTAGCATAAGTTTTTTTGTGCAGTGTTGTGTGATGTACCGAGGTCGGTCGGTCGGTGGTCCAGCACTTTTTTCTTCCGACGCGGCCCTTATCCGGGACTTCACCGATTCCATGACCGTAACCAGGTTTCCTCGTTGTTGTGTCTTGCTCATGCAGATGGCAGCTAGGCCTGCATTGGAGTGTGACGCACGCAACATGTCTCAGTCACAGGACGTGACATCCTATTTGCCAACTACCCCTACAGTTGCCAGCGTTGTGTTTCAGCTTCCGGAATCTACTCCGTGGCTTCGGCGTTCGGCACTCACGGGCAGAGACGGATGGGGTTTGCAGATTAGGTGCCGATTAGTGGCATTTCTTGTCGCCAAATAAGGAAGTACGTATCTTGTCAGACGAGGCATGGTACTATTCCGTTTCGTTCAATCCGACGGTTCAAAAGCTGTCTAACCGTGCGCAAGTGCCCGAGACAGCAGATCGTTCTGGGCGTTTTCTCGAACTTCCTCTTTTGTGTTTGGCGCGTGCGTTGTTTATGCATTGTAGAAAAGTTGGTGTCGGCTGTCTCAAACTGCGGTAGCAAGGAGCTCGGGATGAACTCTGCACTAGATGATTGTGGAGGAGAATCCATGGATATTTCCAGTACCCTTATGCTAAGAGCTGAAGTACACCCCGTGCCATCCTGTCGAAATATATCAGACTCGTCATGAAATGAGACTGTGTAGCAGGAAACCTAGTTAGGCATCATCAAGCCTTTTCTCGTTGCCGGGCACCGTTTCAGCTCCCTTCATTCGGACAGAACCATTTTATACCTATAGTTCGTCAGGCGTCCTGACAGTTCATGCATTAAAAACTCTTGGTTCCTCGAAACGAACTTCCTCGGCAGTGCCAGCATTGATGCAGACAATGCATCAAGCACGAACCGCTGTTATGGCAAGAAGAACTCGATGTAGCCAGGTCATTCCTTGATATGTCTTGGCCCTTATAGAGAGACACCCAGGGGTGCAGGACCGAAATTGTATAGTCCCCTACGTGACTTTTCAACGGCGCCTATAGCGGTTCGGCCGAACTTTATTTGTTGCTAGAATGACTCAATCGTGGAAGTCGAAGTGAAGTCATGTCTAATGTCAGGACCATTCAGTCTAGACCAGTCTGTCTAGACCAGTCTCTGAAGTACCCTATCCTACCTACATGTATGCTTGAGGACATGGCCTCGTCATGTGCCCGCCACTTACCGGCGCCCTGTGTTGAGCGGGCTATTCGGATCGTAGACGTCGGTTGTGATGAGTTCGGGGTACTCGATTCCTCCTTGCTTCAGCGCTTCATCCATCACCTCCATTATTGTCACACTGTCTGCATGTCAGCGACAATCAACCAGAACATATGCGAGCTCAGTTCAGCCCATGACTTACCTCTCCGACCAAGGAAGCGTGGCACTCTCAAGCTTGCCATTGCGGATACATTTAAAGCACTCGTCAGCTTCCCAGAACATACCATGGCCCCAATCTCGGTCTTGGTCCTTGGGAATGGGGCAATCGACGACCTCCATTTTGCCAGGCTTCTCCTTCAGAATCACCCTGTATGATAGCGGCTTGAAAGCCGGTCCCATCACCTGGATCTCGCCAAGTGGTCCTTGGATTTTGATAGCTGGTCCTGCCGTGTTTTGACCATCGACATCAGTGGGGAGCCGCATACCCGTCATGGCGATTCCCATGCTCTTGTGCTTCGGGAACTGCACAATGATATTCGTCATTTCATCCGCACCAGTGGTGTACTTGTTCATCGCCGCCACCGTGTTGGGCTTCTCCTTCACAGCCTCCGGCTGACAGTGGTATAGGATTTGGAAGACCCACGTCAGGGAGTAAATACCCAGGTCAAGAAGAGCACCGCCAGCTAGTTCCCGGTTCACCATCCTGTGCTCATCGGGGAAGGTGAGCGAGCCGTTGGGTCCGTCTTGGCCGAACGAGTTGTCGGCGACAACCCGGTACACGGGACCGACGAGGCCAGACTGCACTAGCTCACGGATCTTTATGCTCAGGGGGAAGTACCGAGTCCACACGGCTTCCATCAAGAATAGCTTCTTCGCCTGAGCCACATCAACGAGCTTACGTGCCTGGGCTGCGGTTACGGTGAATGCCTTCTCGCAGAGAACGTGCTTCCCAGCTTCCAGGGCCAGCATGGTGTTTTGGAAATGATGGCTGTGGGGGGTCGCGACGTAGACGATCTCGACGTCTGGGTCGGCTACCAGCTCGGCGTAAGAGCCGTACGTCTTGACACTGTCTGGTGCGTTAACCTCGGACAGGAACCTCGTAGCACTGTCCTTGGAGCTGGACGAGGCCACGGCAACGAGCTTGTGCTTGACATCGTGGACATCTCTGCTGGCTGGGTTGGTGAGGAGGTCCTTAGTGAACGCTATTTATCATCACCACGTTAGTCCTGCTGATGACAAGCTGGGGTAGTGAAACCGACTTTGGGCGATGCCTCCCGTTGCCATAATACCCCACTTTAGCTCGGCCATGATTGAGGCTATGAGTCCTGGGTCGGGAGAGCACATCAAAGACTGAAAGATCTAACAGTTGAGAAACTATCACAAAAGCAGTCAATATTTCAGAGAAAAGTATGCGGCGTGTGGTTTATTATATTTGGTTACACGACTACGAGCTAAGCAGTGAAGTGAGTGAGGGATATTGCCCCCTCACGTCGTCACTTCCAAGAGTGGGGTAACACGTACACATTGCATCACCTTGTCTGCCGTTGATACAGATTGTTCAACCGTTTTTCGGTGAGCATCTGATCGCCAATCTGCTAACTCTCTAGGTTAGCAATATCCGGCATCGGAGCCGATAAGTCCCTTGCGGTTATTGGAATCACCATACGGTATCCCGAAGCGTTTACATAGAGCCCCACCCAGCACTGCTGCCCAGTATCCCATTGCTCGAACAGTTCTCGACGAATACACTTGGGGAGTTACGCAAACCAGGTACTACCTACTATAGTTCTCATGTCAATACAGTCATTCGATGAATAAGTTGCCAATTGAGATTGCTGAATACGTAGTAGACGTGACGTTTGATATCTGCACACTTGAACGAGCAAGTCATCTGGACTTTCAGCCGATCCCATTCGATGTTGTCATTATGCGTCGAGATAAATCACCGTTTGGTTATTCCGCCTCTGTCTTCCATCCAGTTGCCCAACAGTGAGAATCGCAGCACTTTTCAATCCCAGCAAACAAACCAATCCAATTCACAATCTTATCAACGGCGTAGAAACATAACACATTCCCCAAATCCTCGACGGGAATAAAACGAGTTGCAGTGGGCATGTCCACGAGGACGACAATATCAAGAACCCTCAAGTTCAGAACCACCCAAATCTTACCATTCACACCGTCACCACATCAACCCCACCTTCCAACGAATCATCAATCCCTCACCATGTCCACCACACCCCTAACCTTAGCCCTCTCCAACGACCTGACTCTCCCGGGGTCCCCCACAACCACCACTCCCCGTCTCGTCTACGGCACTGCCTGGAAGAAAGACCAAACCGCGGACCTCGTCTACCAGGCCCTGAAAACCGGCTTTCGAGGCATCGACACCGCCGCCCAGCCGCGCCACTACCAAGAACACCTCGTCGGCGACGGCCTGCGCCGCGCCATATCCGAGGGTATCATCACCCGCAAATGCGTCTTCTTGCAGACCAAGTTCACCTCAACTTCCGGGCAGGACCTGGACAACCTACCTTACGACCCTTCCGCGCCTTTAGAAGAGCAGGTGCACGCTTCTGTCGCTTCTTCGCTGCAGAATCTCGCTACGGGAGGGGATGGTAAGGCTGAGGGAGAGGAAGGGACATATCTAGACAGCCTAGTCCTCCACTCCCCCCTCCACCACCGCGAAGACACCCTGCGCGTCTGGCAAGCGCTCAGCACCTACGTCCCTCACGCGATCCGCCACCTCGGCATCGCCAACACCCCCCTCCCGACGCTCGAGATGCTGTTCTCGCACCCGGATGTCGCCGTCAAACCCGCCGTGGTCCAGAACCGGTTCTACCGGGACACGGGGTACGAGTCAGCCCTGCGGCGGTTCTGTCGGGCCAAGGGGGTCGTGTTCCAGAGCTTCTGGACGTTGACGGGGAACCCTGCTTTGGTCAAGAGCGGTGTGGTGGCGGAGCTGGCGAGGAGTGCGGGCGTGGGGAGAGAGGTAGCGTACTATTCGCTTGTGTTGGGGTTGGAGGGGGTGACGATCTTGGATGGGACAACGAAGGAGGAGCATATGCGGGAGGATCTCGAGGGGATTGAGAAGGTAGAGATTTGGGCTCAGGGGGACGGAAAAGAAGCTTGGAAGAGGGCATTGGCGGATTTCAAGGCTGTAATAGGGGAAGTAGAGTGAATACAGTGGTAATGGTAGTAAGCAATAAGTCATAAAGCGACGGGAGACAACAAGTGCATAAACGCTACATCAGTTGGTCATCTACTCAAACAGTTCATCTATGCTTCATCTCCAGAGAGGAATGGCTGGCAGTTCAGGTGTATCCTGCGTTATGCAATGCGGTAATGCTCCCTAAGTTTCACCCCAGTCCCAATGCAATAACCCGCAACGCCAAAAGATGACTGCCGCTCCTCTCAATGTAGGTGCCGCCCAGCCATGCTCAAAAGTCGACAGCGTAATGCCGTTCCCTCCTTACGCTGCCTCCATCTTCAGCTTCCCGCGTATACCCGTCAGTTCATCCTGCTTGGGCTCCGTTAGTCGCAATCCATATGCTGTGCACTTCTCAAGATGACTTCGACTCACCTCGGCCTTTCTCTTGCCCAGCACCGGCTCAGGGGTATTGCGAGAGTAGAGAGATCCAACCGCGCTACTACCCATGGCCTCCTTGTGGCAACTGGCGTGATGTATCCGGTCTCCCACTCGGAGGGCATCCGGCCAGACAAACTCTTGCGCATCGTCGAGCCATCTCGTTTCGAACTTCTCCTGGCAGATGGGGCACACACTGTTCGCTAGCATCGGGTCATCGGGGACGGGGATGTACTGGAGCTTGGGGGCTTTAGCAGCCGAGCCCTGAGCACCCGAATCGCCCGTGGGAGCGACGTAATCCTCATCAATTGTCTCCCGAGAGTTGATCCAGTCCTAACGCGAAATATTAGTACTTATTAAAGAAACAGCTGTTTTTAGTGGTGACGTACCATCTCGTCAATGAACCAACTGCGGTGCTGGCCTCGCTTCTCCGTCTCTGCAATCCGCTGGTTGACCTTGAAGTGCCAGTCCATGTGTGCCGTCTTCTTCTTCTTCCCTTCCTCATCCGTCTTGAACCGTCGGCCGCATTGCGTACATTGTGGTCCAAGAGCCTCGTACATGAAGGACAGCAAATGTGGTCGGAAGCTAGACCGTGTGAGTGTTGGTAACCAATATTAGTTAAGTCATGCGGAGAACACATACTGCTTTAGCGAAGAGGCTTTGAACGCAATATCGCCTGTCAGGTTCTCAAGAGAAGGCGGCGTCATACCATGAACCGGGAGAGGGAACGGGGTTGCCACAGATGGCGCGACGTTCGGTACCGGTGTCGAGCCACTGGACGGGGTTGTGGCTGGAAGCATACCGGCCTTCCGTAACATGTTCAAAAGCGACATAGGGTCGGCCTGCGGTGCGGCCACCTTGGGAGGTTCAACCCGTTGAGGCGGTGGTGATCTGATGGCCACTGTTGCAGGAGGAGGTTGTGGTGTAGAAACTTGTGGCGTGGCAGAACCTCGTGCCAGCAGAGCAGCCAATGCACCCGACCCGAGTAAAGAATCTAAGGACACCTTTGGCGCCGCTGCGGGAGAAGGAGCTACTGCTACAGGTTGGGGGATAGGTACAGGTGTGGCTATTTGGGCAGGAGGTGCCCTTATGGTCACGGCGAGTTCAGCAATTCGATTTTTAACAAGCACTAACTGATCCTGCGGCAAGTTCTGGCTTTGAAGTAGACTTTGCAAATCCAAGAGCGCCTTAAGTCTTGTCTGTATACTAGGATCATGTGGGTTGCGTGAAACTTCAGCCTTAAATGCTGTAATCAGCCTCTGAATGTCATCAGTCAAAGCGTCTACGCTGATTCCTGATTGTGGCATGCTATAGCCACCATGAAGCGGTTGAAATGCATGCAAGCTTGCCGGAGGCTGTGGGGTTGATCGTGTTGGAGGGATTTGTTGCTGCATGGCCAATTAGTCACTGTTCGCTCCAGGTGAGGCATCCAGACTTACCTGGTGAAGGGGATAGTGGGACGGAGGTTGCGTCGGATGGCCATGGGGGCTGCCGTTCGCCATGGAGGCTGCATGCTCAGCTGGGTAGCCGCTGGCCTGAGAAGGTGGTCGATATCCGGAACCAGGCGGAGTTGGCGTCTCGCGGTACGGAACAGGTTGACCCATTGATCTGCCTCGACCAAGCAGCTGCTGCTCAGTTCTGAGATTTTGTTGCTGTGCGTGCATGGCCGACGTCCTCGCTTTGATTAAAGCATTCTCTATCGGGCGGGTGACATCCGGAGGGAAGACCGGCCGTGTGTCGATGGAACCCGGAATGGGCTCCTTCCAGGTTTTGAGCATCTCGTCCATCTTTCTCCGGGTGTTCATGTCCACTGAAGCGTAGGAGTCCATGTACGTTTGAAACAGCCTCTTGCCGAAGAATAACGTGTATGGTGTTCCGACATTCTTGACGATGGAATCAAGAACGTACAGCGAGGGCAGCTTCTTGTGAGGCGCGATCTATACAACGATGTGAGTAGTGGTTCGACAGACTTAAATATTTGGAGCAAACAATAAGAGGATAGGACAGTGTCGGTCGATGCTGCGGACGGATAATTTTGAGGTTGAGGAAGTGATTCAAGCGTGTAACGGGAGGAAGTGTCGGGACATTGGAAATATTAGCCTACCCGTTTGAGGTGATCTTGCAGCACCTGCGAGATGGCGAGTGCGTGTTCGGTATTCTCGCGAGCAATCATAGTTAAGTTCTGTATGTCATACCGGTTGTTCACTTGGAGATCCTCGAGAGCCTCGCGAAAGTCTCTCTCGAAATCCTCAGTTTCCTGATAGGATGACATGATGCTGTAGTTTGCAGACAATGGGCCCGTCTGTGCGTTGGTGAAAATAGAGAAGAAGCAGTAAGGATAGTGCTGCTGGAGGTGACGATGGCGAAGGCTTTGTTGCAAGGAAAGCTTCTTTAATGCTTGCACTGAGAGAACAATAGCGTTGCGTCAAACGAGGGGGTCACAATGGCGAGTGGCCCTCTTGAAATCTCTTCATCAAACGATATTGAGATCTGGAATTTGAATCACTCCTCCCTCAGAGCACAACCCCAGTGTCTTCTAATGCTCGTCAATAGCCAATTTGCCGCCGAGCAGAGCCCTTTTTGGTTGAGCCAGATGCCAGCAGCCCTTCCGATCCCGCGCGCCTGACTTATCCCCACCGACGAAGGCACCTCTCTAGCCGTATAAAGTACTTGAACTCTTCCCGCCTAGGTACTGGTGTACTATGGTAATATAAACCGGGGTGGCGGTGACGTGAATGCGAGAGGTCGTAAGGGAGAGGCGCACAAATCGAGTTCTTCGACCGGCGTCAACGCTGCGCCGTGGAAGTGGGTCGAGAAAAGTATGGCGCAAGCTGAGAAATACGCGACGCATCGACTAGATCTGAATTTGATGACGCTGTCGACAAGCACCTACTTGGTAAGTTGTATTCATTGTGTGCACGTCAACAGTCATTTGAAGATGTTGCCAGTGGCTTCCAGCCAGGAAAACAGGAAGCAGCGCTGAGTGTTGTGTGCACGTGCCACCTCGTGTCATAGCGCGAACTAGATCCACTGAACACAATGCTGCACTGTCTGTACTTCGTCCTTCAGGGCTGCAACATCTCATATTTAAATCGGCTCTGAAACAAGGAAAATTGAAATTTCGGTTGTTGCTTATACATGGAAAACTTAACGCGAAATTTCATCCATCATATCCATCTAATTTCTTCACTGAAGTCGCTGGCTGCCGCCTCGGATTACAATCTGGAGTTAGAAATTGGCTCACGAACAAGACCGTTGCGTTATCAAGCCTTCAGCAAGTATGAGCAGTCTATTTCTTGTACTCCAACAGCCTACAGACCAGGGGTTTTTGCTCACAACTATGTAGCCTTCTTCTTTACACCGTCTTTGCATCCTGTCCGGAAAGCTGTTGTCTAATAAGTCTACCAGCCTCTCGTGGCCCGAACATACCAGTGCCATCCTGGAAGTTGGCAAACGCTCTCGATCAATATACTCCGAGCACGTCCGTTGCTGATTCAAGCATAGCCGTGGGGTGAGCGCCATAGTTTTCGTGCGCACTACGTGAACCATGTGGGGGCGCAAAATAGGGAGCCCCTACCTACCGCGGAATGTCTTTGGACCGTCCGTCCCAAACCAGAAGCTCATCGATCGAGGAATAGCTAGAAGCACTTGCAGCTGACGGCCAGGAGCTGTGTTAGACCGTAAGGCATTGGCTATTATTAAACGTCTTCACGGGCCATGGATGGGTTCCTTGTGGATAGAAGGAGATTCAAACTCCGAGTGCTATGGGCCAATTCTAGTTGGATATGTTGGGATGAATGTGTCTTGACACGTCATGAGGGGTATGCCGTATGTCATTTGGTGTTAAACTTTCGAATCAAACACTACTACGGTATCAGGCCAAAGTTTTCACCCCCTTGACAAGTACCAGTGGACCACTGCCAAGGTAACGCTATACTGATTCTTACCGATTCTTACCTAGCCTATTCATACTAACGAAAAGGTACTTCCACCTCTGATTCCAACTTGCTGTTAACGCGTCCTAATTATCGCGTATGTAGCAACTACAATAGGGACTAAACACCTTACAGAAGCAGATCGCTAACCAATTCGAACCCTCCATTTCGACGGTGGTAAATCGAAAGCCGAAATTCAAACTACTACAACGTTTTCTTTTAATCTGATTAAGACAGCTAGCTGTTAAGGTCGCTTCAAGCCAGGTAGCTAAGAGTTGGCTCGTGCCTAGGTGGAGCACGGTACAAACATACAATTGAAAACTTACCCATGATACCATAGTACATGACCTGCATATGCCAAGAGAAGTCAAAAGAAAGTCTCGACCCCGGATGTTGATCACTAGACCAATTTTCTGGCTGCGTAGGTCCTGTAACTAAAGGTCAAGTCCAGTAACATGGTCCAGACCAATTTTAGTCTGAGCCGTTTAAGTCCTCTTTTCCTTCATTACACAGCTATGAGACTGGGTTTACAACCGACCAGTACAGTGACTTTCTTACACCAGTGTTTTCATGTCAGACTCGCAAACCATCACCGACTTTGCCGATCAACCCCAGCCATGGATCAACAAGGCAAGCAACTTCAGGGGCGTACATATCACAATGCTGGTATGGTTCCATATAAAAGGCATGGCTGCGGTAGTCTTCCCTGCTGATCGTTTGTTTGCCAACGCAGACCCTAGTCTACATCTTCATCGCCCTGCGGCTATATACGCGATTCTGGGTCCTTCGCTTACCAGGATGGGATGATATCTTTGTCATTTTCTACAGCGTGAGTTCCTTCTATTGACCTTCCGGTACCTGCCAACTAACAGTTGGGATACACAGTTCTGGTACATGATTGGGATCGTCCCCACCTTGATGTGTATGTCAAAATTCAAAATGGTCACTACAGCAGCTGGTCTCTGACATGGAACACAAGTACCGGCCGCGGGCTTCGGCAAGCACGTCTCGGAGCTCAAACCTGCGTCACTCGCAAATGTCATGAAGGTGTGTTGCACGACGCCGTGATGCCGTCGGATGCGATCAATGTGGACTGAATTGGTATGTAGTTATTCTACATCATGTACGGGAGTTATAATGTGTCGGCAGCACTCGTGAAGCTTTCACTCCTGTTCCAGTACATGCGCATATACGACACTGACAGCCGCCTCCATAAAATATGCGTTACGACAGCGTACCTGGTCGGTCTGTGGGGATGTGTGTTCAGTATTCTGGCGTGGTTTCCCTGCTGGCCGGTCAACGCCTTCTGGAACCGAACTGCTTCAGGGCAATGTTGGGGTGTGGCCATCAGGGGCAACTCCTTGCTCCTGGCTTACCTCATCCATGCGGCGACGAACGGACTTTGGGACCTGATTGTTCTCGTGATCCCCGTACCCCTTTTGATCCGGCCTCATAGCGATACCAAACATAAACGGGCCGGTCTCTTCACACTCTTCTCACTGGGTCTTGTGGTCAACGCACTAAGTGTCTGGCGAGTGGTGGTAAACATCAGAAACCAGGTGGGACAATACCCGACATATGACCCCACGTTTTACGGCCCGATCAGCGTCACGCTCGGTGTGGCGGAGATATCCATTGGCGCCATCGCGGGCAGCATTTCCGTCTTTTGGCCCAACCTCATACGACCCCGTCTGAACCAAGTCGTTGTCAAGTTCGAGGTCATGGTCAGGCGAGAACCGCTCCCTACCCAGCCGCTCCAATATCCGGAGAACCTGGGTATGGGTAAACTACTGTCACTTGTCGATGCGGATCCCCTCCTCCACAGCATGGACGACGGCAGAAACAACAGCGAAAGGCATGGATGCAGCACCGGGCGAGGTTTACATATGAAGCCTGCGCATTACCGAGACAACTTTGTTGCTGGGCAAGTGCTTCCATTTCCAGGGTCTACGGGCAGTAGTGGAGCATGGTCCGAAGTGAAGTCTGAACGAGTTCCGACGATGGCGAGCACCAGGGACCCGATGCGTAAACAATCGCTGGTGGAGCTTCTATGTAACTCATGATCTGAATAAACTGCACGGTGGCTGAGCTACGTGCAATGGATTTGGCATGCTTCGTGGCTTCAACAAAGCACAATCCACAGATTCACACTAATTTGGCTTCTAATACAGGGAATCGGCAGCATAATATACATTATGTAGCCAAATGGAGTGAAATTCTATGTGAAGTCCTCGTGAGTGAAGCGGGCTGCATATTTCGAGCGTCCGCCTACTTGGTTTTGTACAGGCTTCACCGGCTCACACTTATAACAAACTTCCAATATAAAACAAAATTGCGGGGTGCAACGCAAGGTAAAAAGAATGAAAATAAATTGTTAAGTATAGACCTAATTAACTAGGTGAAATCGCTGCCTATTTCAAGGTCCCCTGGGTATTTCCTATGCAACCTAAACGCCTTTTCGTGTATATGTGTAATGTTGACCTTATGTCAAGATTTTGGTACTTCTCTTCAAAATCGTGGGATGTGTGACGCCTCGCTGTACCGTGGACTGCCACCAGTCCGCATTAGTCCGGGAGTCCGATACGCGACGTGCCGCACACACTCGACTTACATATAGTTCCCTCGGTTGTAGGGGTGGTGAGAAGACTCGGGTCTCACGAGGTTGGGGACGATAGGAGACGTCTTGACTTCGGGATGGTAGGCCGACTCGTCATCGGAGCAACCCGCCTCGAGGTCGTGGTCGTATGCAGAAGTATTGATGGGACCGCTGATCTGGGGCTTCTTGGTGTCCTTGTCCCTGCCGCCACCGAAGACGCCGAAGAACTTGCTCTTCGACTTTTCCTTGCGGACCGAGTTGCTGCGCTGGCTGGAGTGGTCTTTCCAATTGACGTTCTCGACGGTAGCGCCTCCGCGTCTGACCTCCCGAGCACACAGGCCACTACCCTTATTGGAGTAGAGCCATGAAGTGATGATGTTCAGGAAGCCGAAGACGATGGCCAAGATACCAGCCGCAATGCAGAGGCGCCAGAAGGGAAGACCCATCTTCTGCGGGATGTTGCGAGAGTCGCTGAGTTGACCGAGAGTGTGCGACCCCATGATGATCATGGCGAGTCCCAGCCAAGTCAAGCCTCGGTTGGGACCAATGACAGGAAATGTCTGGTCGAGGAAGCGGTGGATCCTTTCGAATTCCGTCTCTGCCAAAACAAGAACAACGCAGACTCCAACCACAAAAAACAGGGCAATGTCATTGAAGAAGGTGAAGCCGTTGGGCAGCTTGGCCACGACCATGAGTACCACTGATGCGGCACCGATGATGGACAGGATGAGGACATTGATGACCCGGATGATGTTGAGGATGATGTAGCCCAGCCCTTGGAGGCGGCCCGAGTTGGCTGGTTTCTTGCCGAACATTTTGTTGATAGTAAGATTGGTATCTCTGGGGGTGTAATCGTCAGTTTTTGGCGTGCTGGCCATGTAGATGAGGTGCGTGTGAGTTCCGGGATCACCAACGAGTGTGACTGCCTGCAGTGGAGCGGATTTGCGAACGAGTGAATCGAATGAGAATAGACTGTGGGTTGATTGCTTTTCTGATAATACGATCTCGCAGATCGCAAGGTAGATTAACTAGAAGGATTCAAAGGACTGTTGAGGGTGGGATGAGTGCTGGAAGTCGAGGGAGATGCCGAGTCGCTTCCACCAAGGAAATTTATAAGGCCGAAGACAATGAATAGAAAGTGAATAGTATCATCATTCGCCTCAGCCAAGGACAAAGAAGCGCTGACTAGTCAAATCGAGGGACAAGTAGATCGATAGATGGCCGGCGGGTCTCGAAGCTTTATTGTGAGAAAGAGCACCACTATCGAATATTAAGATGAATGGACATTGAACCAAAGGAACAATGGGAAAAGCTTAGAAAAAACTTCGGTCTGGGGTTCCTCCAGGCGTTTCGCATTGAATAATTGTTTCTTCAGTCGCTAGCCAATGGATTAGTTTCTTGATGAAGTGTGTCAAGCCTAATGAAGCCCAAATGCCCAAATCAATCTAGCGAGCAAGCGCACGGCATTGGCAATTTACAGGCCACAACGCGTGATGTTCGACTGATACAGCTTCGCAATGTCAAACTGACGCGTTCCTGCAGGTGGTCTACCGCCGCTCCTGGCTTGCCGGGTTGTTGATAGCTCGTGATACTAGAGGGGTCTCTTTGAACAGTTCACACTTGAAGATGTATGGATCCCACGTGCCCACAGGCAATCGCTTGGTAAATTGTTGACAGCCCTGTCTGACGGGGTTGATATGATCCAATAAGGATGAGTATTCCCAAGATCAGACGGATTGGCATCGCCATGTTCCTGGAAGGGTTCAGTAAACGCATCAGGGCATTTCAGGACTAGTTGATGTTGGAAGTTCGATTGGCTGTGGTTTGAACAGGCTTTGTTTCACTCTCTCTTTATGCATGCAGTTCCTATGCCCCACATAAACCCGACAAACCCACACAAGGGAGCGGCTGCTTCGTGCTTCAGGATGTCCACAGGGAGAGCCTCCAGATTCCAGATGCTTTGTCCCCCAACGAGACTTGCAACAGTTCAAGTCTCGTAATTTCTTGTAGTGTTGCGCCAAATAGGGCAGTGCCTCGCCTTCTCCCAGATTGCCGAGCCAACGAACCAGATGACAATGTCAAAGCATCTGCAGCTTCGTGGGAGAAAGTTTGACGGTTTCCTCAACCTCAAGACGCCATGTGTCACCATGCACACCTGTTATTCAAGCCTCTATGAAAGGTTTGATGTTACAGGTTCTGTTGCTCCTAGTCTCATCGAAAGAGTGATGCTACTTTACTTACAAAACCTTACAAGACATCGAGACTGGAGGCGTTGGAAACCAGCACATAGTTCTGCAACTGTTCCTCCGATGACTTGTCGTTCCGCACACATGCATTTCTAGAAGCGACAAGGCCATCTTCATCTCAACCGCAATGACATCCTCAACGGCGAATAGAGGATGGGCAGTAAACGCACTCAGCTGTTGTGTTGTTCAAACAGACCGAACTTACAAACAGAGGACAATTCTAATAAAAGTAAGCGGCGCCTAGCAAGACGGGGAAAGCCCCACCGAGGTCCAGACAAAGCAGCCGCCGAACACAGCCTCACTTCACCTGAGGCCTACGACCTTGCAGGCGAATTTTATTTCTCTGCGCTTCCAGATTCCCGATGCTTTGACTGGCCTTTACCTTCTCGACCCACGAAACCAAACCAGACGCAGTCCCATCCAACCCATCTCTCGTCCCACGGCCTGCTTTGTCTGCTTTTTTGCATTTGTCCACACATTTTTCTTTTGCTCAAGCGCTTGCATAGAGAGTCCAGTACCACCTCGCGTATAAAAATAATGGCCCGCGGCAACCAACGCGAGAAGGCGCGTGAGAAGAACCTCAAGGCGCAAGCATCCCAGGTAAGGCCAACCACAACCGCCGCCACCGCGGTCGTTGGGTCCAGTACATGCGCCAGCAGATGCGCATCTGTAGCACTTGTCGTCGTTGTCGTTGCCGCCCGACTATCTATCGGGCCAACACAGAGTTCCCACACTGCTTGCTAATCCACTGCCCTTGTGCGCGGGAGAGATTACTGACCATTTGCTTCGCGCTTACTACAGAAATCCAAGAACGCGAAGACTGGCGCCGAGATGCAGCGCGACAAGGACAACGTAGCCGAGATGATGCGGAAGAAGCAAGCCGCTGGTAAGGCACCAAACTACCGTTCCTGCACCACTGCGAAAGAACCTCGTCCACTAACGAGACTCTTTGTTCCCAGCCGATGCGAAGAAGGCTGCTGAAGCAGCCGCGGCCGCGAAGAAATAGAGCGCCCCTCCCTCGTTGCAAAATGTCTTGATGGGGCCCACTGTTGGACAGCAAGAACACGATATCACGATATGGATGAACCAATGGGCGAGACTGGCGTCGGCGTGTAGGCAGAGCTTCCTGCCGTAGGATCACTTAATGAAGCCCAATACCCATAGAATCTAGCGACCTACATTATGAGCAGTCCTCATTGGGACATCGTCATTCCGTGGTGTGATCATGTTGGGAGGAGAGTGCTATACGGTTATAAGATTGGGAACGATCTGCCATGCCTGTGTCTTGATCTGAACATGACATATCTCCCCCAACAGGTATTTCTGGATAACCTGCCATTCAGGTCCTCGATCATCCCCAACTTCCGTGAAATTTAGTATGTCGATGAACCTTCTGATGATCCAGCTGCTCAAAGTTGAAACCAAGGGCACATATATTGCTTTTTTTTTCAAAATAGTAACAAACTGAACATAAATGAGGAAGATAAAGCCCCTTGGTTTGAAGAGGAAACGCAACAAAGTAACTATTACCGTGGCAGGACACCTACGTACGTCTTACTCGGCCATGACGTTCTTATACTGATTCTTTCTGAGAATCCATACCACCAAGTAGTTCAGTGTCCTGGGGGGTATAATTCTACGTCTCCCTATCTTAGAGTATACGGAACACTAAATAAACAATGGCCACCAACTCAACATGACTCCCACACGAAAACAGTGGTGCAAAAATAGCGACAAAATATATAAAAAGAAGAACATGGTATTTGACTATCATTCAATGACCTATTAAATTTGCATCCCCATCCAGAAAAAATACGATCCAGTCATATCTAACAACACCATTCGTCTTCTTCTAAAGCCCGATAGAAAAAACGCGCATTGAAGAAGAGGAGGAGAATATTCTAAGCCACTACAACCCCAAACCCTAAACCCAATAAGGACTGATGGTATGACGGGGTTTTTGTTCGACTCAGGTCTATACGTTGTATATATAGAACAAAAAAAAGTCGAGGTATCATTCGCATCATGCCCATTACCGTAACGGACGAAACCGCGCCCCGATCCCAAGAACCACTGACTGACTTAATTCCACTATGCCTCGACCATGGATGCGGGCAGACCACCTGGAATGCCGCCAAAGGCACCAAGGCCTTGAGCTTGGATGGCAGGGAAGGCACCGGCTCCGCAGGCGACGGCGCAGATGCAGGTCTCGCCAGTGAGGGTGGTGCCGGTGCCGCTGGTGATGGCACCGGCCTCAGCGGGAGGAGCAGCCTCAGCGGGAGCAGTAGCCTCAGCGGGAGGAGCGGAGGATGCAGGAGCGGCCTCGGCGGGAGGTGCCTCAGCGGGAGGAGCGGCCTCTGTAGCGTTACCGGTGATAGCGCTGCCGGCTCCAGTACCCTTCTGTGCGATGGCCATAGACTGGAACATAGCTTGGGTCTTGTCGGCGGTAGGGTTGATGGAGAAGACCATGCCCTTTCCGCAGTGGCCCATTTGCTTGCAGTAAAACCCTATTGGGAAATTTGTTAGTCATTATTTCACGAGATTTCAGGAGATGAGGATTGTCAAGGCTTGTGTGGCAACTTACAGACGGGCGAGGTGGTCATGACTTGCATGGCGACCTGGGGAGCGGGCACAATGCTATTGTCGGGGTTGGGCTGGAAACCAGTGTCCATGCCGCCCTCAAGAGGATCACAGGGCGTGGCGAAAGCGGACTGGGTAGCAGTATGGTTCGTGCTCTGGAATTCAAAGATGACCATGTCACCCACGGCGGCTTTCAACTCGGCGGGAGTGTATACGAGACCACCAGCTCCACCAACAATGACCTATGTCTGTTAGGAACTGTACTCAGTGCGGTGTAGTGCGTATATTTCACTTACATTGTGGGTAGCAGCGGCAGCAGGCGCCTCGGCAACTTCAGTGGCATCAGGTTTGGCGGTGACTGTTTGTGTCACCGTCACCTGGTCATTCAGTGTCGTGGTTGGGGCACCGCCTCCCGGGTTGTTCCAGATCAGGATGATCTGGGTTGTGACACTCGCGTCGATGATATTGATCTGGTTTCCTACGTTCTTGCCATCGTCCTTGTTCTTCTTGTTGTCGTCATCGTCGCCCTTGTCCTTATGTCCATCTCTCCTGACGGGGTAGACGTTGTGAACGGCCTTGGCCAAAGCGACGGGGGCAATTGCCAAAGCGAGAGCTGCTGCGAACCTCATCTTGACTGATTATTGAATAATTTGGGTTGTACTGGGTTGTATTGTAATAGCCTTGACCTGAAGGATTGGACTGAACTGGGCTCGAAGATTCTTGAATGGGCGAGTTCCTGCTCGTGACGAATGGAATAATGAATGAAGATGAACAATGGAGACAGGAAAAGAGTGAACACACAGCAAGGCAGTCGGACTGATGAATAAAGATAAAGAGAAGAAACAACCCACAGTCGACGCCCTGAGAGGGGATCGGATTGTTTAAATCCAGTGTTGAAGATCGGTGCTGCCCTCCACTGTAGGAGCCACCAGTCAGCCCATCGGCCATATTGGCATCCTGGGCCAGGACCTGGTCTCGAAACAGCACGAGCGAGTCTTCCGTGCAAGGCATAGCCGGGGTCCTGAGGTCATCTCGTTCCGGCGTTGAAGACGTCCGATCAGGGCCAGTCAATAGCAAGCGGCACTTGCAGCATTGGCATCCCATCGCAACCTGGCTGTCAGGGTTGGCAAGGGCCGGCCCTGCCAGGATGTCTTGCGGCTCGGAGTGCTGCATCAGGACTGGCGTCAGGACCGTTCAGGGGTTATTTAGGGGTCGGATGTGACAGAATCGTCTCGAGTCGTGTTTTGGCATCTCGCTAAACGTGCCAGCGCGGTCATAACTCAGTACCCGCCAATGCCACGAGAGATAGACTTTGGGCCGTTGAAAGTCGGATAGATTGTCTGAAAACTTTTGACCCGCAAAGATTGAGACGATGGGATTGAAAATGAACAAGTCAATTGCTGCTTGCCATCTCGAGATCAATCGATTATGTCGAGAGACCTAAGTGCAGCTCAGTTGGCAGGCGCCATGACTTCAGCATTGGACCTGCCAAGACGGACACTGCATCCCCAGCGGGTAATATGGCAACAATTAAGCTTATCCGCTACACCGGCACAGATTTGAAGTTGGACCTCGTGCGGAGAACAAGAGTTGTACCTTGACCAAAACCCATAGCTGCCGCCCGCTCACTGGTGCGACTGCTAAAATACGGGCTAGGACAGGCATTAGACCATGTCTCCCCGACGCTAGAAAGAAATTGAGAGTGCTTCTAACAAGGGATACCTAAGAGTCCGAAGCGCCCCAAGAGCCCGCGTGCTGTAGCAATCACCAGCAACTATCAGTTATTAGGCCTTGAGTTGGGCTCCAAACTGCCCCATTTTTCGCGTCATCTAATGTTTCGAAGCGACTGAAAAGTCGTCGTCCAGACTTGTCATTCATCCCACTCAAATTTTGCTTCAGTCAGCGAGCTGCGTACCGAGTATCCACCGGCGTCCAAAACTCTGTTGCATACAAGCAATGGCTATTCATTAGCTTCGTTGCGTAACTTATGGCTTTCGGCCATCCCATCTCCTGGCCTCCCCTGATGCTAGGCGGCCCTATCTCGACGACTTTTCGGGTTTGTCGGCCTACTAAAGTCAGTATTGTAGGCGGCTGGTTTCGAGCCTCTCGTGTTGCCAAGCACCAATCTCTCCACATATGTTTGGTAACTGGTCTCGCATAGTTCCATGCGAAGGGAGGCCTCTTGGATCTGAACCGGTTGGTCTCTGGTATTCGAGGCTGGCCAGTAGTGTTGACTTGGGGTATGGGTGTTACTTAATGAAGCGCTGGCGGCTGAGCCCAGTGGTCACTGACTTCGCTGGCGCCCTCGGGCAGTTCCCCTGACAGAAGTGTATTCTCGGGCTTACCTGCTTACTCACAACGGGTCGTTGATGCGGCCATACGCAAATTGGTCCGTGTGAGATCTTGGTTTAGACCTGGCACCACTGAAATTTGACATCAGTCAAACATCCGAAATGTTTCATGGCTCAACCGCACTTCACGCCGTTTAAAAGGCTGTAGGTATGTGGTCACTATAGCGATTACTACGTGCCTGCGACTCATTTACTTCATTCTGAGCCGTCCCATTATGTCACATTTGTCCCATTTTTATCCGTCCTGAAAATCCCATGACAACGACAAGACGGGGCATGTCGCACCTCAGACGACCATAGACTAGGTGTTGTTGTTGCAACAGCAACTGTTACAGAAAAACCCCACTTCCTGGTTGATCAGATACAGGCCGAACACCATCCGGACTCAGCCTTGACTAGACAAATCTTCATCGCTGTTACAGCTACGGCGACTTGCGTAAAATACCACTATTGCTGATGCTCCCTTTGGCCTTCGTAAAGACCAGTGTAGTATCCAGCATAGTACCAAGACATCAAGAGCTTCTTGAGGCCCTCATCACGCACTGATTCTGGTCAGCCAAGTGTTGACACATTCATCCGTTTGTTCCTTCAATGACAATAACACCTGCATGGACCGGCTGGAACTTACCTGAGCCGAGCAACGGTGCCGGGATACAAGCAGCCCGCTCAGCGGGGAGGCTGTGCTGGGTATCTGGATTTCCGACCTTATCACCGTCGTAATTGTCCTTTCGTTTCATTAGAATCGTTTATGCCAAGCTTCGTGATCTCCCAAGATCCCTCTCAGCCCCTTGATGAACCCCAGTGATGGACCATGGGGATGCGATTTCTCGCAACGTACCTTTCCGACCTTACCGTTTGCACTGCCTACATCTGGACAATCTACCGCATCACGAGAGCTTGGCAACTCAGAGTCTTCATTTCCGTCCTTGGCATCCGAAGTTGCGGTCCTACGGTGAAATCTGCGTGTGAGTAATTTTGACAAATAATCTGATGTATCGAGGGATGAACCGACTTTTCAGGGTTGACAAGGTCGTCGACATTGCCGCCTTTCGAATGAATGCTATGATATTTCTAAATTTGTCAGTATTATGTCCTCGTGGAAGTTTCGTGGTGGCAGGCACCTTGTATTCCTCCAAAGCGTCGTTCCACGAGTTTACCAACGCTCTATCGTCCCAGATCTCGTCATGGGTAAGGTTCTGATCTCCTGAATCCATAATACTGGCGAGGTGGGTGGGTTAGCAATGGTTGTGAGAATTTGAAGCGATAGAGAATATCATAGATGTTGTTCTGTGTTGATTGCCAAGCTTGGGGTTGAGTCGAGAATTGCTAGAGGCAGCTGCGACTCGTCCAGATAACTTGGGGATCAATGCCTCTGCAGAGAGGCTAATAACTACAGGCAGTGGCTATTGAGGATGAAGATCAAAATATCACTTTCGAGGCAAGTCTCGCAAGTGCACAATACTCATTAATGGCAAATTTGTCCCCGAGGAAGAGAGCTTGATCTGGCTTACTTGTTCGGCTTGATAAGAAGCAGTTACACTCGAGTGCTTAGTGAGTTCCCAGCAACAACAGAAACTGGCTTCTCAACCGGGCCAGAATGTCTTAACCACCCCTTGGACCCAAATCTTAAAAAGGATCGAAGAAATGTTGAGATATCGAGAAAAGACATATTCTGACTTGCCTCCTACGGTTTAGTCAAAGGAAGCAGTCGATTGGTTTGCCACTTCGTAAGGAGGTCGAGTTCTCTTTCGGTGTTGTAGTGGGGCAGCTCACCGCCCTGTTTTCAACGGTGGCAGAATTCTGGACTCGTTCCTGACCGAGAAAAAAAAGTTCCATGAGGTGAGAAGCTATATTCTTACAGCTGATCAGCAATATACATACCTTGACAACACTTGGACAATGGCTCCCGAACTCAGAGCTAAGAAGCCTGCAGGTACATTACAACTGATACTTTGGGTTTGATTCTCTTCAACTCACCTTTTTCTAGCGGTTGCAGCTGCAAAGCCTGCCAAAGCCAAGGCCTCCAAGCGGAAAGCACCCGACGATTCCAGCCCTGTCGCGCCGAAAAAGGCCAAGTCTGTAAAGCCAGACGCGATCAAGAAGAAGGTAAAGGCTACAGAACCGGATGTGACTGAGAAGAAGATCAAGAAGGTTTCCAAAGCGTCAGCGAAGCTAGAAAACGTTGTCGAGGACACGACGGTGGTCACCACCAAGAAAGTTACTGAGGAGATCCCTGTAAAGGAGGGTTCGCCATTCTCCGATGCAAACGAAGCCGAGGACGAAGATGAGGACCAAGTCCTTGCTCTCGCTGGAGTGACCGAGAGTGACGATGAAGATGCGGTGGTGGATAGCAGTGCAGGGTTCCAGAAGGACCAGGACGTTGGCACCGCACCGAAACCATCAAAAGCAGTAAAGAAGGCTGCGAAGGCCGGCAAGGGAGAGAAAGAAGAGCCCGGTGTTGTCTACATAGGCCGAGTGCCGCATGGATTCTTGTGCGATTGCTTCCACTAGATTTCATACGTCGTTACTAACCTGAAGGCAGTGAGCATCAAATGCGCCAGTACTTTGAACAGTTTGGTACTATCAACAAGCTCCGGTAAGCATATACTCTTCGAGGCCTCTACTAATAACTAACAAGTGAGTAGCTTATCGAGGAACAAGAAGACTGGGGCCATGAAGCACTACGGCTTTATCGAGTTTGCGGAGTCGAGCACTGCAGAGATTGTCGCCAAGACCATGGATAATTATCTACTGTTCGGCCATATTCTCAAGGTGAAACTGGTTCCGAAATCCCAGATCCATGACAGTCTGTGGAAGGGCGCAAACAAGCGGTTCCGAGCGAAGCCACACAACAAGATCGAGGGCAGCAACCTCAAGAAGCCTCGGTCGGAAGCCAAGTGGGAGGTCTCAATTTCCAAGGAATACAAGAAGCGTGCGGTTCGAGCTCAGAAGTTGAAGAAGATGGGTTATGAGTTTGAAGCACCGGAACTCAAGGCCGTGGTACATGCCCCGGGAGAAGCAATGACCCTCGAGGAAGGAGACGAGGCCCCGAAGACGATTGAAGTAGCGCCAGAGGCCACATCAGCTGAAGCTAAAGTGCCTTTCAGCGCCGATGAAGAGTTGGGAGACGGCATCGAGTCCATGGACGACGATACAGTAGTCACGACAGCGAAGAAGATGACCAAGGAGGATGGGAAGGGTGGCAAGAAAGTCAAAAAGTTTTCGAAGGTCAAGAAGACAAAGAAGACTAAGAAGGTGAAAGCATAGTCATTGTTAGGTTGTATCGGTAACATTGCCCTTCTCGCATAACATTCGTGGCAGACTGTGTTGGTATGGTAATGAATTAGTTCTGGTCCGTCACCTGTATCTTTTCGCTTGATTTATCGATATCTCAGCAAGTGAGGACCTTAATTGGGAATTATATGGCCATTGAACGGTTGCCTATCCCAAGTCGGGCTGACTGGGAGCTATCAGCCAAGATTTTAATGGCAGAACTGCAGTGCCGGGCACGATGAAAGAACTTGGTCGCACCCAACTCAAGTCCTGCGAACTCTGAAGTCCAGAACTTTTGTGCGTGGGTTCAAACTACATCACAATGTGTACGTTATGTTTGCGCATAGCGAATCCGATGCACCATTTAGACCAAAAGTCCGGGTAAGCAGCAGGATTATAAAAGGCAATGATCAGTCTGCTTTAGCTGGGGCAAGTGAATCAGTCAGATAAGCGCTGAATTGCGCGAGCCAGATTCAAAAAGTATGCCAGCAAAGGTGAAAATATGTGAAGAAGAAAGAAAAATCTGATAAAGCCGCAGAGCTCGAGGTTTACTTGGTCTACAGTGTAAAGTTTGCGGAGCACCTGCGGTCCCATACTTCAACGGCAGCTGCCAACCCTGAGGAACAGGCAGATACTACAGCTGGCAGAGACCCAAGCACGTAGGCCGCCAAGCTGTGTTGTAGCTTGCTGAATCCTAAAGTTGAGTGCTAACTAAGACTAGGCTCGCTAAACCCAAAAGGCTTACGTGGTGTGCAAGTGGATTTGAATAGTCGCCAACAAACAGGTCGACAGCGCAACGTCAACCCCAATGCTCCACTGCTCACCTTTGCAACTTGCCAATCGCCGACAATGACTCCCGCTGAGCCAGCCCAGCAAACGAGTACTGGTCCGTGAGCTCATTCCCACCTGTGGAAACGTAGCAGCTGACGTGGGTCATATCAGCCTCCAAGAAGAAGAACGCCAAGAAAAAGAAGAATTCCAATAAGCCGAAGCCCCAAGACGATGAGGCGAAGGCAGTAAAGACGCCTTATAATGGGCAACACGAAGACGACGACGACAACGACCAACCCGACGACCCAGACGCACATGCAGTCCAAGTAGACGAGCCAGCTGCAAATGGCCATGTCACGTCGTCGACGACGAACGGATACCCCCCTGAGCATATCTCTCAGAAAGCAATCTCACGAATAGACGTCCCGAGTACGGACACGACGGCTAGACTGGAAGCCATGTCGCAGGAACGCGAGGCGCTACGGGCCGAAGTAGAGCAGTTGCGGAAGCAATTGGAGAGCATACAAGAAACGCATCAGCAGGAGGCGTCACAGTTAAAGACCGACTTGGAGGAGAGCGAGGCTGCCAAGGAACATGCAGAGGAGCAGTATCAGACGCTTCTGGGCCGAGTGGAAAAGATCAAGGAGACGCTGGGAAGCCGACTAGCGCGAGATAAAGCCGAGTTGGAAGAAGCTAAAGAACGCATCGAAGAACTCGAGGCCCAAAATGAGGAACTACAGACAGGCTCACAATCATATCAGGAGCAGATCGAGGGGCTGCGGACGGAGCTTCAAGATGCCTCGAGGGAACTTTCAAGTCTGAGGAGTCGCAACAATCTTTCACAACACAACTCTCTCAAAGAAAAGGAAGACCTGCTGAAGCAAATCACGCATCTGCGCGAGGAAGCAGAAGCGGCGAAGGATGCCATGGGAGACTGGGAGGTGCTAGCCATGGAGGAGCGGTCCGTCAGAGAGAACTTGTCAGAGAAGACATCCGCTTTGGAGGAGCAAGCCGCCTCGCTGCGAGAAAGCTACGAGCGCGCAGCCTCGGAACGGGACACCCAGTCACAAGCCGTTGACAGCCTTCAACGAGCCCTACAGGAAATCCAGGAGGCTCGAAAGAGGGAGTTGCGAGAGATGGTTGAGATGTCTGAGGAGCAGCTTCAAGCCATGAAGAAGCTGGTTAAAGAGGCTAATTTGAGGGCTACCGAGGCCGAGACGCTTAAGGATTCTCTGCAGAAGGAGCTAGAGCGAACCGCACCATTCGAAAAGGAGGTCAAAGAGAAGAATCTGCTCATCGGCAAGTTGCGGCATGAAGCTATTGTCCTGAATGACCACTTGACGAAGGCTCTGCGGTATCTCAAGAAGACGAAGCCAGAGGATAGCATCGATAGGTATGTTTCCCTGAACTCCGCGTTGGCATACTGGTACTGACTATTGAGAAGACAAATTGTTACGAATCACTTCCTCCAATTTCTGCATCTGGACCGATCAGACCCTAAGAAGTTCCAGATACTGCAAGTCATTGCCGGCCTACTCAATTGGACGGACGAGCAAAGAGAACAGGCGGGTTTGGCGCGGCCGGGAACTGCTAGTAACACTCTACGGCTACCCACGTCCCCCTTCCATCGAACTCCCAGCACGCCATCTCTCAACACTGAGTTCTTCTCGGAACCGACACCAGCCTCAGCCAAGGAATCCCTTGCGGACCTATGGGCGGGCTTCTTAGAGCGCAGCGTCGAAGAGGCATCTACGGGAGAGGGGTCCCGAAAAGGCAGTGTATCGAGTGTAGCGACAGGGGCAACGCGGCCGGACACAAGGGGAGGTTCGCATCCATAGACTTCGTTTCTTTCACGCTGGTAGCATTGCGAAGCAAGCAACTGGGTAAAAGCCTTGCGCTCCCTAAGGTCAGAGAAAATATTATCAAACACTAGCATCCATCTCGGGCGTTGGGAGGTTTCTAGGAGGGTGCACAGGTTGGGGCCTGCACGAGAAGACGGAAGGCCTGGTCGGCTACCATATTTGGAATATTAAAGCATCTTGACCAATATCACTCACTCACTTCATGATGCAGACGTGACCCTGAGTTTCACATCACAACCAAACTATGTATTAGTCAGAGTTCTTCATGTTGGCAATATATTCATTTTCCTTAGAATCCTCTCTAGACCTAACCCACCACGGTTTCCTGAACCGTATCCTCAGCCTTGGGTAACATATTTATCGCATACGTCTTGGCATCGCGCGATATATCCTGAATGTTGATCCGATTCTGCAACGCATCATTCACCCCCTCAATCACCTCCCTCTCCTCCATGACCTCACGCATCAGCCTGCCCTCATGCTGCCAATAAGCTCTCATCCGCTCTCTCAGCTCCTCGTCCCGAATCGCCGTGTTCTTGACGATCCCCACGGCATTGATCTTGCTCTTCGTCATCAGCAACCGTCTCGCTACGGCCTCGACGCGTTCCGCGGGCGACGGAGGCGAAGCAAACGCCCGGTTCGTGCTCGAGAGGTACAAGAGTGCGGCGAAGGCGACGTCAAGAACGGCTAGCGCTAGCAGTCGGTAAACGCGCGCCGTCCAGAAGAACATATCGAGTTCGGCGAGGCGCGGCCGGTGCGCGTTGGACTGGTGGTTGTAACTGCTAACGACGTAGACATCGAGGGCGGCGAGGACGAGCGTAGAGATTACCGTTGCGCGGCGCCATTTGCTGCCGTCGAGGCCGACGAGGAGGCCCGACGTCGCGATGGAGAGGACGATCAAGTTCAGCAGGTGTGGGGAGAGGAGGGACGGCAAAGCGTAGTAGAAGTAACTGCGTGGGTCGTCGGAGGTGCAGAAGGGGCAGTTGGCCAGGACTTCCGGGCCGAACTGCAGGTAGAGCGTGCGGGATTCCATGTTTACAAATTTATTGCGCAGGGCCGTGTCCGAGGGAGTGAGGACATTTTTGGGCCGGAGAGAAGAGAGCCGCGCAAAGAGGACGTCGGTGGGAATTTGGAGGCGGGATTGTGTGCGTTCAAAGAGGTTCTCCGGCGCAGAGGGTGGCAGGGAGAGGAGGAGGTAGAGGAGCGTCGTTAAACTGAGGAGGGAGAGTGCGCGTAGAACTTTCGGGTTCAAGGGACGGATCGTGAGCCCGTTGGCGGAGGGCCCCGCGCGGATGGTGCGGTAGTATCCTATTGCCTTTGGCAGAAGGATGGGCCCGAAGAAGATGAGGACCGACTTGATTCTGTAGGCGGTTGTTAGCGATGATGTTATTTGTAGTTGCGTCGCGCGAGACGGGAGTATGCGTACGTTCCCCAAGAGACTGCCATAGCTTAACCTTCATATCAAGAGTTTGGTGGTGAAGAAGGAAAGTCTATAAATCGACTAAGATGTTGGCCAAGCTGGTTGAAGTGCAGCATGATAGTTGTCATCATTGTATCCATTCGACTAACACGGAATTCGTTGCAGGGACATCGGCCGTTCAAGCCACTCAATTCTAGTAATTGTTAATGGTTCCTGATTGTGGCTGAGAGTCCCACTTAAAATTGCCTACAAGAATTTTTGCTGGACAAATCCACCTGTAAGAATTTCTCACTTTCAATCATTGCAAACAAATTGTTTGGCAACAACCGCTCGGGCTGAGAAACCCGAAGATGGGTAGTCTATAATAGGGTATCCGTATCTTTTACGAGTACTTGGACCTCCGCTGCGTCTCTGTGTCGGCTTTATGTCGATGCGGACGTACACAATATTGCAGGAGAGCTTTGCTCAGGTAAGGAACACATCTCCAATGTCGAGAAACTATTGGCACTTTCGAAGCTTTGGCGACCTCTCTTCCCGATGGTCTCCAAAGTCATAAAGAAGCCTAGAACAAGCCCAAGCACTCTGCCAAGAGTCATCTCAATCGTGTTACAGAGTTCCAGCTACGCGCCATGAACAACTCTGCGTCAAATAAGATGAGAGACATAACTTCCTCGTATTCGCCTCTTCGTGCTATGTAGCTAGCTGCCATAACGGTAGGCCAAAATATACTGCTGGCAAGCCAATATGACAATAATTTGCCTTCTGTGACGTGATATTTGACCCCTCTATAACTCTTTTTTCTCGCTCGATCTCGCCGCAGGCTTAGCCTTCATGGGCATCTTCTCCCGCTGCTGTATTCTTGCGCCTAGCATCAACCCCAGAATGGCTGTGACCGTGTCGCTGATCAGCGTGATAACCCCCGTACACGCCAACTGCCACGATACAATGCTGATGCTGCCCAGTGGTGCCCGGGGAAAGGACATTATCCACTCAATGTAATACGGGAACCAGCCCTCGGGAAGCCAGAACATAGCTTGCTTCGAGTACCAGAACGGGAGGACGATCTTCAGGCCTCTCGTAGCAGACCAACGTACAGCGCCCACGGTGCTGTCGAACTTGGCCTTGGTGGCATCGTTGGAGGCTTCTGCATATAGCTGTCAGCCTTTCTCGCGTAAAACGAAATGATATAGCCTCTAGGGGGTGTGGCGCACTCATTTTCTCCAGCTGCTCTTGCAGCTTGTCATGTTGTCTGCGCAGCTTCGCCCACTTGGCGAACTCATCCTGGCTGCTAGTCGCATTAAGATCGCGTCGAATGTTGAGGTATTCGATCTGGAGCTTCTTTCTCTCGGCGCCGGCTTTCGAGGTTTCGGTCGGCAACATCAGGTACAGGGTCCATAGCTATAGAGAAAGTAGAAAGCTATGTGTCAACAGCGATTACAACTATGACGTGGTACGTCAAGTTTGCAAACAAAATGTCCATAACAACTTACCAGGTTATTGATGGTGGCAGCACCGATGGTATTTACGACGTGGACGGCGAGCTCGACCAGGAAGACCACGAGGAGGAGGGACGGCATCGTGAGGGGGGTTGGGCGTTGCCGGTGACGTGGAGGTTGTGAAGAAGCAGAATCTTGTCAGACTTGACCCATGGAGGGCTTGCCTGTGATGTTGGCTGGAATCGTGGCCGTGGCCAGCGGAGAAAATGCTCGTTTTCGCCGACCTCGTTCCACCTCCTCACAATGAACCCCACCAAGACCAAAGCTCTCATTGTAACAGTCCAACATCCAGAGATCACGTCGTCCAATTCAAACCACAATGTCTTTATTGGTATTCACATTTTTTGAAGCAAACTGAATACGGAGCGCGTACTGTGAATCCTTTGACTTAACTATTGTTTACAAGCAGACCTCTCAATCGTTTCAACTACTCATCTCCAAGGTACATACTAAGCTCTACGGTTTGGCATGAGCATTGCTTCGATCTTTTGGTGATCAGAGTTGTGTTGAAAGCAGCATGTCTCGCGCTTTGGATAAGGAAATTTTGGCTTCATTGAAGTCAGAAGATCCCGTCTTCGTTTACCAAGACATCTCAAGCATCCTGGTCTACCCGCCGAGTGACAACCTCTTAGAAATCGAGCTGCTCGGCAAAAGTCATCCTTTAGAGCCGGGCATCAACTTCCTCCAGGATGGAAACGCAGTGGCAATACCAAAGCTGAGACTGACGCAAGCGTTCTTCGTGGCCTGCCAGATAATACGAAAACATCTTTCAGAACCGCCCAAGTCACCAATGGACAAGACAGTGGAAGCCACGGCGGTGGTGCTACTTATGGATCCCGAGCATCTCACAGCTGCAAACCTCAGGAAAAGGGCGGTCCAGTCGAGGCTGGCTAAAGGAGAACCAGTCCAAATAACGTTGCTCCGCGAAACAAGATTTGTGGACAGCTTACTTACGGCCCGTCTACACCGTCATACGAAGTCTCCTACTTTATGGAGCCATAGGCGATGGTTGATGCGGAGATTCCATGAATGCGGCCTTCATTACGACCTTCGGGGATTCATGGGGAATGTAGTCATGGTCGCCGCAGAAAGACACCCGAGAAATTACTACGCTTGGGACCATGCGAGGTATCTCGTGAAGGAATCGCAGCTTGAAGCTCAGTTGTACCGTGGCCTGGTTGATGATGTCAAAGAATGGTGCTTCAAACATCATAATGACATATCCGGCTGGATGTATCTCGGCTTTCTTGTCTCGAGCATCGGGGAGGAGGGTGAGAGGGCGGCCAAGTGCTCATCTGTTCTTACAGACACCATCGACCTTGTCAGGACTTTTCAGTGGACGAACGAGTCCGTTTGGGTATTCTTGCGTACGATGACTGCGAGAGAACCGGCAAGCACTGAGACCCTCGAATCTTTCGATAGCGTCAACAGAAGTTTGGCTTCTGCTGCTGGCGATGATACGGCTACTGGGAAAATTCTCGATGAAGCAAGACAATGGGTCGCATCAAACCCAATAGACAGAAAAAAAGTTTGATAAGAGTCCTTATTGGCATACTATCCTCGGTGGTGGTGGTGTTGTCGCCTTGATCGTGGTCATGGTTGCTCGATGACTAGTTTCGCTGGACTAATCTTCCGTTGTTCCGAGTTGGTGTTGATGTCAAATCTATCGTTGGCCATGCCAAATCCGAAGAGAATGGAAGCATCGGACAGATCATATCTCACGCACCGCACCGGACAATACGGAAGGCCATAATTGAGTTCAGATGCAAGCGTGGCAGTCCCATTTGGACCCCCAAGATTGATTGAGGACGACTATCGGCGGCTGAAACACGCTGTGAGGACAGTGCAATGGAACGCCGTCTACCAACGGCATTTGGTGGCACTTGAGGACATGAAAAATGCAAGCAGCTAAGAAGTTGGCTGTTGGTTTGCGGGTAAGAACCTGCAGAAGAGGCGGCTAATAAACTAGCAAACGAAATGTGGTGATGAACCCTGCTGATGGCTGGCTCTAATATGCAGGAGTTCATAATGGGAAAACCCCTATTCAAGCCGCAACCCTCTCTGCTGCAACCCTCTCTGTTGCAAATCCCATATGTGAGGGATTACCAAAAGAAGTATGTGGTTGCGTCGTTGCAATTCGTATGCGGTAACAATCAACCAAACTTTCAACATTTCAACACTTGGCTCGATCTGGAGTCCTAAATACCCAAAACGGACGATGCCAAGATTACAATCTCAAAATGTCAAGTGATCCTTGCCTCGAGTCCGATGGGCAAGATGGGACTTCAGCAATCTGACATGATACCTTGCAGATCCGTTGATATAAATTCGCAACGAAGTGCGTATGCTCGGTAGCAACTGCCGCAGTCCACATGCTACTTTCCTGCAAGGACCGAATTGACGACCGAGTCGAGTGCTTTTGTGGAGAGGATCTTCGTGCCCATTCCCTTCGCCGTCCAAGTGCAAGCTCACTGGCATGGCTGGCTTGGACCATAGTCAAGATGGACCAATCGACCGCTTCGAGATACCCTTGTCGACCAATTTGCGAGGCCGCATATGAGAGCCCCTGCTCTTCGCATTGCAGCCGCAGGGATATCAGGTAACCCACAGCTAACTACATTTTGTCAAGCAATTTGAACAAACATGAGAGGAAGCAGATGGACAACATTGAAAATAGAGAGGGATCGAACATTGAACGCAACAAATGCAACAAATGTAACCTTCGTCTCGTGGACTGGCTGAGCCATTGCGCTGTGCGAAGTAATATCTACACTCAGCAACTCGACTTAGAGGCACCGTAAATCAAACCTTGGAGAAAGAATATCCACCAAACAGTTCGTCAATTACTGGGTCTGGTCATAAAGAAGGGCCCGCACTTTCCCAAGCTGATCGCTATTTGACCAGAACATGCAGATACGTACTTTAGCCACCAAGCTCACTACCACGCAAACCAGGTAGCATGGCATGTACAGACAAGGATTCGACTTTCCAAGTCATGAAAGACATATGCGCTAAGACCGAAAACCCCTGCTCAAGCTCCATATCAGGCGCCCGATAGTGACATGCGTTATACACCTTTTGGGAAGTTGACGGCAAGACGGGAAAGATGGGGGATGCAGCTTTGGAGAGGATCCGAGGGCCGCACCTGGCGAAGTTGGAGAGGGTCGTTGCACGTTTTCCTCAAACCTGATTGAACTCTATCTCGCGACTTACAACCTCCAAGGCCATCCTTCCTTCCGCATCGCCAGATCCTTCTCTCTTAATCGTGGTTGCCGTCCCCTGCCTCTCTTTTACGTTTTTTTTTAATCGCGTCCATGCTGCATTGGAAGGACCACACTGTCTCAATTTTCTTACAATTGTGTTTCTCGCGCTCGGTGGTTCTGTCTTGGAATTCCTTCGTACCCGCTTTCGAATTTGAGCAGCTCAATCGCAAGTGAAACTACACTCGTATTATATTACTGAGTGTTTTTCCTCCTTGCCGCCTGGTTCTTCTGTACTATTCACAGTTGTTGCCGTGGTCTCGAGTTCTTCTCCTTACGATCGACGGTCACTAATGACGACCTTATAATCTATAATCTCTAATAATCCAGGCGGAGTCGGCTACTCTTAGACTGTTGGTCCTCCAAACCAGAAAAGCCTCCGCATCGCCAAATTCCCGGACAACGGCCTCGTCTCCGAAAGCAACTAGGATCTGGGTTAAAACGGGTTGCTTTATCTATGTTCGGTTCGCGGTCTCAACATAGTTGCCTCGACGAAACTCGAGACAAACTCCGACCGAGAGCTGAGGAAACCTCAGCCGCACGGTCACTTTCCGGGGCCGAAGCTTGGCTTGTGTTGTTGCTAAAGTCATTATGCACCGGACGGTAATCCTCCTTCACTTCATGCTATGGATCTCCGGCATTCAGGCCTTCTTTCCATATGTTCCACCTTATGTCAAAGTCGGTGCGCAGGTTGAGGCTACTGAGAAACGCGTTCCCGGGGCCAAGGAACAGTTGGATCGCAGGGAAACACAGTCCATGGGTTTCGTGACGTTCAAGCTGTCCCCAAAGACATCACACGTATGCATTTCTACGTCATCTTCAACTTATTGGTCCGTGCTAATGAAATGGCACAGATCGATCAGCCCACGACAAGCAAGGTCGCTCGCATCGCTGCTGCCCTGGGGAGGAAACACAACTCGGATCTGCCGTCTAGAACGCTGCTGCGAGACTCGTCTCTGCGTACCCGGGAAAATGATTTCAGCGTGGTGGAAGCTGAGGAACCAACCCACAGCAACAGCGCCGGGATCGACCAGGATGGAACCGATTTCTCGTACTTCGTCGAAGCTCACCTAGGGTCCGATGCGACGCCAATGTATATGCTCGTTGACACGGGTGCTAGTACAACCTGGGTCATGGGCTCAAAGTGTACATCCAAGGCCTGTGCGGTGCATAATACTTTCGGGCCAGAGGACTCGACAAGCTTGAAACAAACGGGGGACAGTTTCTCGGTTGAATACGGTTCCGGATCTGTTGGTGGTCAAATGGTCTCGGACAGCCTCCAAATTGCCGGTATGAAGGTCACGATGCCTTTTGGAGTGGCCAATGAGACGTCAGATCAGTTCACCGAGTTCCCATTTGACGGGATATTGGGGCTCTCGGGGGGCGGTGGAGATGAAACGACTTTCCTCGAAGCACTCACAGAAGCGAAGACCGTCTCCTCCAACGTTTTTGGCGTGTCGCTTTCTCGGAGTTCAGACGGCCCCAACGATAGCGAAATCAGCTTTGGCGCTCCCAATCCAGCAAGATACACAGGAGATATCTCCTATACATCTGTGGTCTCTAAGAATAGCTGGGCCATTCCTATGGACGATGTCATCGTCAATGGACAATCAGCCGGGGTCAAGAGCCAACTCGCCTACATCGATACGGGCACGACCTATGCGTTCGGGCCCCCAGATCAGGTCAAAGCAATATACAAGGCGATCCCTGGTTCCTCAAGCGCGGATGGTGTCACATATACAATCCCATGCGACTCGAAGGCGTCTGTTGCTCTCACCTTCTCCGGCACGAGTTACACCGTCTCCTCGAAGGACTTTATGTCTTCATCTGGCTCGGGGAATCGTTGCCCTTGCAACATCTTCGGGATGCAGGTAGTGTCTGGTTGGTTGCTCGGGGACATGTTCCTCAAAAACGTCTACACTGTTTTTGACGTAGACAAAGGGCGGATCGGTAAGAAGCCCCCGGATCAGACGCCGAGGTCAACACTAACGTACTCACAGGATTTGCGTCAAAAGCGACTGCTAAAGGGTCAAGCACCACGGCATCGTCTCCAACTGGCACTCCCACTCCCACTGTAACCTCTGGCAATGGCGCAACAACCCTTACCACTGTGACGGCAACTGCGGGATCCGATATGGGACTCGGTGGCCACCAAACGGGCACTATGTCAACAGCCACAGCCGCAACCGCCGCCGCCACGACATCTACTGTAGTCGTATCGTCCTCAAATCGGCATGTACAAAGCAGAGGCTTTTCCGTCCTCGCCATGTGCATACTCTCAACCATAGCATTGGCGCTGTAATGTTTTTCCCCCAAGGACCACGCTTCTCGACACCTTACATGTACCCATTTGTCACTGGCCAGCAGCATTAGTCAGTGAGACTCGGAACTCACTTCGCGCAAGGCCTCCTAGTATAGGGAAGGATTGGCTTGGGACATAGCCAGGCGACAAGCTTTCATACAGGACAGCATGTCGACATTGCTTCAAAATATTAGCGCTCGTTTATGCAGATGATACCCATGGGTGAGGGAAGAAAAGTAAGGAAACATAAACAGATTATGTTTGGGGACACCAAAAAGGCCAGGAGAGTCATAGTATATAGTAACTGTAATGCGTAAGGTACAATAATACATTCGCTTCTGGGGGGTCCCATAACCTGTTTCCAAATGGTGCTGCTAGTGGGATGGCGTACATCTGATCTGGGTACTTAAAGCAATTATAGGGGAGTCCTTGAGGCATTGACAGGTAGAGTAGGTCTTGATATCCATCAACAAGGATATGTACGACATGATGTGCCTTTGTAACACGAAGCATTGAATACTATATGAGGAATCGTATACTTAGCGTAGCGTGATCCGTATTAGGAAACACGCAATCCGAAAGCGTTTAGTTTTTGTGGATTTAGGTCCAGTTTAGGCAATAGAAGAGCCCTGCACGACCTAACCAACGGCCAACGGCCAATTTAAGACGGATGACACGGAGACGTATCTCTCACATGACTGATTAGCGACACGTAGTGCTGAACTCTTGCAAGTTTTCTCCAACAAGGAACCTTTACTCGGTACAGCATCAGCATCCAATCGTAAACAATTCCGACCGTTTCCTAGCAGCAAGCATCAACCGTAAGCAGACAAGCGTTTGCTATTCGGTTTGACGTGCAGGCCGGGTGCGCTTTTCAGGTTCCTTCGCAAAATGCATCAGCGATAACACGATTCTACAATGGCTAAGGCCAAGACACCAAACAGCAGCAGCAACAGCTCTCGCAGAGACGATGCCGTCCCCGTCGCTGCGCGCCAGAATGAAGAAGAGCACGGTCTCCTTGCCGCACGCATTTCCGACGATGACGACGACTACGACGTCGACGAGGCCAGGCACGCCTTTGCAACGAAGGCAAACGGTAAAGGTGGCTTGGTCCTACATCGAGGCAACTCGTCCCCCGGTGTAGAGGCAGCACAGGCAACGGCGACGACAGAAGCGCACAAGCCGCGCACACCGAGGACGCCAAACCGAGTGCGCTTCGATCTGCGACTGACCAACATCCCGCCGCGCGCCAACGGCCACCGCTACAGCGACAGCTACCCGAACGAGGATTTAGACGACCTCGAGATGTCCGAGCCCAACAGCCACCACGGCGATGCCTACTCCCCCTCGCAGTCACACCACCCCCTCCTGACAGACATGGAGGCGCCCTCAGTCGCGCTAGCCAACAGCCTCTGGGGCGACGAGGATGCGCGCTCATGGGCCGAGGCCGAGCGCGCGCGCCCCAAGTCGGGCCTCCGTTCCGCCTTCATGAATATGGCCAACAGCATCATCGGCGCCGGCATCATTGGACAACCCTACGCATTCCGGCAGGCTGGCCTACTGGCCGGCATGATCCTGCTGGTAGGGCTTACTGTCGTCGTCGACTGGACCATCCGCTTAATCGTCGTCAACAGCAAGCTGAGTGGCGCGAATAGCTTCCAAGGCACCGTTGAGCACTGCTTTGGCAAGACGGGGTTGGTCGCGATATCGATTGCGCAATGGGCGTTTGCGTTTGGGGGGATGGTGGCGTTTGGGGTGATTGTCGGAGACAGCATACCGCATGTTTTGCAGGCTATCTGGCCGGGGCTCAGCGAAATACCCGTACTGGGCTTGTTGGCGGATCGGAGGACCGTGATTGTGGTGTTTGTGTTGGCGATCAGCTTTCCCTTGACGCTGTATAAAGATATCGCGAAGCTGGCGAAGGCGAGCACGGCGGCGTTGATCAGCATGATCATCATCTTGGTCACGGTGCTGATCCAGAGCGCATTGGCTCCGATGGAGGATAGGGGGTCTTTCAGTACGCCTTTGCTCACGGTCAATTCGGGCATTTTCCAGGCTATAGGCGTTATATCGTTTGGTAAGTGGCATCCGGCGGCCGCGGCCGGGGCCGGGGCCGAGGCCGGGGCTGAACATGTGCTAACATGACTGCGTAGCATTTGTCTGTCACCACAACTCACTCCTTATCTACGGCTCGCTCAGAACCCCGACTATGGACCGCTTCGCGACGGTAACGCACTACTCGGCGGGTGTTTCCATGGTGGCTTGTATACTCATGGCGCTCGCGGGTTTCCTCACATTTGGAGACAAGACGCTGGGCAATGTGCTCAATAACTTTCCGGCGGATAACACTATGGTCAATGTCGCGCGACTAGTACGTTTCAAACACCTCCCGTAGTTCTCCGCAATACTGACTCTCATCACAGTGTTTCGGCCTCAACATGCTCACCACGCTGCCCCTCGAGGCCTTCGTCTGCCGCGAGGTCATGCTCAACTACTACTTCCCCGGTGAGCCTTTCAACATGAAGCTGCACCTGATCTTCAGCTCCGGCCTCATCCTCTCGGCCATGGGTATCAGCCTCATTACGTGCGACCTCGGTGTCGTCTTCGAGCTCGTCGGCGCCACCAGCGCATGTGCCCTCGCCTACATCCTCCCGCCCCTGTGCTACATCAAGCTGAGCTCCAGGAGCTGGAAGACGTACCTTGCGTGGGCGGTGGTGGCGTTTGGATTTAGTGTCATGGGGATTAGCGTGTTGCAGGCTGTTGGAAAGTTGATCAAAGGTAAGCCCGCTTCTTTCCATGATGATTGATGTCTTGCGCGTAAATACTAGTTGGGCTAGGCTGACATATATCGGAAATAGGAGGCGAGGGTATGGCGAAATGTGTTTAGACTTAGAATAGAAAGAAAAAGCGAAATACGTACGGCGTGCACTGCTTTAAAGGCGTTGGGGCCGTGTTGTGTCGGTTCCCGGGCGTGGTTATGCATATTCAGAGACCAATATGGCGGGGGTAGGCACGGTCCGGGTCATACTATAGACGGTTTCAAAGTCGGTTCTGTAAAGAATCAAGAATATGCATCACAGGTTAGATAGATAGAGAATATATAAGCACTGCTCAAGCAACCACTGCGGGACCCTTCTGGCATTGCATATGAAAAAGTGGATGTGGGTGAATAACTTGGACACGTCTTGAATCCACAACGACGGATACGCCCATGCAATGGTGTCAGCTGTTCACCGTATCCGTGGACCAGGGACCAGAAGCTTGTGTGAAGAATGCCTAGGTCCTGAGCATGATGCTGTATTGTCAGTGGTAGCATGGACGGACAGGGGCAATGCGCGGCTAGTAGCGAATGCGGCACGATAATGCGGAACGTCCTGGAGTAGCAAGCGGTGGGCAATATAAACGGCGCAGCGCAGTGGAATGACCAAGTTGTTTCTGTCCACCGGTGGTACTACACTAGAACATCGGGCTATCCCACATTATTCCACCCTTGGTGCGCCGTTGGTTTCGGCCTCTGCTTGACTGGCTGGCTACCCTAGCTAGCTTAGCTAAGCCGTGGCTTATCGAGCGCATATCGCGATAATGCAGGTAGGGTCGCCCAGATAGATAGAGAGCCGTTGTGTTACTTGAGTAAGTAGTCTGCCAGAACGTGTGTATCTGCAGCAGTGTCGTAGGTGATATGGGGGGGGCTTCGTGCTGGTCTCATCGGTCTGTGGGGGGCCGACGAAAACCATTGCCTTGGGCGATGTTGTATCACTCCAAAGCCGTGTGATTCTGGGAACTTCCAGCACACGAAACGTGCAACCGGCCTGTGATCAGCCAGTTGATGTTATCTGGATATTTGTGCTAGATGTCCCACAGTTCGCCCAGCTGACCTATTGATGACGCCCCATTAGGCAGGAAGTCGCTCGCCGGCCAGTTGCCGAAGTGGGGATTCAGCGTTGCCCACCCTGCTGTAGTGGTGGGCAGGTTAGGTCAGGTCATGTAGAGGCCACTTCCGAGTCGATAGAGAGAAAATGGCACCAGCTAGAGCGGGAGCGTTTTCGAAATACAGCTGGGGCGCCCCGAGCGACACCGAATAACCCCGCTTCCGCACGTTGTATTAGTTGCGAGAGTCCCGCTGCCCACATGACGCTCAGTCAGGTCAGATAGATTTGCACACTTCACCAATCTCTCGATACCTTCATCGTACGCACAAAGAACGACACCGGTTTCCGTCTGCTGCGCGAATCTTGTAAGTACCCACTGGTGGGATATCGCCGCCTGATGCGATGCGATGAGATTCGGTTCGACCTCGCCTATCTGTCTCCCCGTCTCTCTATCTCTTCGTGCCTCTCTGCAAGTGTCTCTGTCGCCTTCTTCCTCCGAGCTAACTGCCCGCCTACCCACGACGAAATGCCTGCTTGCTTACTTGCACATCGCATAGAAACGTCACCCTCCCAAACCAGATACCCATCAGCCAAAATGCACAACAACGCCTGCCCCAAGTGCGGAACCAGCTTCTCTGGTGGTTCCAAGACGTGCGGATCCTGCGGTGCCGTAAGTTGTCTTTTTATCCATGAGAAATCTAGATGTAATGTTGCATCTTGGCTACGTAGGCCATACTGATGGAAAGGTTTCTGTTCAGAGCTGCCCGCAGTAAACACGAAACCACTTCTTGATGAGAAGGACGGAGATACGATGGCGAGACCGGCCATACTGAGCTTGGCGACTAGGCCGCACGTCCATTATTTTTGACATCGTTTGCGTTTTGCTGTTGAGGATTTGATTTGGGGATCAGATAGGGTGACGGTACCGCATGACGGCAGGTCGGCGCATGGGCAAGGAGTAGGGGGCTGTGGCTGAGGGTGTCGTTTGGGGGTATGATATAACGGAGAATGCAATGGATCAATGATTGAGATGATTCCGACGGACTTGAGATGAGTCACGACGGCCGTGTGCTGAAGGGTCACGTCGTCTGTTACAGCTAGCTATGGCTGATACCTTGATCTCTGAGCTAGTAGGCCTTGAGGCTGAGGAAGCCCAACGCCTAATTTAGTCACTCATTGTTACCCAGCTGTATCTGGATAGGCTGCGCTTCCTCATTGTGTTGTGACGAAAGGCGCATACACGTTGCCTCGGTTGCGGAGCAGAATCGAGTTCTCTTCCATTTCCTCGTTAACGAAAAGCGAGGAGGTACAGATACTGCGAGAAACCCGAGCTATCAACAGGGTTGTCGGCCAAAGGCTCACGTGTTGAGGCAACATAGTGTAGCAACGGTTCCCTTCTACTGTTCGCCATTTTTAGATATCCAGCTAGCAAAATTGTTGTGTCTGTCTGGTTTAGTGTCATATTGTGGAGTGGTTGAATAGGGGTACGTTGGTAGAAGCAATGAGACGGCAAAGACCTGTTACCGGATTGCTTGTGCATGCACGTAACCTCACAGTAGAAGACGGACCACATCACTTCGCTGATCACGGTGCGGTATATGACAAGCTACTTGCATTGGGGGAAAGACAGATAGAAGAGTAGCCCATAACACAGCACATGTCCAGCTCCATGTCGGTCTGACACAGGGACTGTCCGAGAGAGAGAGAGAGATAGAGCAGTGGTAAAAAGGAGAAGATTTATGATATAGCCGTATTCTCGAGGTTTGCCTACTGTTGGCTCGCCAATCTTGACACACAGATACGCAACCGCAACGCGCACACACGCAAACGCACACACACATCTAGCTCACACGCCGCAGCGATGACGTCCATCCGCCCTTATTCGCCTCCCTTTCCTAGAGTAGCAGTAGTGGAGCAGTAAAAACCACCTGCCTTGATCAACATTATCCTCCCTCCCTGGAAATTGCCGGGAGAAGGAAAAACCACTGCCAAAGCCATCCAATGTAGCGCGCCGGCTGAAGGAAGCAGCTCCGACGAGGTTAGACGGTAGACGAATCAAACTCCAGCCAAGACCATATGCACCGGTTACCGGGTTCAACGCCTTTCCCCCCCTATCCGCCATACCGTCGTAGACAGAGTCATAATCCGAGAACGCAGCCACGAGACGACACCAGGTTGCCATCTGTGAGTAAACGAACTTGGAAAATTGACGAAGATATTACACGAGTATGCCGAGCGTCGGGGATGTCGAAGGTGTTGTATTGGTGGAACGATTGTGCTGCTTAAAGGATCATGCACTTGCCCTTGTGGCCACGGCCAGGGCGGTTGCGGGAGAGCAGAGCAGCGCGCGTAGCGTGCTCAAAGACCTCTCGGACACCCTCGTTCGTCTTGGCCGAGCACTCAAGGTACTTGTACGCCCCGATCTTCTTGCGGATCTCCTCGCCCTGAAGAGAAAAAACCAGAAAAGTCAGCATGTTCTTGGTTCAGAGCGATCTCATGTCACATCTTACCTCCTCGGGAGAGACAGGCTTCTGGCTTGTCTTGCGGAGCTCCTCAATAGTCTTGGGGTCGTATCGCAGATCCTTCTTGCAACCAACCAGAATGATGGGAAGGCCCTGGCAGAAATGCAGAACCTCGGAGATCCACTGTTCGATGTGTCAGCAACTTTGACTCATCTTGGTGTCACGATGGGAGAGATTGGCTGACCTTCTCCTGAACGTTGTCCAAGGAATCGGGCGAGTCAACGGCGAAGCAGATCAGGATAACGTGGGAATCGGGGTAGGACAGAGGTCGGAGACGATCGTAGTCTTCCTGACCAGCCGTATCCCATAGGGCCAATTCGACGTGCTTGCCATCAACCTCGACATCGGCGACGTAGTTCTCGAACACGGTGGGGACGTAGACCTAGTAGAATCATATCATCAGCAACCATGTCCATATTGGGTCGGCGATAGCAAGCATGGTTCCAAGTATGGTTCCGACCGCGTGTGGCGCGATTGCGGTGATGGAAATGGAATTGACCAGGCGACAAGGCAGCAGCTTCAACGCGGACGGGTTTGGGATGGTGGTGCAGCGAATTTAGCTGTGTTGACTGGAGAGTCCATTGGTCCGGTGCGACGCGAACTGGGATCTGGGCGACATGTAGAATGGAAAGCACTCGTGCATCAGGGGAAGAAGCTCTGGTGCTATCTTACCTCAGGGAAGGTGCCCTTTGAGAAGACACTGGGGTGAGAGTCAGCATGGCCATCACGACACAATTACGGGGTCGATGGAGTGCAGGGAGAGCGGCGACGCACATCAACAAGCAGGTTTTACCGCAGGCACCGTCTCCGACGATAACCAACTTGCGGCGGATCTCAGCCATGGTTGCTAAGGTGAGGTGGGATTAGGGGGGAGGAAAAGAGGGAGCTTGGTTTGGGGGGTGGGGGGCGTATTCAGAGAATATGCAAGAGGAAGGGTGTCGACGATGGCCTGGATGGGTGCGTCGTTGTTTTGTGTCGATCGCGGCCGTTCTCCTGTGGGATTGATGGAGGACGAGAGGGTTGTTGTGTTGATGGAAGATGGATGGATGAGAAAGGAAGAAGGTCAAAGTCAGGTTTGGTCGATGCTCAATTGACGACAGGAAGCGGAGAGCAGATAATCAAATCTCCAGGTGCAACAGGTGCAAGTGCTGAAAACCACCGCAGCAGTAGGCAACGCCAGCGGTCAATCAAAGGTGTCCGGACAGGTGTTGGGGGGGCGCGCTCAAGGTGCTGTGTCAGGCAGGCAGGCAGGCAACCTAGCATTCGCAAAAACAGGACCAAGAATCAGACCAGCGAGCGAGACTTGACGCGGACGCGGGCAGTGTTGTTTTGGGTCGTGTTAAGAATTTGCTGGCAATTTGCGGCGGGCTCTAGCAGTCTCAGACTTGGCAGCTATCTATTCGCACTGGGTGGAGGGCAGCCCGTCCAAGTCCTACCCATTGTCCCGGCAGCACCTGGACACGCCTGACAAAGCCAGGCTTTGCTCTGGAAAGTTGGTTGAGACTTGGCTGACAACTGGCATACCCTGGACCAAGATGAGATAACAGCTATCGCTCATGGTATTGCTATTTTTCATTAATTATCCCTATGTTTGGATGACGTGTTCGTCTCCTTTTTCCCCTGATCTTCGCGGTTCCCATCTGCTTGCTTATCCTCTGAAGCTGTCGACAGTTCGGGCTCGTTTTATGCTTGCGGCAGATAATCGATACAAACTACACCTGCAGGCCGCATCCGCTTCCCCAAGGTGCGTGCTAGTGAGGCAACCAACAGGAAGCTACAATCGTAGGATGCTCCACCTGGGTTGCAAGCTATCATACAGTGCCATTTTGATTTCCGTCTTTGCTCTGCACTAGCTCACTACGCGTAATCGTTACCAGTAGCGATTGAGTATGTACAATTGTGAGCCCAGAGCTTCTGTGATACGATATATGTATAACTAGACAACTTCTATTCACCGCAAACTGTCAAAGGGCTGTTCATGGCGCAGCACCAGCGGCTGAGGCCGCTTGTGTACGTGTACTTGGGACAGGTTTATACAACGGTACCTTCTGCTCCCATCACATGCAAGCCTGTCGGCTTCATTAGAGCGAACCTTCCAATGGCACGACTTCAATAAAAGCAAAGTCTCAGTGATACCCAGCTAACTTTCTACGCTCCCGCCTCCTAAGGCCCGAAGAGTAATACTTCGCGGCGGCTATCAACCAATCCACCCCCCAACCCCCCTCCCCAAGGCACATATCCAGTTTGGGCGGCCTTCCTGCAGGAGGTACAGGTAGGTGTTCACTACACACAAACCACCAACGAAGACATATACAGCCTCGTCTTGCGTCTCCCGTCTCCAACACACAGTCTCTCTCCTTTTCTCTTGGACTCTCTTGGAGACTTGGCTCATTCCCAGACTGCCTACTTGACTGCTCAAAAGTAGTACACAGAGCGGTAGCCGCAAGCTGGTCAGGGCTTCTTTCATCAGCTGAAAGGAGAGTGTAGCTCAGCACTCAGTCATCGTCATCTCGCCGAACGTCCTTTTGCCCTGACTTCAGGGTCCCTGGTTATCCCGTATCTACTTCAGACGACCCCACAAATGCTAATTCGCCTGGGCGGGCTTGTGGAGGCGGAGCTGGCATTCTCGCGAAAATGTCCTTTCTCATACGACCGCCAGTTTTAGAAAGAACACTTCAAGCAACGTTCAACGACCACACCCACACACCATCAACGCGGGGTGCGGAAACGTGCTTAACGTAGTTGCAGCAAGTGGGCAAGCGAGCGGTACCGAATTCATATGTTAAAGCATCCATCTTCGGAACCCACGCGATCCATGACTGACCCCGTTCTGGCCCTACAGTCCAGAGTCGTATTGCCTTGCGTCATGTCTGGATCAGTCGACATATTTCTAGATGCAAGGCGGTCTTGCTACGTGATGCCACCTCAAAACGGTCTTCTGTAGGAAGGCCAATTTTAAAGAATGTATTACTCGACCGGCATGAACTGTTAATATCCATTAGGGGGAATATCCACTCATTATGCTTCAATACTTCACTTTCAGGACTTCCGTCTGCAGGTTCATACATGAACCCATTGTCCTACCCGCAGACGGCAGAAGACATTGTCCCACGATCATGTGGACAGGCCATTGAGCAGCAGCTGCGGCCATAGATGTGGTTACCGGACTCTAGTGCTCCAGCATCCTTAATAACCGACACTTGCAACGAATGCCCTGGGCTGAACAAGCAAGTAACCCGTAACAACTGAATAATATATTGCGATGAAATGGACATTTAATGAATAAAATCGACAGGTATGTTATTCGACTTGATTTTAAGGGTCCAGCAAGCCAGGGGTTTTGGGTGACCGCTTTACCACAGTGTAAAACTGTCTAGCGATGGAGGTTGGAAGGAACAACCCTTAAATCCCTGTCCAACGGTGCATTGATTTTCTAATTTTCCGACCTTACCAAAACTTGCAACAATTGAGTGCGTATTGAACGGGCAGCAAGCCCCCAAGCTCGAAGCTTGATGATGCGCCATTGATCCATAACCCATCTTCTCCAAATCCCGCGCCGTGATCCTGCCACGATGCAGAAAGTGTTCCGTCGCGTCGCCACGGCAGAACGACAGGCAGCGAAGCGCACGGCAGACCGACAGCGTGTCGCCATCCTCCACGAAAAGTTATCCAACAAAGGCTCCAAGGGCTACCAACGCCGCGCCGCAAGAGAAGACATCATAAAAGCAAAGAACGCCATCAAAAATGACTGGCATCTTGGGCCACTGGCTCCCAACAACTTCAAGGGCGACTTGGCCGATACTTACGGTGCCATCTCCGAGACGAGATACAAGCTGAATGGAGCGCTGCGAGAAGAGGATAGACAGGCCCGGTGCGCCTGGCTGGACGGTGCAACGCACTTGAACCTGGCCCAAGGTGACCGTGTGGTTCTGCTTGAGGGTCCCGACAAGGGAAAGATCGGCCAAGTGAAGGATATACATCCAGACACTTGCGACGTGGTCGTTGAGGGGCTGAACAGGGTGGGTTGGGCAACATGTCTATTCCTGGCTTGACGGACGTCACCAGCTAACAGAGAAAATTAGAGCAACTTGAGGCTACCCACCGCGATCCGCGGAAAAGATAAGCCCCCAGCCATCAACATTGAGCTGCCCATACCCATCTCGGCCGTCCGTCTGGTACACCCGATCCAAGATCCCAAGACGGGCGAGACCCGCGATGTTATCATCAACCAGCTGCGGCACGACGGTATCTTCCATGACCGGACCAGTGGAATCACCAAGTGGCGTCGTGTAGTGCCAGGTCTGAATCTGACGATTCCATGGCCCAAGACGGAGCCAAAGCAATATACCGACCACAAGGTGGACACGCTGCGCATAGACGTCGAGGAGCGCACATTCGTCCCCACCCTTTTGCAACCACCCATACCGGAGCAGGTCATCGACGAACTGCGCAACAAGTACTCAAGATTCCGGACGCGCCACACGGAAGAGTACATTGCCAAGAAGGAGGCCGAGTTGCAAGCAAAGAAGGACCGCGTCAAGCTGATGGACAGTGTACGCACGCCGCTGCAGGAGTTCCACCGCGCTGAGCGCGAGCGCAAGAAGAAGAAGGGTAAGCCGAGACTGACGGTCGAGATGCTCGAGGAGATCGGCAAGGTCATTGCCAAGAACCGCGAGAGGTCACTGAACACAGCGGGCGTTTCAGAGATTTCCTCGGAAGGAGTAGCAGCAGAATCTCTCCCGGCTGTAACAGAGTCAGTTTCGGCGGCCACCACAGCAACTCCAACACCAACACCAACGGCATCATAGAATTGCATATGAGTGGCATGAGTTGGCAACAAAAGATGTGTATTATATCTGTATATAAAAACAGGCACGCATTGGGGCTGGCTAGAAGGTGGTGGGCCAGAGGCAAAAGCATCAATATCAAAATATACCACAATCGTCTTTACTTGGTCATTTGTCTACACTGAAGTGGTGTGAACCCATCTTTACTGAATGAAGCTGGTGGGCAGGTCAGGGGTAACAGTGTCACACCTGCCACAGTCATTTCCTCGTTATTCAGCTGCCTTGGTCTCGTCGAGGCTCTTCCAATAATAACGTGACAGGCTGTGGCTAGAACTACGGGGCTTGACCCTTACGAATATGGCCCCCTTTTCTTACGTCACCCCGTTCAAACATGGGCCCGCAACATCCCTTTACATCGAATGCCCAAAAGGAGAGACTGGTAATAGAGTAGAAAAACAATTGTGCCCAACAATAGCTAAAATCAGGGATATTTTTCATTTCAGGTTTGAGCACCACGAGAAGTAAGCTCAATGCAGGCAAACACATATGATACATAATAATTTCCTTTCATTTTATTGCTAGTTTTAATCGATTTACCTTGTTCCGTGCTCATCTTGTACGCAAATCTTTTCCACTACAAACGATCCTTTACATCGCTACGGCCTTTCAACTCCCGAGGATGCTCAACCGCTCCATAGCCGTTACAACAGGCGGCGGCTGCGTCCTCCATGCCGCGTCCAAGTGATCAGCCAACACCGCATCCCCGCCCGCCGTAGGCCTCCATTGCTCCCCTGCCCCTCCCCCACCCTGATTCTGCTCATCCTCACTCTTCGATTTCGCAGCAGCAGCGGGGAACACCTCCTCAACTGCCTTCTTACACCCCTCCAAAATCTCCGCCATGAGCGACTCCACCGTCCTGGCCCGTTCCGTCATCCCCCTCCTCACAAGCCCAAACACCAACCTCTCCACCTCCCCCTTCGTGCTCTGCACCCTCTCCACAAGCCTACGTACCGAATTAACCAGATATTCTTCCTCATAGACAGTGCCCTTCCGGCCCCTAGCCCGCTTCTTCTCCTCCCTCTTACGGTTCTTGGATGTGGCGCGGCTCACGCCCGTGCCCAGCGTGCCGACACTGCCGGCTTTGCCCGTGTACCGTGTGAATAGGGAGGCGCTAGTGCTAACGCGCGAACTAGCGGCCACGCTGACGTCGTCGGGGAGGTCGATGCCCCCGGCACGTTCACCCTCGTAGAAAGCGAGTGGGTCTTCGGCAGCTTTGCGTCGCAGCTCGAGGATCCGGGGGATTTGGGCTTTGAGCTGGGCTTTGCAGTCGGCGAGAAATTCTGTTGAGCTGGCTAGAGCGTCTACAAGGCCTGGGTCGACAGCGGATTCGAGGAGCGGGAACTGCTTGTGCAAAGCTACGAGGCGAAGAGCGTCTGCGAAGTGGTAACCCTTGCAGAGACAGCGGATGGCTGAGTCAAGCGAGGATAGATGGTTGAGGTGGATTATTGCAGCCGAGGCGTAGTCTTTCGCTTCGTAGAGGGCATCCGCCAATGCTGTTGCAAGGTCGGACAATGCCGCAGGGTTAAGGGGTGGCTCCTGCAGTTGGGCGGTGAATAGCGCCTCACGCCAGCAGGATACACCGGCAGCTCGGTAGCTTCGCGTTGCCGACGCGAAGTCATGGAGGGATTCGTGAGTCAGCCCAGCTTCGCGGAACCGGGACCTTGTTTCCAGGTGTTTGGCATAGAGGCGGGTAATGACTGGGAGATTGGCTGCATCGTACCGGTAGAGCTTCAGAGCCTCGGCGTACAGAGCATGTTTGACGGTGTAATCCTGAGCTTCTATATGAGAATGTAGTGCTTGAAGGTGGGCAAGTGCTTTAGCGTGCCGACCAAGATGGTCGTCAGTTGCAAACTTGCGCCGAAGTTCTGGCAACTGATGCAGGTTTTGAATAAACGGAAGGTACTCGCGGGGGTCCCGTTGCGATTGCTGCGCCACTAGAAGTGCCAGATCGAGATTGTAGAGTCCAAGGGCTTCGTCATAGAGAGTGTTGACATCGGCGAGGAAGCAGATGTGTTCAACTGCCTTCTCGGCCAACTGCTCATCTTCTTGCATCAGCTTGGCCACGACAAGCAATCCATCCTCCAAAGCCGGCGGCACCTTGCACACATTGGCCGTGATGATATTCTGCAGTGTCCCATTATCGATGGATTTCCGAGATTGCAAGCTCTCTAAGACAGCCTCGCATATGGAGTTAACTTTCGGTTGCGTGGATACCGATTCTTCCGGAACCGCGAGCTGGGCCTGACTCTTGGATGATTTCGTGTCTCTGTACATAGTCTGCGATACATCTTCGTCTCTGCTCACTGTTAGAATGTGACCGAAGAGTAAGGCCTAACTCACTTACCGTAGAGATGAGAGAAATAGATCAATGTATGTAGTATCTTTGAGTTGCTCCAGGAAAAGAGGAATATTGTCCAAGAATTGCTGGGGCATGTGGTCGTAGAGAATGTTCATGTCCACTCGCTGCGTTCTGCAGTACGAGAAGGCTCGTCCGTACTCCTTCTTTTCGACCATCTGTCGGATACCTGCCACTACCATTGCTCTTGGGAATATTGTCTCAAGATTGCCTCTTGGCATTTGTAGCACCAAACTCATACTGGTAGGCATTGCTGTGACCAGCCTGGCTCCACGCTCGATGCTGCGGCATCGTTCGTCCTTTTCAGGATCATCAGGGGGTACTTCCAAATCTGGGTTTGTCAGTCACATTGAAGGATAATGACACGGCACCCAATAACTTACCAGTGACCTCAGCCAAGTGAACAAACTTGAGAAGGTGGTTCGTCGTAGTGAAAATCAAGTGGTCAGGGGTAACTAAGAACGATGTGCAGTTCTTCAACAGCTGACGCGCGTTCGCATAGAGGTGACCGTTCCTTGACAGAGCAAAAGCAATAGGGGTTTCTTCCGTGCCGGCGACTTGGCACCATGGTAGTTGTGAGGTAACGCGAAGTGACAGAAGCTCATCTTGCCTATTGTGGATGCGATGGAATCTGCCCAAGCCATCCTGTGCCATTGCCCCCTGACTATTCGCAGTTTTGCTATAGCCCGCAAAGCTGAAGATGGAACCTGCCTTGAGGCGGATTGTCTCGGATACTTGCTTCGCGGAAATATCAAAGCTATAACCGCAGATCGTCGTCGTAGACTCAAAGCACAAGACGTGGACACTTCCATCTGCACTAACAGTGATTTGAAGCGCAATGACCTCATCTCCTGGACTCGCCTCTCGCGGTACAGAACTCAAAAGACTTGGCATAGTAGAGCGCTGGCCTTTGGTCTGCCATTGATACAGGTCGAAGCCTGACTGGTGCAGAACACCCATATAGGTATTATCTGGGGAGAAACCTACATCCACAATAGCAGACTCTGTGTCAAGCTCGAACATCGCCATTGGAGGCGGTACGTTTGCAGTCCGGAATGGGGTGATTTTCAGAGTCTTGCCATCAATAACAGCGACAGCTCCGTAATCGTATGGCGGAGTGAGACTCCCTCGAGAAACAGCAAAAGCATACTCGGCCAGTACTAGCTTACCTACGACTTGGTAAGCAAGAAAACTTCGTTGAGTCGACGGAGATGTTCATACTTCGCTTGGCAGCTGCAAACCGGAGAGACTTCTCGGGATGCCAAGCTATAGACGCAACTGCGGTTGCAGCAGAAATCTCCTGTTTCAAGTACCAGTGATAATTACCCACAGTCCAGAGTTGAATACAGTCCTGCAGAGTAATAGCCAGAACAGTAGAATCCGCATTCCAAGCAAGACTGATTTGGTCCCGGGAGAGATCTCGGCCACGCGGAGCCCGCAATGAGAATTCGCCATGTCTCAGGCCATTCCTTTCGAAGAAGATCACATCCACGTAGTCTTGCTTTCTTTGAATACCGGCGATCAGATTTCCGGCTGGGCGCCAGCTCAAGGCTCCTTCCATGCCATCGACCGCTTCACTTACACTATCGAGAACACCGTCTCGGGAGTAGACACGGATGACACGCCGAACACCAGGCTCGATGGAGTTGATCGCCACGTATGCGCCATCACCTCTCCAGCTGATAGTAACGCGTCCGTCGTCAACAGAGCTCAGAACACCCTCGTCGACCTTCTCCGGTATGGTGGGATCCCGAAGTGCTTTTGCGCCTTTTCCTTGAAACTGGGTCTCCTTCTTGCCCCAGCCAACCGAGATTTGTTTCGACAATTTGAGGTCCTCGGGCGTCATAGTCGCATCCGTGATTCCATCAAAACTGCGGCTCATAAAGACGACCGTCTGTGCCTTCGTCGAAATAGCCAAGAGCTCCTCGTCGGGCGACCAACAGGCGGCGGTGATACCCTCGTCGATTGATCCCATAATCTCGATGTGCGCGCCATTTTGGGGATCGTCATCTTCTTTGACGATGACAATATCCCCGCCTTCCAGGACGAGAACAGTAGTGAGGCTGTCGCTGAAGTGGTGCAGACTGACCACCCGGTCAACAGCAAGGTCTGGATTTGGACTCAATGCCTCCCAAGACGCAACTTGACAATGTTCACTACATATCGAATCAGCATTCAAAAGAAAAGAAATATCCCGGAAGTATCCCGGAAGTATATGCAAGAAACGAACACGGAAGAGCACTTACGCATCTACCGAGGAGGCCCTCACATGTTCCACGACCCTGACAAGCCGAATCGTACCATCGACAGGCGACGGACCAAAAGTACACAGGACCTCGTCCTTGGCGGGGTCCCAACACGATGCCGTGATGGGTTCATCACCATCACCGTCTGTCGACGACGTCCACGCGTTGTACCGTATATTGCGTAAATTACGCATGGCGGCAATGGAGTACGCGCTGTGACCTTGAGAGCTGAGTCAATTTTTCCAGGGTATTGCGCATCACTTCGTCGCAAAGTTCTAATGGCTGTCGAGTTCTGAAAATACCAACTTTAGAAATTTGCCTAGTTGCTGCTACTCCGTATAGCGCCGTTCGCGCGACACTGTGATGTATCGCCCAGGATGGTAGGTCTTTGACAGTGCCGCGAAGGAGGGGTCGGGAGGTCGGGCATAATAATAGCCGCGGAAGCCTTTTCAAGAAATCCGCTCGGTTTGTTCCTGCGTTCCTGGCCGCTTGATTCAACGCTATGAGATCACACCCAAATCTATCATAACTCTGCTGTACCGTGCAAACTTCAATCGAGAATAAACCTGCCTTTCTAGAATGTGTTATGTCTTTCAATTGACTAGTCATGGCAGGTAGTATTGAATCGGCACTGTTATCTCTCAGAATCCGGTCTCGAACGTTTTGACGTCTTGCCGTTCCGGGTTATTCCACCGTGTGTAACGGTAAATGTTCTCGGCCTGGCTTAAATGGCCCAAGCTTCCCCCAGTCGAAGCTTGTTATCCCTGTCGAAGATCTACACTCCAGCCCCATTCAAAGGAGGCTTGCCCCATCGTTTTATGTTCTCGACCCTCAAATTTCCATGCTACTTGAAGATCGTTGTCCCTCTGTCTGCCGGATTGGGATCCTATTGATTACATATTCTACGATTGTCCCAGTCTTCAACTTCACGCTGACTTAACTTACACTACACTGCTACAGAAAAGATGGACGTTGCCTACAAACAACACTCGAGTCAATCGCGGCGCAAGAACCGCTCAACCACCAATCTTAATCACCTGTCCCTAGCCCCCCTCACGTCCAAATTGCCTCTGACCGACCCCGAAGACCTGCCTGACGGCGAAGTTGTAACTTCGCCCCTTCACCACAATGTTTCTTATCTCCAGGGCAAGTCAGCCCCTACAACCCCAAGGCTCCTGTCGTCCCTGTCGCCGGCCGAGGCTAGGTCACGCAGTAGGAGATCATCCATGACGGGCACGTTGCCAAACCTCCTACCCAAGAGCAAGTCCGCCGTTCACTTGAGTGTTTGCACCGACGGGCGACATGCTGTGGCGGGTGTTCTCTCGCCCACCTCGCGACGCCGCAAGGATGATCACGGCTCCCTGAGCGCCAAAGACAGTAATGACAATGATTGGATGCTGCGGACGGGCGCCCTCATCAGTATCGAGACGCGTGAATCCAAGGGGCAGGCCTGGCTTGTCTCGCGAAGCAGCGCCACCAGTCTTACCGGGCTGCGTGACGCAGAAGAGGAGGCAATCGAGCGTGAACTAGCCAGAGAGAAAGAGTTGGCGAGCCGACGTGGCAGCCGCCGTGGTAGTATGAATGGCGGCGATGATGCCGTCACTTCTCCGAGCAGCCGCCGGGGGAGTCGCTCACATAGCCGAGTTTGCAGCAAGAGTGTATTGAGGACATCATTGGAGCGACAATCAGATGAGGGCTACTTTAACCAAGACCATATGGATGTCGAGTATATGCAGGGTCCAGATTTCGTTAGTCTTGACGAAAAGCTCGAGGCTCTTGAGGTGGACACCACTCAGTCCGATGAGGCGGCAGTCCGAAGGCTAGTGAAGCGAGAAAGTGCCGGCACGGGATCTTGGATGGGTAATCTCATTGGCTTCTCGTTGTTCTCTGTTGAAGAGCATGAGGAAGAGTCGGACACGGCAGACGGCGAGCTGTCCGATGGAGAAGATTGCCAATTGATGCGCAGTGTGAGTGCAAGGCATCTTCACGGCATGTCGACCCCACAAGAGCCACAAATCCCACCTCCAAAAGCAGATGAAGGTGGCTGGCAAGATGCTGCTTGGCTGCTCAGCGTGGCTTCTAAGGTGTTGTTGTAAATGTGAGACAAGGTTAAGTCAGGGGCTGGTTTGGCTGGGAATATCAGGCTCTATCTCTGTTTCATCACTCGCGTTTCTGTGGACAACACGAGGCGCGTTAACATCGACATGTTATCTTATTAGAGAATTAAGTTGTAAGATTGTCAACTATCATGAATAAAAGTTTGGAGGGTTTTGACGATTAATTCCAAGTCTATGAGTGGAAGAGAGTCAGCGTGCACAAGACACGTGATAGGTTGAGATTAGAGCCAGGAATAACGGCGACAAACCCACCACCAGCAATGTTCGAAAGCCCGATAAAAAAACAAGCAACTTATGCTCCCATACTCCAAAGCCTCTTCTGGCCAACATCCACTACTCAGGGCAGGTGAAATCTCATCGAGAACTTTCTTTGTGGGGATTTATAAGAAGGTCGGGGTAGCGACCAGCCACCAAGGCAAGTTGGCGCTGAAAACAGGTTTTGTGCCCAGGACTATGTACATTCGCATGCAAAGACCGCGAGCATGCAAAGACCGGAAGAATTTTCTCAGGCGTCGTCTGGTGGTGATAGTTAGACCCGACTTGGCGGCCTTGCAACGTCAGTCAGGTTGTTGCTGAGACCTCGGGTGTGAGGAGTTGACTTGATACCAGCCAGCGGGCCCACGAGTGTGAAAAGATCGTAAGACGAATGCATAACATCAGAACCCCAGCGGACCGTAACGCAGGAAAATGACAAGTTATATCGCTGCAATTTGCTCGCATGCTTCACCGTGGCTGCCCGAAGCACCGGACCAACACCGACTGCGAAAGTGGAGCGAGGCAGCAATTCTGCGGCTCAAGGGCGATGTCGAGACAAAATATATCTGGGCCACAATGCTTTAAAGTCTGTCTGTCCCCTGTCTCGGCAATGCACAATACAGGTCACCACGTGAGGGGCTTTTTTTCTCAGCAGCCTCACAACTCAATGGCGGACAAGATCTAATTGATGAAAGACGAAATCTCCGGGGAATTTGCCTTCTGTGTCTAGTAGGTATTCTGTAGCCCTGCGATGGTAGTCAGCAAAGCCAGCAGGGTTGGAATACCAATCCACTTCTGATGCCGATAGCCGAATGGAGGACAACCTTGGGAAGTCGAGCTAAGAAATTCTGCCCACATTGCTGCCCCATGACTCAATTCCTAAGCAATGGTGGAATCCTAGACCGACGTCGGGCATAATCATCCGGGCCTAGAATGTAAGGTAGGCATGGTCGGTAAGACGGACGGCGTCAAAGCCACTTGAAATAGCAGATGGACTTAAGGATGACCTATTCGGAGTACTGTGCGGAAAGCAAACAGTATACAGAGAAAACAGGGGTCCAGTTCCGTGCCCTATGACGAGGTTGTATGAAAAGCGGTATGACGTCGGCTAGGATGAATGCAGATTAGAGCAAATCTGCCCCACCGAAAAGGTTAGTTGACATCCTCCTTCTGATGCTAGGAGAGCCTGGCGAAATGTCCCGAGGACAACGGCCTCGGAGAGAGGGTTTACAATATTCCTCCGGCGACGGGGGGCGCAGGATGAGGGGTCGAGAGGTGTGCTGGCCAGTATCTAGTTACTGCTGAGTCTGCATAGTCCCTGCTAGGGACCCTTTGAGGGACGTCGAAATACTCCAGATGCCGCTTGCAAAGAACCCACCCAGACGGGAAAGTGGCATGCCGCCCGCTCGTACATGCTCTTGCCCGCTGATTCACGAGAGCTATTTAAGCCTCCTGCTTGGACCCTGCGTCGGGTCAGTCACGCATGCTGGCAGCCGCTCAGCTATACACTATTTCATAGCTGCCAAACTACAGTATCGTGGGGTCCCTGTTTAAAATCATTGTCAGCTTTATAAATCTTAAGTGAGAACAAGTACCATGGTGTTCCAACTGGACAAGCCTTTGGTGTCCTTCACTGCAGATGTAATGCATGGCGAGTAGAAATGCTGAGATGTGGGCCAGGTCTCTCTGGTGTTGAGATTCTGCCGTGTGTTGCTGTGGGAGTCTTGTGGGAGCTTCCCTGCGCAGGAAAGACTTGTTGCTATCTTGGCAATACTAAAAGACATTATTTATGAACTCGTCATTCAATGAGCATCATCGTGATCATCGGACGTGTGCCACATAGGCATGATCGAGTAGGTCGCGTGGTTGGTAGGTGACCGGGCCGGTGGGTAGGTGCACAGGTAGATGGACAGGAACTCTACAGAACGGCACTCGAGGAAGCCTCACGTCAATCATGGAAGTTTTGAGGACTCTGTTATATATCATCTTCGTGTGATGTCTTGGGTCTTGGAAACCTTCCCGGAAAGCCGTGGTGTGCACTCATGTTGGTACGAAAAGATAATGCACATCCCATGGGTCCCATTGGCTTTGGAAGGTGCAGGTGACATTCGTTTGGGGCTCGGTGTGTACCAATCCTACAGGTGCAATATTGAGGCGCCAGGTTCACGATGCCGGGTGCCCTGCTGTTGGATTTCTTCGGAGCAGAACGCAGATCCCTAGACAGTGTCTGTCACGACGTGGTACAGAGTTGGGTGCAGTTGCTTCCTCGGGCACCCCACACACCTTCAAAGGCTAATCTCTTTCATCAATGGCAATGGGCACGGCGTTAGGAGTAAGAGTGAGAGTGCATCAGGTGGTGTGGTGTGGTCTTGCTCTTGCTATTTTGATTATGCCCCCTGCACGGAGAAATAGACGTCAATAGTACTAAGTTTAGAGCACTTGACTGTTCGCTGGATAGAGCCGCCTCCCAAAAGTCATCCCAAGAAATGCTGTTTTGCAGCAACGTTTGGCGGGGCACTTTCCTGATTTTCTCAAAAACAAGCATAATCCCACCTTGAATAGCCAGCCCATTGTGGTTTCCGTCCAAAGATCCGCGACGCCTTTCGCACCTTCCCACTTTTATTCAAGCAGAAGCTGGCGACTGAGGTGACCATTCCACCCATTCACCAACCAGTGACCCCAGTCTTGCTTGTGCACATTTGTTCTATTCACTAAAAGCCCCACCAAGCCGTCCTACTAATCCCTAAAGTGGTCGCCCACCCCTGTGCCGTACCTCAGTGTGCGCCGCATCTTTTTCTACTTATCATTGAGTAAACCACGCAGGATATTCGAAGCCCTCGCATATTTCTATCAAAGGCACTGTCGGCTGCTGATCTTCAAATCCCGAAGCATCCTATCCTCGATTTGTGAGCCGTAGGGTTGGTCTGCGCTGCGGACACACTGTCGTGAATTTCTGATTTGTGACTTTACGGCTGAACCTGACAACACAGCATCGCCCAACGGCTCACCTTGTTCGCATCACTTCCAGACAACATGGCTGACAATGTGAGTTGACACGATGTTTAATCGACGTACCGGCGTGCCGATGCGACAAATGCTGATGCGACGACTTGATGTAGCACGACGGAGGAGATACCAGTCTCCCCGACTTGGGAGATGCCATTGACAGCGTCACCTTCGGCCAGATCCTGGAGATGGACGACAGTGAAGATGATCGCGAATTCAGCAAGTCCATTGTGTTCGGCTTCTTTGAACAGGCCGAGGAAACCTTCGAGAAAATGGATGAAGCACTGTGAGTTGTCCCACATCACAACACTAGGCCCTTCTGCCACTTCCCCCACGCTTGGCGCCTTCTTCTTTGCCACTATGAATAAAATGCTAACCACATTCTCTTACAATTCTCCAGGAAAGGCAAAAATCTTGAGGAGTTGTCCAGACTCGGTCACTTCTTGAAGGGGTCCTCTGCCACGCTTGGACTCACTAAAGTCAAGGACAGTTGTGAGAAGATCCAACGCTATGGAAAGAAGGAGAATGAGGACGGATCTCCAGAGACCGACGAGGCCCTTTGCCTGTCTAGAATCAAGGACACGTTGAAGACGGTCAAGGCGGAGTACACTGAGGCTGAGACGGCCCTAAAAACTTTCTTCGGGCCGTAAGCAGCCATGCAAGAAAGCTGAAGGACCGCTGGCACAGACGTGTTCCCCAACACTGCCCGAACGAGTCTTTGATGGGAGTGTCGCGCACATGAGCAGCACAGGCGGGCGGCTAGCTCATGGCCGACTGCTTCTATTCCCACAGACATTGAGTTGACTTCGACAAATACCCACTTGCACCAAATTTTCGCGGCAATCGTTATCGAGATGGATCTGGATTTGGTTTCTGGAGCGGCAAGGACAACGGCGGACAGAGAATTTATCTTCAGGATCCGACCAAATGCTTGACCCAGGGGCTTGACTACTCCTTATATGAAACCTTGATTAGGAGGAGTATGTCATGCAGAATCGTGAGCCAGGACAGCATGCTTACCGGTTTGGTATTTCTCTACATTATGGATTGTCTATGTCCCCTGGAAACGCATCTCCACACTCCACGAGATAGAGGGCCCATCATCATCGCTACGCAACGCAGTAGAGCTTCGCTTTAATTCACTGATGACGACATACCTTGGGGGAAGGGAGCTTCGCCGACGTCATGCATGCACCACACTCACCTGTGACGTCAACTTTCGTTGCCAGCTTGATTCTAGTCCAATCCGTCGATCATTCACTAGATTAGGCTTTTGACACTATACAAGTTCGATCTAACGTCCAGCTCCTTCAGACTCTAATTGGTTGTGGTTGATGCGTGGTCTTGATCCGGACTCCACTCGTCCCGTCTTCTGATCCCAAGCAACCCACGAATGACTGACGGACACATACTAGCTAGTCTAGGGCGAGAACTATTGTTATTGCTGGGAAACCCCAATGGTTGTGGCGTGCCTTAGGATGAAACTAATTTCTGGTCCAGTTTCATCTATTAGTCATTTACTGCCTAGTAAGGACATTTATCACGGCCTCAGTTTCAAAACCTGCGGATTTTACAGACCCCGAGATCCACGTCAAATCATTGATTCCATCTTTTCGAATTATGAGTAGCTCAAACCATGGTTGAGATGTGCAGTTAAGCAGACAGCTTTCATATCTGCTTTCTAATTTCTGGCATGGTCATAGCATAAGTACAGTATAGCACGCACTGCTGGATGGGTTTGCACGTTGTTCCTGCATTCCGCATAAACTACAACTTTTGTGTTAGCTGCGAACGAACGAAGTGATGACTGTAAAGGGGAGTGTTTGCGAAGATCTTGTACGTATGGCTCATCCAATAAGATGAAATGGTCAGAGCTTCTCAGGTCACAATATGTATATGATCTGCTGTGGGCCGGCCTTCGAATATTAGCGACATATCCAAAGTATGCATGCGGTTAAGTAGCCAATATCCCTACTGTAAACTCGATAGCATCCATAGTCTCGAAGACTACTTGGAGTTTTCCACGAAACAACGTCTGAGTGACCGGCACGAAAAACTTCACTTTTGTGAAGCGGTTCCCAGGGCCGAACAACTGGAGAAGACCAAGCAAACCTTACCTAAAGGTTATGACAGAATTTCCGACATACAGCAGATGAATAGAGATACCGACACTGTGGATATGGTTTCTGGCAGGTTCCACGAAGCATCGACGCAAAATACGCGGTGGAAACTGCACCTGTTTGAAGTTTTTCTGATATATTATCCCGATTTTCACTGCACAGCCCGAGCCCCTTCGTATAGTCATGGCCAATAGTGTACAGAAGTGGATTGGCGAGAGGGCACTTAACTCACCAGTGGCAATATCGTTCGTTTCTCGCATCAATTACTCACGAATGCTACGGAATACTGCAACGGGCCGTATTCCCGCAAAATTTCTCTAGGTTCAGATGGGCTTTGTGATCCTTTGAAGCTCGCAAGGGATTACTTACACACATCCGCAGATCTGTAAGAAAACAAATGGTTTAGACAACCACATGAATATATATGTAACTGGTTAAGCCATCTGCTTATTAAAAAAACTATAATTGCTGTGCTACTGGTTTCAGTTGAAAGCTGGGAAATCAAGCCGGCGGAAGTTGGCTGCTTAATTACCTAGATACATTCGAAGCATCTGGGCTCCATACACTAATACAAGCGGCCCTGAAAGTTCCCTCAGCCAATACTTTAAGCCAGAATTAGTTTAGCACACCTAGAAGATTGTATATACCATGTCGATCTTCTAACTTGACTCTTATACCGAAACTTTGGACTTCCGGTTATTACACAATTAAATGGGTTCCACATCCATCTCTAAATATACCGGAACCCCCGAGACGAAAGATCTTGCTGCAGGTACTACATTCTTTTTTTGTGTTACACCTCGGGAGAAGTGACATTTCCTGTGACAGCAAAGCTATGTTTTTATCAAGGAGAATATACCTTTAAAAGGGGGTGTGTCACGTTATAGTTACTAGAGCTTAAAGGTGAGAAAATCCGGTGAAATGTAACTACGGGTGCCAATACTTGTTGCACAAACGAAGGAGGATCATAATTGCATTGTATTGCTGCGTGTAGGTATTGTTTTAAATTACATTCGAGCCACGACTCCGATTCCCTCAACACGTAGACGGGGAACTAGTGACCTTTAGACAGCGTATCCTGAACACATTGATACGCACGTGAATAAAACCCAAGCTACCTCACCCACGCTACTTCCATATCCACCCATTACCAGGTCTCTCACTCCTTCTTCCTGCCCTTTTTACCCAATTTCCGATCCCCCGGAACCCCGACCCCAAGCACAAACAACACCTTCGCCACCAACGGTCCAACGGTACTCAAAATCGTAAACCCATTCACCAAATCCCACCGTAGCGGATTCAAGAACCACTCCCACCCCATGCTCTGTACCAGACTGGCCGTGTACCCAACATCGCTCAAGATAGCCGCCCCAAGGATATGCCTCCAGATCCGGACGTCGTCCCGGTAGATCCGCAGCGTGACCGCATCGTGGAAGGCGAACATGAGCCAGGAGCCCGCGAGCTGGGTGAAGAGAGGACGCAGGGCGGGCGTGTATGAGATGCTCGGGAGCGACATATGAACTAAGGCGCCGGGAGAGAGGAGGGCTTGTAGAGCGCCGAGGGTGGCGAAGAGGGGCTCGACGTAGTGGAATACTAGGAGGTAGGGGAGGGGGATGGTAGACATGGTGGTGGATTGTTGGGAGGATTGGGGGGTGAAAGAGAGCACAGGCCGTTTGGGAAGACTCAGAATGGGCAATACAGGCAAGAGGGTTGTATTGGTGATGATGGTGAGATCAAGTGCCAAGGGGTGCAGCTACCGACGAGCTTATCTATGGACAGTTGGCCCAAGCGTTACACCCAGCACAAATGTGTCCCTAGGGCACGCAACACTGGATATTGGTAGAGTGGGTTGAAGTTGGTCGTGTTACTTGGTCAAGAATGAACTACGTCGATAGGGAACTGTTCAGATACTTAAGTAATTTCACGAGGAAGCTAGGGTTTTGGAGCTGGGGAATCAAAACGTCATATGTAGTCGTCGTATAATCCTTTGATCCATCGAGATACCTGCCTGCCTGCTGCTTAGCCCAGACGCACCATCGAGTTGATTGTCTACGCCCGAGGTTTAGCTGACATACATTCTTAGCCGTTGCTGAAATCAGCTCTGCGAGTGGGCGTTAAAATGCCGGTCATGTCAAAAGAGGAAAAAGAACAAGATGATAAGCACTTGATCCTCAACTTCTCTGGCTTCTTTATTTTCACCCTTTGTTAGTGTAAGTGTAAGTTGGGGTTAAAGGGGTGACAGTTATGTGTTGGACCCCTGCATGGGTCATAGGTTGAGAAAACCTCAGTCTTTCATTTTCAGGATTCAACTTGGAGTTGACCTCTGGCCTGAGCAGGCATTCAACGATTATCAAATGTGGTTTTTGTGGCTTTGTAAGACGGCTTCTCTAACCTCAACCCGGATGGTCATATGACAATCCCAGGGATTACGGTCTCATTACCTGCCAAATTGATCTGCGATAAAGAAACAACATCAGCAAAACCACACACTTCCCGTTTCGTTCCCAGCCGGAAAATAACCCGACCAATGCTCTTGCCATGTGGCACGACACCCAACCCATAGCTGTGCAGCCTCAGACGCATGGCGACGAGCTATTGTTGTACTATGCGCTACCATAAGTAACAATCATGCCACCCTCATGTAGGCTGCAGCCAACCGCCCAATGAGGCTCTCTGGTCATTTGACGACATGCTGCCATCTGCCGACATATAGCGGTTCCGCACATTGACTATCTCCAGGGTCGAACGGGGTCTTGGAACGAAATCTGGGCAATGTTTGTTGGAACCTATAGTTGACAGATGTCTTGGCCCTTGCCAATGTTTGATTGCCGAACGTGCCGATGTTGATGATGGGAGTCATCAACATCAGGAATTTAGCCCGATCTCAGTAATGGTCCATCGAGAGGCTTCATGGCTGGTAAGCTCCCCAGTCACTAAACACCGACCACAAATCAAAGAGTTCTGTGGCACATGGAGATTTCCATTTGACCTATTTCTGGTTGTTGAATCTGAGGTGCTCCGAGTGCAGTATGAGCTCATGCCGTAAGTCTCCAGAGAAGTTATTTAGCATCATCACTACTCACCTTCCCATTGGTTCCGTCTTCAATGGTTACTCCTATCAAAACAAGGGCTGCAACACAGGGTGTCAGCCCGTTCTGAGCCGCCACTCCGCAGCCCCAGCATCTCCACCGTGACACCGTGGTAACGCTCTCCGCATTGACAGCTAATTTATGACTCGCGGATTGGTTAATTGCATCATGACACAAGCATTGGGCGTACGCATTGTCGATCCTCTCATGACGGACGCACGTCGCTAGCTTTGCTCCGGTGTGGGCTCCGGTTGCTTCTCGATCGTGAGGCCGAACAAGCATTTCGTTGGTTCATCTTGATCGATTGGGAAAAGTTTGTCTGCAAGTGTGCCGGCCGGTGACGGGAATCACTGGTCGATGGCATAGTATTCACCGGGAAACTCGGATTCTGAGAAGCTTCCAGATGGGTGGTCACTAATCTGATGCTGCCCAAAGAAGAACGTGATGACCATGCTCGTCAGGCGCTGGGAAAAGCTGGCTTTACGTCGTTTTGTTCTTGCAGCAGATGTCTCTATAAACCTTCTCTTTTCTCTCCAGTTTCTCTGTCTCTCTGTTTCAACTCAAGTCAATCCAGGTTTCGTCCCAGGAAAGGTCAGGCCACGAATGTTTGCGTCATTGGCCGGCCATCTATGTCCTGTCCCTCCTCGTCTTCTACGCTACGCACTTCAGGGCCTACTCGGATGAGAAGATATTCCATTACATCTTCGCCGTTGCCTTGCTCGTTGGTGCTATCGCCTACTTCTCCTGGGCCCCTCGTCCTCCGAGTCAGTGACTACGCCCCTCAATTAAGATGAGATACATCTGGACATGTACTTACAGAACACATATTTGACCCAGAACACCTGGCGAGTCCAACCCGCCGTAGGCCTAGTGACAGTGACGACCTCGTAGCCCAAGTCAGAGGGTCGTCGAGTTCCCAGCCGTCATCATCGCGCTAGTCTTGATCAGCGGCGTGTCTTGGGCTACCATCTTCTTTAATATTACCCTGTCCTGGGTCTGGTCAGCCAGAAACCATCCTGCTTCTTCTTTTGTGAGTCCGTGTCACTGACCACCACCACAGGATTGTTTCGTACCTCGTCTCCGCCTTCACCGTAAGCAAGTACAAATGGGGGTTTTTCGCCTTCGGCACGGTCGCCTACCTCATTCTCGCCTACAACACACTGGCAGGCGGCCTCACTTCATCGAGGCGTGTCGGTATCTCCCGTGACTATACCCTACTAGCGGGATGGACCAACCTTCTCTGGCTGCTGTGGCCCATCACCTTCGCTGTCTCTGATGGTAGCAACGTCATCGGCGTGACCCCCAGCGCTGTCTGGTTCGGCATACTGGATGTGCTCTTGACTCCTGTTATTGCGTTCGCCATTTTCAGCTTGTCGCGTAAGTGGGATTACAACAGGCTGAACTTGGGTACGTATCCCGCGTCCTCCTGGGGTATCATCGTCAGATGAGCATATAATGACAAATTGCCTAGCATTCACACGATATGGTCGCGTCCATACCGATGGCCACTACCCGGAGAAGCACACGGCTGCTCCAGCATCGTCTGACACTGCTCCCTCGGGAGGAGTTGTCTAAACTCCCCCCATTGTCTTCAAAGCAACATAGTTAACTCATAAGCCAAAGACCGTAAATATAGATGGGAAAAAGGTCTCAACGTCATGGGCCAGCTCTTTTCTCTCCTTGAAAACGATACCAAGCATCTGGCTGTTAAGTTGTGTAGCAGAAAACACCCTCGTTTAGGAAGTAAGCATGGATACTCGTTGTGATGGACGGGGAGGTGGATGTATTTTGATAGTTATAATATCCTAGTTTAGGAGACGTCATGCATCCACAGTTGTATTCCTCGACCTATTCATTCTTGGTAGCTAGAAGTTATGCGTATAAGAATTTTGACAAGGCTTGTTTGATCATCTGTCAACCCGCCTGAACCTTCAACCCTCGAGTAGATCACACCGTCCCAGAACCCTGCGAACCCGTCCTCGCACTGCATATATATTTCACAAAAAACGAATACGTTCAAGCAGCCACCGCCGCCAACCAGTCATCTTTCTCTGAATTCATGTGATGGAGTAATAGTCATTCGGTCTGATGCATCGGCCGCAAGTTCTCAGTCGGATCACCCAACGCACGATAAGGGAAAGGGAAATGGAAAATAGGGGCGCAGTCAGGGTTATTCGCAACCAACGACAAAAACATGCCATAGCCCCTAATTGTCTGAATCACCAGATAATACATCCCAGTAGCGAAAGACATTCAATCAGTACCCATTTTATATTCATTAATTCATTAACCCTAAGGTTATCCATCCCTATAAAACTAGCCAGCCATCTTCTGGTGGTGGTAGTGCAACGATCGTTATATATACAAGTCTCTCTCCCTTTTCTCGGGAGGAAGAAGGAGTCTTGGTAGAAGCTGTGTGTATGTCTGTATCCACAGAGACAAGGTCAGACCACAAACTCTTTTCATACTAAAAAGTGCAACCTAAACGCCTCATATCCCGTGATGTTTTTCGTGATTTGCCGCAAATGCATGCCGCATCAGAGAAAATTTCGTTACAGTCGTTGGTCTTCGTGTGTCGAGTTCGTGTGATGACGAGGGAAAAAAAAAAGAAAGTCGTATGCCAGGAATTTCTCTTTCCATCCGGCCATCTTCTGTTTTGTCGTGGTTTCGTAGATGTCAACACCAAACCAGCCAGCCATCCACCCATTCTGTCGCCAACTCTCTCACCAGACCGAACAAATCCGATCAAGCGGCCCTTTCACAACGCCTCACCCAACCGCCAATCCATCGCCTCGCCCGGATTCTCATTCTCATTCTCATTCTCATCCCATCCCCCGCTCTCGCCACTCCCGCGACTCCAGCGCTTATAATGCTCCGGGATCCTTGGCACCGAAGGAATCCCCCTATTCACATCAGGCACAACACTCAACGGCTCCGGCGCCGTGCCTCCTCCTCCTCCTCCCCTCACCACCTGCTGCTGCTGGTGGTGCTGGTGGTGCCCATAATGATATTCCCCATTGCTGCGGCTGTCGATATCCATCATCTCCATCGCATTCCTAGACGCGGACGGACCATGCCTGAACCGATCATGTAGCGAGACAGGGGGGCGCGAAGGGCTGTGCCTCATGGGTTTGCGGAGCCGGTTGCTCACGCTGCCGCTCATGGTTAAGCCCATTCTCACGCCCAGTTTGCTCCTGTTCGAAGGGGGGGTGCTAGGGGCGGCCGGGCTAGGACTCCGTAGCCTGACCGCTTTCTCAATTTTCTGCGGCATGGCTCTGCCGTCGCTCGTTGCGGGCACGAGGCGGACGACGCCGTCGGGGGTTTGGGTGGTCGTGGTAGCAGAGCGTGGAGACCGAGTAGACGCAGCATTGGGCATCTTGCACAGTTTCTTGGAGACGCGCTTGCTGAGCTGGGTGAGCGACGCAGAATCAGAGGTGTTATCGTCCGAATCGACGCGCGCACGCTTGCGGCTGCGGAACATGTAGCGCGAGCTACCTTGGCTCGAGATGCTGGGCGTTTCGCTTCCTCGTTCTGCCGCCGATCGCGGCGGCGGGGCGTAGGCGAAAGCGCTTGGGGCCGAGGCGGGTCCCATGAAGGTATTGGCGGCGCGGCGGGCGTAGGCGGCAGCTTTTCGGCGCGGGGAATCGGGATACCGCGGTACGGCGCTGAAGCTGGGTCGGGAGGAACAGGGGGACGAGGGTGCCGCGTCGGTGGAGGAGCGCGCGGAAGAGGTAATAATCGGCATAGGGGCGCTACGTTGGGGTGATCTTGCGCCTGGGGGTGGCTGTCGAGTGGATTGGATGGCGTGATTTTGGAAGAAGCCCGTCGCCATCAGCTGATTATAGCTCTGCAGTACCTCGTCTCGAGACGGTCGGTCAATATGGCCGTTGACGTTGGTGCGTTGCGTTGAGATGGGCAGTTGGGGGTTATGCATCTGCTGTGACTGCGACTGCGACATCCGCACGCGGTATCGGCGTTGCGGTGAGGGTGACAATGGCGGCGGCTGTTGCAGACTGGCGCGGTTGGCCATCTCGTTCTGCACCTTGCTCGTGGTGCGAGATCCAAATCCAAAGGCATCCCGTAAGCGGCCCAACAAGCCTGAAGTCCTCTTAGGCTTCAACTGTGGTTGCTCGCCGTCGGATTGGCCCTGCAACGACGCCAAAGCCTGCGCGTTGCCCTGCAGCTGCGCCGAGGCCGATAACGGCCGCGGGCCATGCTTCCCATTACTGCGCGTCTTTCGTTCCGCATAGAACTGTCTCTCGAACGCGGCAAGCTGTCCTGGCTCGATGTATTGTATGGGCGGCGCGGCTGAGGCGCGATCGTTCATGGACCCTTCTATGAAGCGACTGTAGGATGGGCGTGCCCGGTCCATGGATGGCCGTTCCGAGGCCATTTCAAAGGCCGCTTCGATCCTAACGCAAAATGGTGATAAGGTGTGATGGAATCGACGAGCCAAAGCAATTCGTTGTTGATGGACGGGGGGTGCGCATTAATACCGTCTCTCTTGGGTTGGGTTGGGTTGCAGATTGTTTATTCTGGGTAGCTTGTTTACTTTGGATGGAGCACTTGGTTGCGGGGGCACCAAGCTTGAAAGGGCAGCTCCAAGCTCGGCCAGAGCGGAACCCACAAACACGTTGCCTCGCCGGCTATGCTTCCAGATGGAGATCTTTCGAGCCATAGTAAGTCGGTGAGTTATTGTCTGGTACATAACAACATGATTGAGAAGCATTGCCGACAAGCTTTGTTCATGTGTTCCTGCCCTGAAGCTCCTCTATTGGTTGAAGTCAGGTCGTGGATAAACCCACATGGCAGCGGCAGCAAGTGCGGATGCGCCCCATACGAGCTTGGCCAACCTAGCAACCGCAGGGAAGTCCACTCCGTCGTTGGAACAGGCGACGGCAACACGCGGTGAAGTCGGAACAGTATCGTGTGAAGGCATGGGTACTGCTGTCATTTCGTGACAATTTCGTCAGAATAGTTCAGTTCCGTATTTGGAGAGGCACTCAATACCAGCCCTCTATAGTTCTCGGCACCAAAGTTCACCACGTTTACAAATCCTCTAATAGACTCTCAAATGTAGCAATTAAAATCTCCACATAGTCCATCAAGCTCTCCCAAAGTGCCCCTCGCTCTAAAGAGGTTATATATACCAAGATCCGTACCATCAGTCCACACAAGAAAGTCTCAACTGTCGCTAGCGTCCCTGGTTTTGGGTCGCCATCAACCCGACGCGACGATAGAACACACTTTACCACGAAATACACCGTAGGAAAAAGAATTGTATGCAAATCGTGTGAGCGTAAGTATCTGTAACGCCATTCTCCAAAATGAAAACGAAAAAAAAGACATCAATGCCGTCGCTAGCACATATATACAAATCCTGCCGGTTGGACCAATCCGTGATGAGGCATAGGGTATCCAGTCATTGTCTTCAGTCGACAACGCCTCAAGCCCGCCCGTCTCACGCGGTTCCTAGGTGAGGTCGTTTCCTAGCATAGGATTCCTCTTCCTTCAGATATGTATCGTCTGTTGAAGCTCGCGAGTAGTACTCGATGGGCTGCTCATCCGGATAACCCATGTATTGTTTCTCGACGTTCTTCCCAGAGGCCCGCCTGTAGACCATGGGCTGGCTCTCATTGCCTGCGCTTTCATCCAGGGACCGTTTCCCAGATCGAGCGGGCGGCGTCGGCGGTAGTCCATGGGCGCTGTATGAAGGGAGGTCCGACCTAGGGCTGATGACCGGTGACTGGTCCATCATCAACGGCTTGCGGAACATGATGCTGGTATCAATGGATGGCAGAGAGGACGTGGAGGACTGGCTCGGGCGTTGGTGACGTGACATTGGCCCGTACGAAGACGTCGTAGAAAATGCCAGGGAGGGCCGTCTGTCTTCATGAGCGGATGGGGGTCTTCCATACGAGTGCCCTGGTAGCCCATAGGTCGACGCACTGGATGGCGCGTGGTAGGAACCACCGTGGTGTCCCTGGGGGTATGGCGGGTGTGCCGGAGAGACGGGAGTCGACAGCGGCGCAATGGGAGGCTGGCAAGACCCGTAGCCGCCTTGTCCGAAAGACAACATACCCCTTGAAAGCTGGGCGGCAGCTATAGGTGATGGCCCGTACTCAACTCCAGACATCCGCCGTCCGTAGGGTGCCCGGTCCATGCTGGAATTACTTGCAGACCGGGCCCGATACACATCGGCGGGAGACTGGGTCCTCCGTTGCCTGGCCAGCTCATCCTGCTGTGCCTGCTCGAACTCGTCGTTGTTGCTGGTCTTGCCCTCACGTCGTCGCATGCGAACATCTCTCCGAATCCGCACGCGGCAGCCCTGTTCTGCTATGGTGCGGCTCAACGCGGTGCTTTCCGCCAGGCCGGGGAACTTCTTTGCGCTGAAGACATGGAACTTCTGGGACTTGATGCCCAGCACGTGGTTGAAACATTCATCCTCCTCGAGGACCTCTGGGTTGGCTGTCGGGTCGGGCAGGTCGAAATCCCCGCGCTCCTTCCTCTGCTCGTACAGCTCAAAGGATAGTCGGTACGGTCCTTCGTGGCGGACAGATAAGTCGGGGAAGAGGAAATATCCAGCGGGGTCGGGGCGGTCGAGGTAGGCACATCCCGAGACGGGCATGCCCGTCAAAACGGGCGGCGAAGTGGCTGCTGGGGTCTGCACCCGGCCGTGGGCGATTGGGCGTGCATTTTCGAGCGAAACATACAGGAAGAAGAATGCATTATAATCAAACGTGACATCTTTGGCCGTGTGGGGATTTTCGCCTTCGTAGATGTGCAACTGCACAATCGGGGGTGGATCGACCGGCCGACGATCCGCGGAGGCTAGATCACAAGTCAGTCTCGACAACGCTCCGCTTCATTGGAGATGGGAAGAGCATTACACTTCGGTCCAGAGCCGCATGCTCTAGCACGCTCAGGCTGCTGAAGTACTCGCAGAACGTAATGAAGGGTTTTACCACTGGCGGTCCTGCGTGAGACACGGCCCCAGGACTCGTCACTGATGGTGGTGGTAGTGGCCATCATGGCGGCAGGGCTAGGGTGTCATGAGCATTCATGTCTTCGGCGGCAGGACGACGAGGACTTACGAGCAATCGAGGCCAAGAACTATGCGGCCTCGAACGACAACAAGTTGGGCGTCCCGGGCTGTCGGGTCGCCGTAGACAATTGTGATGTTTTAATTCAACTGAAAGAAATGTGGCATCGACTATGGGCAATGGACAAACCCGAAACTGTGGAAGAGAAACGAAGAGGCAACGAGACCGACCACCTGGTTGGGTTGGGGTGAAGGTTAAAGGATGAACGACGGTGATTTGATTTGATTGATTGAATTGGGACCCGAAGCGCTGGCTTTCGGTGTTATGAGAGTCGAGGGATGGACCCGGCAAGTGGGAAGGGTGGGCTCGGGCGGTTATACGAAATGCCTCACAACTGGCCGACGCAAAGACAGGCCAGAAACGGCCCCTAGCGAGTTTTCGGTGCCGTCGTCGTGATGTTTGGTTGTCCACACCGTCGCTTCTCTCGAGAATGTTGTTGTCAGCCAACAAGTTAGCAGATGGGAACGAGGGTAATAAAAATAAAAGTAGCGCCTGATTGTTCAGTCGATCGAGAGGATGAGGAAAGGAGAGGAAGGAGTCGCTCTCCCACGAATGGAGGAAGATTGGGGGGCACTTCCCAAGGGATACATACATACATATGATGGGCCCTGGTGTGGGTGGAGCAAATGGGGGCAGATTGGGACCCATGATTGTTGCATGGGTCTTTTTGGGGTCTTCTCCCGGCCGGTGTACGACCCGCCCACACTGCATCAATGTCGATGGCTGGCTCGTTACTGGCTGGGTGTCCAGCCAGTGCCCACAGACCCTCGCTCCATCTACCAGACGCAAGGATGTATCTTGCACCGAGTTGTTTTGCTCACAATCCCAGATCGCTGGGCTCCAAGCGGGCAAGCGTCCAAAAGTCGACATTCCCAGGAACCAGAGTCCCAGGACTGAGAGGAAACGCTTGCTTGTTGCTTGCGTGCTTTCTCATCCACAACGCTGGAGACTACCTCACTACCCAAGTTTCTTTCCAACGGCACTCTGCGTTACATCCACATCTCTGGCACCACCAGAAAGCCCCGTAGCGCCCGTTGTCCACCAAAACAAATCTGCGCAATAGCGTCGTGTCCCCTCCCCAAGGTTTGCACACAAGTCAGGCACCCAAACACGAGTACATGATGCTCTAGCGTTTCTGCATACCCGATGGAGGTGCCCTTGCGTGCCAGCACACCCAAAGGAGGTACCTTGAGCCTGCTAGAGGTAAAAGTCTCGCCAAGCTTCTCGAGTTTCCTTCCCTTGGGGAGGGGGGCTTGGGGGCCTGGTTCAACTGGAAGACCCACAAGGCCTGCCTGAAATACCCGAGTGGAGTTAGCGGAATCCAGCTCGTCACCAATCACACGTTCATTCCAAAGGCCACGCCCGGAGCGAACCCAGTCGGTCGGTGCAAGCGATTGACCACCCAGTCCTGGGCTCCATTTCGGCACCGTCTTGCTTTGGCTATGAATCTATGGTTGCAGTGGGAAAATAACCGTACCAACCCTGGTCAAACACCAGATCCACCAGTGACTCCAGAAGGCCTTATTACCGAAGACGCACTGTGGATTGTTCTGGGAAGCTAGGCTATACCCGGATGATTAGGGCCGCGGCAAATGACGCGCAACAAATCCGGGCTATCAAAGGCCAGGCTAGGTTGGGTTTTGTACCGCTATCATTACGATTACCTACTTCTTTAGTTCTTGATCGTCCGCCGTCATTTTGATTCATGGTTCAGTTCTGGAATCACATCCGAGAATGCTGCGGGGCCAGAAACCAGACTTGAATTGATGCAGTTGCAATGCGAGTCTCGACGCGATAGTACCAAGGATAATGAGGTGAACACGGCGCTCTACATGAGTTGGGACGGCCAATCATATCAGGTACCAACCCAGTGCCTGTCTGGTGTGTGTCTGCATCCAACCGGCATTTCCTCTGCCATGCTCCTGGTTTTGGGGCGTCGTTGCAACGCTGACCGCTCATCGCGGGACCGCACCGCCATCGTAGAACTTAAGATAGAAACTAGACGCCGCCAGTTGGATTTCGAGCATGATTCTGACGTCTGGGTGGCGCAAACTACTTACGAACTGGCAGCCCGAAAACCGTGACGGCGGGCGCGCTGTCTACAAACTCAATTCCGCCCGTCTGGGGATGGTCAGAAGTCTAAACGATAGCACAAGAAATCGCGTACAGTGCTAGCTATTGTCACTGGCACGACGGTTATCATCTCGTGTTACTCAACACAAAACAAATCTCGCTAGTAAGTTGGCTTCACCACAATTGTTGTCCCACGTGGTTTATACATTCTCGGCTTCCGGGCTGTCTTATGGCTTGCTTCTGATGGACTCTAGCTTCAACCACATGTTCGTTGACGACAATTGAAACAAATCCATGATGATATCTCCCTTCGCTAAGTGATCCCCACACACCTGGTCACAGCCACGGGCGTCGCGTGATGCCACTGTAGAATCGCACTAAAAAAAGTGCAATTTATCCAAGGGTGCTTGGTGCGCGGCGGTTATTAGAGTGTGAAAACGGGACTAGTAACCGCACGCAAAGTCAATCTTGAAATGCGGCGGCCAAAGCACATCTCTACGTACTAGCTCAGCTTCGTCTAGCTGCGCACTGAACACTTCGGAATGGCATCACTTCATGTGAGGCTATCCCAGCAAGCAGAAAAGCGACACGAGATATCTCCCCATTCTCATGGATGGCGCGGTCGCCCAGTACAATTTGCCTTCCGATACAGCCGGCCAAGAGTCTATTCCCCAAGTGGGTGTGCCTGCCCCCGATCCAGGTTCTGCATTTGTGGTTGCTTGCTTGGTGCATGTGCAGACAGACGACCGCGCCCAGCCTCCACACCACACACTTTGACCTGCATACTATAAGGCCTGTCGCGGCATCTCGAAGAACGCATGTGCATTGTCATCGTATTGTTGCTACTAGCCAACTGCATCCAGGCCATAATAGTTGACGAGGGTCCCGTCAATGGACCAACATGGAACATTGCCAGGCAGGCTGATTGGCCAGATCCTGGAATTGTCCGGAGATACCATCGCGATGTATTCTCGATACTGGCTTCCAATAGCTGGAATAACCTGAATTTGATGGCCGCGAAAACGCAATGTAACGTGATGACTCAGGCGGACAAAAAGGCAAAGCCGCCCACCACACTCTGGTGACGGACATACCATGTGTATAGTCAAGGTAGCAACTACTCTCTCTCCACGAAGTCGGAATTTGGATCATTAGGCAAGGTTGGTTTGCTCACCTGGCACCGACCGACCGACCGACCGACCGACCTGGTCCTAGTGGTGGTGTCCTGAGTAAGACAAACTCCAGATGGATGGTTGATCCCTTTTCAACACAGCCCCCCCACAATGATGGATCACCGTGATCGACGACCCTACCCGCGCGTGAGGATCCGCAACCAACCGACTGCTTCACTACCGTTCCAGCTTCGGTGGCGTTGGTTCAACATCGAAGGAACACTTGCTCATCATCAGTATCCGCATGCTCTCTACAGCGTATCCGCCTCCATGGCCTGATATCAGCTCAGAGGTGCTCTTTCACGAGCAAGATGGCTTGCTTGTCGGTCAATTACTAAACATGGACGATGCACTATGTTGTCAGCGGGTCCCAACGAATTCACCCTTGCTGTGAATCAAGCTTCTCTTCGGCCCAGAAAAACAGACCCGTGATACTGGGTGATGAAGTTTCCAGCCCTCTGGTTGTGTCTAGGAACTCAACTTTGCCACTGCTCGACGGAGTCACCAAGAAACTCTGTCGAAGATGAAATGGCATGATTGTGAGTTTCTTCGGCGCCCTTTAGAGTTTCGAAACTCGTGGCATTTTGAGTATTGACAGGCGCCACGGTTTGGTCTGTGGTCAACAGAAAGAAGCTCAAGAGTAAGCAACACACTAACTAATCACACCTGGCGAGTTATGTGCGTCAACTCTGCATACACCCCGAAGATCACCTGCATCCAGGGGCGGATATAAGGAGACATATACATCCGAACCGCTGGCGAAAGTCTCCAGCTTAGCTAGATGCTTCGTATCTCAGATCTCCCAGAGGATTTGGGTCCTTCGACGTGTGATGCTTCTGCCGAGTGACTTGACTTAAGCAGACTAATATTAGGATATCCCTGTTTGAGGGTTTGTGTGTGCTGTTCTACTGATGGCCGCACAACAGTACGGCTAAACTCTAACGACAACCCGAGGTGTTATGATACATCAAGCTTCGCTGCGCTCTCAGAGCTCTTTCCCCCAAGCTGTCCAGTGCCATGATGCTGGAGATCGGATTTGGAATATAGTAAACTACCGGATGCTTTCTAGGTTATTACCAAGGAACTGAGGATCTCCGATTTCCCAGGTTTCTCTTTTTTTTCCCGGGAAACCGGGATTTGACGCCACAGCACCCATGTATGCAATGAATGGTCAAGGCCACGGCATCAGAAAGTAAAGCTATGGCACGAAACTCGATTCGGATGACCAGATACGAGCACTAGAGACTGGCCTGCCTGTTTGGGTACCTTGTTGCAACCATGGCTGATATCAAGCTTTCGTCCGGCTAGTTCGTGTCCGCAGCTTGCAACTAATTGATGCTGGAGTTTTTGCCCTGGCGCACCGGCATGACTCGACGATGTTGATGACGACAAGTTGATGTAGTTGGGTGAGTGGCGGTTGACTATATACTAGTTAGTTAGATCTAACGCTGTCGTAGGCTCGGGGGCCAGTCGGTTCCGTCAACGACCCCGTCCGTTCTCGCGAGATTTCGCCAAATCATCAGGGTACAGCCATCAAGACAATGGATTGATAATAATTATACGGTTACCCCATAGACAGGCATACTCAACCGCAAGACATCATAGACGGTACCATGCTTCTCAACACTAAACCCCCAGAAATGGAGAAGCGCCCAACCAGACTCTTGGTTATTGTCTAACGCCTCCACAACGCCTCGATAAATCTTACCACTGGTGAGTAGTGGTACGTTCTCACATGCTCTCCACTCGCTTCTTCTTGCCCTGTTCTGTTCGGTCGGGCGGGCACACAACGGGATCGGGTCGGTTGCTCAGCGGTCCGTCGCACTTGTGTGACGCGATTATCACTGCCCCGGCTGCTAGCTAGCTTACCTACCGAGACAAGCCGGTCGTCGCCTCTATCCTCGGCCAAACATCCTAGAAGCCAGGGTGGGCGTTGTTTGTCATCTGGGGTGGTTGGTTCTGTCGTGTGGTCGCTTCTGACGTCCCTAATTATGCTCTTATACACTCAGAATGATGCATTGCATATGAGTATTGGAAAACAACATGGCGAGCTTTAAAATAGTGGCCAATGATGCATTCCGGAGCTCGTGTTTTCCTGCAACCGCCCCTGGAGATCGATAAGCTGAGCATTAGTGGCCTAAACAAGACAGCGAAGACCAAGCTTTTACGTTATGTTGAGCACTCCGTGGATATCGAGCAGAAACGACTCGATACAATAGGAAATTACCAATATGAGGAGCCGATTGTCATGTGCAGGGAGGGGAAGCATGGCCATGCCCGTACGAATCACACGACATCCAGTAGGGCATGCCCCTAAATCGACTACAACTCACGATGACATACCTATTGCGAAAGCAGTCTTCGCCAGGTCGACGTCTCTGGCTCTTGAAGACGAAACTGCTTTCTGTTTTGGGAAGACTGAAAAGTAGACTATCCGACCGAAAAATGGATAAGAGCTCCTCCAGACAGGTTAACCACCAGAATGTTGCTAACCAAGGTGCTCCTCAACCCCAGATAGATCTCCCGTTCACGGCATTGGCCGTAGTGAAATTCGCTCTGCCTCTCTCTTCACTACGCCTGCAATCTGCACTAAATGCTTCGCATAGCCCTATTTCCTTTCTCGACATTTCTTCTGGATGTCGTCTTCACATTGCCTATGCTTCGCCTTCTCTTTCCCTAAAAACTCACACCTTTTATCTGATAAGTGAGCTGAACCGAAATAACTCTGATGCCCAGTCGATGCAAAGAGCATGGACACACCGTCTATCGTGTCCCGCCTCCCCGGCGCCCCCTCGCGTCTGAGATAGATGAATGACCTGCACCGAGCCGCCGAGATCAAGCATGCACGGGGATGATGCCATGTGGTCGCTAGGATCCATTCCGACCGGAAACACAAGCCGCCCCTTGCTATAGAAACGAGTGGCACGAAGATGGATGCAGTGAAACATTGATGCCGACCAATCTTCCCTTGCTGCTGCTGCTGCTCCTCTCGATTCTTTGCCCTAAGATGTGGCGCCTGTCACTACCCGTCACGGGCTGGCGGTTTGGAACGTTTCCGTGACACGGAGATGCATGTTACCAAGCCGGAATTTCGATTGGGGATTGGTTGCTTGGTGGTGACGGTGTTCTATTGTTGGTAAGAACGGTTGTCTTGCATACTTGGTCTGTTCCGGAGCTGTGACAACGGTCTAAGATGAATCATATCCGATTAGAGAGCGACCTGGTCACCAGAATCAAATGTAATCCATGTCTTGCGTGACATATTAAGCGACTGCTGAGGTTTTGTCTCAAACTTGATCGAGTTACCGAGACGTCGGAAGATACTAAACAAGCGGCTTCTAGACGATTCTGCATGTAAAACGAGAGGCGCCGGTACTTTTCACGGACGCACAAGCTCATTATCGTTGAGTATCATCTATCGTCTTCCCAAGGGCGTCTTCTCCGATCCATTGGTAACCAGAAGCCATCATAGAGCGCACCCAACGTGCAGAAGTCAGCCCCTGACCAACCTCGGCAGACGGGCACCGCCTCTGACGCCTTTGGTTTCAAAGCATTCTACATGCTCTCGCTGATGGGACTCGTCATTGGGCCTCACATATCCTCTACACTGGCAGTAGAGTTGGAGCCCTAAACACCCACTCCACCCCCCGAGCCAATAAAACCCCTCCACGCACCATGATACCCATTACTAAGGCGCCATAATCACCCATACCAGCGCTTTTTAGACGGCAAATGGAGACCCAGTGACTACAGCTCCACCCTGTGCAGACTGCGCAGTAGCTGTTGTACTACCTGCTCGGCCACGAGTCAGTAAGGGCTCGAAGTTCTGGGTAGAACGAAGACCTACCAGCTCCTGGATCCAATGCCACCCCAGCTCAAGGGGTTCAAACCCGGGCCCCAGAGTATTCCATGGGCAAACAGAGGTCCTACCTGGGTGGTATCCAAGGCTGCATTGGCAACACTCGTGTAGCCACGCCCTGTATTGTTCCTTCGAAGCACCAAAGAAGTGGCCGACGCCATTGGCTGCGATATTGAGATGGAAGACGGGGTCCTCAAAGACGATAGGCCATCTTAGTCCCTGAACCCAAGGGTGGTTAGGGTCGGGGCTGAAGAGGTTGGCCATGCTGAGATGGAAGCCAGGGTTCTCCAGGATGGTCGACCAATTTTGTCCGTATTCTGGAGTGCCTCTGTCTTTCTTATCCGACACATGATTGAGCAGGTTCTCGATGTCTTTCTTCGCGATGTTGAGGAGCAATCCGGGGTCCTCGAAGATGCTCGACCACTTGGGTCCATATTCAGGGAAGTCGTTGTCGCTTTGGTCTGCTTCAGATTGGAGAAATTCGCAACATCTCTACCAGCGATGTTGAGGTGGAGTCTAGGATCTTCGAATATCGTTGGCCATCGTAGCTCAGGAGCGCCTGGTCTCTGCTCGGCCGTAATGTGCGTCAGCCACAGCAAGAAAAGGACAGCGATGTGTGTAGGTTCCTGGTGAAGAATTTCAGAAGTTGATGTGATGGGAAAGAGAAAGAAAGGTGTGTTTGATTCTTTGCTGTGTTTATGTGTTATTCATTGGAGCCTCAGATCAAGGCTGCCTATCAGGCCTTTCCATTTGTCTGCGGCCTTGTGACATAATTGATCCGACATTTACAGATGATACTCTAGCTGCTTTCACGAGTAACCATTGTGATTTCCCTTGTGTTGAATCCTGTGATATATTTAATGTTGTAACAGGAGACTTTCATCGAGCAACTACACGCCTCATGATCATGATCATCGAAGTCGCCGGCTTCTGTAAACTAATTCATTATTTTGAAATCATCACAGTGGAGGGCCTCCCATAGTATTTACTCCATACCAATTTGTGAATATTTCTTTTACAACAGTAATTCATCTTGCCTAGTTTTGCTGTAATCTTCATTCTATGAAGTGCCACAATCCCCGAATCCCTTGGCCCCGAGAGGTTCGTCCAGAAATACACGCCTTCATGAACTAAAAGACACAGGGAAAAGTATAGCATATTTTCAGTCGAGATTATGTAAAGCAAGCTACATTTGTTCAGACGGGAATACCTCGATATGCGCTAGTATCCCATAATATGTGTAGTTGCAAGTTTGATTACATTGAGCATCAAGACTGAGAATACTCGCAGCTACTGGCCTAATGCCATATGTATGAGACACATTAGAATGGAATGGAAAGGAAAGCAACATGATGAAAATTGCCACAAACCCGAAATGAAAGGAGACCAAAGTTAACCAAAATACCATCCTATCCCGCCGAAAGCGACACGCCCACGGCCAGTTTTTACAATCTATCCACGCCCTTGCCTCGTGTATTTCCCGTCATCCTATCAGTTGCGAAGTTTAACATAACTATCGTCCCACCCAACCAGGCTTGTCCAGGTCGCCCGAGGATTTTATGACTGCCTGGTGGGCATCTTAGGTTGAGGGATGCCTTCTCGAGCTCCTCGCATGGAAAGCTGACGGGAAGCATAGAGCACATTCTGATGCCGTTGGTGGATTTAAAAGGTAGCTCAGGTGTCCTTGGTGAGCTGTATAGGGTATGAATGAGCAGCCAGACATTCCACGTATAGAGTAAACCGATGCGAGTTGGAAAGGTGAAAGCTCTACTGTTGTTCCGAGAGGTAGATATGGACATCGTGGCCGAACGATACTCCTGAGCTGTCTGTCTTTTGGGTGTTAGTTGCGCTGTGTGGTCTATACGAGTAGCCATATCCATATTGCACCGCAACGGATATAATCGCGGCCCGTTGCTTCTCTGCCAAAGCTGAAGGCAAAATACTAGATTTTTGTAGCAATACAAAGAAGATGAGCCCATCATGTGATGGATTGGACGTGTTGATGCATACGATTTGTCAGTTGAGGCCATATTAAGGGTGGCATGTGCTTCGCAAAGTCATTTCTCGTGGATACGCAAGCGGAGGTTGTTATATCTTCAAGTAATGCTGGAAAGAAACAAGGTAAAGAACTGAGTCTCCCCCATCACCACAGATACCTATGGCAAGCTGTTTTGAACGTGACTAAGAGTTGATTGGTTGACGGACCAGCATGCAAGGGACGAGTTCCCTTCTAAGCCTAGACTGCGTAGAAACCACCAAGGCATCCAGCTGACGGCAGGAATGTTACAACGATCAACAGCACCCCGTAAGCATATAGGAGTACTGTCTCATACATTGCACTGCTGATATTGCTGGCATCTTGGGCCATCCTGGAGCATTGAAAAATATGCAAGCATCGCTGAGAATCCGATCCCAATCAACCGTTCCTGCCTGGTCAGCGTGAGGACAGTGGGTTCATCCCAAATCGTCCGAATCTTTTCTTTTTCCTGCTTTACATTACGAGCTATGAGATAATCTGAATTTCTTCTTCCTTATGTGGAAACTGACGCTCCCCAGAAAGCAAGTATTCATGCATGCTTTGGTTATTGCAAAGCGTAACGAAACACCATAGATACCATCCCAATGTCTGTACACCTCTGGAAAGTTTATGACATAAAGCCTATATTGGCAAGCTTCAAGCTCGAAGCTACGCAACCTGACTCGCCACTATACCGAGCCTCTTGTAGATAACTCTTTCCCTACTTATAGGGACTGCGACATCTCTTAAGCTACATCAACTTATTATTGCTCTACAGCCTTCATCTCTTTGCTCCCAGCTGTCGCGGCAGGAGAGATCTCACTTCCAATGATGTTGGAGGAAAAACAACGTCCCGGCACTTCGCCCCCCTGTTATCATCCCCAAGCGAGCGCTTTCAGATCGATCGCCAGTTGGGCAATCGGAAATCACCATTCCCATGTGCTTCTAGTCCATCGCGATGGGACTAACAGGTTAAAACAGGAATCGAACAGAACAACACCTACTCGTTTTGGAGCCATTCCCGGCTGTAGATATGGCTAATGCCCTGCTCAAAGGGGGATAGCATATTCTCTCGGAAGTCTTCTCTATAATTTTCTAGCGTCATTCTTCCACACGCTCGGGAACTCCAACCCTTTCAAGGTTATTTCTACCCAAGCTAGCACACCTCGTTTTTAACTCAAGAACGACTCCCTTTCTAGTTTTTGATTCGACGGTCACTCGAACTTTTCCCTGGTCGTGTAGTCCATCTTTGTCTAGCTTATACTGGCGCATCCTCGATGCCCAAACCCTGATTGGATGCGTGCCTTGATTATCCCAGCTCAGCCTTTGCTCCCAGGATGATATCAGTTCACGTTGATGTTGGCAGTAAAGACAGCCATGAGAGAGAGCTTGCTTGCTTCCTTCAAACCAACTCTGTACTGTCGTCCAACTAACCTACCTTTTAAGAATATGACGGGTGCTGCTGGACGGTCTTTTTTCCTAGTTAGTGACATTATCGAATCTGGGATATTTATTTGTCTTAAGTTTCCCATATGATCAAGACAGCCACCACCTTCACGAAACCAAGTTACGCATCCTCTGACCTGGACATATCTCCACCCTACAAAGTATTCCCGCTCGTCTTCCATCCACATACCTTAAGAATCCTATTTCTGTCCTATACTTGTATCTAACAGAATCGTCTCGTCCTCGCTTCTTATACGTATGATTATCACGACTCTATTCCTCTCTTAAGGCACTGTGTGATGTTCCATAGATACATACAGATATATATACCTGCCCCCTACAATCATCCCTTACACATAGGCCATGCCTACCACCTGCAGTATAGCAAACATCTTCAGCGAAACAACATGGCACATGTACATGCACCAACCATGCCCAAAGGTATGACGCAATATAGCAAACCCCTCCGTTCAAAAAACAGGGCTGAGAAGGGAAAGCTTCAAACTTTCAACGTACTCCCTACCCAAGAGTCCATCGTTGGATTCTTGTCGTCTTGTGCGATATAATTCTACAAACAGCCCGCAGTAACCCTCTGAATGCATGTCTTATACTTCAGAGGCACAAGTGCTTAACCAATGTAAGCAGTGCCAACACTATACTGAGTCACAATTCCGAGAAATACATTCACCATGGAAAGACAAGTCATAATACGCGTTTAAGTTCGTCTTAATTGTCTTGTGTTCGTAGCTCATGAATCTATCCTGATCCTGAGGTTGCGCTGCGCTGTCCGTAATCTAAACATCGAACCGAAAAAAAGATTTTGTAAAAATCCTTTTACTTGCATGATCATCAAAACAACCTCCTAATAGATAGACTTCTGTGTCCAAAGGACACTCTGTCGCGAGTCATCGGAAGTATTTACAAGAGAAGTGAAAAGAACTGGTTTTTGTAATCCCCAAACACGAGAGAGGCCCAGCAAGGCCGGCCTCCCCTCCCTCTCCGTGCGCCGCTGAAAAAATTGCTACAAGAAGTGGAAAGGAACTGGGACCGCTCAAGGCTAGCGAATTCCTTCCCCTACGATGAAGCGTAAAGTTGGCCGAGGGTGCTGAGGCTTGTGGCCGAGTCCATGAGACTGCCGGCGGCGAGGTAGAAGTACGAGTACCTCTCGACGAAGGAGTAGGTGGGGTTGTTGTCGAGCTGGTCGAGAGCTCTCGTCATGAAGGTGGAGGAGTCGCCGCTGACGGTGGCGAACTCGGTCAACCAGACGTTCTTGCCCTGGCAGGCAGTTTGGACGTTGAGCAGGTGTGCGAGCATCTCGTCGGCGCCTTCCTCACCGCCGGGTCCGTACCAGTGGGCGGCGCAGAAGTCGACGGAGCACTGTCCGTTGCAAGCGGTGAAGAACTGTTCCAACCAGTCGGTGCCCTGGCCGGCCTCTTGGCTGCTCGTGATGGCGGGGGAGCTGATGCGAGCCTTAGAGGCGTAGGGGTTCATGTACTGGATGTGACCGGCAGCAGCACTGGCGGGATCCATGTTGGCCTGTCCGCCGTTGTCGGGCTCGTTGAAGCTGAGCAGGGCGGTGGAGCCGGCGTCAATGGCGGCCTGAGCGTTGGTATCCCAGACAGTGATGAAGTCAGACCTCGTCGACCAGAGCATGGCAGAGTAGTCGACGCTGGCCTTGAGACCATCCGAGGTGGAGCCCCAGTTGTAGCACCAGCTGATTTTATTGCCAGCCGCGGCAGCGATGATATCCACGAAGGAGGCGTCGTTGTAAGCAACACCACGCTTAACTCCGTCAGTGGATGTGGTCGTGTAAGTGGCCACGGCAGCAACAGGGTCACTGGTAGAAGGAGTCGCAGCAACCTCGGCCACGGAGAAGGCGTCGGCCGTCTCGTAAACAGGAGCAGCCACCGAAGTAGTAGCCTTGGTCGAGGTAGCCAGAGTCGTGGGAACCACGGGGGCAACTGTAGGCGTCGTGGGGACAGCAACAGGAGTGGAGGTGCTGGAAGGTGTTGTCACGGGGACAGGAACCGACTCCGGAGTGGTAGAAGCACTTTCAACAGGGTTAACTACCGGAGCTGAAGAGCTTGCCACCGAGGTCGACGTCGGCTCGAAGCCCTCAGTGACCGTGACCGTGACCCACTGCGTGGCGATATCAACTTCAGTTGCGACAACCTGGTAATCCTTCTTTTGGTGAAGGTGACGGTGGTTGCCAGCGGCAGCAACTCCCTGGATGGAGGCGCTGGCGGCAAGAGCCGGGACCATGTACTTGGCGAACATGTTGAAAGAGAGATGGCCGATTCTTTCGAAAAATCCTTGGGACGATTGTCGTTGATCTTGTCTTCGCTGGGCCAAGGGTAGCACGGATCAGGTTGATCGTGGATGCCTTTGTGGGTAGTCTTTCTGGAGACTTTGTTCGTTTCCTGGAGTAGAGAATGTGGGTTGCCAGCCAGTAGAGGGAAAGGTTGGTGTATTCGCCAATTACAGCCCGATGATTGGGAGTGGAATCAAGTGATTGATTTCGGGAGACACACGCGTGTTGGACGCAAGATGTGGTATGCGTAGCACAGTCTTTCGAAGACGCAAAGAGAGTGATGCGCTCGTGACTGGAAGGATGGAAGTACTCTTTTTGTTTCTTCCCGGAGATTGATCGTGATTGTACGTGGGTTTTGTTGCGTGCTGATGTGCGTGTGTGTCGTGGGATAGGACAGCGTTTTGTGCGAGTCGAGCAGTCACTGCTGGCAAATGAGATACAGGGGTCGAGCTGGCGACCTGGGGAAATGAAGAGAATGAATGTATGCAAAAAGAATGAGAGATGGGGCTTGCGGTAAGACCAAGAGCGTAGCTGTGAGAGACGGTAAATGAGTGTGGGGGGAAGTGAATATAAAGAGACCGGAGGGTGATAAAATCAACGCTAGCTGGCCTGCTGGTGTGCGTGTTTGCAGAGAATGAAAGGATCGGTGTCAGGGGCAGCAAGTCGCAGGGGTGACTCCTTGTCGGAGAACAGGCCCAAAAAGGCAAGACGTTAGTCCGTCTGGAGCACAGCTTAGAGCCTGAGCATGGGCGGCATAGCGGGTGGAGCTACCCTGCTAAAGACCACTCTGACGGGCTCCTCCTACAAGCCCTAGCAGCTAGCTCCTATCATAGCCCATCACCTCAACTCTCACGATCCGGACTTTCAGACGATCCATGCTGGCCTAAGCCCTCGAGCCGTTCGGATGAAATGCCCACAATTGTGATCTAAATCCAGGCCGATCTGGGCCCCTGATTGGCTCTGTCTGTTTTTTTCTCCCTACGAGTCAGTGAGCTAGCTGTACGAGCTGTCGTCTATTTGTGCCCTCTGGTAATAATATGCTATGATATGCAACTCAACCTTCCGAGGCTCGGTTCTCCCTTTGGAGGTATTTCCGCATTTCCGCATTTCCCTCGCCTCAAATTGCCTCACCGTTCCATGGGTCGTTGCCGCCATCGGTCGGCACAGCCCATGAACAGGTGGTCCGGTGTATGTGTCTGCCGGTTCCTCTTTTTTTCCCCTGAGCCGAACGTCCTCATACGACGTTGAATGTTCCGACGGTCTGGTCCAGGAGAGAACAACTTAAAAAATAATGTGGTCAAGATTTGCGCCATCACCTCGACTTCCCCGATGACGATCCCAAAGCCTCTCTCCGGGCGGCGCCAGTGGTCTGACCCATTGAATCAGGGCGGAAAGTGAATCTGACGGCTTGATTGGATGCTGACATATGCAGGTACACGGACTTAGCTGCAGGCTCCTCCATGTCAAAGTAGGCGTCAAGTACACGTCTGTCGTGTTCTTCTTGGCTGTAAGCGCTGGCCACGAGATACGAGCCGTCGTTGTACTCTGAATGGGTCTAGCGGCCTATTTTTGCCTATTCCCCCTGCCCTTCTTCTCCTTCTCTCGTCTAAAATAATACAGTGTAGGAGCACATGCGCATTCCAACGAGGCTACGTAATCAGTCTCGAGTTCTCAACATATCCATATTTATCGTAGCATCGACAGTGCGAAACGCGGCTTGTTCCTCTGAATTAGAAATCTCGGTCCTTGGCTCTGGGGCTATATTTACGAACCTATCCGTACATACGAAGTCATGAAGATCATCAGCGCCATGTCGAGCTGGGAAGCCAAGCAGCATCTCGTCCGCCGCCACCGTGCCGCGTGTTTGGCTTGGAATCCAGTCCTGATCCAGCCATCAAGCCATCTTGGACTCCGATTTGGTCAACGTATCCCCCCCAAGCGCCGTGCACCTCACCAGGCGACGACGACCTGGACCGGAAACCAGACATTCTCTGCTTTGTTCTTGTTGCAGTTTAGCTTGGTTGCTTAGGATGTGGAGGCGCCGCTCGTGTGGAACTTTTCTTTTGGTTGGCACCGCTGGTCTGTTCCTCGCTCTTGTGGTGCTGCTGTCAAGGTTGCGACGGAAAGAAAGGCTTGGCAGGGAGCTGGAGCCCGATGTGGGGAGGGAAGGAGTGAAACCATAAGCGAGATTACTTCCCGCCGCCACAGGGACGGACGCACCCGACCATGGCACACAGTAATCAGCCGTCGTGTTGGACCAATGCGCTGCGAGGATTGGACTCGTTGAGTTGGCACACGGAACACATCGAACTGCTGATCACTTGATCACTTCGTGCTTTACTGGCTCCAGTTGGGTTCGGGCTGCTGAGGCTTCGAGCTACTCGACTGCCGGGCTGCGAATGCTGCCTGAATGAGCCGGACTGATGGGCGGGAGAGATATTGAAGTCAATATCCACACCATCACTCGGCGTCACGCGTTCGGGCTTGATCTTTTGTTTGACATGTCCGGATTGCAGTCATTCGTCTCCATGTACACTAGACCCTACTAAGAAGCAGCCAGAAAGCTATCTGCTGTTTCTGAAGTCGTGATGCTTCGAACGTCCCCCAATCCACAATTCAAACTCTATCCCTCTCCAGCAGTCTCGGCAGGACGCTACGTGTAATTGAACAATTTGCAGGCCTCTGGGCATGGCTATTGCGTTCCTCAGCGCAGCCTCCCGACCGCTTGTGCGCCAACCTCATGCGTATCGGCCAATTTCCCGGGGAATCTGTGCCCATCGTGCAACGCACCACGGCAGACAACAACGACAGCTCCAGTCGAGGCTAACTGTGGTCCCAGCCGGCCGTTTTGGATTGATACTCTCCTACCGTAGTTTCCAGATTGAATAACCTACGCGTTTATATCGGGAAAATGCACTCCACACTGCGACCCCGCACATCAAATGTGAGGGAGCGCCTGTTGAACGCCTTTCCTAAGATGCGTAATCACTATGCCTGTGCCGTCCCGATCAGAAGTTGACCTGGATTTCGCGGTGGGAGTCAAGTTGGCAAGGCTCGTGAATATTTCAATGCCCCGAAATAGTCTGGGGAACGGCTAGTTCGCGACTAGAAGAACTATCAATTACCTAGTGGAGACCAATATCCGGCAGTTGTTAGAGCTGACCAGAACAAGTTCTCAGCGAGGCCCAGTAAACATGAACTTACTCATGGATAGCACGTGAACAACACCGCTGTGCCTCCGACACCTGCTTTTCGAAAGTCTACTGAACTATCAGACCCCCGGCAACGGCCCGCCCGAGCGAACGCACGGTGGGAATGCCCGGGAGTCCCCCACCTGCATGGAGCAAAGAGCAAACAACGTTGGAAAGCTCATTTGAGAGTATAGTCTCTGAAGGGGTATGTCTGCAGGTGCTGTAGAGGGGATAAGAGCCCCAAAACCCTTGGTCGCAATGGTATAACAAGCCGATCTCTTTATGTCGTCAGTCTTATGGCTTTGGAAACACAGGACGGCGAACGACAATGTCCAACAGCCTCGGCAACAAGTCTGAGTTTGCCTCTTCGAGCGTCCTTGAAGCATGCACTGAGACCTACAGGTGGGAAGGATTAGACTAAACCTAGCTGGCAATCTGTCCATCGGAAGGTTGATGCCTTGTGTTCAACAGATCATCTAATGCTACCACCCCGCCATTTAATGCACTACACAGCTTCGATCTGACGTTTCTAGAAGAGGAATCTGGCCTCTACTATCAGACCGCAATTGACCCCGACTTCCGTACATGTGCCAAAGAACGGATAGGCAGAATGAGTCGGCTTCAAAGTTTACCCGCACCGTCAACTTGGCCAGCTGCCTGGCAGCTATTTCCCTTAGGACACCATGGAAACCGCTGGGCTTGTCACCTTTGATGGTACGGGCACTTCCGTGGAATGTCTCGTTTCTGACATGATTTTAAGACATGCTGTCCTTCATTGGTATAACGTCTCAAGCCGAGAGAGACTAGCCATTCAATGGCCGGTATTAACAGCCTTCCGCTTAGCACTACGTCAATAGCACTGCTACCATTGGCCCCTACGTAATTCCTCCAGCTGGTAAACGAGCTCTCCATGCAGCTTGGCAATGCTTATGACTTCAGCTCTTCTTGAGTAGAGTATACCCGATGAGCATCTTTGAGAATGTATGGGTGAAGTAATGAGCCTGTGAAATAAGTTTCTACCAAACAAAGTCACATTGAGCCGCTCAATTCCTCTCGTGTCTATCAATACGTTATCACACTCGCTTCTACGAAGCTACATCACTCCTCCCATGACGGAACCATTAGACATAAGTCAAACTGGTCTCCCTTTCATGATAATGAGTGGGAGCCCCATAGGGTTTAACCACGGAGCATTCCTCCGGGATGAAGATATCAACTATCTGGCTGGGGAAATGCCAACGGTCTCAACTGTGACGCTGCCCGAGTCGGGGTCACCAAAAGCGTCACCCCCTACTAATGACTTAGTTGCCGAGAGCAATCCTCATCAGCAGCAGCGGTTAGAATGTCGAGGCCACACCAAAAGCTGCAGAGGGTGTTATAATTGCTCAAGGCGACGGATTAAGGTGAGTGCCAAATTATAGTGTAGGGGAATGATATGGAACTTTGTCCGATACTTAACAACGGCCAAGAAACTCGACCACCCTGCGTGCATTGGGTCAAGGCCAGTTTGAAGTGTGAGCATCCCGCTGCTGCATCAAATCCCCCTATTCAGCCTGCAAGGCATGCGCTTCTTCCAACGCTTCTTACTCACCTGCTTCCCATCATCCCCTGGGCAAAGAAACAGTCTGGACACACGAGGTCTCCTGCCTATCCCACAACGTAAGGTGTTCATACCGGCCCCTCGGACACCTCTACTTACAACTCCCCAACATGAATATCTAATGCACGCCATCCTCGGCCTCGCCGCCTCAGACCTAATGAGTGAAGACCCAGCCTCATCACTTTCGCCATGATACTCTGCCTCAAAGCTTTCAAAGCCACCAAGAAGACCTCGACCAGCGCCCCTTCTAAATCAGCAAGAGCCACGAAAAACCCCACACACCCCAACCACAACTCATGGAGCAGATCCCGCCTATTGATCGGGAGTGCACTGATGAGGCGGTTGCGGGGATAAAGGGGCTAGTGACGCCAATGAAGCATCATGTCGAGAGGGATTTTAATTGGTTGCTTTGGAGATGGCGGGGGCGTTGTACACTTCATCGTTTTGGGGTGATTGAAGTTTCACTCTATATTTCTAGATTTACTTGGACTGTTCACCAGGAAGGTGGTCTATCTACGTGAGTCCTGGAATGGACTGGCTTATTCCACCTACATACAGCCCACCCAATCCTCTCCAAATATTATGGCTGGTGGATGCAGATCTGACCTGAGAATTTCAACCGTTTCATCGATCCGAAGAACCAAGCCTGCACGCTCCTGGCCTCGCACTGGGTCGGTTTGAAGCAGATCATGGCGACTATCACCAAGACGGTATATCGCATGCGGTCTCAGCAGCCCAAGAGGAAAGGGAGGGGGGTATATAGATCGTAGCCGGAGCAGCTTGGCACTTGTCTAATCTAGATACTGGATTCTGATATATAATGCGAACTACCGGGTGAACTCCATCGCTGTCCTTCCAAGAATTATGGTATCGAGAATTATCGATACTAAGTCCAAGTCAGGTGGTTTATTAACTGCCCTCAACTAAGTCTTGATTTTACTTTTCCAAACCCCAACCAATACATCCCAGCCCCAAGCTATCATCCAAGGCGCCGAGTCTGGCCCTTTACAGAACTCTCAAACCTCCAGATCCTATCCCAATCTTCAGCCGTTTATATATCGACCGCCGTCCTAACCTACGGCTAGGATCGTGCTGCCTATTCCACACCAATGGTAAGTCGGAGACGCCACTGAGCCAGACTACGTACCAATTTGGGTCGTCAAAGCCGCCTAGGGTGCAGCAGCTCGTTTATTCTGACATTGATGTTGGGCATGGGGGAAAAGGGAGTGGAGATGAAAGGGAGGAGAAATAGGGAATAGTTTTGAAGTGTCCTCGCTCTCCCTGCTCTCGCGCTCACACACTCTTCGCGGCGGTTGCAAGGTACGGATAATTTACTTGTATGCGAGTGGGTCATCAGCACCATGGCGCAGGAGAAAGACGACTGCCAAAATTCCAAGAACATGAGAAGGACGAAAGCCGCAGAGCTGGTCCGGAATAAGCTATACAGAAGTCATGGGAGCGGTGGGCACACGGCGGGAAACAGGGATAGGTTAAAGGCGGATCTGGAGGCGTTTGGGGAGAAGAAGAGGGAGAGGGCCAAGGTTCTGGTTGTCATGATGGCAATAGTTATGGTGAAGAAGGAGACGGATCGGAGGAGGGTGTAGCAGATTGCTGCTATGAGTGCGGCTGCTACTGGCGGGCCTTGAGATGTGGTCATTGCTTTGTGCCTTGGTGTAATGGGAGGAGTGGGAATGTTCTTGGTTTAGAGGGATACGAGACTAGCGGTTGTTGCGATGCGCGATAGAATGGAGCTGGATACCCTGGTTGCTATCCCTGAAATTGGAAGTCTCTTTATCTTTCAGAGTCAGACGTAGGTTTAGGTCGACACAGTCCAGATTGGTAAATTCCTGCAAGTACTCATCGTGCCTTTTTGCGGGTATGATTCATTCCATAACTTCAAATGGACACCCCCTTTCAGAGTCCTGCCGAGAAACTAGAAACAAGACCTGCAGATATTGTGTTAGCACCCTCTTGACATAATAACCCACCGATTCTAAGTGCCCAAAGCAACCGCCGTCTTCGCGCCCGTCCACAAGTCCACGACATCCACCTCCCCACCCCCCTTGACTGACCTCTCCCACTGCCTCCTCTCGCACCTCGTCTCATACGTACAGCCCCCCTCCCTCTCTCCCACAAGCCGATCCTCAGGATATGCCGTGCCCCAAATTTCAAAGAATAGAACCCACAGCACCAAACACGTAGTAATCGCCACCAAATGCACCGAGTTGAGGTCCTACGCGGCGGGGAGACAGAAGAAAATCGCACACACGGCGGCGCGGTTCAGCAAGCGCGCCCACTGCGGGATATGGCAGTCGGTGGTGAGGATGATTTTGGAAAGAGCGGCGCTGGAGAGGACCTGGTGTTGATGTACATCAGTCATGGGGTGCTCCTTGTCAGGATCAGGGGTTATGTATAATGGGAGTTATCAGGAGATGTTGATGTTGCTTACACATGCGCATATAAAAGGCAAATGTGAAAGCTCCCAATCCACACCGTATCCACCTTCCTCCGTATGGCGTGTAAATGCACATTGCCATTATCGAGATCAAAGTACAACCAGTTAAACACAAACGCCTGCACAAGTCCCATGACGGCCTGCCCGAAGAAAGCATTCAACCCAAACGCGGCGTTCTGGTACAGCAACCCCACGATGTCATATCCCATGAAAAGCGACACGAAGGCGTTGGTCCGCTCGACTTTGTGCTCGATGTTGACAGCCGGGTAGAACTCGAAGAAGCGCTCAATTCACTTAGCCGCGGGCGTCTCGTGCGCGCGAGTAGCGGAAGAAAGCCACTGTGAAGGCGAACCCTGTGATATCCAGAACTCGGGCAGCGAAGATGAGACCCAGACGGTCAGGCAGCTTGATGTGCGTGCTGGCGATTCAGAGGGCGGCTGTAATGAGGGCCGTGAGGATTAGGCAGAGCATCATGCTCTTGATTAGGGGCAAGAGGAAGGCGGTGAAGAGGCGGGCGGCGAGGTAGAAGGCGACGAGTGGACGTGTTGGTGGTGAAGCTGGAAACAGTCAGTTCGGTGTCTAAACTGGCAGAGCAACTGTATAGGGGAAGACTGATCCAAAAAGACATGCGATGAGAAAGAGGATCTGGATTCGCGGCAGTACATCGTCCGTGTTGAACCAACTCACAGTCTGCTGTACTTCCGACCAGATTTTCCAGCTCATGACGAAGGTTACTACAAACCGAAAAAGCTCAGCTCCATTAGCTTCTTCAGACGTATGGTCTCCGTTGATGGCCAGGATACCGACTGCGAGGTTGTTGTCAGTTGGTTGACTTGAACCCCTATCCCACGAACCCGGATACTTACATGACAGAACAAATTCTACGCACATAAAGCAAATCAGAAAAGAGCTCAAAGGACATAACCTCCGTTTCCTCACTCGCCCTCCACAACAACCTGCGATGAAAATGCTGCTTTATGACGGGCTTCTGAAACAACTTGATCATCTGCCTACTTCGTCTGGTCTCCCCCCAGTTCTTGCAGATTCCATAGTAGAAAACCGTGCATACATATACTGAAAACTCTACGTCACGTTCTTTACAGGAACACAGCTGGATACACTACTTTGTGTTGATATACTCGAAATAAAAATAGCCTAATTATAAACAGATACTCACCGCTGCACATGGCGCAAATAATCACAATGCTCCTCCGACCCATGAATCACGACCTCGACCTGCACCGCCCCCGGCGCATCAACGTGATGCGCATACTTCTCACGCAGCTGTACGGCTTCTTCAGGGATGGCGACAATGACCTTGCGTTTATCGGGGAGGAGAAACTCCCTGGGTTTGCGACAACTACCGCTACTGGTAGTTGTTGGTGTATTGCCTTGGCCGGGAGCCGAAGCAGTACTTAAGTGCCGGGTTGTCTTTTCTCACATGGTTAACGAACCATAATCTTCTGGTGAGTAACCATTAGAGGGTCAGTGGGGTAGATACGAGCTGGCCGAAGCTGAAGATGGGCGAGGTGTTGGAGAAGATCAAGTTTAGCCCTGGCAAGCAATACCTCCCCGACCTGCACTGGGTGTCGCCATTGCGGTGTGAATTGTGGCGGCACGGCCCATATCTTCTATGTAACACCTCCCCATGCGCCAAAGTCCGTTATCTAACTAGCCATTCCAGTTGCTTAGTAATGTCCCGGCAGTAGCTGGTATTGGCGCGGCATAAAAGAAACTCGAGAGTCTTGAGTTGGGTTTGGAGGGGGGATCCAAGGGTCTGGATCTGATAGGGGTTGAGGGGACGTACATGTAAGCACTAAACTAGCGGTATGAAGTGTGTCAGGCAGGGGTTCAGATGCAGCTAAATCTGACGGGAAGGCTTGTGTAGCGCCGCGCCGTGGGAATGAAGAAGATCAATGGAGGCCTTGAGAAATGTTGTCACTAAATCAGTGGTGTCTAGCAACAGAAGCGGGCAGTTGGGCATATCCGATGCTGAGAAACGTATAGTCGATATTATTTTTTGACTGGTCAACACCCCTTTCCACGTTCTCTTTGTATATGTTGTATGGCTCCCATTTGCAGGTTTCACTGGGAAGTACTCGAATAATCTCCATGGGCTCAACAGGGATACCATGTTGTTGAACATTTCTCTGAATCAGCGCAGGCTCTATAACCAAATTGTTGCAACGTCAGCGTTAGCTATGTAATACTCTAGAAACCCCGCATCCTCATTGAGTGGCGAGGTTGAAACCACCTTCAATCGAAACTACCTCCAGCGCCCTAGAATGTCACGCCCTTAACTCCCGCACTATCCTGTGAATGGATCGCGACTGGTATCTGCAACCCAACTCTCCTTCCTTATCAAACGCCACTAGAATCCACTGCAATCGATCCATTCTATTGCACGCGTGCCGCCAACCGTTTGCGAAACCCGGACTTTCGCCAAGACATGTCTTTTTTTCTCTTTCCTGTTGCGAGGCAATGTCTAGTAAATGTACTGTACAGCAAAATTTTGTATGCACACCGCCGTCGATATGCCGTTAAGCATTTTGATCGCTTGCCCTTTGAGGTACGTAGTTGGGTAGCTCGTCGAACCATCCCTTGTCCTCGTCGTATTTGTATGCGTGGAATTCAATGCCATAAGGTTTGGGCTCGATGGCATAGACCATTCCAAGGGGCACATCCAGGTCCGCAATATCGTCCCTTGTGAGATCCATGAAATACGCCATCAGGACTCTGCAAACCGATCGATGTCCGATAATGAGCAGATGATCTTTGATTCGTTCGATTTCCCGCACCAAGTCGCGAACGCGACTGATAATTTGTAGGTAGCCCTCGCCTCCGACTCCAGGGTAGACGTAGTGAAGCTTGTCAAGCTGTCTCTTCGTGTACTCCCCCGTATGGTTGCGGGAAATCTCTCCGTAGGTCATGCCCTCGAATCTGCCAGCGTTGAGCTCGTTGAGCATCTCCCAGGCCTTCACGTCGTAATCCTCATCTGCCTCGAAGTATTCGGCTGTCTGGATGCTTCGCTTCAACATCGAAGTCCACACGCACGTGTTCTTCTCTTCAAGCTCGCGATTGAGCTCGGGATAAGGAGGTGACCGGTCGCCAGGCTGTGGAGGGAAAGAGGCCTGGGCAATCTTGTTTTTTTGCTCAACCAACCACTCCTTGCGCTTTTGCGTGATGAACTTGTACAACGTGAGAGCGTAGAAATGTCCCCGCTCTGTGAGTTCCGAATTTCCGCCGATTTTGCCCAGCTGATTATCATAAGATTGACCATGTCTGGTAATCCAGATCTGACGCGGCGCCAAGTTGAATGACGAGAGATAGTGTGCGATACCGCCCGACAAGAAACCCTCTAGACCGAAATGAGTAAGCTTCTTACCCACATCGGTCATCTGATAGCCGGTTAGCAGTCTTTCTCCAAGTGGAAACGGATTGCTTCATACTTTGATGTACTGCATAGCGTGTTCTTCTTCGTAATCGCCCAGAGGCACGTACGCACTTTCATACTGCCTCACACGCTCTTTGAAGTCTGCGAGAGACTTCATGGGATCCTTGTCTTTGTAGTCAGGACCCGAGAGCTTGAGGCGCATGTTTGCTTCCAACAACTGCATGACGCATTAGCTATGCCGCTCTGGCGTTACCGAAATACTGTATCCACATACATCTGGATTCTTGCAGACGCTTTCGATGAAGAGGATGCCGAGTTTCGGTTCCCTTCTCTTAATGTGGTCGAAGAGCATTTGCCGACGGTTGATGGTGCTGTTCGTGGCATCCAAGATACCGACAGACCCCCCACCGCTGATCAAGTAGTCGAGCAGCTCATCCAGTGTGTCGATAGCACATTGCTCCCGAATCCTGAAGGCGGAGGCATTCTTGGGATCAAAAAAGTTGGCCGATTGATCCATGGGAGTGGCGTTGGGATCATTGAGATCCCATTCTGCTGGTTCATTCCGTCGTGGAGATTCTAGTGAAGAGACAACTTGAGTGCCATTAAGCGGTTCTAATGGAGGGGCCGCTTGAGTGCCGTTGAACAGAATCTTGGCCACCTGCTTCGGAGCATCCATGGGGTTTGACTCAGCACGTGCGATCATCGGGGAGTTCATGCCTACTGCCACACGCCGTCGGTTACCGACATTGAAGATCCTGGTATCATGCTGCTGCCAAGAGAGATAGCGCTTGATCTTCTTTGTGATGTATGATTTACCACGAGCCGGGAGGCCAACCATGATAATGACCAACTTGGCAGCAACATCTCGATCAGCTATTTTCCCATCGGGGGAAATATTGGATCTTGTCATGCCCGGAATGCTGAGCGTTGTCGCGTGTGGGCGCACGCGCGGGGTCTGGGTGCCTGAGTTCTGTCGAACGGGAGGTATTCTGGGCGACCCAGGTGCGGTGGACGAGATGCTCTTAGAATACGGCGAATCATGCGGCGGGGGGCGATCGCGGAACGGCAACCCTGACGTGCCGCCTTCATTGATGGCGCGCAAGGCAGTGGCCAGAGACGCTGGGTTCGCCGGTACCACATGACTCGATGAAGTGGCTGGCGGCGGTAGCAGATAGCTAGACTGGGGTTGTATGTTCACCGTGCTGGAGTCCTTCGACGAGGTCGATGCTGTGGGGGAGCCGCCATTATGAACCGGTAAGACGTTGGAGTTTGGGTTGGAGAGAACGGCGGTTTCTAATGGAGCAGGCGTTGTCGCATAGCGGCCAATTTCTTCGTCGGGGACAGATCGTGGACCGTTGGTGGAAGCCGTTGATGAATTCGCAGCAGCCAGCTGATTGGCCATTACAACTTTGGCTAGAGATGACTGCTGCGACTGTCTGCGAGGCGCCGGAAGATCTTGATTGGGGGAGCGTAGCAATCGTTAGCGACCTTTGTCAATGATAAGACCTGTGATACTAACAATGAGGAGGGGGCCAAAAAAAAACTAGATCTCTTAGGTTCGGGGAAGGTTAAGAAGGCTGACAATGACAAAACCTTGATAATGGCACAGGCAGCGGGGTTTTAAGGGAATGGGAAAGAAGGAACAGAAGATACAGGCCTGGGGTTTTGATCAAGACTGTGCTCACCCGTTGTATCTGTGTCCCAGAGCGACGTGGAAATGATGCTGCTGTCGTCAGGCGCGAGATGGTGCTGTGGTGTGTTAGTAAAGAGCTGTACGTGGTGCTGCGGGTGGTGGTGACGGATGCGTCTGGTAGCTACTGGCTGCGGAATCGACATCTCCAAGGGCTTTTTTTCGTCAAGGTCCAGTAATCCCCGAGTAGCGATCGTGTTGTGATTGGAGGTATCGGGGGCTTCGCTGATGCGCCGAGCCCCGCATGCACCGGTAGCGGACAAGGATTTTGTACAGTTCTGACCTCAGCGTTGTGCTCGGCGGAGTCGGTTGCTCCAACTTTTTGGGCTCCAGGGCTCCAGCTAGCTCCAACTTGGCTCCAACTTGGCTCCAACTAGACGGCGACAGTTGTGGGCTGACCTGCTGACGAGACGGTTCAAGTGGTACGTGTTACGTCGTTGTGGGGGCTCGATTTCCCCGGGACTTCAGGAATCTTGCCTCTTTTTGATTATGCGCTTCCGATGAATCCTCCCGCCACATGGGCGAAGTGCGAAGCTGGTTCCGGCAAATGCGGTCGTCTCTATTCGTACTTGTTCCTGCTTGCGACTGTGCTGCCTCCTCGACTAGGGCTGCTCCAGTTGGCCTGCAACTCTTGAAGGCGGTCGAAACGGGTGGTGCAGCTAACTTCTCCCTTTTGACGATCCGCGATAGCCTGGTCGCTTCCTCAACAATTGGATCTTCTTTCGGCCTTGGCGAAACTCCAGGAAACACGGCTTTGAAACAGAAGAGATGTGGTAGTCCGCCAGAATGATGTAACGGGCCGCCTGTCACTAATGAGCTGAACCGAGTCTATTTTTGTTGGTTCTCTAGGTTCCTGTGGCAGTCCTTGTATCAGCGGAACGGGCTTGGAACTTTGCCAAGATATTGGTAGGCGATCTGTGTAAGTCGTCGAGACCTGTCTACGACTTGTCGTCTCGCTTGTACAAGTCGATGACGAGGACTATGCAGAGGGAAGTGCATAGAATTGTCACAACCAACGATGCACAATATATCGAGATGGACAACAAGAACAGAGAGAGGATCACAGACGAGACAAGACGCGAGGGCGCCAAGAGGGGCAGAGGGCATCAGTGGTTCAAATCGGTTTCTAGGCCACCAGTTGACAGGCGCTCAACATGACTGGCCAGGAGACATATCTTACTAACTTGGCTATCAATGGATGCACCCCCGGGGAAGGTCATCATGGTGCCAGCTATCATTCAACCAGCAGGACTCAGTAACCTCAAAGCATTGGTAATGATTTCTCTTCTCACTACCTCATCACGAGTGCGGCTTCAACCATCCCGCGCTTTAGGCCTTCTCGCTGGAGGAACCGCTTCAGTGTCGTCTTCTCTCCTTGTCAAGCTGACTTGGTACCGTCTTATCATCCATCCCAAAATCAAACGATGAATAATTTGACCGGGTCGAGACACTAACCACCTCAGATCGACAAGCATGGGGCGGCACGCCTGGCATCTACCGGGAGATCCGTCTTGGCTGTGGCTTTTTCCCACTTACTAATTACGGGAGCTGGCAGGTCAACAATTCAACGCAAAGCCGCCCCGCCGGCCTTCGCCAAGTCATACATTCTGGCGGGACTTGAGTAAAGCTGTGAGGCCATTCAAGAAATTCAAGTGCAAATTAATCAGTTACTCTTCTTTTGAACAAACACGGATTTTTACCAAGGTCAACAGCATACCGTAGTTACCTACACATGCTCAACAAACCCTCTTGGCACCGAGGCACCCGAAGCTCAGTGATGATGACGGACGATCCCACCAAGCGGTAGAGCATATCGGCTGTGTCCCTGTACGAGGATTGTTTTAACACATGCTATTCGTCCTCAGCTTTGTTCTTGGATTAACCCGGCACAGCATAAGATGTGGTTGCATTGTTGGATTCTGTCTGCACTCTGCGTATCACAGCTTACTCCCACTGCTCAAGAGATCTTCTCAATCCGTTGTAGCTAGTGGCATGCATTTGGAGAGGTGGTGCCCACGCTTGAGAGATATGTCTGATTTGACCATGGCTTCTTTTCCATGAGCGAATCAGAACCAAGGAATGGGCAATGTGTCGATCTTAGCGAATAGCCATGAGCGACGTCAGGTCCTCTTGGTTGCATACACCGCCAAGTATCGTCACTCTTTGGCACAAACCCCAAAAGATATGCCAGTATCATCCTGCTCGCCATAGGTGGGATTGATAATTCGTCTACACAAAAAAAGGCGTCAATGTAACAAGAGGCCTCACCCCGACGTGTCCGTATCTCTGAGAGTTGATAGGTCTAGGATCTAGGTCAAGCAAGTAGAAGATGAGGTGGCCTGCGGACTAACTATTCCGAGAGTACCAATGGCCACGAACAACCAGGTTAATGGCCCAAGTCTTTGACTTTCTAACAGTTGCAAACATGGTTCTGGATAACAGGATGGTTTGAAAAGGGACCGGTCAGACAATCGGGATTCCGAAAAGTTTCTAGGCCCAACAAGCTCAAACGCGCATAGTTAAGAGACAATACCTTTAGTCGGAGCTCTGATGGCTAGTGTATGTTGGCTGAGGGGATAGAGACTTCAATTGCGGACATGGAGGAAAGTAGTAGTTGCATCCATCCATTAAGGCATCAAAATACTTGCCAGTCTGCATTAGATCAATCAATCAAGTGCCTCTAAGGTTGAACTGAGTCCGACAAGGCCAACCATTTGAGGCTGCTGTGAATACCTACTGGCATGCGTTAAAGACGGCCGGTGACCAGATGACGACCAAGTCTGTGCTCTGGCAATCGCTGTCAATGAAGCTAGTTGAGCTTGACAACCTGGTTAATGCACACTAAGCCCCACTAAAACATCATGCAGGGACCATAGGCCAGGGCAGGGTCCACAAATTTCTTTATCGATAGCCCCTCCAAAGCTTCCAAAGCTTCAAGCTCTACTTTTGTGGATGAAAGGATGTTAAAACGGTTTCATTCAGCAACAACCTCTTGCCGATTTCTTTCACCTTTACACAATATCCCAGAATAGCGAGAAGCTCTTGATAGTACCTGCTTGTTCAGAGCGGTGGGTACCTCATTAGATCTGGCAAGCGTACTCTGGAGACTTGGACAGCGACTTCCCCTCGTCGACATCTCGCCCCAAGCTCCTTTCAGGTCTGTACCTAAAGCGCATTGCGCCTTCTCTCATATTTCACGACATCGGCAGTGTTATTTCTCGTCTGGAGTAAACGAGTCAAGCCATATCACGACTGTGGGCGGCGACTTAGTCAGTACAACGACTTAGGCAACGATTGAAGCAACGACTTGAGTTAGGGCAACAACGTAGGAAAACCACATACCACCGGTTCTCTTCGTCAGGGTCATATCCAGAGCGCAACGTGCCTTCCCTGAAAATATTGACGGGCTTGACACGTCTACCCTGTGTTTGGAGCAACGAATTGATCACGTCAACAGAACCTCTTTGTCATTTCGAGTCGGCGTCTAGAAACGACGTGCCTGCCCCAATCCTTTACTTCCACTTCACTCGCTGATCACAAGCAACATATACCTTCCCACTCCAGTCTTGAGATCAATCCCGAATCCCTCCTTCTCTTTCGACGCTGGCCAAAATGGTCAACAACTCGATCCTGACAGCTTGAAGCTCAACTTTTCGTGGACATCTCATTGCTCGTCAGGTTCATCTCCCACTGACCCCTCGCTCCGGTTTTCTGAACCAGCTCTACAGGAAACGCACCCTTCTGACCGCTCCGAAAACCATCATATCCACCACTGACTACTTCGCCCTTGAAGCCTTCGATTCGATCGACATTGCAGCGTCAACCTAGCTGATCAGACGAAATCAGATCAGACAGACAAACAGACGCCTTGTCTCCTTGCTGAAGGTATACGCTATGAGCGATTCCATGAAGGAAGTTGTCGAGACGCTCGACCCCGTCTCACGACGGCTCATTCCTCAGAGTATTGACTCGGGAACTCTCGTACCTCTCAAGACCACCCTGGAGCTGCGTGACAACCTCTCTGTCGGTCTCGCCTATGTCACACGCGCGCCCACCAAACTTACGAACGATGTCGTCAAGTGAGCATTTCCCTCTTCATCTACTGCTCATTTGGATCAAACTGACTCTGGTTCAACAGCATTGTGCGAGCCATGGTCGGTGACGAAGCGGCTAAGAACCTTCCTCACTTGCGCCGGTGCTCGAAGCCGAACGATCTTCCACCGCATTTGAAGAACCAATTCATGAACGAGGGACAATCGGGAAGAGCAATCCACGTTGGGAAATCACAATGGCTCTACATCTTGCTTGGTCCCAAGGATGACATGGACTACCAGCAAATCGTACAAGGTCTGTCTGCGATTGATGGCATTAGGGATGACATCTTCGTGGGACTCATTCCCGTACCTCTGTTGGCTCCTACATCCCAGGTCCAGGCCAACATGTGGTCTCAACAGTTTTGGCAGACCGTCTACAGAAAGAACAATCCTCTCGGTCCCCACCCGAGCAACATCTGCCGCACCACGGGAGTAGTGTCCCGCGACGCCAACATCTGGATGAGCTTGGCTCACCAGGTTGCGAAGAAGGCACACAAGGCCGGCCTTGGAGAGCCCATTGGGGCCGTCATCATCAAGCGCACAATTCCGTCAACCAAGCCTGAGACGGTCAAGGCGATTCCTACCACCAAGGCAGACGATGATAAGACATATACCGACAAGGCTGACGCCAATTGTCTTCAGGACGAGCTCTCGGATAACGGTGCTACAAAGCCGGAGGGAAAAGTGGACACTGCGATTGCTTCAGCCGCCGCAAAGTCTGATGCGAAGACCCTCACCGCCAGTGCGGATGCTGCGAAATCTGATGGAAAGACCGATGCTACTTCCAATGCCACGAAATCCGATGGCAACACTGAAGCAACTAACTCGGAAGTTGTCAAACCAGATGAACCCGAGGAGGAGCAGAAAGAAACAGTTGAGGTCGTAGCTCTTGCTGGTGATGCCCGTTGGTACCGACAGGAGAAAATTGGTCGTACTGGCAACCCAATGGCACATGCCGCCCTGCGAGCCATCAGCATGGTGGCACAGAAGCTTGTCCGAGCCGAGAAGCGAGAACCTGCTGCGTCCAAGCCGATCTTGGAATTTGAGGCCTTTCAAGACAAACCCTTGCTCAGTGACGAGCAGCTTGTCTTCGAAACCGAGCATCCCTCCCCTGACGGCTACCTTTGCCATGAGCTCGAGCTCTACATGACCCACGAGCCATGCACCATGTGTGCCATGGCCATTCTGCATTCCCGAATGGGCAGAATTGTCTTCCGTCACCGCATGCCTCTGACCGGTGGCATGGGCTCCGAAGATCGCGGCCATGATATTTGTGGTGCTCACGAGCCGTGCCCTCAGGGTCCTTGTGGTGGCGGTCAAGGTCTCGGGCTGCACTGGCGCAAGGAGCTCAATTGGAGCATGCTCGGTTGGGAGTGGGAGACGGATGAAACCGAGCGTTTGACAGTTGACCCCCATCTCCATGCTTAATCCGACCCATGATATCCGTTCCCATTGTATAACCCGACGAGCGATCCCCATCCCCATGCATAACCTACATTCGACAGTCGACCCGCATCTTCACATCCACGTACAATTTTCTACGACTCACGAGACACTTCTTTAACTGGATTCGCGCGATTTAGGCTTTACAGGCAGGCAAGGGAGTTAGGTAGTCCTCCTGTCGGAATTGGCATTATTGAGAGGCATCGGTGGAGGGTTTACGGATGAAGTGCTATGGATGGAGAAAACATTTTTGGTGGTCGTGATGAGAGATATGAAGCATTTGACTTACAGACATGCGTTGCGTTTGTATTCTGGTCCGTCCAACAGCATATCGACCGGATGAAGTGGCCTGATGAGCCTCAAATACTGTAAACTATTGTCTTTCCTGTACTGTACTCCCTTGATTGTTTCGCAGTGTTGTGCGTGAATATAATGGTGTCAAGTAAAGCCAGGCAAAGGCAAGTAAAGTTCCAAAGCCATCAACCGCAGCAGCTAATTTCAAGGAAATATATGAAATCGCTCGAGAAAGCAAGACGAGACAGATGTGGTCCGCGTCCACGACCGGGTGACTCAATTACAGCAGCTACTTGAGCTTTGCCCCCCTGACGGCAAGTTCGTCAGCAGCGATGTTCCCCAAATCTTTGGCGTGGCCCTTGACCCATTTGAACAAGGTCCGGGTTTTCGCCTTCTCCCTCTGCTTGATCTTCTTCCGAATAGCCGCAATAAGGTCCTTGTTTTTGACCTCGCTTCCGTCGGTCGTCTTCCAGCCTCTTATCTCCCAGTTCACGTACCACTCCATCACGCAGCTGATGGAATACTTGCTGTCGGTTACGATGCGGACGTCCTGGCTCACAGGGACCTTTTGCAGGGCGCGGAGGATGGCGGTCAGTTCGGCGCGTTGGTTGGTTTGGGGTTCGCCTTCGAGGCGTTCAGAGACGTTTCTTGGGGATTTGATTAGCAGGCGGGTTCATGTAAAGTAGAGAGCAAGAGATAATGGGAATGTGCAGGACAGGGACTCGACCAACCTTGGGTCGTCTGGGCCGAAGTAGACGCCTACTCCGGCCACCGCACCAACTTTCCCATTCGACAGACTGCTGCCGTCCGTGCAGATGTGTAGCACGCCCTCCACTTCAGCATCCCCATCCTCCTCCACCTCAAGCTCCTCGTCCTCGTCTCCTGTGGCAGCACCGGTCTTCTTGCTTTTCTTGGCCGCAGGCGCCTCGTCCGCAACGGTAGCCTGGGCGGTCTCGTTCCCGAACTGGTAGATGAACTCAACGGCCTCGGCGCGCGTGTCGAACTTCTTGTACTTGGGCCCCTTGACGCCTTTGATGGCCAGCTGGGCTGTCTCCCAGTCCCCGTAGATGCCCGGCTCGTTGCCCACGGCCACGGCATAGAACTTCTCGGGTTTGTCGCTCGCTGTCGCCGGGTTCTTGCCCGCCACGAAGTCTTCGGCGTCTTGGCGCGTTGGGAAGGACTTGTCTGTGCACGAGTTAAGTAACATTAGTACCGGTTCCGCCTCTGGACCTGAGGAGGGTGACTTGATGGGGAAAAGCGAAACGTACATTGTGCGCCCCTAAAGCCCGCGGTCTGGTCCTGGCATTCAGCCCACGTATCGTACACGCCGGGCTTCTTACCCACGCGCACGGCGTAGAACTTCTCAGTGCTGGACTCCCTCTTGCGCTTCTTGCCAGCAGCAGCCGAGGAGAAGCTAGAAGCGGCGGCTGGCTTGGCCCGTTTCGTACTGCGGGGCGGCATACTATCAAACAAAGAAGTCTGCTGCAACGAGGGCGATAGCGTTTTTCGTAATAGAAAGGCGGGTGGTGGTGTTGATGATGATAGATCACTATTGCTTGTGGTCCATAATAATCTGCGGTTGTGTGGGACGGCAACGACACGTCGGATCTGGAGGAGAAGGAGGGGAGATTCGAAACAGGCTGAGATTGTCTGTATTTTTGCTTGGCCTTGTCCGGCCAGGAAAACACTTCGATGTTATTAAAAGAAGGTAGATATTACTGCTGCTGTTGTTTTTGTTGTTGTCGGTGCTGCTGCTACTACGACTACGGCGGCCTCAGGAACGATAGATCGCTTGGACGATGGGCACGGTCAAAGAAGCGTCATTTTTCGTCTAGCTCGCTGCTGGGGGCCCGACAAAGACCGATCAGACAATCTCAGATATTCTTCAAGGACTTGTTTTTGTCCCGATTTCGTTGCAGGGTTGAGATGACTGGTTTCGCGTGAGGGAGAAGGAACGCTTGCGATCTGCTACATGATAATCCTTTGGGAGGTTGCGTAATTTGACAGGGATTCACGCCTTGTTTCCTATCGCGATTAGATAACGTAACGAACTTAAGACATATTAGGCCTTGATTATACTGACATGTGTCTGAAGCACTGGATCGAGATCTTCTGGCTCCCTTGAAATTACTAGATAAGTTTTCGTGTACTTTGAATCTATGTTGGTTGGTCGCAGCTACCGTGGACCTAAGGCTTGCTTCCTGATCGTCACCACCCTCAATCCAATCCCCGGACTTATAGGATGCCTCCACAAGCAAACACTGCCAAGTACATGACAGAACAGCGGCAGATGGAATAACACGGGATTGGCCATATTCTAATGTAGTGAATCAGCATCAGGTAGTCATTCTATCTGGATGCGCCGTTTATTTCACTCCTGACTTGGCTGCTTTTAGCCTTGAACTACCCCTTGCTTCAAGATGGAAATTCGATGCAGTTCAAGACATGTCTGGAAAGTGGCTATCTGGCACAGCGGTTTGTTAGAGCGAGTAAGAGGATACTGGTGACGGACATTTGACCGAGTAGAGCGGAGGCAGAAGACACGCAGTCTTGAACTGAGAGTGATTACCATGCTGATCATGGAAGAAAGTGTGGCATATTGCACATCGTATGATGTACAGAATGGGGGGGTGGGACTCTGGGGCATCTCTGAAGCCCAGCTATTGGGCTTTCAATGACTTTCAACGACCCCATGAGCACCACTGCTGATCCGCCGAATGCAGGCGGTGGATCTGCTACAGTCTTTCTGAGATGTAGTGTGTGGGAGGAGTGTATTCCTCTTTCCAAGAGGAAGACTGGGAATTGCCGGGAACTCAACACAGTATGCTGTGCATCCGAGAGACCGTCTCGTTCTCCTCCATGCCTACAGATGGCGTGGACAATATCCTGATGCAAGTGTGTGTGTCAGGGTCGTTCTATACCTCAGTGGGTGCCGTCGCCAATTCTTTGACGAAAGCTCTCCTTGCACTGGCATAGAGACATACAATGCTTGTAGAATTTGTTCGACACTTGAGAGAATCATGCCACATCGATTTCAGCTTCAACGTCGTACGCCTCATCGCCATCGTCTAGCTTTCTGGCACCCATCCTGCATATCGCAATCTTCTCCACAGGGATATCCTCCATCCACACGTAGTCATCATACCGGTCCAATATGCCGCGCGCATCGATAGTGACTCTTTCCCTTTCCTTACCATGACGCGCTCCCTTGACGTAAATGGTGTTGATAATAGTCGCATGCAACAGTAGCGGTCGGTTCTCCTCCAGCATCAGACCTTCCTCCTGAAATGCTGCCTTGAGCTTCTCGCAGAACTTCTGCAAGATACCCTGGGAATCGACTGGTGGAGCGTAGAGCACTGTTGCCTTGGAGGCAGATTTCATGGGGTGAATGCCCTTCAGAGTAACTGATAAAAGGGGTGGCGGCGGACCCGGTGGCTCTTTTGTTTCGGCTGTTTCCGCAGCTTCTGGGACCTGGATGCTGCTTAGAATCCGCCTTGGAAGCAACGATTTGAGCAACGCGACTGCCTTTTCTACTCCTTCATCCTTGGGGAAGCTCATGACGCCCAAAGTCAGATGCAACGTGCCAACGGGCCGGATGGCTTCGGCAGGGATTCCGTAGCTGTTTGGACTAGTAACATCATCCCTAAAGGCTCCAAGGTTTTTGGAGAGCTGGGGCCGAGATGATCCAGTGACGAGTTGTACGCATAGGAAGTGCGTTGGTGATGGTCTTGGAGGCATCCTGTGAGCCTGTGACTCGAGTATAAATGGCAGACTGAGCCAAACATCGACGGGAAGCCGAGCTTGCAGACACGGTCACTATGGCTCAAATCGAGAGTTGTCGGAACGGAGCCGGTAACCACTAGTACCTGAGGGGAACGCGAAAGTCCACATATATTCAAGTGACGGCACGACTGCTGAGGCCCCACCAGCCTTAAAGTTAGTGCGGCTAGGTATGCTGAACAGGGCCTACCTGGCCCGTGTCCAATTGGCAGCTACCGCCACCATGGCAAATTCCAGAGCTTTTGCTCTCTTCTTACAGCTCGACCTCGGAACCTTGCTAGGCAACCCCATTTTTGGAGGCAATTTCTCATGTTGCCTACATAATGGCGGACAAGAGCTCATCTACAGTTATTTAGGATAATGTTGCATCTCGTGGGTACATCACCATTGCTTCATCGTTTCACTGAAGACAACCCCTCCTGCTCCCCAAGATGAGTAGCTCCGACAAGAGGCGGGGCGGCAGCTCCACGCACACTCTCCGCTCCTCGACGTCCTCGCGCAGCAGCAGCATAATCGCACCGCCGCCGAGGGCCCAACTCGGGAACAATGCGCCCTCGTCCTCGTCGCCGGGTGCAGACAGCGACAACATTTCGCAGCATCACGAAGCTGGGCCCAGCAATGCGGGCAGCAGCAAAGATGGCGCAAGCCTTGCCGCCAGTGAGAAAGACGACGAGATCGTCAAGCTAAAACGCCAGATTGTAGAGATGGAGGAAAACTTTGCTCGTCAGGTCGACCGGCTGTCGCTGAATGAGACTGAGACAGCATCGTTCTGGCAAGGGAAGTACTCGACTCTCAACCAGCAGTTCCTACGGACCGACACCGAGCTCAGGTTGCTGCGCAACGAGAATGACAGCATCCGTGAGGGCAAGCGAGAGCAGCTCAGAGAACGCTGGGAGATTTTAAAGCAGGAACTGATGGACCGAGATGACGAGATCCAACGCTTGAAAACGCAAAACAAGGGGCTCAAGGAATGGGTCAACGTGAGCACCAAGACGGATGACCAGACAAGTGACGAAGTCTTTGGAGATGGCATGGCCAGGCTCGGCAACGGTCTGCAGAATTGGGTTGTGGTGCATTTCAGAAGAGCTAAGCTTGGTAAGTGCGAACCTATTCGTACCAAACGTTGGAGATCGGAGCACAGCATATCGATATCGCCCAGATGGACTTCTTGTTGTCAGGCTTGTGAACAGAGAGTCCCATTCGGAGCCACCATTGTCGCCTGCCTGATGTTTACAAATATGTCGACATGCTTATGTTTACAAACAGATCTGTCAAAAGTGAGCAAAGCAGTCATTAGCGAGCTCGCACAACTGATCCCTAGGTACGAAGAGCTTGCGGGGCCCGCCAAAGTCCATTTGCTACAATCCATCGTGTCGGGCATCCTAGTGGAGATGATATTCGATGCGTACTTCGTAGGACTGTCCAAAGAGCAGACCAATCAGTTGAAGCAAACCGAGCAATTTCTTGCATCTCTCAGTATGTCGTCAAATGCGCAACGATAAGCCGGCTGCTCACAGAACTGCTAGGCTCGGATGAGGCCGTAAAACAATGGCGAGCGACCACGTTGATCATGATTAGAACAGAAGCACCTCAGAAACTGCAGGCGGAGACGGCTGCCGTCACTGAGCATGTCATCTCGAGGATCAACCGGATTTTAGGTGCAATCACGGACGCCAAAACTACCGACGCGCGAGATCAAGCACTGCGGGTGCAGGTGAATAACTCGATCGAATTAGCGCGGTTGCTTTCTGTGCAGAAAGCCGACTTCAGGGTCACAATGCCGCAAATTCTGCCACACCAGAAGACGATTTTCAACGCGTCCGAAATGGAAGACATTGGCGGAGAAGAAGAAGACAGTCTCGCAGCACGCGAGATATGTTGTGTGACGTTTCCGCTTATCATCAAGTTTGGAGACGAGCGCGGTAGCCATCCGCAGTACCGTAACGTCATTGCGAAGGCGCGCGTTCTCTGTGCCCCCGAGTGAACCACTGTAGTTTGAACAGGCCACTATGGAAAAGCGGTGGACCTAACAATTAAATCCAGCTTTGTGCTTGGTAGGATCGCATCGTCGCGAATGGCGTTCGAGAAATTCTGCTTCGGAATTCGAGCCCAATCGCGATTCGATCCGAACTCGATTGAGAGCCAACGATGCATACCGCCAAGAATCAGACGGACCCTTGACGAATCAGAAAAGGCTTTTGCTGGCTATCCTGGCGTCTACAAGTGTCAGGCATGTGGGCGTTGAGTCGGGTGACGCGACTTCAAAGACGCAAGGAGGGGCGAGACAGACCAACCATCCCCCATCCCTTCGGGCCCCCTCTCCCCTCACCAACACTGGAGAACCATGAATACTTGCGGCTCTGCGGCTCAAGTTAAACCGACTCAAACCCGTGCCCATTGTGTATGGCTCGCACGATTGCTGTGCAACATGGGTGTTCCCCAGACGGCTGGCTGTCCCCACTCGCTATAGACTCTGGCTGCAACCTGCCCGCCCCCTGACAACAGCAAACAACTTTACAGACATGAAGCATTTGTCACCAATTATCGAGCGAATGTCTTCTGATTAGGATAGTTGATACGGAGATGCGGGACTGCTCGGCCGTCGGTTTCTGTCATGTTGCCCGCCGGATGGAAAACCCTGTGTACCATTTCGGGTTATCCGAAGCAATGTGACCAAGCTGTACGTACGTTTCCAGCAGCCAAGAATGGGGCATGTTCTCAATAGACGAATCAAACAGCCACCTGACGAAATGTACAACGGGTGTTAATGTACGGCGGCATGAGACCTGAAAGAAGCAGCATCTACGGCTTTGCTGGCTGCCTGGCACACTGTATACTGCTCGCCGTTGTAGACAGCTGCTGCTCCACAATCAATTTGGCGGCTGTAAGTTGGTATGCTGGCCTACTCTCATAGGTCAACTTACCTAGACGTGGGACATAGGCTGCGTAACCGAGCTGGGAAAGTCGATGAATTCCCCACTCCAGGCAATGAAACTTCCATGTAGATGGACAAGAGCACTCACTCCGTGTGTCTGCTGTCCAAACTTGACCGTGCCAAGTGCGGAGGGGCTATGTTGCAGAGGCGGCTCAAACGGCGTCCTGATGACTGGCTGGAAAAGTCGGCCGCAGTCGTCTGCCATAGCATGCACGGCATATCGATCGAAGGGTCCATGGCTTCTCCACGCCGGCACGATTGGAACATGGGTGTGATTAGATGCGTGTAACCTCCCCTATCGTTTTCCCCAAATCTAATCGTGCCGCCGATGGAAGTTGGCGATCACTCGAGAACTTTGCAAATAAGCACCGAACTTGTGGATATGGATAGGATGTCGTCTGAAGTCGATGTCGCGCAGGGCTTGAATCGGGAGCCAGGTCCAGGGCGTGACAGAAAGGAGCACATTGCGAGCCCATACGACAAACGCCATAAAGAACCACCTGTCCAGTGACTCATCCTACAACCTCTGGATGCAACAAACCTAGCACTTGCGTGGTAGTGTCGATCTTCCGCAAGATGCAAGAGAGACAACGATTCGATTGTCTCAGATAGACAAAGATATGTGCACGAGCGACTTGACAGGAAGGACCGTCGGCAGCTCGATCCCGATTTCGCTTCTCTGGTGTCGAGGATACAACGGACCGCCGCTTGTTCTTGTTCCAAGAGCTCGAAGGTGGTGTGCACCGATCTTGTACGAAAGTGGGATGTCTCAATCCATGTCCGATTCCATCTTGCTCACCCCACCCCCCTTCCCCCAGGTTGTCGACTATTAAACGTCTCTGCCACCCCATTCTTGATAGTGGGAATTTCCTTCAAGCAAAGCAACTTTGCTGGTGCTTGGTTTGATCTCGAGGTCCTACCTCGCCACAAGTTGTAGTGCCCAGAGCGGTGCTTGAACGTCGTTGAGGTAGTCCGTCTAACTGATGCAAGTCGGCCGTGAGAGCTGTCTGTCGCACCGGATCTGGGGCTTCCTCCGTCCACTCAACAGCCACCAACCAAAACTTCTTCTTTTTTTTCTCACATCGCTGATTTGGGTTCCTGCCTGCTGTATTCACTGCACAACCAGTATCTTTCTTGGGGCAGTTCAACACCAAACCCCCCTCAACCCCCCTTCTCTTCAGCGACGAAGACTCCAGTCACTTCTAGTCGTTACCCCACCCCGCTTTCCGTCCTCTTGCAACGCCCCCCTCCTCATCAATCAGAACTCCATTATTGAAGACAACCCCTCCGCATAACCTCACACGCGCATTGCATGGTCGTAACCAGACAACCTCAACTCTGTGCATCATGGCTGGCTCGGTTGATCCTGGCGTGCTGCGAAGATTTCTCGTTCCCTATGAAGAGAAGGATGATTTGAGCCGCCGCATGATCTCAGGCCATGCCGTCCAGCAGCCCAGAGGTTCACCGTACTTCGGTCACATGAGCCCGGTCCCGCATGTGTTCCAATACCCCCCTTCGTCATCGACTCCATCCAGACGTAGCCGAACAGACAGCGTCCCGTCGAGCAGTACTGCGCACAGTATACAGGACAGCATCTTCAGCTCTTCGTCCCATAAATCTTCGACGTCCACAAGAGCCTCGTCGGTGCTACCGCCTCGATACGAGCCAATCCCCGAAGATGTCGCGGCCACCGTTTTTGCCCGGCAGCCAAGCCAGGGGGCGAACTTTCTGCCCTGCGAGTTTAATGTGGCCGGCTATGAGGAGTGCAATGAAAGGTTCCCCATTGACGCAACAGAAGTTTGGGCTGAACATATGGCTTCCAAGCACCTCCGCCACTGCCTACCTCACAAACTCGTGTGCTGGTTTTGCAGTGATATCGAGTTCGATGCACATAGCCAATGTCAGGGTGACCTTCACCTCAATTTCTGGCATCGGATGGAGCATATCCGCAACCACCTCGTTGATGGGAATACGCCCGATGACATACGCCCCGACTTCCACCTTCTTGAACACTTGTACCAGAACAAGATGGTAACAGACACGACGTATAATAGATTGTGCAATACCAACGAAGGTCATCAGGTGGACGGAGTATACAAGTATAACTTCGTTGCGCCAGAGAGGCGGGTAGCTGAGGAGCGTAATGAAATGATCATTACGGACCAGCGGAAAGAAGAAAGGCAAGCCAAGAAGAACAAAAACGGCCGCCACCACCATCACCACCACCACTCCCGGGTCCATTGAATACGATCCGTGTCATCGTGCTTACGTCGGTGTGCGCGTGAACGGCTTCCTTCGTGCGTCAACAGGTAACATTTTGGTGGGAGATGTTCCTGAGTTTTCCTCTGGGGTCGAGCAAAAGATGAGAAGAGTTCTTGATATGGAGCGGTCAAGACGCGCTACCCTGTGTGCCGCCGCTTGGACCGGGAGCCCTTGCTATCGGCGTTTTCCATCGCCGGTCGACCCCGTTTCTTATGTTGACGTCTGATTTCCCTCATATGCAAGAAGCCGCCGGGCTGTTCGCTGCACTTGACGCGTCTGTCTCATATACTTATGGTGTGTTCGGTTATATGTGGTGCGTCAGGTTGATAAGTCGGGTTTTTTTGTCGGGCAGGAATCTGCCTTGCCTATTGTACAACCCTTCTCCACCTCCGCGTGACCGGATTGGTAACTGCGGGTGGTCATGCCGAGGGTTGAACGAGTTTGAAGGGTCTCGTGGTTCTTTGTTGTCAGTCCCCGCGTACATGAGGTAAACGAAGAGAGAGTTGACGCGGGGTGTAATGGGTACGGACCCCTTACTCGACGGAGGTCGACTCCCACCCCTCCCCCCTTGTGACTTGCATACGAGCGCAGTCATGTGCCCGCAAAAGGGTGGAAACTGTGGGTGAGGTTTCGTCTTTGTCCGCTCTGGAGCACGCGTTGGACAGCCTTCCATGAGTTTCGGGGATATCGATCTGACAAGTCGTTTTCCGAGTTTCCTGTTTGGGTTAAGGAATGTTGATGCGGTCTGCGCTTGTGCGATTCGGACCCAAAAGATATTGAAGACAGTATGGGGGAACTGGTCTTGTGAACTTGTCATAATATACCCCAACCAACTCTGCCATGTTTGTTTGATTTGAGAAATAAAATTTTCTTCACTCTGCACGCAAAACTTTCTTCAGTGGCGAGGGACGTTCACCGCCCACCCTCAGCTGTCAATAACACCGCCCCTACATATAAGTAGTCCAAGATGGCCAACAGAACCTACCGAAGCTATGCATGTCATTCTGTCGGTGAGGATTCTGAACCCCTGGGTTTCAGCCTGGCTCTATTGATTTATTTTCCAAGTTCGGAGGTTCCTATCGTATATTATGTAGGATCGCATGCCTCCTCTCGTCGATGTTGCCAGGGGTCATATCTGGGCGAGCAAGCGAGGTCTAAGCCCCTGAAGAGTGGCAACTGTCACACAACCAACCAATCGAGATCGATCGGCTGAGCATTTCGGATGTGGAACAAAAGTTCCGTCGTATACTCGCCGAGAGCTGGCTCAGCCTACCTATTCTTTTTCCAGGGCGAATATTACGGTTGGGGAAGGAGGATGGATTTTGAGGTGCGTGTAAGTGAGATTTCACCAGTCAACGTGTTTATCAGCCTCACGGATTTTGAATTACATCCAGGCTATTGGCGCGCAACTTTTGCGTTGCCTTGTTCAAGACTAATTGTTGACAATTATTGTGGTATCCACATCTGCTGCAACTAAACTCGCTCGTCAAGATCTAATAACTGTTGTCATGGTAGTTAGCCTGCTGGTTTGGAATACTACTGCGGCTATCGGCGCCTCACCATGTCATCCTTCTTCTCTTGCCTCGAATCAATCTTTGGACTCCAGGAAGCAGCGTCGCTTTCGGTTCATAGGCACGAATGGACTCGGAGTAGTAATCTCTACAAGAGCCTGGTTCATGGCAACCACCCTTGGTACGCATTTACTACTCCTTGATAGTTCTAGTGTAAGTTGATATTTCGCACTAATAGGCTAAAGCGCATGCCGTGTCCCGAGCAGACTACAACCGGGCGATATGGCCAGCTACCCTGTCCAGGCCGTTCTCGTGTCATAACATGCCTCCTGGACCCTCCCCAGATGACATTCTTCCCCCGGAGTAACGCACGAAGGTGTCAACATCGTATGCCTCGCAAGCCTAGGATGCAATGTATACCAGTATCCGGCGCCTGTGAGCTGTATTTTAGTGAAGGACACGCGGACTTGAGCTGTATGTAATCCGCAAGTTGACCCGCGCCCGAAGGCTGCTTACGCTTCTTGTGACCAACAAAGATGACTGAAAGATACGTACCTAGGTACATTTCAACACCTCAGACTTTGGCTGTCGTTAAATAATAAGTGTTCTCAGATTTCGGAAACAAACGGTCCCTGGAACAGTACTTGCCCACACATCATTTGATCACAGCAAAGCCCAGCACACTCACTAGACTTCACGAAGATACTTAATTACAACTCCAAGTGGTATTCTATGGCTACCAGTACGTCACCTGCAAGCCAACCCACAACACATAGACCAAAAGCCCTGCGTACATTAGGTTATGCATTTCAGCAACAACGCCGTAGGGAACATCTTGAGGCTGGGAAATCTCTTGCTTACTTTCCAGTTGGGCCCTGTTGTTTGTCACCGTATATCTCTACCTCAACATCGACGAAGCTAGATACCCCACATATTCCGACTCCCGCCGATCCTTCCTTCATTCCATGCTTCAGTTCAGTTTCTTTTTTATTAAAGCTTGCCCACGTAACCTACAGACATTTGACCCCCTTATTATGAACGTCTCAGCTTCCTACCCGCAGGCTATCTATCCTCTCCAGCAGATCAATGAAACTCAGCCTCCACACGACCATACCTAACTCCATCAACCTTCAACTCGAAACCCAACCCCGCACTATCAACAATCATCTCGAGCGTGAAGTCAAGGTTATCAAACTCAACCCCCCTCGTCGTCGTAAGTCTCGTAAACAGGCTCCTTGGAACGGCGCTCAAGTCGGTAGTCAGCGTACACACGTGGACGAGCTCGCGACTGTAGGCGACGGGCGGCTCATCGGCCTCACACGCGATCAGGTCATCGGTGACGATGAGCGACTGACCCGGTCGGAAATTGCGAGTGTAGTGGAATGCAATGGGTGATAGGGGCGAGATGGCTTCGCCCTGTAGAAATAACCAGTATTAGTTACCGCCCGAAGTGTTCACGGCAGTCGGCTAGTAACTCACCTTGGCAATGTGCCACTGCATCCGATCGGACACCATCCACCGCTCCCACAGGGGACTCCAATACCGTTCCGAAACGTTGTGCTTGTCTTCGTCATACACAGTCGCATAAGAAGTACCGTAGTGCATGCGAGCCTTGCGCGAGATGACCATATTTCCCTCGAGACCGCGGAGGACGGCGCCTCGCACCACGGCCGTCCACGCGTACACGGGTTGCATCACCTCGATGGACCCGTTCTCGGCCAGCTCGTGCGCCGGCCGCTCCGTGTACGGCGGCGGCGCCACGCTCGTGAAGTGCGTCTTTAGCTGTCGGTACAGGTAGTCGCTCTGTCCGAAACCGCCGACGAGGACGATGCCCGAGACGATGCCCCCGCGGCCCCGGATCGTGTTGACTTGGCCTTGGACGAGGTCACACACTTCTTTGGCTACTGGCTTGAAGATGTCCTTGATTTGACTAGCGGTCAACACGAGGAAGCCAGACTCGATTTGAGCTTCTTCATCATCAGGCAATCCGGGGAACCTATCGTTGAGTCAGCTACGGCAAGCCAAGAGCTATCTTTATCGGGGGGACCACCTACGGCACGTTGACTTCTTGGTGCTCGTCTTCGTTGAAGTTCCGCTTGACGAATTCCTCAAAGTACCGAAGGCCCATCTGCCACGCCCTGGGCTTCTTGATCTTCATCTCGTCGAATCGACTCTGGCCGAGGCGGCTTCGAACATGTTCCTCGAATCGATAGTTTAGAAAGGCGCTCCCACAAAGTCCGCCAGTACCGACAGCCGACTCTTCTACCCGCAAAGGTTTCAAAGATATAATCTTGTAAGCAATCAAACTGAATTACGTGTAAGCGCACAGTACTTGGAAGCCATCAACAAAAGGTGGCCATTTGACTCACTCCACAGTACCGCCACCAGCATCACACACGATGAAGTTATCACCAATGTTGAGGTTGTTCGGTTGGATGGCCTTGAGGGTATAGACAGCGGCCGCTTCGGGCTCGCTGATCATCTGGATGTCCGACTTAGCCCCCATGCCCGCCCTTTCGGCAGCCTGCAACGTCGTATTCTTCGCAGCATCGGACCAGACGGCGGGGCAGGTAAGCACAAAGTCCACCTTCGTCGATGCCATGAAGGACTCGCCGTATCGTCTGGTAAGAGTATCCATGATGTGTTTGTAGATCTGCGTCAGGTAGTCGCTGACGGCGTCGACGACATTCTTGTTGTACCTCCTGAGCGCCGTCGCCGTCTCCTGGGGACTGACATAGAAGGGTAGCTTTTGCGCCCGATCCAGGAACAGCTTTATGCATCGTAGCCGCGACTCTTCGGGCTTGAATTGGAACCCCCATTTCACATTGGGGACGGTGTCTGCCGGCGCGTCGGGGGCAAGGTCGTACGAGATCTCGGTGGGGACCTTGTCTGATGTGATGCCATTGCCGCCCGGCCACGTCTTGATGATCTCTATATCATCCGGTGTCGACGTGTATACTGCGGCCACGCTATGTTTACATCAGCACGGTGGAAAGGTAGATGACGTTGAGTATTGGGGAGGACAGGTAGACATAGACAGGGACAATAACGAGTCGAGGAATCCATACGAGCATGGCCCTGTCCTCACAAAACCCCTCTTGTTTGTGTATGAAATCATGTCACCACCAAATGAAAACGAACCGTGGCAAACAAAAGACGAAACCCACCCAGAAAAGGTAGTCCCAAAGTCGACACCGACTATAAGGCGGTCATTGACCGGGACAAGCTCCCGCACCGGTCCATTGATGGCCTCGGTCGACGACGGCGGCGTATAATTGGTGAAATAATTCCTGCTGTCCTGATTCCGCGGGCTGCTCCTACTGGAACGGATCGGAAGGTTGAGCATCGTGGCTCGACTCTCTGGCCTGAAAATGTCAGCCTGGCGGGCTTCTGTCTTCACAGCTGGCGCAATGAGTAACGGCCACCACTCGTGCCCCTGCTTGTTTGCGATCAGACCCGCCTCCTTTCTCTCTCTGTCAGTCTCCGTGTTTCCGGGTAACAAAGAGGCCGGTGGTGAGGCTTGCCAACGTACGGTCGGTAGAGACCGACAGACGCAATCGACGCGATCAATTGTCGTCGGCCTTCAGCCCGCCAGTCTTGTGGCACGCAGCAGCTCAGGATGTCCAAAACTCGATCGAATGGCACCTGAGTTGCGGGGCGGGTGCACACTGAAGGAACTCTGGCTTACCCCCCCCCCAACATATACGTCGTTCAATGGGATGCCTGATGGTTTTCAATCTAAACATGTCAAGTATTCGTCAGCCAAGAAAAGCAACGAGGAAAATTAAACTGGATTAAGATCAGCTCCCTCGCCTCCTTGGATGGTCACAGAGAGGAGTAGCTAAGAACAGGCAGCCGCCCATCTGTATCGAAGGATCGCGACGACCCCACGTTACGGCTCCAAACTTCTGCGTTCAATCCTGGCGGGGTGTTTTTATCCTGTTGCCTGGCGGAGGTGGAGGACAGCTGGCGGCCAGGCGGTTGGGTCTGTCTGCCCAGTCCAGCACCTGATCACAGATGAGATCGGAGTGTGTAGCCTTTAACCTTTCTGCTGCCTGACGTTTCTGGCCTCAAGTTGGAGGCGGATGTGTTCATGGATCCCAAATCTCGAGCTTGATTGTAACTCTAAAAGAACATCCAGTAGATTGGTCCTTTTGCAATCCCAGCTTTCGTCCTAAGACTTGAGCAGAGTTGAAGTTCGTTCTTGCATCAGCGTTGAACATGTTGAGTCAAACACGACTTGCACTAGCTTTATTTTTGGGTTTCAAATTCTGTCCAGAGAAACAACACGAGGCAATGATAGCCTCTGGTTTTCTCCATCTAGTTTCGATGCCGCTTCGTAATTCGGCCCGCGTTCCCCGCGAAGGGAACTTATCCATTCGCTATAATGACTGGACGGACGTGCCTCCCCCAACCCGTTCCTTACTGAGGTACACATCATAGGTTGCCCCAACACCAATATACACAAGCACCAACATGTCCCATGTAAAGCTGAGATGAAAAGCAACGAGAGAAGATATGTGATGTGATCCATGCCCCTATCTGGGCCGACAAAAGTGCTTCTTTGAGTATATATACCTCTTTTTCATTTCAAAGGCCAGTGTTACCGTAGATGACAAACTATGCGGCGAGACATCATTTCTTCTAATCCTGGAGACCTGCCCGCTGGGGAGTTTCGGTGACCATTTTCTGCTTCGGCCCTTCCTCTTCCTCCCGTTTTTGTACAGTATTTGGGGTTTTGTTCGATCTTCCAAACTGCTGCCTGCCTTCAAATGATGAATCCCAAGTTGGCTGACTTGTTTCTCAAAATGGAGCGGGCAAACAGCCTCGATATCCATCAACTCTAACAAAAGAAATGACAATGGTCCTGAGGCCAACGCCCTTTCGCAACCTTCACACAAGTCTATATTGGGGGGTATTGTCGAAAGAAAATAAAGTGGAAAAAATTCAAGAGCCCAAATCTGGCTGGAGCATCGAGATATGGAGGGAGAGATCCGGCCTCACAGCAGAACCTAGATTTGTTTGTGAACCAAACCCCAACACTAGCCCGCCAGCCAGACTCCGAAATCGAGTATGTATAATGCATACATTGGAAAAGAGCGTCGCGAAAGATGATGCTGGTCGCCATCTTGACTCCGAAAGAAATTCAAAGGATCCCCCCCAAACACCGTGCCATGATAATTGATAGAGCCCACGTTGTCCCCGAGACCGCCCAAAGAACCAAAAAGCCGTACCGATTGCTTCTAGAATCTGCTCCCTGCTGCCCATATACTCGCGGCAGCAGAAGAGGCCCACTCGCTCTCCTCGTAGGGTGGGGTTGGCCATTTATATTGCTCCCTCCCGGAGTTGCGTTTCAGATCGAGTGGTTTTGGTGCTAAGGGCTCTTGTCCATCTCCGAAAAGCACTTGGTTACCATTTGCCGAAGGTGATGGCGTGGGGTATGGGTTGCTCAGTCCAACGTTACTTGCTGATTGTCGTAGACCTGGCTTGCCATTGTTGTCCATACGCTTCATGGCGCGATGAGCCCCATTCAAAACCTCGTCTAGAAGCTCCTCCTCCTCGTCCGGAGCGTCATATTGGTGTACCCCATGGGTGGCCTGCGCTCTCCGGGTCCGGCTCGAAATTGGACCTCCCCCGCGAGCAGCACCGATCAGATTGTCAACAGACCTAGGCTGGTGGTGAGGGAGTGAGTGATGCCGTTTCAAGTTGCCGTTGGGCGTCGCCAAATGACTTGGGGGAATCGGGGCCTGAGAAAAGTCACCGCTGTGTTGAGCTTCCTTGAGAGCCCTGTCGAGCGATTCGTAGTTGTCAATCTTGGCTGGAGCCGGAGCCGGTTGCGGCTGATCAATGACCATGGACGATCTGTTACTCGCCCAAGGACCACATCCAGCCTGAGCTTCGAGGTCCTCAGAAGTAGGGGAGACGGGTGTCTGGTGCCGTCCTGAGAATCGTCTCGCACGCTTCCGCAGATGGGAGAAGAAACTCTCCTTGTGGCCGCTAGGAGGCGAGGCCAGCCCGGAGGTGGGGTTGGCGCCACCGTTGAGCGCCCTTTCGGCCTGTTGACGGTGGAGTTCGGTATAGTGGTTTGTGGCTGAGGCAACTGACAATTGGCGGCCAATCTTCTTAGCCGTTTGGTCCTCTATCGGAGCGGGTCGGTGGCTTCCGTTCGCGTACGCGTCGTTGTACGATGGTTGTCGGTTTGACGCTTGAGCATGGACGGTGTCTGATAAGGGTGAGATGGGTCTGATGGTAGGGAGGATTGGCATGGGAGCGACATTAGATTGTCCATTAGTCCATGTGGTCCGCTTACCATTTGCTGGCCGAACTTTTGCAGAAGATATCTCGTTCGTCGTAGCCTGTACCGGGGACGGACGTGATGCCGCAGCATCCTTCGCACTGACTTGCGCGTTCGCTGATTCGGTGCTGTCTGAGCGCCCGATCAATGACTTCCTGAACCACGAGGGTTTTGATGTGCTCGGCGTGGTCGTAGCGGAATCCTTTGTGCCGCGACTAATATCCGACTGCTTCCGGCCCAAGATCTTTGACGCAGACGACTTTGGTCTCAGGGGATCGACAGCGTCGGCGAAGTATTCATGTGCGAGAGCCTGGGTTGAAGTAGGTCTGGTCTTTGGGTCCCACATTAGGCACCAAGTAACAAATTGGCTCAAAGAAGCCGGCCATTGGGGCTGTTGAAGGATAGTATCCATGGCATGAGGCGCCATCTTCGGGAAGGAAAAACCAAGCTTGCTGGCCAATCTGGTTCCTTCCCTCCAGTCACCACCGCCAACCCGGCCACCGGCCTTGTTGTACCAGTTTCCCGGGCTGCCCATGATCTCGCATACTCTCCAGACTTGGTCAACCTCGTTGCCTCCAGGGAACAATGGCTTGAGAGTGGCGATCTCAACGGCCATGGCACCAATGGCCCAGATGTCCACGGGAGCCGAGTACTCGCCAGCTCGTAGCAAGACTTCGGGAGCCCGATACCATCTTGTCGACACGTAGGTTGTATAAGGTAATTTCGAATGAGTTTCGCGGGCAAGACCGAAATCTGCGATCTTTACTGTGTACGTTGGAGGTGTTGATGGTGGTGTAACCATGGCACTGTACCGTCTAAAAGTGTTGGATGAGTCATGGTGGGACGACGTCGAGACCAGGATGTTCTCTGGCTTGATATCGCGATGGAAAAAGTCATGGGCGTGGATGTGCTCCAAACCTTGCATGATCTGGAAAAGGATGCTCTTCACACTTGCGTTGTCAAGAGCCTTATGGTCCCTGGCCTTCATTAATTGATATAGGTTCCCCTCCATGTACTCCATGCAGATGTGAAGCTTCTTGGTGAAGGGATCCAGGAAGATGTCCAATGCCGGGACCAAATGGGCGTGGGGTGGTAAAGTGCGCAGAAAGACTACCTCGCGAAGCTCTAGACATGGCGAGAACGACTCGAAAGTCTTCTTCATAGTTTTGATAGCAATCTAGGCAGTTAGTACTATGAAGCAAGAGAAGCAGACAACTACATGGACGTACCACTGTGCCGCGACGAGCTACGCTGGCCCCAGCACTCCGTACTCGTGCCAACACGACGCTGCCAAAACTGCCGTCGCCAATCTCTTTCAAGACCTCGAAGCGGTCCTCGAGCGCCATTCCTGCTGAGCTCTGAGTTGTAGGAGCCCCGCGGTGGGTCAATTCATGGGTGACCGTCATGGTTGAAGTGTGTAATGGGAGAGATAGTGACGAGTCGTACGTGTGGTGGTCGGGTGCGCCGTCTCGGTCGCGAGGGATTGGGGTGAGTCGGTTCTACCAATGGCCAAGGCGTCGCTAGACCCTTGGGTGAGCTCTATGACAGAGCTACACGAGTTTACCGGTGCATTCAGCTCGATGGTCTTCGTCGGTGGTGGACACGGAAGGACTCGTTGATGCCGAGATTGGGTGGTAACACGGGACGGAGCCTCAAGTCGTCGAAGGGGAGAGCTGCACAACACGCGTTTGTCTTCCGGAATGAAGTGAATGACAGGAAATCCAAGATGATAACAGAATAATAGGAGCGAGAGAAAGTAGAACGGATTAATACGTTAGAATCGGGACCAGGGCTTGATGGACCCAGATTATCGGGGTGCGGGTCAGATGGATGCTGGGACTGTTGGGAATAGAGCTTCTGGAAATATTGCGGTCCTTGCTAGCGCATAAGATGCTGGGCCAGGAGAGAGTGACTGGCCGAGTATCCGGATTCCCCGATACATTCGATGTGCCAGAAAATTACAAAAGAGCGACTGTGCTGGTAATGAATTGTACTGCGTTGGTACTGTTGCCGAGTCGTGCCGTCGTTGCTGATGGGCAATTGTCGCTAACGCGCCACCGGTTTAGGTCAGGACCAGGAAAAGAGGCACACGCATACACAGAGACAGAGACAGAGAGACAGAGGGAGAGAGAGAGAGAGAGAGAGAGTTAGAAAGAGGGAGGTATGTTAAAACAATCAATGCAATGCGAAGGAAAAGAGAATAGGCAGCGCGACAATTTGGCCAGCCAGTCGATAATTCAGGCTAGTTGTAATTAGTCGAGCTCCAGTAATTGTCTCTTCGGTTTCGAGTATGAGCGACAGGTAATGAGAGGAGAGCTCGAGATAAGCAGTGGCTGCCAACGCAAGAGCTGGCGACTTTGCTCGTGGGCACTTGCGCTCTTGAGAGCAAGGTCCCGAGGTACTGGCTGGATCGATTTCAGAGGTGTTTGGGTATTTCCCATAGCATGAACAAAGTTCCGGGAGATAGGGGACTAGCGAGATTGGGGAGAAGCCGCTGGTCAAGCCCGCCCTGGAGAGCCAATTTGCGTCGCCGAGCAGGGGTGTCAAGGGGAACATTGACCAAATCTGGCGTGGTACAACTTGGGCGGAGTATTTTCTTTTCTTTCTCTCGACGTCGCTGCTAAGTTTGATTATATTTTTAGGGTTTAATCTTCTGTCTTCGTGCTCCTCTCTGATTAACATCGATGGGCATGGCATGACTTCGAACAACGTTATCTACTTTTTCTTGTCTTCATTTCCCGATATTTAACAAACGGGCGCTTCCTTCCCGTCGTATCTGGTTTGTGTCCTTAGAGTTTTTGTACCTGACCGCTGGGCTGCACAGTCCCTTTGGCCCCGCTTTAGCTCATCAGCTGCGTGGTTTGACGGCGGGATGACATTGACTCTCCCACGCCTCTGCGGCGACGGGAATGGGAATACATACAGTAGAGGCCGTACTGTGTACTTGCGTGCTTGCCCTGTGGCAGAACGCGGACAATCGACTAATTCGACTGGGCTGGATGATTCGCAAGGCTAGGTCAAATCTGATGGCTGTCCGCACTGTCAGATCAACCTAATAAAGTGCATGCAGCTACCAGGGCGAGGGACATTGCCCCCCATGAAAATATATTGCATCAATGGTTGTCCCTTCGAGGCAAGATCTTATGTTTGTTATTGTCGTTCATAAACCAGTGACCAGGTGATGACGCTGCCATCAATAACCTTCCTCATCGAAAGCCAGTTAAAATCATGAGATCCAGCAACAAGGCGATTGCTGTCACAATGGCGCCCAGTAACACAGTTATATTGAGGCATGGGTCGGCGGAACGACCATTCTGGTTTTGATCAGTGCCAACGCACGACCCTCAGAAGTCGGCTGGCCCGTCTCAACCACTCGCGGCAGTCGAGCACCATCACTTTTCTGGGCATCGCCTGTCTCCCCTGCCCTTGGACGAGCCGTTTGACGGGCTGACGGGGCTTGACAAGCGGAAGAGGGGGGCCATTGGTAGATTTTAGGCCAATTGCGGATTTGACGAGCGCTGACGGGCCAACTTGATGTGGCGCGAGACCCTCATCAATAGTGCCATGGAAAAAAGCGTGACTAACACGCAACTCTTGTTGTTTTGACCGCCAGTACGAAGCATCACTCGCCGTCTTTATAAGATAGTCACAAACCCAAACCCACAGTCTGCCAATCATCACACCACGAGCTGAGAACAGCGGGTTGCGTTGCATTAGACCACAAATACTTGTTTCCCATTGCTCTGCTTGCTTGCACGGAACTCGGCCATCCAGCTGAAGGCATGAAGTATCAAACATCTCCTGTCCGCTATCGTATGAAAAGTGGTCTTCGTCCCAGGCCCGCCCTACGAATATTCGTAGAGCTGCGGAGCTAGCGATGGTGCTAAATAAATATCAGACCGGACCCCAAATCGAAAAGGGGAAGGACCGGGCTTGTGGTCAAGCTTCAAGTGCGTAAGACCAGATTACAGATTGGCGTCAGGGAAGACGGACGTCGTGCGCAGTGGCGCAATGGCACAGTGCTGTGCAGCAAGTGCAGCAGCTTGGGGGCAGGCAACCCGGGGCCCACGGTTTTGTTGGTCCTTGGCTGATGAAGCTCTTCACGATCTCATCAAATTGCAACCCAACCACCCGGAAACACATGTGTCAGGCGTAAAATAATGTATGATGTGCAGGCAACTCTCCTCTTTGGCGCGGACTGGGTGCCAGAATTGTGCAAGTGTTGTGTGGAGGACGAAGCTACAGCCCAAAAGAAAATTGGCAGCGCAAGGGGCAACCTGCCTGTGGAGCGGTCCGAAGGAAGTATCGTTTTGTGCGAATTGTTCCATGCGTGTTCCACGGTACCTTGGAAAATCTACTTGGAAACCTGGCCTTGCGCACTCCATGCGCTCATATTGCAGGTTATCACAGCTGAGTTTCTGTGTACCGGAGACCTTGCGCGAGCGATCTCATCCTTCTCTCTCCTGAGCCAACTTCGCGGGCCCGCCGCAGTAATTCCGGTCAATGAGCATCCACTTTGGTCGCTTGGCCCGTGTCCCTTACCACGAAAAACAGCTTCTCACACTTCGCTTGAACGCTCATTAGTACCTGAACCATACTTTTGCATTTCAGAGCCTATTGATTGGGTGCAGGTCCAAATATGGGTACTCAACCCCTCGCCTTTCTGAGAAAACGGACGACGCGTGTCTGAGCTCTGCCCACGCGTTGGTGAGGAAACATGCAAGGGGTGATGACTCAAATCAATGTCTATCACTCAATAGTGCTGGACGTCACCCCTCCCATGGCGGCCAAGATGCCCTTGATCGCTGCTAACTGAATGCTGCGCACAGAGACTACGTTCGGCACGCCCAGCCACATGACGGAAGAGGTTTTCATGAGACGACAGCGGCGAGCCAAATCTTGCGGGAGCAAGCCGCGGTGGCCCGTGGCAGACTCGAGGCTTTTTTTCGATCTTGAAACGCGTCCGGCATAACATCAAGCGTGGGGCCAAAAGCAAAAGGCAGAAATGGCAGACCGACGGCACCCCAAGCCCAGCAGCAGCTTGTATATTAGCTTTGCCGGAACAAGCCTACAGCGCTGGCTCGTCTTCAATAAGGCACTTGTCCATCGCCTGCTTAAATGCCTCCGGCTGAACCTCAATGCGCACAATACATCTTATCCGGCCTGGCCTTTTGGTTGCTGCTGCTACTAAATGTACAAAGCTGAGACCGCTTCTGTCAATTCTGTCAACGAGGCATTCGTGGGCGATCGGCGTGGGTTCGTAGACCCGTGGCAGGGAGATCCCTCTTCGAGAGCCGTGCTCGCATGAACCATTAAACAGTTGATGCGCTTTGGGCCTTTTGGCGGTTATTCTGAGGGCGTGGGGAACGTGATACCGAGGGCCAAACGTATTTGTAATTGGTCACTAATGCCCTGGACCCCCGTATTGGACCGTCCAATTCTCAAATGCGCATGATTCAAAACAAAAACGGAATGGATAGCTTGATGGGCGACAGACGTGGTCCAGATCCAGTCTGCAAATCTCCACGACTTCCAACCGGCTTCCTAGAAACGAACAGGCGAGGGAGGTCGTGGCGAGGAGTGCCGACCAGACAACGAAACTGGCGTGCTTCTCCCAGGTATCCAAGTCTGTCCAAGCAATTCCCAGGTTGTCTGGGGGCTATAATAGACAATGATGTTACATGATGCCTGGGGATTATACATCGTGGCGGGACTTGTAACACACTTGAACCTTTATTCGAGCAATTAATACTCGGAATCGAAGGAATATCATGCGACTCCCCGATCACATTCTTTGGAGCCAATAAACCGCGTAAGTGGAAACCCAGCCTTCCCAGAGCTATTGAACTGACTCGCTCCTCAGCAGCTACCACTTGCCACTTGTTGCCAGTGACAAGCGGCACGCTTGGACACGTCCGTTTGTCAATACACGGCGTCCGCTATTGGAGTCAATGTTTAACTGTGGCTCGCTCGCTCGTGCTAGACGGCGTGCGCTCTGATGAAGCCAAGTGGCTCTCAACTGTTACTGCCTGCCTGTGCGGCCGCTTGTATATTTCACTGAGCCCCGGATACCCTGGGGTTTACCGATCATTATGGAGAACAGACCACTCCAGACGGCGTCAATATTCAGCCTCTCCCCCAGTACTACTGAAACGGATTGATGCGGTCTGTTTTGTCTTGATCATTGGGACGAGCTTGAAGTCAAGTTAGACACTGTCCGATAGTGTGGCTGCAGGGCATCTAGACCCTACACCTAACCTGTCTGCCACTCCTTTGAGAGTTTACGCCCGACATATCCAACCCCCTCCGCCGCCAACATAGCCATTGCGACCTTCTTCACCACCACATTTTTGCCAACCCAAGTCACTCAAATTCTACGTCCTGAGAGGAATTCTACGCGGTCCCAGCAGTGTCAAGCGCACTGCGAACTGTCAGCACCCTGCGTCTCCCCACATGCCGGGTGCACACCCTGCCTCTCACTCGCAGAAAGGGGTTTACTGCACTGCCATTTCATAGCTCCTAGTAGTAACACTGGTTTACACATGACTTGCTAGGGGGCAAGGGGGGAAACTCACGATGTTGACCGCGAACTAAATACCCCGGACGATGTGACAGGCTCATGATTGTTTACGGGCGAGTTGCGCCGTTGACATCGGTGATGTTTGCTCCGATTATGATTCACAAATCAAACAACGATGGTATATCACTTCCTTATAACCACATTTTCCATACTGGTTCCCCTTGCGCTGTTATCACATCTATATTCTATGAGAGGTTTGCCGTTCGGCCAGCCCTGACATGTCTTGGCAACGCAGTTGGTGATGATGGGACACCGTGAAGCAAACACGTCGAGATTTTTTTTCTATAGAGCAATATCGACTTGGAGAAGCGTCGCGGTGGTTGGATATAGAGAGTGCTTCATCTGGAGAGTAAGTAAGCAGGTTTGTTGATTTGGTCTACAGCTTCTTCTCATCGTCTTTTCGACATGGGCGGCACTGTGTGTATTGTCCGTCAAGCCTGGCATACCGAGTACCATGTCTGCGCATACACCATTCAACAATGCACTACCAAAACTTATGGGTGTGGTTTCTATCTTTGCGGGCGTGGCTGCTGGCCTCTGTCGGCGCTCGAGCCGTCGGTCCTGCTCCGATCGAGTGGCCGCTTACTTACACGTGTTTCGACTCCAGCGTGGAGTGTGCCCCACGTCGTCCAGGTTGGAATCGGTACCCCATACAGAAAATTTCCGTCCATTTATCGACCTCGGAAGACCTTGTTGTTCTCTGGGGTCGAAACCCAATCTCGCTTTGCCATAATGTATCCGCGGGGTGCAGTTTACAAGTGGGTTTATGCCAGATGGCCTCGGTGCATCGAGCAGCGCCCATATCCTCGACAGTGGGGTCCTGGAAAGCTCGTGAGATGCCGGCCAGCTCATGGCGAACGGGGATTCGTTTAACGATACATGGAGTATTGGCGGGGCCCCTATTTCCAATATCATGTACGGCGTCTCGGTGTTGTCGAGTAGTTCAGAGCAAGTCATGGCATATGGGTACTTCGGTCTGTCGGACAACAGGTGAGCGAGCGTCTATCCAGATACCAATATTCTTCCCTTCCTTGATCTGTCTGGAGCAAAAACTCTCTTGGCAAGAACTTCCCCAAAAGCCCCGGCTGGTCCTCTCAGCCCGAGTGAAGAGTGCCTAGCTAAGTTGTTGATTGACTCCCCATGTCGGAATAGAAGGCCAGCGCTATCAAAGAAACATTAACACACAATGTGAAGGCAGCAGCCAGTGAATGTTGAGATCAGTGACTGGTCTCATGGTTGACCAAGGGTTGATACCCTCACAAACCTACAGTGTCTGGTTCGACGGACTAGTGAGTAGAACCACTTCGCCGTTGACTTGCAAGGCTGACTTGAGGGCAAGGGGAAACGCGAGACGGATCTATAGTATTTTGCAGCGTCGACACGGCCAAGTACGAATAATTCACGGTAAAGTTCCCAGGCCACGACGCCACCAACGTAAGGATGTGCAACAGCGGCGGCGCATACGGCGTGGAGCTCTTCTCCGTGACAACTGTCAGCCTTACAGGGGTCGACATGATTCCCTCAGGCTTTCAGCCGCTCTTTGGGCCACGAGTCTGCTCACGTATGCTGTCTTCCTCCCTACCGATATGGCTCACGCTGTCTGGTCCGCGGTGGGTGCCACGGCAACCACCGAGATATTCGACGGACTAGCCTGCCCCCGCTCCTGAGGTCGACATGCGTCGTCTTCGACGCCATTAACCAGGAGTAGGGTATCGCCCGGAGCAAGCGCAACACGGCCTAGTCCAGCATTGTCTCATTCCCGAGTCTGGGGCTTCTGTCGGTTCGGCCGAAGATACGAACAGACTCTCCTCCGTTGCGCAAGCTTCTCAATGCTTCTGACAGCACTAGGTAACTCGGGTTAGTGATGTCAAATCATGTGTACAGCAAGCTGACGACAAGCATATCTTTTGGCAATACTTTCTTGGTTGGTCGACTCGAATATTCACTTTATCCTTTACAGATTATGTCTGCCCGGTGATAATGCCTCGAAAAAGACGACAATTGTAAGCCGTTATAAAGGGTATAACGGGAAAAGGCTCAAAGTTGTCAATTTCGAACCCAGTTTACGAGCAGCCGCATCCATAGATGGAAAGCTAATGTGGTTATACCCTGGCTTCTTCTAAAAGCTGTTCAACCCATCTCCCGTTATTACTGTGTAGCTGTTACCTAGGCCTTGTTCAGACCGCGGCTAGCTAAGCCCTCTCTAGCTGAGATCATTTTGAATATTGTTACCACGGGATATTCAAACTTGGTATGTATTCTGTAGCTCATGATAAAGCCTGCTATAAGAAAAGCATCATCGATGAATCCATTGGCTGCGTCGGCTATTTCTAACACGCTTGAATATTTCCATACCCAGATACATGAACCTGAATTATCGAAATCCAAGCACCTTTACTACAGTTTCCTTCACTATAGTAAAAACCCCCTTGTCCGGTCCTACGTTATTCTGATGGCCATTCTTTAAGATTGGCAAAGCCGTAAATGAGAGATTTTATCAAAGAACAGACTCAAGTTTAGAGACGAAGATGACCCCTCTACCGCCCTGGCTCGTTCATGACACTCTCCTCACTACTTTGACGAACGCCGCATCGCCAGCTTAGGTACCCAGTCCCTATTCACTTCGAATGGATGAAATCTATGACAATGTTACGCTAGTTATCCGTCCAGCTCTTCTACATGAATGTAGAACTCTAGTGTGAACCATGAAGAGAAAACCACAGACCCAACTCTCCCCACCTCCCCTTCCCACGATCACCTATCCACCGAAGAAATTCAATGATGCACTAGAAAATCTGCCTGTCCAAAGGGCATACCTCCGTATGGTGGTTGTGGTGGTGGTGATTCCCCAAGTTTGGGCTGAGGAAGGCTCAAGTTTGCACAGGTCTGTCACAAATGAAATCTAATGGTTGCAAGTACATACTCTCAACGATACAAAATTTAGTACATATACGAAATAAGACACCTAAGGACAAATGCACGACCATGGTCCACTTTGAGTATTCGTGGTGTCATCTAACCATACTTCAGTAGAGCAACTAAAAGCAGAGCTTCTTTGGCTCCGAATACCCTTTTGACTAGTAGTTGTCTAGCCTGGATTATTCATTTATGAACGGTCTTGACATCCATGCCTGTCTTCCAGCAACCACACCTGGGCAAGCCTTATGGCAACAGTTGATGGTGTCTGGTAACCGAGTTTGTACTCCAACCAAAATCACCTCTAAACTCCGCTGATCCGCGCAGTCTAGGGGGTTGGCAACGAAACGCTATTCAACCGGCCGTCGTATCCATGGCATCACCGGCCAACTTTGCCTCGGCAATTGCCACCCGTTCAGCTTTCCAAGCCTGAACCTGCCTGCGCAGCTCGTCAACCGGTATCACGTCCTCGATAGTCATGGGATTTCGGTTGAAAGGATCTCTAGCGTCAGACAGCAGGTGCTGCACAATTGTCGAACGGTCCACAATCGCCTTGGAGGGAAGTAGGACGGGGTCTTCCATGAGGATACCCATAATGGGGTCCTCGAACTCCGATGGTACCTCGCCGAGATCAACCTCAGCCTGGTCGGCAATCTCTTTCGCCTTTGCCACTTTCTGCTTCAGCGTGGCCCACTTAGCGAGTTCCTCGGGCGTCTTCAAACCCTTTCCGCTCAGGATCTTGGACGCAGCGTCAAAGTTGGCGGGCTTGTATGAACGTCCGTCCGCAGCGACAGCGTCGATGAAAGCCTCCTGAGAGCCCAAATTCAGATAGATATCAATGAACCCGGACAACAGCGTCTTTGCGTCGAAGTTGTACTTCTTTGCGTCTTCCACCTTGAGGTTCCCTCTCTTGGGTCCAACGAGAGTCTCGAGGTTGTAATCAAGCATGCTTGCCAGCCGTCCCACAATCTCAGGCATGGTAAAAGCATCTTTCAAGGCTTCGGTAAACAACTTCATCATGGCCATGGTCTCGTTGACGAGAGACATCCAGCTCTGACATTGCTGCTCTGCTTGCTCCATGTCAGACTGCACCTTTTCTCTGTCCTCTGGAGACAGCGATTGGTCGAGAAGTTGTTTCTGGTAGTCATGGATCTTAGCCAGCTTTGACAAAGCTTCGTCAAGCAGGTAGGTCGCGTCGTTCAGGAGCAGATTGACGAATTGCACGAAGAACTGTCGATTGACCCTGTGGGTTGTCAGTACAAGGTGTCACTCGGTGATACCAGATTTGTAGTTACGCACTTGCTCTCTTTGCTTAATTGCTCCTTGTAGACGCTGTTCTGCCAGATAGTCTTCATGACCTGAAAGATTTCATATCGAATGTTGAATCTGTCGTAGAATGCAGTACTGACACCACTGGATTCGCATTCTAATTATGTCAGCTTTGATGTCAACAGCACCAAGTTCGGACTTACCAATGTAGAACTTCATGAGAGCATGGAGCAAATGTTCGTTGGCAAACTGGGACCCGACCAGAATATCACCAAGTATACCGCGACTAAGATGATACATCGGGAATGTCCCAGAGAAGAGAAGGGTCACCAGCGAGGACTTGAGATACGGGTTCTTGACGTACTCCGATGATCTCAAGAATGTGATGCACAGGGCCGCGATCTCATCGCCGACAGCTGACATCATGATTTGGGGCATGAAGCTGTGATTGCTGTGAGCTCGATGTTGATTTCATGTGGCATTTTGAATAAAACATACCGCATCACAAACTTGAAATTGTCCACAACATCCTGTAGAGCATATTCGGGCAAGCAATTAAATTCTTGTGGTGAATCCTTGGAGAGCGGGAGTTTGAGGCTCTGTCCAGGTACATACGCAGAACCACTTGCCACGCGCAGAAGCCATACCGTAACATAACGCATGAACTGCAATGACAGCGTCTGCATGCTCTTGTCGGTGAGAACTCCTTCTATAGAGAATCGTAACGCCATGGACTTCTCCAAAACGTTAATGATCTTATCGTATTGCAGCTTCGCCGCAAACATTTGCGGGGAGTTCTACCTAATCAGTTTTGGTCCATGAACGACGGGGAAGACAACTTACGTTCGGGAGCTTTTTCATATTTTCACTCATCTCCTTCTCAGCCCTCTGGAAGTGTTTGATGTCTTTGTCCAGATCTTTGAGCTTGGAGTTGGCCGCTTCGCTGCCATAGTGGTGGGCGGCGAGGTTCAAGAAAAACACCTCGGAAATGAAGTTAGATGTTCCTTCAACTTTCTTGTCGTAAAATTCATCCGATGATGACTGGTCTGCATTCAATTTCGTTTCGTCGCTTATGTTCACTCTGGGGTTGCGCCGGAGGTAGTCGATATCAATCTTGGATATCTTGGAAAATGATGCGTCCATGAAAGGTTCGCAGAGCTGATCTAGCGTTGCCGTGACATTCACCATGAAGCCATCAGAAGCAACATGCGTAGGGTTCAACTGTAGGGCACGTCGTTTGTGGTTGGTGTTCACGATGAACGCAAACCAGTCGAGAACGCGGTTGCGAGCCGTCTGACCAGAGCGAACAAACGCATTGATGATGCTCGTTAGGTCCCCTTGATGAGTTTTCAGAGTCATTTGCAGAGCACTTTGTGAGGTTTTGATATGTCCGGGATCAATGGTCCGGGGATTCGCGAAATAGGACTTGGTGACCTCGGGCTGCAGGGGCGAAATGCGGAAAAAGGGTCCGAGAATCGAATCAACCTCACTCGACACGGCTATCTGCTCCTTCGTCATGCCAGGCGTAGGTGTCACCAGGAAATGGTCATGTTGAGCAAGAGCATCCAATAGAGCTGGGTAGCGAGAATATGTGACCAAGCACTGTCTCGTTAGTGCGTGCCTGCCAGTTTCGAAGTTGAACTTACGTTTACGTATGGTCTGTAGTCGTCATTCATGGACATTGTGGCAAGCTTGTTGCTTATTTGGACCATGGCCTCGGTGAAGATGGGAGCAATCTGCTCGTCTTCCTTCATGCGAGAGACTGCTTCGTTAAAGAAGTCCAAGCAGACACCGTCATCATTTTCATGATGACGGAGGAGATAGGGGGCCAATGTATCGTGGCTGGCGTTGGGTTCTCGACTGGAGGCATGATGAATAACGATTCTCGGACGCGAGGGAAGAACAAGAGAACTTACCCATAGAGATCAGGCATAGTGAGAGCGAATATACAGTGACTCATACAGAGTCGTTTGGCTTCGTCTAATACTGCTTGCTTCTCAGGGGTCGGTCTTCGCGACGTAGACGCCGCCCGCACTACCCTCTTAAAGCATGGAAGTAAATAGCTGAACAGAGGTCTACTGGCTGGTACGGCACTGGCAGCTTCAAGAATGGCTTGGTCTATGTTGAGGGCGGTCAACTTGGTCGGCTCGCCACTTCGCTCGATCTCATCCTTCAAATTTGGAAGGTACGCCAGTCTTGCGCCACGACTATCGAGGGCACGAGTCACATCCAATGTAACACGAAATACGTCGCTCAATACTCGGTCAGACCAGTCGTCGATTTTCTCGTCTTTGACATGAATTTTCTTGGCAGGCGGTGCCGCAGCTGGAGAGGCTTCTTCATCAGCGCATGTGCGTGTATGAGGATGCCGCTTGAGGGGCCTAGTAATACCTGTTTCCATCTTCCCTCCAGATTCCGACTTGTTCTTGATCCCAAGCTGAGAAGAGGGAATCGAAGATGACTTAATTGTATTTGAGATATTCTGGGTCGTCGACTCTGCTGGCCGGCTGTTCTCATTGTTTGACGTCGAGCTGGCCTTCGGCGTTTCGCTAGGAGTGGATGGGGCCGGCTGGGACGCGGTCGGCGGGGATGACGAGGCATTGCTTGTCTTGTTCAGCATAGCCAAGCGCTTTCGCCGCATCTGTGAAGTATTTGTCAGCCTCTGAGAAAGCGCATATTTGCTGCGATGGGAACCAACTTACCTGCTCCGCAGGGGGCAGAGTAGGCTCTGGAGGCGACGGCTGGTCGTTTGGATCCATGCTGGGAACACCGAGGATGGATAATCAATCGCGGCGTGAGAGCATGTGCATGGGACAGTGTGATGCCCTATATCATTGGCATGAACAACAAAGGTGAAGGATGTTCCAACGCAATTTGGCAATGTACATTAGAAGCTTGAATGGTACGGTTAAGCCAACGCACTTAGCTATCTGGCGGCGAGGGTTGCTTAGATGAATGACCTTGATGTGACCAAGTGCTTTTATCGATAAGCCTTACTTCTATGGGCCCTTAGGTAGAAGGTGTCGGAGTTAACGGGTCCGACAGGCAAACCCCTCCAACTGAATTCTTGCTTTAAATAGTTCGAATTATGACATAGATACGCGACCTAACTTGGTATTATAAAAATCAGAATTGTGGAATACCTCGGGTGGCTTCCTTCGAGAATGACAATGATAGTAAAAACCACGTTTTCAAATTATGAAACTTGCGTTTCGAAGCTCTTTATTTGCTTGACACATACTAGTCACTAATAATGGAGATATGGAGATTCTTTGACCAGAATACGACTAACTTATTTGGGTAGCAACCTACTTTAAGCCACTGCCCTCTTTCCTACCCGTAGAATCTGAAAGATTGCAATAGACAGGTTATTACTCATACGCCAAATACCGCTACAAGCTGACTTGATCATTACACAAGGTTAATTCTCAGGGGGTAGGTTGCATATGGCAAGCGGAGGATAGAATAAACGGCGCACCAAGGTTGGATAATTTGGGATACCACGGTATTCCAGTGTAATCGACAGGAATAACCGTTATTCCACATAGAGTGCGCCGTTTGTTCTGTCCTTCACATGGATGGTTTCCTCATTGAGAGCTCCAATATGACCCGATGCGTGGGTAACTGGGCTTTGGGTAGACTCGATCTTTTTAAGATCTATGGATGCAGAGCCGAGGCATTGGGCAAACTCGTTTCTTAGTTGTCCATAAACTCAGGTCGAATATAATGGGAAATCCTTCGGTCCCCCATCTTCTGTTCTGCATTTGTTATCTGTTATGAGCTAAGAAAGACATGTCAGACAGCCAACCCAGAGTCTTGTCCCTGCAACTCAAGTATATTGACTCTAGAGGGTTGTACTAGGTATTCAGAGGTTTCATAAGTACTTGAATCCCTTTAGGAAACGGACATCATGGGTCAGATCTCCTAGAGACCCCAGACCCAGCATTTGATTGTATTTACGGTTCTGGGTCTTGGGGGGCTGTCTAAGATATTTGATACACTGAGATTGACGACGAGTTGCTTGTTCCTCTCCATATGATGTTGCGGATTGGATCATTCACTTACATGTAGTGAAGAGGGACATAAGTTGGAAGACATTTCTGAATACCTGAGTTCTGTACAAAGTTCACATCAAAACGTTCCCGAAGTCTATACCTAGAAAGGCTTAGTACATATTCTCCCGTTAAGACTGCTGGAACTTTCTTTCGCCGACTACCGGGCCCAACAGATCGGCACCTGGCATCAACGTCAACTTAACAGCTTTCGCCAGCTCGAACGCGCTGGACACCGAGCACTGCAGGTAAAGAGGTCTGCAGTTGCCCTTGGAATAATGCTGCAATCCTCCTCCGCAGTCACCTCCTAGAATCCATTGGAAATTCGTCAAAGCGCACATTATTGGAGCAATACCCGATATTGCCGTCTTCAAGAAAGGCGCGGTCCCCCGGCCCCGAGTGGCCCGGTTTCCACATCACCGAACCTAGACAGACCTTTCGCCTTTCCTGCATCTGATAGTCTCCCAACTTTGGCAACATCCTACCCCAACCCCTACTCCGATCTCATCTCGTTGCGACGGACGGGAAAGGGTTGCGCCATCACACAACATGGCATTCCAGACGGCAGCGTTGCCCAGCATCGCTGCTGTGACTACAGATCTGTGGCCATCCATGGCCAACACTCTGATGATGCCTTTCCGCGGAGCATGGTTACCGCCGACCCCGAAACACTCGTCAACATGTGCGCCCAAGCTTGAATTGAGCGAGCAATCCCGACGCCAGCAATCATCACCCACTCAGGCCAACGCCCACCCAAAGTTCGAACTGCCTGAATTCCTTCGCGATGCGGCCTACGATGGTGCCCTCATGCCCAGACACGTCCCATCCGTGTTTAATATCCACCGATCCATCTCTACCATGTCTAGTGGTGCCCTGCTCGCCTCGAATCCCATCGTCCGTCGGCTGAACGCTCAACGTCTTGCGCTTCGACCCCTGTCTACCTTGACTGCAACACGCACGCCCTTGTCTTCGAGCTCTTTCCCTATGACGATTGTTCCCCAACGGCGATTTTCTCAGAATGGCGGGCTTTCTAGGAATCTTCTGGCTCATATGGAAGAATCCGCGAACAGGAACCCTTCAAGCGCAACCGCCCAGAATGCATTCTACCAAGCACTCCTCAAAGCCAACATGCCCGCTATCATCATCGAGAGATACCGCTCGGGTCGTTTCGCCACCAATGCAGCTGCAGATGAAGTATACCAGAAAGCTCTCAGCCAGCTCGCTCCTCCCGGTGCCCAGGGAATCGATACTACTGAGGACAATCTCCCCTCCGATCTGACTCCGACCCAGCTTCAGGCTGTTAAACAAGCCTTGGCGGCTCGTGCGCGGGGTGGCAACCTTGCCGTCGCTAAGGGCACTTCTGGTGGTACTGCTGGTAGTGGTGCGCCGCTCCACGTTGTTGTCGACGAGACGATGGGCAGTGCTCTCTTCCGATGGGTCAAGTTTATTCTCTGGTTTTGCCTCTTTACGTATCTAAGTCTGGTTATCATCACTATGCTGGTCGAGGGCATGAGCGTGCTCAAGCGCCCAGGTGCCAAGGTCGACAGTGAAGCTAAGTCTGAATCGCAAAAGGCCAGGTTCTCCGATGTGCACGGTTGCGACGAAGCCAAGGAAGAGCTGCAGGAGATGGTGGACTTCTTGCGAAACCCGGAAAAGTTCTCTACACTTGGTGGCAAGCTACCCAAGGGCATCCTACTTGTTGGTCCTCCTGGAACTGGAAAGACGCTGTTGGCCAGGGCTGTTGCTGGCGAGGCCGGCGTTCCCTTCTTCTACATGTCTGGCAGCGAATTCGACGAGGTCTATGTCGGTGTTGGTGCTAAGAGAGTCCGAGAGCTCTTTGCAGCGGCCAAAGCTAAGTCCCCTTCGATTGTCTTCATTGATGAGCTTGATGCCATTGGCGGTCGTCGTAACGCGCGTGATGCTGCCTATGTCAAACAAACTCTGAACCAGCTGCTTACCGAGTTGGACGGCTTTGAACAAAACAGCGGTGTTATCATCATTGGTGCAACAAATTTTCCCCAACTCCTCGACAAGGCTCTCACTCGTCCTGGACGCTTCGATCGCCACGTGAATGTGGACCTACCTGATGTCCGTGGCCGTCTTGCTATCCTGCAGCACCATGCCAAAAAGATCAAAGCGGACAAGGACGTCGATTTCAAGGCGATCGCCATGAGCACAGGCGGGCTGTCAGGTGCTGAGCTTGAGAACATCGTCAATCAAGCCGCTGTCCACGCTAGCAGAGCCAAGGCGAAGTGGGTCGGCCTCAAAGACTTTGACTGGGCCAAGGACAAAGTCATTATGGGCGCTGAGCGCAAGACCATGGTTATTACTCCAGAAGAGAAGGAAATGACTGCCTATCACGAGGCCGGTCATGCTCTGGTGCAGCTACTCAGCGAGAACGCGGGGAGTCAGCTTTACAAGGTCACCGTACTGGCTCGTGGCGGGACCCTGGGGCACACTGCGTATTTGCCGCAAATGGACAAATACTCATGGAGCAAATTGAACTATCGGACTTCAATCGATACGGCTTTGGGTGGAAAGCTTGCCGAGGAGATCGTCTATGGGGTAGACAATGTCACCAGCGGTGCAAGTGCGGTAAATCAAATCACCTGGAGAAAATCAAAGCATTGCAGCTGAAAGCTAATACTACGCCTACAGGACATCAAGTCGGCGACATCAACTGCCTTCGCCATGATAGCTCAGATGGGCATGTCTCCAAAGCTGGGGCACATGGAATATGGCAGCAGATATGACTCCCTGAGTAGCGAGACCAGGGCTCTGATTGAAGCCGAGGTTCAGCGCGTCCTAGATGAATCATACGAGCGCTGCCGGAAATTATTGACGGATCATCGCAAGGAACTCGACTTACTTGCCAAGGCTCTCGTCGAGTACGAGACACTGAGCAAAGCTGAGGTAGAGAAAGTGATCAAGGGTGAGAAACTTACCGACCGCATCTCAGTACCCAAGGATCAACCGATGACTGTCCCCGTCCCTGAGAGGCCCAGTGGGCAGCTTCCCGTTCCCGAAGATAATGGTCCAAGACCGCCTCCGCCTGCTGCGCCCCCTGCTCCTGGCGGTCTAGCAGCAGAACAAACACCGGAATCGGCAAGCAAGAAAAGGCCATGATCCTCTACCGATCTGAGTTGTTTCAAGTTTGTGACGAGGCAGTTATAAATAATCGTGCGGATACACGTGACATCAGCAAGGCGTTGTTATTGGAGCCATTACTGCTTGCAATGGTTGGAGGAGAAAAGCCCTTGGATTTTCAGGGCAACAGCTCAAGAGCCAGTCGCATAAATATGAACACCAAACACCACTGAGCGCGGCTAGAATGGAGGGGCACGAAAAGCCTCGTCATGTCTGCTTGCCTAGGTGGTATCCGGCGGTCAAATCGAGAGATGTGTACTTTTGCAAAGTAGGCATTGGCGTGCGAGCAATCAAATGACAAGATTTTTTTACGTAACAAAAAGCGACAGACTCAACCCTAGTTTATGTCGTCAACATTTCTTCTACCATAGGATACCGAGCCTGTGCAAACTGGTACGTTTGAAGGCTCATCAATATTGCTACTACATGGTCGCCTGGTCAACCAGTAGCAACTGGAAGTTGACTGCTGACATCAGTATCTCCGCTCAATTTGCATAACAGATCTTTCTGCTACTGCCATGCTTAATTCACATTTCGATAGCAGGATAGCTTACTCTCACATGTGATTGCACATAATTCAAAGGTGCTCGGGTTCAACTGCTCTCATTTGGGCTTTGTGCCTATATTCACTCCCGATGAGAGCATAGCATTCATACAAATTGATTTGGTTACGGCAGCAACATTGGCCTAAATTTGACTTGTGCCAGTCGGGCAAGCCTATCAATGCCCGTTCATCCATAACCGGCTCACCCCTTCGTACTGCATTGCTCAGACACCACTTCCATGTATCATGAAGCTAGCCCATCTCGCACTTGCTTCAACTAACTTGAATCTTCGGGCCGTATTTGAGCCAACTGTCTCAAGGCAAAGAACGAACAGATTCAGAGCTAGAGCTCAAGTATCCAGGCTTTCATTTTCCCACCGGTAGTTTTCCGTACATCTCAAGTGAATTCCGTTGATAGTGGAGAGACACCCACACCGATCGACGGGTTCACAAGGTCATGCAACCCGAAAAATAAGAAAACCGTGAACAGGGGCATGGCAAGTAGGGATATGGGGGTTATTAATGAGAAATGCCGAGTAAGCACTTGCAACGTGCCTATTTGGCTGCTGCAAGTTCCACACAAATACGGAATACGAAATACATAATATTTGTATACATGTAGAGTAGAGTAACCTGCGCAGAGCGAGCCTAAGTCCTAAATGGATGGATGGACACATGGACGACAAAGAACATACAACGAAGTGCATAACTTCTGTTACTACTAATTTGAGGACAATAATCCAGCAGCATTTAACCACAACCCCGGAGGCGGTGCCAAAGCACCCGACGACGGTCGACAACTTATGCGAATAATAGGTTAAAGACGAAAGGATATGCTATTGCGGCAGAAAACTTGGAATACACATCGGGCTGGGTAAACTAGACAGAACGCTCGTATCATATTCGTATGAGAAGAGCAGCACATCCTCCAATAACCCTTTCGTTCATTAGATGTGAACACCTTACCATCCATCCCTCTTTCTCAACATTGCTTTCACCCCATTCAACGAAAAGAACCAACCCATGAGGAATCTGCTTGCCACCAAAGCGGTATGTTTACATCCTCTTAGAAGGCGGGACAAGACATCAAAGAATGCAAGGTGAGGTTCTGAAGGACTCGCATGTTCAGAGGGAATTAACTATATGATACAGGTATGTTTGCGTGCACTCGTCATTCCCTTGCCACCTGCGTAAACCATGAGCCGTTGCTTTTCGATGCTGATCGTCATACTCATGAACAATAGTCCCGTTCAGCTTTGTCTCCTTATTCTCTTTCAGACTCCTTCTCCGACTTGATTATACCAAGGGATGTGTGTTTGTAGTTCCACTATCACCACCGACCACCGGGATAGCTTGCGCTACCAACATCACAAACCCCGTACTCCCGCATCATGTAGCTTGCGCGGCCTGATCGGAAACCGATAGGTATTGGTCCTTCGACGACCTTTTCACCTCATCTACCCCCGAACAACGACACACATGAAGCTGTTATAATATTCATCCGGCCCGGTTGGCACAGAAGTCGTATAGTAGTGAGAACCCCAAATGGAAAACACCCCCCTAAAACAGCAGGAAGGCAAACCCAGAAGGAAAAGAGCTGTATGGGCACGCCTGAGCTGTAGTTTACAGCCTCCAGAGTTTGTTCAATCACCGAGACAACGACAATGATAATAACCGAAGTGCTATTTTGTTTTGATGTACTTCGAGAAAATGCTTGTCCTTTCCTTCCAACCTATCCGTCACCCCTTCCACCGGACCCCATCCACCAGGCTTCATGAAATGTCGTGGCAGCCGAGAGTCTTCATCCGTTTCGTTTGCCGTGGATTTCATCCTTAACAAAAATCAATGGCTTCCTCTCCCATCCACCCGCCAACCAAAACAAATTCATCAAGGGTATTAAGCAGTGTATGGCGGGAAAAACAAATATCAAAATGACCGCCTCCCCAGCTAACCAATGATTCGAGTAAATAACAATGCAACAGATGATGGTAGTACAGTGTGCCGTCCGGTATACAAAAAATAGCAAGACAAAGGGAGAGAGAGAGAGAGTTGAGGATGACGAGAGAACGTTGTGGATGCGTTCAGTGTCGGACCAAGAGCTATCGTGCTCGGTGTCTGCAAAAGGATAAAACAAAAAGGATGGGCTTGCTTTTTCGATGCCGCCTATATGAGGAAAATGTGGAAAGCAGTTGTATGTCGCGTGGTCCTGTTGGTCCCAGTGGTATATCCAGTCTGATGAAAAGCCACAGTCGCTGATAATGGTACACAAGCCCGCGCGGGGCTTTGGGGATATTATATGTATAAATGTGTATGTCGCTGACAATGGAGTATGCAAGAGGCGGAAAATTATCGACAGATTATGTACAGTTACATGTTTTCGAGTCGGGCGCTGGGAAGCTGCATCGTCGGGTCGTCGAACTCGGCCTTGATGGACCAGGGGTCATAAACGCCGGAGCCGTATGTGGGTAGTTGACCAATGGTGGCCACCTCGACGGGTTGCTGGTATGGCACACTGCTGTACCAGTGCTCTTCTTGCTGATGAGTTGACGGTTGGTATTGTTCTTGGACCTGGTGGATCGGTTGAGGAGCTGGTGCTTGCGAAGGGATAGATTGCGGAGGTTGGATTTGTTGCGACATTTGTTGAGCGTACTGTACCATAGGCTGCTGTTGTTCCACGGGCGACGCGTTCTGGAGACCATACGTGGTACCTTGTGCCGGCTGGTGGGTATAAAAGGCCTCTTGCTGTGCCGATGGGCTGCGTCCGGAGGCCGGCGAGAATGTGCCTGGACTACTTTGGATGGATCCGTTTATGCCAGCGGCACTGTACGGAATGTCCAGAGGAAGTCCCTCAACTTGTTGCCTGGGGACCTGGTATGCTGATGGCATCGGGTTGGCGTTCATTGTCGCTACACCCGGGTTGTTGTGCTCCGTCACGTAGTAGGAATGCTGAGGCATACTTGCTGTGCGATGGAGCATGTGGCTACCCGGGTGCTGTTGCGGCTGTTGCGGGTGATGATGTTGCTGTTGCGGCGGTTGATCGTGGACCACTTGACCGTGGTATTCGTGGGCTGTTCCCGAGGAGACGTTGTGACGATGACCATATTGGTTGTAACCGTTCATATTTTGACCAAAGTCGGCAAAGGAGGCAGCTCGATGGATGTGGCCATGCAAGCCGGGATGGCCACCATTCATGTTGACCTGCGGCCACTGCATCCCCGAAAGCTTGGGAGTCGAAGGCGACTCGCCGCTGTCGGAATCGGACGTGCAGTCGTCCAATTCGGAAGAGTGGATGCCGCGTTGGTGAGACCGTCGTTGGTGCTTGACCATGGTGGTTTTTCTGCAGAAGCTCTTCAGGCACCCATCATGGGCACACTTGTACGGCCGCTTGCCCGTGTGGATTCGGCGGTGTCGTGCTAAACTCGATGACTAACGATATGATCAGTTTCGTGTCACCCAGAGACGTTGATGCCAAGTTACATACGTCGGAGAAGCGCTTTCCACATCCAATGTGCTGACACTGGTGTGGCTTCTCACCCGTGTGGGTTCGAATGTGAACCGTCAACGCACTGCGCTGGATGAAGCTCTTGCCACACCCAGGCGTGACACAAGAGTAAGGTCTCTCATTTGTGTGTATCCGGTAGTGTCGTTGCAAGTCTGACTTTCGATTAAAGCTCTGGATTGTGTTAGTGACGAGATTAATATGGGATGGGTCCTTCCACTGATCATACCTTATTGCATGATTGCCAGTCGCACTGGAAAGGGCGAGCCGTAGGCTCATTCTCGACAAGCTCCATTAGTTCCATCTCTTCTGATGCTCTCAACAGTCAAAGTCCCTTGTGGCGGGAGAAGCGTCTGTCTATGTGTGCGTGGTTGACACTACTTATAAGTCCCTTGCAGATGAGAACTGAGTGGTGGGGTGACAGGAATGTTGTGATCAAGGAGACCGATGGCCCTTAAGGACGAATGGCAAGGTTGCGGTGTGGGTGGCTCGACGGGCAGGCAGAAAGTGGATGGTACCCTGGCTCGGAAGGGTGTGGAAGCGGAACCTGATTCAATGCGACAATGGCTGATGAATATTATGCGTTTCTCGACAACGACTTCGTCCCAAAACGGCCCAATGGATGCTCGACAATGCTAACAGGATAGAAATGCGGCAGCGGAAATCTTGGAGGCAAGACACAATGCAGCGTCCAGCGCAGTGAAGCGAGGGTGACGGTTGTGGTCTTGGTGGTATTAGTTAATTAGGGAACGGACGGCAGAAGTAAGGATGATGGCTGCGCAAAGACAGAACAAGACAACAGAGGACGAGCGAGTGCTCGAGTAATACACAAGGCGAGCAAAGCCTGGAGACGTATTAGCGAATTGCGTCTTTGCGGAAGGCGCAAGATGGTCTGATATATGTTGGAAAGAAAACACTGATATACGAAAAGCAGACGGTGCTTGTTTAAAAGGTGGAGATCACAACTTACTAGGAGAAACAAGCGTCTTCTGTGCACGAGCACTAAATTCAGGATATCGATATCTCGAGATTCGAAATCCGTGGCCAAGATGGGAATAACGTTGCGAACGGGCTAGATCGAACGGCTAGTGGCTAGGAGGGCTGATATCTTGTACGGCGACAAGCAGGTCAAAATGGACAGGGGTGGCCAGGCGAGCGAGTTTGGGCTGACTGGTGGTTGCTGGTTCTTGTTTCGAAGTTCAAGGTGACCAAAGGACGGCGTGTGTTAGGTTTCGGAAACTAGAGGCATAACTGGGCCAGTCAGGCACAACAATCCGATCGCCGAGCCTCTGAGCGCTCAGGTTCAGAGTGGATGCTGAGAACAGAGATTTCGCTAGTCCTGGTTGTGCTCCTTGGTGTGAAGTATGATGGGAAAGAGAAGAGCAGTCCGCCGTCTCAGTTCCTTCTCGACCTTCGGTTGGAGAGCACAGAGCTTTCCAAGCTTGTGGTTCGCCTGAGGTATACGGCTTCACAACGGTGGCGCCGGCCTTGGCTCTAGTTTTGTCTCAGACGTTCAGTCCGCAGCCGTTGTAGCAAAAGCAATGATGAGCAAGCCAAGTGGTTCGGAGTGGCGGCGGATACTGGAGCTCGACTGGAAGGATGGGACAGGAACGGCTTGCCGTGCTATACGTACTCGCCAAAGTCGGGTAACAAGCGAATGATTATACCAAGAAACAGACAATGAATATATGTGTGGGTAGGGGATGACCTAGATCAAAGCACATGAGGTGGCGTTCCCGGAGAGTTAAGTAGAGCCAGAGTTGGTCGGAGTTGTCGTGGAGTGAGGATCAACGTCTGTACATATGGAGACACGTCACCGGAGCGGCAGTTTGATGAGGGTATATGTCCTAGGCGACAAGTATTATCGGATATGTCGTTTGTGTCTACCACGTTGAGCGCGTGGGGGAGGTGATGCTGCTTTCACCCGTGGAGTTACCTAGAGATGGCAAGATGTGGAGTCCTGGATATCGAGAAGAATGGAAAATGCTCGAGCACTTGCAACTCGTAGCTTGGGGTTTAGTGCAGGAAGTAGTGATTATTAGATGGAAGGTCGACGACTAAGGCGTGGACCGGCGGCGATCTCTTGATGATGGGGGGTCCTGGTAAGAACGTGGCAGATGCGGACGATCAATCCAGACTAGTGTCGAGGAATTATATGTATATATAAATATATATATATATGTGAATATTCATAAAAATAAGTGTAGTGGCGGAATTAAAATATGAGGGAGGAAGTCTGCGTTGCCCCAGTTGTCGATTATCTACATCGAGACGGCCGCAGGGTCTGCGTAGTAGTTCAAGTCCGTGAGCCTTGGATGGATGGCGTGTAGGTTATTAGCGCAGGAAACGGCCAAGCTCCAGTCTTTGTCGCGAGGATGATCTCGTACAAGCATACAAGGCAAATCCGGCCGGCATAAGCAGTAAAGTCGGTGATAAAAGAAGCCGGCACATGCGCATAGAATCGTGAGTCGCTGACAAGATGAAAGGGTCCCCTGGCAGAAAGAAGAAAACAACACAACGGGCGACAGCGTGGTCGAGATTGCGCGCTGTGATTGCCGGCTCCAGAAGCGAAGTTCGAGATGTGGGGAACAGAAGCAATGCATCGAAGGGTAGGGGACCCTGATGACGATGGAGGATGTGTTTCTTTTCTGTTTCTTTGTTACCATAGGGGCGTTGTCTCCTTGAGACTTTTACCTCGAATAGGTTACTTCGTCCTGACTAGCTTCCCCAGCCCCGGGTCCAGCGTGCAAGGTACCGCCCCAAGTACCGTCGTACTCATGATATAACGACAGCTCTAGCATGGGTCAGGGGAACAACATGGATGTGAGGAACAAGGCCAGGGGTGATGCTCGCATGCTGCCATGGGTACGGTAGAGTAGCAGTACGAGGGTACTTCTTGGCGGATACTCGTGGGGCAGAGCGGAATGGCATTTTTCTTGACCCCATCAGGTCGTTCTGTGCTGCTGCTTCTGACTCGTCAATTCATCGTGGCCATGCCAATAGAAGAGCAGTTCTATGCAGATATCTCATGTACCTGCTTAGCACGGACATTTAAATCGCATGCATGCGAGGGCCAGCAGAGGGTCGTTAAGGCGGACGACGCAGCAAGTACGTACGTACTAAGTTCGTGCAGGCGACGTGGTGGGCTGCTGCAAGGCAAAGTCTGATGCCCTGTGTCATGAGAATCTGCAGGAGCTGACGAAGACATTGAAGTTGTATTAGTTTTCTCTTTGGATTTTTTTCTACTGGCTGGGCAGGGAAGAGGAGGGGTCGAACACTAGTAGGATAGGGTAGGGTTGGAAGTCGCAATGGAGGGGTCGCGATCAATGAACGCACCTTCCAGCTTTCTGGACGGGAGGGAGCGGGATGGGAAGAGCCACCAGCCATCAATTCTGCAATTCTGCATACCTTTGCGCTTACGGCCTGGGGAAATCTTTATTGGACAACTGGTCATCAATACCTTACCTCAGTTGACAAGTCTCTCTGCCCAGTCTTCTCAAGTGTCTGAGACTGGAGCTATGCCTTTGTCGACGTCGTGTCGTCCAAAACGCATGCCAACCACTCTCTTTCACACCAACTCTACAATCACGATGCTTGCGTCAGTCAACCATGAATGCGTTAGCATCGCAACTCCAAAAAAAAGGCAGAAAAAAAAACAAAAAAACGGGCGGCCACGGAGTTGAGGATGAGACTGCGTGATAATCCCCCACTAGTGAATGTGACCCCTCAATGGACGAGGCCGGCCCGCAGCCAGGAAACTCACTCTGGCCGTCATGACCCTGTCTATCACAGCTTATTGCAGCTTGCGGTGATGTTATCAATGTACGCCGGCCTCCCAGTCGCTTTGCCAAGTATCTCTTACAAGCTGGTTAGTCAGTCTACTTTAGTCTTTTGCACTTGTAATCTGACGTTGTAGTCGCCCTGCTATCCGCTCTGCCTGACACAACCTCAATTTCCCAGAGTAGGCCAGAAGACGTGCTACAGAAACAGAGTTCGGACTCGGCAGAATCCTCGTTGTTACCAGCAACGTCAGTCCAAATTCCAGCTTCTATTTTGCACACCGGAACGAGGCCGGTCGGCCAGAGGCTATTGAGTAGTCAATCCCTGGTCTGTGTCGAATTTCAGGGCAAGGTTTGGGCTCGTCGCAACTTAGACCGTAGATTCGGCTTTCCCTTATCGGCCACCACTGGACTGGAGTCCCTGGACGCTGGGAAATCTTCACCCCTGTAGAATACATTGGAACAAAAGTACCCCTCGTACCTGTGCTGTACATAGTAGCCCGCCTTCGCTCCATCGATTAATCCCTTGTCGCTCTTTTTCCAACTTCACCTGACATGGCCATTGACTGATAGCCTCAATGTTTCAAGGGCTTGATTCGCCAATCCCCATGCAGGGTAAGCACCGTAATCGTACCGCAGGTGATGTCTGCCCTGAGGCTGGCCTGAAGACTCCTCCACAAGCTCGACTCTTTCCAGAATTAAGATCCAGGCCGGGCCCCTCCTCAGCTCCTTTTAGCACCGGTCCGGAATCACACTCGAATATCCCCAATGCAAGCCACCGCTGTCTTGTTCTTGTTTAGGATCATGGGTCCACCGAATTTTGAGATGCAAGTAGATTTCTGCCTAGCACGTCACGGATGGAGTACGGAATAGAACATCTCCAAGCCAGACCAGAACAATGGCTTTCCGGACACCCATGCCACCCCTCCCTTACACGGTTCTTGCCTTTCTCTTTCAAGCCGTTGAAACATTGCATATGCAAGTAAATGGAGTCGAACCATTCGCTCTAGATTTGCGGATGGACGCAAAACCCAACCTCAGAGCGACGCGATTGGCAACAAACAGCACCCGTCTATGTGTCCAAGATGAAGACTCGAAGTGAGTGTTGTAACTGTCTGGCCAAGCGCTTGCTGAGGAAAAGCCTGCTGAGCCGTCAACTATTGATGACTAAAGGCACTTATTATTGAGAACTCTTCTGTCACTGAGAAATACACTGGGTTATCCTAGTCTTTGTGACTTGGCCTTCTCTAAATATATATCAGGATGCCACGTCCGTAGTAGTTGTGCACTTGCTCGTAAGCATGATCCGCGGATCAGGGCCCGATAAGTTGATAGCAACGGAGTGATTGCAACGGATTGTGATCGTAGACAATTATGGACCACCTGAAACTCTGGTCCTTGTCACTCATCCTTTGTACATACTCTTCCACACTCCATTTTTGATTGATGACACCTTGTCAAAACGTCTGAGTGTTGTCGGAGGTTCTACGGAAGTACGTCTACGGAAGCAGGGGTGGTTCTGCAG